GCTGAGACGTTGTGGGGTTGTAGAGTAGACCCACTCTGTGTCTGCACGCACGCGGAAGAGGCAGCAGCCAGACTGAGCCTGCCCCGAATCGCACTCACTGTAGTAAGGTCGGTAGCAAGCGTTGCAGGAAGTTTCGCAGCGTCATCACACATATTTGTGGAAAAGGTGATCCCCAGGAAGACCATCTCTCTCTCTCTCTCTCTCTCTCTCTCTCTCTCTCTCTCTCTCTCTCTCTCTCTCTCTCTCTCTACGCAGGCTTCCCAATGGCAGCAGCACACACAAAAGTTCTTACCGCCCTGCAACGTTAAATCCAGAGAGCTGATCCACTGCAGCCTTTGCATCGAAGACGTCATCGTAGACAACGAAGGCAGTGCCCCGGGTAGTGGGGGAAGTTCCTCTAGAGAACACACGTAACACACAAGGAGAACACACACACACGTCAAGCCTCAGCAGAGTTTGGCCCCCCTTCCTTCGAAGGCATCTAGCGACAAAAGGCATGAGCGGTAACCACCCAACAACACAGGTGGCTTAAAGAGACATGCCAGGCAGAGAGCAGACGAGCCGGATTGAAGAGGGCACTTTGACGGCCTTTGAAGTCAACAGAGAGGAGAGCCCAGCATGTTACTCAAAAGGACAGAAGAGGTCACGAGTCAAAGGGGAGAAGGACCTCCTATGCAGAATTGTGTGGTAGACGCTAAGAGCGAGGGCAGCGAGAAGAGGCTCTACTGGCGTACAGCAAGGCAGCCGCGCAATGCCGTTTAGGGAAGCAACACGAATGCGGTGGAAGACAGGAAGAAGAGAGGGATGTAGGGGGAAAAGGACTCGCGTTTTTTATAATCCGCGTCCTTGAGGTGTTTTTTCCGGCGTTGCATGTGAAGAGGGCGGGCAATTAGGTGCTCTACGAAGGGCTGTTGTGTGCCTTGATGGCGTTTGATGGTGGTGCCATACTTACTTTCTTATTTGTCTGATGGATCCATACTTGCCGAATATGTCGTACAACTCTTCGCCGTTGACTTTGAATGGGAGGTTCCTTACGTAGAGAACCCGTGACACTTCAGGTGCGAGGCGCTGGGGGCGGCCCCTCCCGGAGAGCAGCTGCGGTGCCTGCATTCCTTGAGAGTCAGCGGTTCAAGAGGTCGCCCGCTGCTGTATACACGCGGAGAGACGCCTAGCGCTTTGCTACGGATGAGGCTACGGACCGCTCCTGTTGTGGTAAGGGCGGCAACGGGGCAGAGAGGCATGCAGATAGGGCCACGCTGAAAACGAAGATCGCGCGCACGATCTGGATTCAAACAGAGCAAATTACGACAGAAACGACAGAGAGAGAGAATGCGATGAGCAGAGAGGGCGGACGACCTCTGTGTTCTGGTTTCAGTGCTGCATTGACGAAACTTGAACGTCTGAAAGGGCTTGCCCTGCTGCCAACCGCCACGAAGTGGCCGTTGCTGTAGCTGCTGCTGCCTTTGTTGTCGTCTTCAGAAGCAGGAAGGCGCAAATGCCAGATTACATCGTTGGATCAAACAGACTGCTCTTCCAAGGGCCCCCCATGCGGTTGACTGCCGCGCCTACTTCATCAGGGTGCTGCCAGCGTCAGTTGCTGAATGCGCTGCGTGCAACTTTGCGCGGCGTCCAGCTCGCAGATTTGCAGGCTACAGATAAAGAGTGTTCTTCGGCTAAAATGGATTTGGGCGGTGTTTCACGAAATATTTCACTCTGTAGCACCTAACTTGAGGCCAATTAGCAGTATTTAGGATCTTGAACTCGTTCCTGGGGGGGGGCCCAAGGGTGTTGAACTTCCGATCCCCTGGAGGGTCAACTATTTAGCGTCTTCGGTTTGCGATGGCTAGTGCTCGTGGTCTCAGGAGCTTTAAGAACGCTTCGAGGCGAGCTGAGGAAGCCTCACACAGAGTCGGGCAAGCTGCATGGGGGAACGGGATGGGAATTAGGGGCCCCGCGGTTGTTCTTCCGCGCAAAGTCTCCTTACACTGAGATGAAGCAGCAAGAATCCGCGTAGAAAGACGTCTCTCAAGTGCACCGGCTGCCGTCAGCCCGCTCTACACATCCGTCAAGACACTAGCAGGAGCAAGAGCAAGAGCTGCAGAAAGAGCAAGAGCAAGAGCTGCAGAAAGAGCAAGAGCAACAAGAGAAAGAGCAGCAGCTGCAGTGACTGCAGGCAGCATGCGCTCGCATCGACTGCTTGGACTTGTGCTGCAGCTGCTCTGCGCAGCCACGAGCATAGCGGCCCTGTCTGTTCGTCCGTATCCTGGCAGCGTGAAGGGAAAGCTTGCACGGGCAGCATTCCTCTGTCCGCCTAGCAATTCGGTTTCCCCACGAGCGTTACTGGGGGCCCCCCCATTGCCCTCGTGGCGCGTTTCCAAAGGTGCTGTCGCCTTAACCCATTCGCAGTCTGCAGCCTCGCGTCTTCGTGTTGCAATTCTTCCTGCTGCTGCCGCCAGCGGATCCTACACTCCATGTTTGCACGGGCAAGCTGCAGAACGGCCTGCTGCGAAGGGCCCTTGTGTGACTCCCAGCCGCTTGCCTCTCCCGAGCAGCAGCAGCAACGTCGGCATACGCTTGTGGAGAACGTGCAGCAACGAGGACGGGCAGAACTGGAGCAGACTGTGTGCAGTGCCTTTGAGGGGAGGGGGCAGAGGCGCGGGCTTTTCGTGGGAAGAGACGGCAGATCAGATGCGTGTTCAGCTGCTTCTGGATCCGTCTGTCACACCCGCCGACGTCGTGTTTACCCTAGAGGGCCGAAGACTGCGTGTGTGTTTGAAGGGCTTTCAGCCGCTGCTGGAGGGCACCCTCAAGGTGAGGTGGAAAAGCTCCTCAAAAAGCTTTTAGAGTCTGTTGCGCACAGAGCAGAAGAGCCTCTGCTTCTGCCTCCCTAGCCTGCCATCACTCGGCCTCGTTCTTTCGGATACGAGGCTGCGTCATATTCCAGCCGGCAAAGGTTTCTGTCAAATGCCTCGGAAAGACCGCATGCGCGCATGCCGCTTCTCCCGTGACACTGCGTTCTTTCTGCTCTGATTGCCGCCTGTGCAGGGCCGTGTGGACAGTTCCCAGTGCCTGTGGTTCTTGGAGCCGTACAGGGCACCTTGCGAGCAGCAGCAGCAGGATTCTTACCAGCCGTACGGACAGCAGACGGGGGAACTGACGGCCAAACAGCTGACGATCGTGCTGGAAAAGCACAGAAGCAGAGGCTTCAGTCCTGTGGCGGAAGGCGGGGGAGCCCATTGGGGAGCCCTCTTTGAAGAAACCGCAGCGGCAGAAGCGGCAGGCGCTGTGTATGACCCTCTTCCTCGAAGTGGACAGCCTCAGAAAAATCCCTTCGCCGACCAAAGGTTCGCTCGCTTGCCGTTCAGAAAGCGCAGTCTGCTTCCAGGTTTGGCTGGTGGCTACAAAAGGGCACCTGAAGAGATCGGGGGCTTTGCGTTGAGGCTGCAGCACAGAGATCATGGGGCAGTCGATAGATAGACATGTATATATATATGTATACCTATACCAATGTAAGTATATATACACCTATATATATACATTGGTATATATGTATTCCTATACCTATATATATACCTATGTACCTATGCCTATGTATATACCTCTCTACATATATATGTATCTCTGTATTTGTGTGATGTGGTTTGGCCAAAGGCAGCCAGGGGCCGTTCTCGCGGAGTTTGTGATTCCCCAAGCGTTGCTGGGAGCGTCTTTTGTTCCCCCTGCCAGGGAGACGATCACGGATGAACAGCAGCGCGAGTGGGAAGAGCAACTGCTGAAGCACGCCCTTGGCCTTCTGGATGTGTGGGCTAATGCACGAGATCCTCATTTGGTGCAGCCCTTTGCGGCGGATTCTCCGGGAATGCGTCACGGCCTTTTTGAGGCCTTTGGGTGTCCAGACACCCTAGTGCACCTGCAGGTAGAGCCCCTGCCCGACGGGGTGTTGCTGCTCTTCATGCCGCCGCTCGAGTTCGAGGGGTGCGGAGGCGGCGCGAAGAGTTCGAGTGGGCAGCAGCAGGTGCAGGAGGCTTGCTGGCCTCTGGAAGAAGGCATTGAGCTGCGTTTGACTTTTGGGGGTTTGCGAGCAGCAGCAGCCTTGCAGCAGCAGCGGGTGCCTCAGCAGCAGCTGCACGTTGTTGCCCTTCGCCGCTCTGCTGGAGCCGAGGCGCTGCACAGGTATGGGCCTGAAGTGTCTCGACACCTGCACGAAGCGGAGGAACGCATAGTCGGGAAGCTGCAGCAAGATATGGCGGCTGCGGCTGCAGCTGCGGCAGCCTCCGGGAGCGGTCTGCAGCAAGAAAACACGCAGGGGGGGGCTCAGCAGCAGCAGCAGCTGCTGCTGTACGACAAGGACGCTAGACAAAATCTCATCCGGATGGAGCAGGTAAGGCTGAACTCGCCTCCACCAGGCCTTTCCCAGCGAGGCTTATCCGATTTGGGGGGGCCAGAGAATGATGACGTGCGTGTCGTAAACGCTTTTCCGGCCTTAAACACCGCGCAATCGCCGCATGACAAAGAGGCCACGCAACAGCAACAGCAGCAGCAGCAGCAGCAGCAGCAGCAGCAGCGTCCCCCCCGCAGCAGGAAGGGCGAGCCGTCGGAGGCAGTCACAGAAGCACACGCGAGAAGCAGAAATAACAGCAGCACAAACACAAGCAGCAGCAGCAACAACAACACAAGCAGCAGCAGCAACAACAACACAAGCAGCAGCAGCAACAACAACACAAGCAGCAGCAGCAACAACACAAGCAGCAGCAGCAACAACACAAGCAGCAGCAGCAACACAAGCAGCGGTATCAGTCAGGCCAAAGATGCTCCTCCTTCAGAGACCTCCGAAGATGCTGCAGCTCTGCGAAAGAAGCTGGGCATTGAACTGCTCGATTTGGAGTCTAAAGATGCCGCTGTTCCCTCATTTATGACCACGTGGACGCCAGAGGCAAGTCTTTCCCTTTGTCTGTTCTTCTTTTTATCTTCCCCGCTTCTCTTTTTCTTCAGGCGAAAAATGTCTGTCTTTGCAGAAACAGGGGCTGCCGCGGCAGCCCGTGTGGTTTGGAAGTCCAACTGCCGCTCAGCGGCAAATGCCTGGCAGCACTCCATTCGTGCACACACTGCATGTCACTGTACAGAGCGCTTACGGCTGCTTGTTGGGATGCGGATGCGACTCTGTGAGATGCTGCTTTGTGCGTTGCTGCCACGCCTGTGCCTGTGCCTATGTGTGTGTGTGTATGCTGCACAGCGTCGACGTGCCTTCCAAGAAGACACTGCCCATGCGGTGGCTTGCCGGCTGCAGGAGGCGTCTTCGGCTCCTCCGCAGCTGCAGTTCACGGATATTGAGGCCCTTCTTCGGCAGCAGCTCAACTGCACGGAGGAGGAATTCAGGGAGGCGTGGCAGGAGGGCTATGATCGCTGCGAGCAGTACAGGCCTTTGACGCAGGATACGCAGCTCGAAGGGCAGCTGCTGCAGCGCAAGCAGGGGCTTGTTGGGGTGGAAGAGCAGCAAAAGGCTGTCCTCTACGTGCAGCAGTTCGACGAGCGGCTGAACAGCGGTCCCGAGACACGAGCGATCGATACCTATGAGGCAGCTGCGGCAGCGGCTGCTGCAGCTGCAGACGATCCAGCTGCGGCAGCGTTGCATGCAGAGGAAGGCGATGACAGCACCGACGCTGGCATCAAGACGCGTTCCCCACATATTGATCCCTTTGCAGGCCCCTCGGCGGATCTTGCTCCGCCCCACACGATGCACGAGGTTCCTGCCTTCGAAGGCAAGCTGCCTTCCGAACGGAGGGGGAGAGAGAAGGGGGGCATGTTTTGCGGTAGCCTGGAAGCGTCTTCTTGAGGCGCGTTCAGCTGAAAGCGCGCTGTGTTTCCTCCCAGTCAGTCTCTTTATGCATGCAAGTACATGACGGGGTTCTCTGTGTGCTGCATGCGGGAGGGAGAAGCGGCGGCAAGGCCGCTCTGAACGGCGTTGAATGTCTTGCGCTCCTCTTGACGATCGCATTTGAATACCTCCTCAGTGCAACTTTTTGCGCGCAGAAGTGCCAAGACACCGGCGCTATCTTCTGATGAATCCTCAGGAGCGGTCACAAGTTCGCCAGGAGATTCAGAAAGACGTGAGGGATCACGAGCTGCAAGAAGCAAAATGACTGACGCGGGTGCCTTGTTCCCCAGAGAGGAGAAAGACTGACATTTTCTTCCAAGAGTGGGGCAGTGCTGGCCTTGTCGCGCGTTGCTTTTTAAGAGTTTGGGCTGAAAGATGCGCATTCTGCGGTTGCTTTTAGATCTGGCGATTCGACGTGCTGCTGTCGGAGCTTGAAAGAGAAAAGGATCGCAGCCAGTGGCTTCTCATCTGCGAGCAGTACAAGTCCGTCTTTTCGTCTGTCCTTCAAATTGCCCCTAAGCACTGCCGCCTCCAAATACACCCTTACGCTTGTTTCTTTTTGTGCTTTCCCTTTGCTTCTTGAGCGCAACCAACCTAAAGAGCCTTCTAGGTGTTTTTCGGTAGCAATGCATGCCTTGCTGATAGAGGTCTTCGTGTGAGCTTCTCGATCCAAGTTAAGCTTTCCTTCTAGTGACATACAGAGAGAGAACGCTGCTATCCCCTTCTGCCGCGTCTCCTTGGCTGGTGGTGGTGGTGCTGCTGCTTTTTTTTTCTCTCTCTCACCTTCTGTCCTTCCTTGCCTTCTTCTTCTTCCGCCTTTTCCTGCCAAAGAAATAAAAAGCCCTAGTTGCTTCCTCGACCGCTCGCCACGCCTTTTCAATGCTTAGCCATCCTGCTTGCTCGCCGTCTGTAGCTTTACGGCTCCCTGCCTCAATTCTTTTTTCGCGGAGGCTTGCGCTGGACTTGCAGAGACTTGTTGCTGGCAGAATCCTACTTCTTGCTGCTGACGATCCGCCTGCTCGAAGCGCCGCGTCAGCCTCCTGAGAGCGTGGCGGCTTCCAGTACAGCGGCTGCTGCCACATATGTTGGTCTGCCGACAGCAGCGACGGAGATTAGCGAGAGAGGAGACAGGCAAACGAAGGAGGCTTGGTCGGCAGAGGAACGGGAACGTCTTCGCTTCATAAATCGATTCGTGCATTCGCTTTATGAGGACTTGGGGGCACTCCTACAAGCCAATGCGGCAACACAACTCAAGAAGATCAAGCTGCTTTGCATGCAAGCAGTACAGGATATGTCGAAGCTCAACGAATATGTATGCACACACGAACATCCCTTTTGTCTCACAGGACCTTCTCCTGCCGCTTGCGCTTCTCTGTCGCGCACTTTCATTGTGGAGAGCAGCCTCGCCTTCCGTTTCTCTTAACCTCTCTGCCCCGTATGCGTGTGTTCATGTGTGTATATATCTGTGTGTCTACTCGTGAGCCTATGTGCGTTTGTATGTGTGTATTTGTCTGTGCTTCTGTTTCTGTGTGTCAGTGTGTGTGTCTGTGTGTATGCGTGTGTGTGTGTGTGTATTTCTCTCTGTCTCTCTGTCTGTCTCTCTCTGTCTCTCTCTCTCTGTCTCTCTCTGTGTCTCTCTGTCTCTCTCTGTGCCTGTTGATCTGTGTGTTGGCATGCGTTTCTCTCTATGCACCTGCACGTAGGCCTCTCTATCGAATTCTCCCTGCTTTGTCTGAGGGAATTCCCTGTGTCGCTGGCGCGTTCTCAGGCTGAGTCCATGAAACCGTTGTTTGATAGGGATTTCTTCGCCTTTCTGATTACCGCGATCCAGGAAGAGCGACGTCGCATTGCGTGTGTTTTGTTTCACGCAATAGCTGCTTTTCTCCTTGTGGAGGTTGTTCGTCTCTTGGTGGCAAAGGCCAGGGAAAGGCGGGCTAGATTTGGAAGGAACGCCTTTACGTTCCCCAGGAGCCTCATAGGAAGGCCACGAGATGGGGGATCCCCAGCAGCGACTAAAAACGTGTTTGCTGAGTCGCTAGTACTGAAGAGGCATTCGCCTTTGAGCCACGCTGAGTAGAGGATGCTTCTTGCGGGGTGCTTGTTGCACATGTCTGTAGGCAGGAAGGCCTCAACCCGGATGCGGCGCCAAGTCAGTGGCTTTTGGTGTTGCTGGTAATACAAAAGGGCGTTACCGCGTTGTTTGAGAAGGAGATACGCGAGGTAAGAGGCTTTTTATTGACGCCAGAACGCATGCAACAAAGGCCCCGTATGCATGCAAAAAAGGCCCCCAACGTCTGCATGGCTTGCTCCTTAGCAGCCAGGAGAGAGGCGCTCTCATCGAGAAGCGGAGCAGCAGGCTCGCGGGAATTCCTCGGGGGCACTGGTGTCAACAACAACAACGCCAGTGGTGCCTGTCTGTCTGTCTGTCTGCAGAGAAGTGCTCACTCTCTGTCTCTCTATGTGCCGTGTTTCTCTCCGCCTGTGGGGTTGCCTTGATGCGGCTCAGGACGTGCTGGATCTTGGATTCATTCTGACACAGCCTCAGCCTGATGTGCGGCGTCGCTGTCTGGAGCTGTGGATCGCACAGCTTCCCAAATGTGACTGGCGGCAATTCAAGCTTCTTGGCTTGCGACTTGCAGAGCGATTTACCTCGGGGTAAGAAAAAGTTGGCGAAGCCTTCTTTTCGCGAAAATCCTCAGTATTTGGACCTTAGTGTTTGTAGGAGGAGGTTTTGCCTGATGCGCCTCGAATTACAAAGTGCCACTCAGTCGTATTTACTTCCTCCTTCCCGGCCTGAGGTGCTCTCCTTGTGCCCCCTCCCCCCTCCCCGCTTTCCCCCTCGAGGCTCGTGTTATTCGTAAAGAGGGAGACAGTCTCTCCTCATGCACTTCTGGAATGCCGACACCCTTCAGGAGAATGCGGTGCTGCACCCGCCTTTATTTGCCTGCGCTGTGCTGTTGTCGACCCGACACACTCACACAGCGCAACAAAGAGTAGAAAACACAAGACAAGCGCGTCTGCCGTACTTGTTTTTGAGCCATGTTTCTGAGCACCGGCTGCGCCTGGCTGCTTGCCGTCTCGATGCTCACTCTCTTGCTTCCCCATACTTCTCAAAAGCAAAGGCGTGGCTCTGCCTTTTGTTTGTGGGGCCTGCACTTGTGCGGCTAATTCTTGCCAGGGCGTACAGCGGAGCTGCAGTGTCTGCATACCCCTGGCTGCCTGCCGCTGCGCGGCAGCTGGCGAAGGATCTGGAGCAGCTGCTGCCCGACTGGCTCATAGAAGGGATGCTCTCTGACTTCGATAGGCATGTAATGCAGAAGCAGCTCGTGAGCGTCCCCCCCGCAACACAGAGAATATATATTTTCACGCCTCGCAGCCTCTCCGGCAGCAGAGTGCAGGGCGAAGGTGGCAGTCTCCGAGTGAACGACCCCCTCCATGATGCGATGTGTCAGCTTCCATTTTTTTACACGCAAAATGGCTGTGGATGCTTGCCTCCTCTCAGGCCCAGCGTCCTTTCCTCTTCGGCTCTATGGCACCTCCTAAACCGCCACCTGAGGGGTCCCCCGAATCTCTCTATGCAGATGTAAGCCTCCCTCTCTCTTTACCCCTCCTCCACTGCTACCTCATCTTCGGCCTTAGGCACAAGAGGGATATGTGATGTGGACTGTATGGCGCGGGGGGGTGTTTCCTTCGTCCCCTACAGCTTTGTTGCACGCAGTGGATACGACTGCGCGCTGACAGGCGTCCTTCACGTGCCTTTGGAGCTGTGCATGCATGTTGCTGGCTTCGCAGGTGGGCAAGCGTCTTCGAAAGGAAGTAGAGGATGCGGCGGTGAGGCGCGAGGGAAGGGTATACACGTTTATAGCTGCTAGTTTGTGTGGCAACTCCCTACTGCACAGCTTTTGGGGGGAGAGCGAAGGGGGAGCAGCGGGCTGTGCAGAACGAGTGGAGGCAGCGAACGCGTGTGAGGCTATTTATGTGTCACGGAAGCCCTTAACAGACAGAGCCGGTGGACTCCAGGAGAAAGGGTTCCTCGAGAGGCTTCTGCCATATTGCTGTGCACACAAGGCACACCTGCAACAGCTTGCACGTTGACGATTCCTTGTCTCTCCAAGAGGGCAGCAACGTTTCCCACGCCGCTCTTGTCCTTGACGGATTAGGCCTTGTATAGATCTGTGTATATGTGTTCCTATGCATGTGTGTATATGTGTTCCTATGCATGTGTGTATATGTGTTCCTATGCATGAGTGTATATGTGTTCCTATGCATGTGTGTATGTGTGTTCCTATGCATGAGTGTATATGTGTTCCTATGCATGTGTGTATATGTGTTCCTATGCATGAGTGTATATGTGTTCCTATGCATGAGTGTATATGTGTTCCTATGCATGTGTGTATATGTGTTCCTATGCATGAGTGTATATGTGTTCCTATGCATGAGTGTATATGTGTTCCTATGCATGAGTGTATATGTGTTCCTATGCATGTGTGTATATGTGTTCCTATGCATGAGTGTATATGTGTTTCTATGCATGTGTGTATATGTGTTCCTATGCATGTGTGTATATGTGTTCCTATGCATGTGTGTATATGTGTTCCTATGCATGAGTGTATATGTGTTCCTATGTATGTGTTCCTGTAGATGGCCTTTTCCCAGGCACCGACTATTCACGAGAGGACAGGCGAAGTCCTTACCTAAGCAAAAGAGGGTGAAGCCTCGCCTGTCGATCGGTTGAGCCTCATTTTGCGGTGGGCGGAGGGAGGAGTTCAAAACTTCTTCCGGCTGATTCGATGCACAGCACGAAAGCCCAGAGCGCCTGCTGAGGCTGGCTGTGTGCTGTCTATGTGAATCAGTTGCAGTCAGCGTGTAATTGGTGTAGATGAAGCACTGACCCCACGAATGCAGCTGACGCATGCAGCTCCCTCCTGGCGCAGCCTTGTTACGAAGGCTTAGCCTCGCGCAGCTCAGAAGTTACCAAATAGGCCCCTTCTTGCCTTGGCTTGTAGGGAAAGGGCAACGACACGTAGGGACGGTTGGGGTCGTTCGTAGCATGGACACACTTTTGGTAACACGCTAGATCCCCCCTGTCTCACCCCTCAAGAACCAGCGCTTGCGCTCACCTCCCCGCATGCGGGTAAAATTCCCCCAGAGGCTACTGTTATTGCGGGGAGCGAAAGACGGGGGCACTGGTTAGAGCGATCCAGCGAACATGCGCCACCGTGCCTCCCTGACGCCAACACGCAAGGCTGCGGAGGGTCTTCGTGCTAGACTATCTGCCAGTCCTACACGTACTGCAAGGGCCCCTATGCACGCGCAGACTCTGCATGCGCTACCCTTGTGCCGCACGCGGCGGCTTTGCGCGTCGGTACAGAAATTTAAAGACGGCGTGGGAAACGGCGTATCTGTCGTGGGAACCCTCCCTAAGTAGGACTCGGTCTACTACTGCGACTTTTTAGTGGTAGCGTTAACTGCGCTTTTTTGACCCCCTGTTTTCCCCGATCTTACATCTTATGTCTACGGAGGTTGGTCGGTAAAGGTGTGCGTAGGTGCGTCTGTATCGAGTGCTTTGGGAGGCCTGATGCGCAGCGTTTCTCGCTAGCCTTCGAGACACCCCGCTAGCCACTTAAATAAACGTCGACTGTTTCTCGAAGAGCTCCTCGCCCCTAGGCCAAAAGAAGCCACTACTGCACGCTCCCCCCTCTACAAAAGGCATGCAGGAGGGTAGTAGGGGCCCAGCGCGATGTACATCAAGGTCCCTAAACACCCCCACAAACCCTAAACTGATAGAGGGGCCTTCTATGGGGCTTTGTTTCTTTCTCTCCCGCTCTCTTCGCACCAAACCCCCCGACGCGGCAACCCGTGTACTCTCCGGCCGTTCTTAACGATACTGCGCAAGCACAATCCCCACAAAAATACATTCGCTGCACGCGCAAACTTCGAAAGGGCAACGACAAGTAGGCAAGTACACATATACGCAACACAGCGGCGAAAAGAAAATATCGTCGGACACCCCTCGCCGGGGGTTGCATGATTCCAAAAGACGCTATTTTGATACTCGGCAGCACCTTTGCAGAATACTCTGAGATCTGACCACAGCCCAGCAGCCGCTTGCCATGCAGACCGCCTTAAGGAGCATCAGATACACATCGTCTCACCTTTTGAAACCCAATAAGGGTGGCTCTCTCCCTGAAGCACTGACGGCACATGTTCAGGCCATACTTCCTCACCATTCCGTGGCGGTTGCTGCACACACGGCTGCAGACCAACACACATCAAACAGCACCCGCACTCCCAATCAGTGCAAAGTAAGCCGAATGCCGCTCCCTACCGCAGAAGCGTCTACCCAACGCCGGCATGAAATGCTTTGCATGCATGCATGCATGGTCTACGTCCACCTAGGGGGGACAGTGGTGCTGCCCGGCACAGCATGAACGACCCCTCAGCCTTCTGACTTTATACGCGGCTCGCTCTCCCCCTGACTGGCCCCTCCTCGAGCCTCTTGGTATGCAAACCCTTGACACCACGCGAGCGTCGCGGCAAGCTCCCGTTTGCAGATGGACCGCTGAGCACCCCAGAGACCGCTGACTGCATGCGGAGTTCTCTTAAGCCACTAGCTCCCTCTAAAACGGCAAAACAGCGGCAGCCCGACCATCCCCACATGCGAAAATTCCGCAGTGGGGCTTCTGGCTGCCCGTCATCAAGTGCCGGGAGCAGCAAGCCGGAGGCGAAGGGATCAAAGGACCAAGTGCCAAGCGTGAGAATCCGAAAATTTCGACGCTGATTTCCGGCAATAGGCTCACCACTGGCGGCCTCCGGGGCCAAACTTCTTGGGACGGGTGTTGTAGGTGGTGCCCATCTTCACGGAGAGGTCGCTTGGATATACACTGCAGAGCGTGGCAGCAAGCAGGAGGAGCGACAAACGGCGAGAGAAGAGGCCGGGAGAGTTGTTAGGTGCAAGAATTCGCAGTGCTTTGCTGCAGCAGCTGCCATAGGACGCCGCTAGGATGATGATGCTGCATGGGGAGGCTGCTGCAGCAGCAGCAGCCGCTGCTGCAGCAGCCGCTGCTGCAACTCTGGGTGCGGGGTGCAGCTGCTGCTGGATCCATCCTTGGTCTGCTCTTTCGAAGGCGCCTCTCCGCCGTTAATTTCTTCTGCCCGCGCGTTTTCTTCTGCCCTAAAGTAAGCGAAGCGAGGTCAACTTGCGGCGCCGTCCTCGCCTCCCCTTACGCGGTTCCTGGGGGAAGCCCGTAGAGTCTCTTGTGGCGGCTGCTGATTGCGGTGAAGTCGCTCTGTTCGCTGTGTGGGGTTAGATTCTTTGTGTCGTGTATTACATTTATTCGCTTCATGATTCCAGCCTCTCATAGGCAGCGCTGGAACGCCAGCCGCCACTGCGTGCGGCGCGTAGGGATCCTCAACGTGCGGGGTTCTGCGGCATGCATGTCAATTCGAAAAACTCAAAGAGATTCGTGCGGAGGCAGTTTTTGTGACGAGCACGCCTATTTAGTGCACTTGGGGAGGGTCTTGGAGTCTCCTGAAGGCCGCTGTAGTCTGCATCTGCGTATGTACTCGGCGGAGGGTGCCGTGGCGAGCAGGACCCCCCCTGAAGAGGCTTTATATTTTTGTGTTGTGACGTGTGTCGATACACACCTTGGATTATTAGCGGGAGCCTAGACACGAAGGGCTGCTCGGCATGCCACCTTGTGCTGTCTGCCGGCACATGCAGAAATGATCCCGGGCATGGGGCACTGATGTGTAGCAAGGGGTCTCTTGATGTGATCGTGTGGCGTTTACGGAGCATACTCGGCTAGGAGGCTTCGGCTCTTCATTTTTGCTGCTGCATGGAGGCCCCGCGCTGGGGCTTTGTGCCGTGACATTTGCATGTGTTTTGTTGTTTCACTACTGCCGTGTGGCGGATTCGCCATGTGCGCGCCTGGGCATATGCATGTTTGGCGTAGATACAGCGGAAGGCGGGGCTTCTCATTGCGCCAGTACATGTATTCCACGGGGAACCCCGATCTGGGGCTGCGCATCTATGTCTGTTCATGTGTGTGGGTGTTTGTCGGGTGGGGTTGCAGGCCAGAGCCGAAGGGAAGAGTGCGTTCAAGATGGCGGCAACCGATTTCAAACTCTTTGGTCGGTGGTCCTATGAGGACGTGAACGTCTCCGATCTGTCCTTGGTAGACTACCTGGCAATCAAGAATAAAGCCGCCGTTCTGACACCCCACACAGCCGGCAGGTAGGGCACCCCTGTGCACTTTGAAAAAGTGCTTCTTTCCTTCTCCTCCTCCTTGCAGCGGCGGTTTCACACTTCTTATAGGGCCTCTCCTGAGGTGCTGTGTCTCGGTTCTGGGGTTGCGCACAGCCTGGCACGCATGCCAAGCACTGGGGGGAGGGGGGGAAACGATTCGCGGGTTCAGGATGAATGCCTGGGAAGCACATACTTGCGTGTATGGTGGGGTGTCTTTTTGTTTTTTTTGAATGCATTTCCTGGTTTGGGTCCAACTTTGGGATCCTCGTGCACTCCCTCTGAGGTGCTATTCTCCCTTGTCTCGTCCAGGTACCAGAAGAAGCGCTTCAGGAAGGCACAATGCCCTTTGGTAGAGCGCCTCGTGAACTCCCTGATGATGCACGGGAGAAACAGCGGCAAGAAGGTCATGGCGATCCGCATTGTTAGGCATGCTTTCGAGATCATCGCGCTCATGACTGACAAGAACCCCATTCAAGTAAGCTGGCTAGTGTGTGGGGGAGTTGAAGGTGATTTTTCTTCTTTGCTAGGATGCAGCAGAAGGAGCGACTCGAGCACCCCAGGGCTCACAGAGAGGTTCCCTTGCTCGTTGCTGTGTGTTACTGCCATGCGTGTTGCTAGCGGATTATGCATGCGACTTCTGCTGCTGTCTGTGGTCAGTCCAGTAGAAGGGCATGTCTTAAGATTGCAGTTCATAGGACGTTTTTTCGTCCGTGCAAACGCCTTTTCTATGGCGTGTATGGTGCCAGTGGGGCGGGGAGGCAGGTCTAGGAAGAGACCGTCAAGCACCTGCGGGGTTGCTGACATGACAGCAGCGCGTTCTGTTCATCCTTTGGTGCGATCTGCGCCTCGCTTTTTTCTGCTTGCGCAGGTGCTCCTTCAAGCCGTGGAGCGTGGAGGACCCAGGGAAGACTCGACACGTATCGGGAGTGCAGGTGTCGTCAGAAGGCAAGCAGTTGACGTGTCACCTCTCCGCCGTGTGAACCAGGCTATCTACCTCATCTGTACTGGTGCCAGGTACGCAGAGAGGATTGTTTAGGATTCTGACGGCGCATTTGTGCATGTGCTTTTGGCTCAGTGCGGGCACTTGTTCTACGCGCATGCACGGCTGGACGGTGTCTGCTTGTTTTGTGACGCAGGTCTGCTGCGTTCCGCAACCTGAAGAGCATGTCTGAGTGCCTGGCGGACGAGATCATGAACTGCGCCAAGGAGAGCAGCAATTCCTACGCGATCAAGAAGAAGGACGAGATCGAGCGTGTTGCTAAAGCCAACCGTTAAGAGGCTTCGCGCACTTCGCGTTGGGGCTGGAGAGCACCCAGCTCCACGTGTGCTTAGTACTTGCATGCCTCTTGTCGGGGGCTTTGTTTGAAGGAAGGCTTCCTGAGGGGTCGCCTGCCACGTACTGGCCCTTTGCTTGTTGCCGACAAACATGCCAGGTGCACGGAGATACTTAAAACTCGTGTTATAGGCCCTTAGGGGGCTGCCGCCATTACTTACAGTCTTCCCTCAATATAGTTTTGTAGCGGACGACACATGTGCGATCCCGGAGACACCAACCCTCCTATGCTGCTTTAGAGGCTTGGTAGGGGTAGCGGATCCTGATGTGGAAGAACATCGTGCTTGCCTGCTGTCTGGACGCGTTGGTGCAGCACTTTCCTCTAGCGCGCACTGGCCTAGACGCCCAATGAGGATCAATTCCAGGCTTTGATATGTGTGCAGGCGTGTATGCATTAGAGAGTTGTGTGAGATTTGAGTCCGTTCGGTGCCGTGTGACCCTCCGAGGCTTGCACGTCTTCTGCACTGCATCGTGGGCTTGGTGGGTGTGAAATGGTGAATTGGGAGACGCTTGAGGATGACCGCATAGTTCAGCTGAGGGGTTATTATTACGCCTCCATGCAGACTATTCTTTCGCTCCTATCTGATAAGCTGTCTTGCAAACGTGTGTCGGTGTGTATATATGTGCTGTACGCTGGTCACCTGTGTCTCTTGATTGCCCCTCGGAGTCGCTGCCGTTTATGGACGTCCTCTGTACTGCATCGTGGGCTTGGTGGGTGTGAAATGGTGAATTGGAAGACGCTGGAGGATGATCGCATAGTTCAGCTGAGGGGTATTATCACGCCGCCATGCAGACTATTCTTTCGCTCCTATCTGATAAGCTGTCTTGCAAACGTGTGTCGGTGTGTATATATGTGCTGTACGCTGGTCACCTGTGTGTCTTAATTGCCCCTCGGAGTCGCTGCCGTTTATGGACGTCCTCTGTACTGCATTGTGTGCTTGGTGGGTGTGAAATGGTGAATTGGAAGACGCTGGAGGATGACCGCATAGTTCAGCTGAGGGGTATTATTACGCCTCCATGCAGACTATTCTTTCGCTCCTATCTGATGAGCTGTCTTGCAAACGTGTGTCGGTGTGTATATATGTGCTGTACGCTGGTCACCTGTGTCTCTTGATTGCCCCTCGGAGTCGCTGCCGTTTATGGCACTTCGTGCGGCTGCGGTGATGGCTTCTAAGGCGTGTTCCTCGTGGCAAGTGGTCGGGATGCTGCTTATCTTTTTGTTGCCACTGCGAGCGGTGAGCGCGCCTATAGAGGGCTGGCGGAGAAGCCGTTGGTTCTTCGGTGTAGGAGAGAGGCCTAGGGTGAAGCGTTGACTTGGGGTTAATAGAATGGCCGTTAGGGCTGCCAGTGCTCGTATATTTGGTGTGGCGAATAATTAGGGCGTAGCGTAGTTTAGCTGAGAAGACGCACGGTCTTGCACTGGAGACAAAGTCCGCTTTAAGTGAAGGCCAAATCGTTCCTCGTCTGTTTGTTATTGGGAAAAGGGGCCCTCTGAAGCCGACCGAGCCTCGGCGTATCCTCAAATTGCGGGGTCATACTGCTTTTTGTGGCGTTGTCGAGTCCGCCTAGTGGCGGCTAAGGGTGGCTTCTTAGTTCGCTCAAGGCGGGTGCGTGCGCTGCCGAGAAGGGCGAGTGTTTTGCTCCTATTGGGTCGCGTGCATAGTTCGCGCGTCGGTCCTGCGTATCGTTGGGTAGCGGCAACTCGGCCTGACCGTGCAGCAGTGTGAACGCGGAGGAGGCAGGGGTGGTCTCGAGTGACTATTTGTTTTCAAGCAATCGGTTCCCCTCTGGGCAAGGATGCCTCCCTTCACCGCGATGATAGAACAAGGAGCAGGCAGCACTTGGCAGCAAAGCGCCTGAGCGCATACGAGCTGCGCTTCACCCGTGTAGATTGGGGCACGGGTCACCTCTATTCCGCGAATCAGGCTGTAAGACGCTGTAGGCGCAGCCGTCGTGTCTCGCGACATGTACAGTTCATTGTGCCCCTTTGGGAGAGAGGGAGAGACGTCAGCTAAGGCCTTTATGAAGCGGCCCTGAGTGAATGTGGTGAGGAGGGCGTGGCGGTTCTCCCGAAGGAGGCTTTTGTAGTGTGCAGCCCTTAGTGTTCGCTACCCGAAAGAGGTCGATTGCACTCGCTGAGGGTTGGATGTGCGAGGGTAATATTCTCAAAAAGTGGTCTGCGCAGCAGCGCAGCCGCCCTGGAGCGCACAGCCCAATTATGTCGTAGGCGGCTGCGTTCGGTAGGGTGGCAGTAACGGTTTGCAAATCCTTGAGGGGTGGGAACTGGGGGAGAACTAAGAAGACGGATGGCCAGCTCTTCTGTATGGAGGGCAGATATCTGACCGAGGTTGTGAGGAGGGGTGACTAGCAACTAGGCGTGCCGACATGTTTGTGCGCGCAGAGGCTGCAGTGTATCACGAGGGCTAGAACCTTCATCTCAGCGGATAGGGGGCCCACACGAGACGGGGCCCCTGGGGCTGTAACACGTGGAGAGGCTGCGGTGATCGCACGAAGGGGTGTAAACGGATACAAGGTGACAACTCGCCTCCTTGCCGGCCAAAAGGCGGCGCATGCATCTCAGTGTTAAACCCCTTTCCCCCCGTCCTTCCCCTCCACTCCCCGATTGCACAGCCAGCCGCTTTAACACCGATCGAGCAAGCGTGCCCCTCTCCCCTTCTAAAATCTCCCTCACTCTCGCTTTCCTTCGCCTCAGGGCATGCATGGACTTTTACCACCCACCACTACTAGGCGTTGAGCGCTCCGATGGTGTCGGCGTGCAGTTGCTCTCTAGTGACCCGCCGTCTGCAAGCGCATGCACAAACATAAGATGTTTCGCGAAGACATGGCAATAAAAAGGGCAGACTGAACGCGCTGGCAAGACAATCGCGTGCTTCCGCCGCGTAGGGGGTGGTACCACCCACGGGGTGGGGTGGGTGGTGGGGGAAACACGCGCGGCGCTCGCAAGAACGGCCCGGAGCTGCTGCTATGGCTTGCCTGTGCAAATAGGGGATTTTAGCCTTATCCTTCTGATGCCGCAGATGTAGCCAGATAGGATGCCGCCTCGAATTCAGACGATGGTTGCTGCGAGCGTACAGACACTCGGCAAGCGGCAGCTCCCGCACAACTGCTGCTCTCTCATCGACTAGAGGAAGGGCCCCCCCCCCCGATCCTGCAGCATCGCTCGAGGCCCCTGGTGCGGCGGTGGGGGCCCTCCACGTGTCAGCCTCTACTGCGACGCTCCACAGACGCCGAATTCTGAGCAGAACAAAAAGACACACACAAATCCACACGGCCTTGTCGCATGCGAGGAGACAGTCCATGCATGCATCCCCTATGGCGAGTTGGCAGCCATTGTGCCCTCTCACACCAAAAGAAAGGATTTTCGCAGGCCAACTTGTGCGTTGCACAGGAAGGCAGAGAGGGTGGCGGCAGCAGCGGCAGACAGACACAGAGACACAATTCGAGACGTGCCTCAGAGGGCGTCTGGCGTGTGGGAAAGCGTAAAAAATATATATATATGAGGGGGAGGGGATCAATCTTAAGGACGACGGACCGGCCTTTTTCAAAGTATGGCAAACGAGCAAGCGAGACGCTGCCACCACTGGTAGCTCCTTCTCTCTCGACATCCTTCGCAACTTTAACGAGGTGAGGGGGAAGACAGGGGTAGCCACCAACTGAGGAAGGCGAGTCAGTGCCGGGAGCTCTCACACCAGGACGGCCAATACCACTAAAGCACCGTCCAGACTCTGCGGAGGGTTCTAGGATGTTGAGGATATGCTCTACAGCGGGGGTATACACGCAGCGCAGCGCAGGCTGCAAGTATCGCGCCTCATTGAAGGCATACAGCTTTGCGTGGTGACGAGTTCCTGCAGGCAACCGTCCACACGCTCCTACGGGGTCCCCATGCACGATGAACGCAAACCCTCACGGGATGCCACGAAGGGGGCATGCACCCTGCAGCTAGCTCTCCAAATACACTTTTGCTAGCGGCTTGGCGGGGGAGGAAGGTAGCTAGGTGGCAAGGTAGGTAGGTAGGTAGGCAGGTAGCAAGGGAAGTAAGTAAGTAGATAGGTAGCAAGGGAAGTACATAAGTAGATAGGTAGGTAGGTAGCAAGGGAAGCAAGTAGGTAGGTAGGTAGCAAGGGAAGTACATAAGTAGATAGGTGGGTAGGTAGCAAGGGAAGTAAGTAGGTAGGTAGCAAGGTAGCGTCGCAGAGAGTGAAGGGAGTTTCGCCGCTGTGCATCTAGCTTGGCCGTCGATGTGTATGTGTGTGAGCATGTGGGAAGATGGTGGTGATGGTGGTGGCAGCGTGTGTGGGAATAGATTGCTGGGGACGAAGGGGGGGAGAATCACGAGATGCGCAATGCGGAGAGAAGGGGCGATGGACGAGAAAAGAGGTAGACACAGAGAGAGAGAGAGACAGCGTTGGTGGAGCATGCAGTTGCGGCCGGAGAAGGCGAGGAAACTGCAACAGAGATAGGTGTGGATATATATGTATATATATGTGTGTATATCTATCAACGCATGCGTAGTACCGAGCAAAGGCCAGGCCTTTGAGCTTTCTGGTTCCCACTTTTTCGTGTTGCCGTCCGGGAGCGGTGAGGGGTTGAAGTTCTCCCTCCTCCATCCCCATCTGTGCGGAGCAGAAGCGCAAGTTGCGAAGGAAAGGGGGCAGATCGAGAAAGACTTCTCTTCATGAGCAGCTCAGCAGCGCCGAGAGGCGTCTGCGTGCAGCTCCCCCCCGGCTTCGGTGAGCCCTCGAGCTCATCGAAAGCAGCCGCTTCTACCACAGTGAAGGCCCTCCCTTCTCTACACGCGGCTCGAAGGAAGGAAGCCTCAGCGTTCGTTCCGCGTGCAATGCCTTTATTCCCCCCTGGTGCCTGCTGGCTGATGGAGCCGGGGTCGAAGAAAGCGAGGGTGCTCACCGGGGGACGAAGATGTCTTTCCGCTGATGCCGATAGAGTCCGCGTTTGAGATAGCGCTGACCAGGCCCCCAATTGAGGCCAGAAATGGGGTAAATGCCTCCCCTGTGCCCCCCTCGCGGCATGGTGCCTCCGCTGGTGGCTGTGATACACCCCAGGCAGCCGCTGGGAACAGCCTGAGGGGCTTTTTCGCATGCACTGAACTCGAAATGCGCGTGGCTACCTTCTTTTGAGGCCCCTAAAGGCGCGAAACAGAGGGGCGCTAATGCTGCGCCCACGCCGGGAGGGCCCCTCTGCTCCGCTGGGTGTATCGCACGGAGCCAGCAGGAGGGCGAAGCGGTGACTGGGGCCCCCGCGAAGGCTGCAAATCACGGGAAGAGCGTCTCTTTGAAAATTTAATTTGCTTGGAGAGAGAGAGAGAGGAGGCGAGAAGGTCCTCTGCGCAAGCAGCCTCCTTGGCTTGCCGTCCCCGCCGGGGGTCGTGTGCTCCTCTATCTCCTAGAGGCCCCACAAGGGCCTTCCTCCTCCTAAAAATCCGATGAGTCTCGTCTTTAAGCGGCTCGAGCAAGAAAGTGTCTCTTCAAAATCCATTAAAAAGGGTCCGAAGGAGTTTTTTCGCGGCTCTTCTAGGCTTTGCTTGGCTTGAGTTTCAAGCAGAACGGCTGCCCTCATCGGGGGGCAGAGGGGCCCCCGCCCCCCCCCTATCCCTTCTCCGCTGCCTCTCGAGTCGGCGGCAGTGCCGTCTGACGGTGTAACACAGCTGCCAAGCATTGCTTCTTCTCGCTCCTCTTCATACGAAGCTCTGCTGCTCGTCATTCAGCTCTATCAATAGCCGTGGCAGTGCTTCGAGGTGAGGCCCCGTAAAACGTCCAGCCCGCTGGGTGTCGTGGCGATCGCCACAACCACGCAAGCAGTCTTTTGGCCTCCTCCTCTTCCTCCGAGCATATACACATTATATGTACATATATATACACATACGCACGCAAAGATCCCCCGGGAAGGTCCCTTCGAGACGCTGAAACAAAGGAACGCTACACCGCGGCAAAAAAGCGTCCAAGGAAAAGAAGGCCGCCGGAGAAGAAGAGAGAGAGAGAAAGGAAGAGAAGCAGAGAGAGATATATGTAATAGACGGGTGCTCTCAGACCAGCAGACGGTTTCTGTTCTTGAAGCTTCCCCTGACTGGCACACACCCACGAGCACGTGCAGGGAGTCTTCTCCATCGACCTCTTCTCGCGCTTTGTCGCCGCACATATAAGGCTCCTCTGTAACACCGCTGGATGCACTTCCAATGCCTTCCTCCCTAGGCCTAGGCTGGAGGGCCTTAGTGGTGGTTGCAGTCAACTCCGCCCAGCCCCTTCTCGTAGATCTCGCAAAGTCGCACGGCTCGCCACACGTAGGGGCCTTGAAAACGCTTAACTTGAATCCACGCACTGCCCCTGCCACACGCTATGCCTTTTTTTGGCGCGGTTCCTCATGAACGCAAGCGCGTAGGCCATGTCTTTACGCCGCTCTGGCTGCAGCAGGCGTTCTTTGGAGGGCGTGCCTCCTGTCTCGATGGGCTGCTCTGTGCTTCGCCGCATGCATGCATGTGTGTGTGTGTGTGTGTGTGCGTTTTCCCAGCCGAGCTGCTGCCTCTTTGTGCTGCCCATCTTTGGTTCCATGGCCCTCGTGGGGATATTTACGTGCGGCGACAAGAGACGGCTGGGGATTTCCCATTGGCTCCGTGCGTCGTATATCTGCCTCGTCGACTTAGCGCATCAAGCCCTAGAGAAGGGTGAGCTTCTACTTGCACGAGAGGACGTGCGAGATCTCCCTTCCCAATCCTTGCACAGCCCTTGGTTTTCTTCCTGTGGCAGGCGTAGTGCCTGGCCTGGCTGCACGCACGATTAGAACCTCGATCTGTAGTGTATCCATGAACAGTGACGCTTCCTGTCTTACGACTTTGGCTTACGAACGATTTCTGAGGTTGGTGAATGTTATTGCTACTCCTCTTCCGCATGCCTCCGTCCTGGTGTGCGTGTATGTGTGGATGTATGTGTCTGTGTGTGTCTGTGTGTGTGTGTGTCTGTGTGTGTCTGTGTGTGTCTGTGTGTGTCTGTGTGTGTCTGCGCTGGTTGCCCCTTCTCCTCGGCATTCTAAGTTGCGTTTCTTTGAAATTATTCGGAAAGCTGCTTCCAAGGACTAGCTTGTTTGTGCCTCGCATGCATGCACGCCCTTACCTTGCCTTGGGGCTTTATCCTGCCTCGCCAACACCACCCTTGCATGGCGCACCGTCCGTGCGGCTCGACTCCTTCGTGATGCGATGCAGCTGGCCTCGTCTATGCAGGCAGTGCTCTCTACTTGGTCGCTTCCAGCTTCTCTGTCGTGTGGATCGCCTTGTTGTCGGTGTGCCTGCTAGGCAGGCAGCTCAGCGCGCTGCAGTGGTTTGGCCTTGCAACCATCACTGCAGGTTTTTCGCTTCGCGTTGCTCAGATCTCGAGCGGCTCTTGGGAAGTGGGGGCACATGGAGCCTCTGAAATACTGGGTATGGCCCTTGTCACTGCGGCGCAGATCCTCGTAAGGCCTCCTTTAGGCTGGCAGCACCGAGACACGGCATGCAGCGTATCCCCCTCTATTCGCTGCAGGAAGGCAGAGTCGTTTCCTTGCTTTTAGCGTCTCGTGGTCTCTTCATATTACTTCTACTACTGCTACTACTACTACTGCCACTGCCGCTGCTTCGCCCTGTCTTTACCATAGTTGCTCTCCGAGGGAGGTCTCCTTGCGGATGCTTTCGCCAGTCTCTGCTGTCTGGCAGTGCGTGGTGTTCTCTTCCTTGCCTCTGGGGTTGGGCTGCATGCCTTTTAGCCTGGCAGGAAGGCAGTCGGCGTGTGTCTGCTGGCTGCTGCCCCATGCCTTTTAGCCGGGCAGGAGGCCCTCCTACTTGCTTTTGCAGCTTTAAATCAAAACGCTCGCCGTGCCGATTCGCGCTTGAACGCCCAGAGTGTAGCGACCGCGCTTTTCTCTCGCTGCACCCGACACGCGCTTCTGTCATGCCACATGTGTCTCTCTTTTGCGCCTGTGCAGCACGGTCTGGCCTTTGTTCTGAATGAGAAGTACATGACGGACACAAAGGCGGAGATCGAAGGTCCTCAGCTGGTGTTCATGTGCGGGTAAGGAGGGAGAGGGGAGGGTGGAAGAGCTGCCTACGAGAGAATCTCTGCTGAGAGAGAATCTCTGCTGAGAGAGAATCTCTGCTGAGAGAGAATGTCTGCCCGCCCTAAAAAGGCCTGTGGCAGACGGGCTACCCTTCGTATATAGTCCGTCGGTTGAGAGGAGGCTGCAAACTGCACCTTAAGAGCCTGTCAAAGAGAGGGAATGGCTTTGGGGGGAGGGCTGCGGAATGCAGTCAAGCTTGCCCCAATAAAGTCTTGCTGAGGGCTTCAGTAAAGGGCGTCGCTTAAGATATATATGTATATATATCTGCGTAAATATCTTTCTCGAAGCTACCTCAATCTCTCTGTCCCTCCGAACTGCGCTCAGTTTCGTAACTTTAGGCCATATACGCGTCTCGCCATGTGCTGCCTATTTGCCTTCTTCTTTCTCTGCACAGGGTCATCAATACGCTTGGTCTTCTTCTATGGACAGTCTTCTGGACAGTTCCTCGTTGGGAGGCGCTCGTGACGCTGCCCCGACAACAGCAGGGGGGATCTCTTGCGGTGCGCTTCTTGACTTCTTTGAAAGCCATTGCTCTTGTGTTTGGGGGTCTCCCCATCTATGCAAGACATTCGCTCGTGCACCTGCTTTCGGAGCTGACGCTCTTCACAGGCCTTTTCCCATCTGTCGCTGCAGCGCTGTGGGAAAGGAAGAGTCGGGGGGAGTAGCGTGCAGAAAGGCTTTCAGAGGGAATGTCTTTTCTTTGAGGAAGAGACGTGTGTGCCCTCCCGTAACGGAGGCATGCGTACCACGGGGTTGAGGGCACCGTCTTTACAGTCGCCTGGCCCCTGTGCTTTCTTGTTACTCTGTTGCTTCCGGTACTGCTTTTGTACCGGGAGAGAGGGGGAAGGTGGAGGGGCTTGTCAAGTTTCTTCTCCCCCGTAAAGCGGACTGGGGGGGGCGGCTGTGCACCCCATGTGTTTGTTGCTGTCTCGCATGTGCCTTCCCCCGTTGGTGCGTTGGTGCAACCTCCCGCCTGCCCGGCACAGGCGGATCTAGGCAAACGAATACAAATTTGAGAAAAGGAAGCCAGGGGAACCGAAGACCCCGTCTCGCGTGGGGTGTCTGAATGTACGGGCATGCCTGCAGGTGGTTGCTCTCTGCTTTGTTGGATTGACGATCTGTTCGCTGCTCCGTTCGGGTGTTCTGTGGGTTATTTTGAAGCACATGGGGGCTCTCTCTACCGGCATCTTGAAGGTAGGCAGGCCACTTTTTTAAACGGCGACTCTCTGCCGAATTCGTGGGCTGTGCACTCACCCTCGAGGCCCCTCCCAGTGGCACCCCTATTGTTTTTGCTACCTGCAAGTGGCGACCTGCTGGCACTCGCTTACTGCTGTTTGGGAAATGGATCTGTTTTGACTGCAGCTCCTGCTTAGCGTGTGCGAGGCTCTGCTGCTGCTTGCGCAGGCTGTACGAATGGCCGTGGTGACGGTTCTGACGCATATCTTGTTCTGCCAGACGCAAGCATCTCAGTGCCTCTCCCCCATGAAGGCAGCGGCCGCTTCTGTTGTGCGTCTTCTCCCCCGTCTCCCTAGACGTTTTGCGCCACTCAGTCGCGTGCCCCCCGCAAACACCCAGACTTGAGATCCTTTCCTCCTCCCTCCCTGCCAACACGCGACCCGCTGAATGGACGTATCTGCCACCTTGAGTCCACGACTACTCTCCCTCTGCGGTCCCTTTCTCCTTAGAATGGATGATGGCGCCTCTGCAACGCTGCGCATATCCTCACGTTTCTCGGTATTTTTCTGCGCGCGCAGGCAATGTTTGGCGTCCTCGTGTACTCTCTCGCCACCCCCCAAGCAGCCGAGCGGCAGTTGCAAGAAGGCGCAAAGGGAAAAGACATTCAGCGCTCAGAAGCCAAACAACTCCTCACAGGCAGCTATAAATCGCCTCCGAAATTCTTCACTTAAAAACGTTTTCCTTCCACGGGTGGAACGAGTCGTCTAGTAAGGGGTCTGGACGCCGACGCCTCCCGTACGCTGAGGCACCCAATATATACATATATATATATATATATACATATATATATAGGAGGGGCCCCCCGTTCGGCTCGCGGCGTCCAGCATACTAAAAGGGCACTTGGTGCCCTGAGGGTCGTTGAGAACTGAAGTCTGTACACACGAGCCTCCCCGTCAGCACCAGGCACGACTTTGTGTGAAGCTTTCGCCTGTGGAGTTCTCCGCTGCACACCCACGAAAGCCGTGAGAATTATGGCGCTGTGCCTGAGCATCCGCGACCTCAAACGCCCTCCCCCGCATCCCCCACCCCCGAAGCTTTAAAGGCTGCCACTGAGATTCTTCCCGCCAATGTGACGGCTGTTGCCCCTATGTGAGACTGGCGCACATCCTGAGTATACAGGACGGCCGCTTTCTACGAATTGACAGTAACATCACTATGTATAGCAGGGTATTACACTATGGCGACGACCACTACCGGTACAACCCGCTGGCTACCCCTCCTATTCCATCCTCGCCTCACTCTTCTGCACTGCCAGGCTTCAAGCTTTTCTCCCCCGCAGTTCCTCTTGCCCGCACGACAACTGGCGAGAGTGCTACACGCTTCCGCACACCCAGCCCCTCTATACTTCACAGTACGTCTATTCTGACACTAGCTGATGTGTATCGCTACTGCTCTCTGCTCAACTTGGGGTCAGGCGGCGTGCTGCACACTCAAGCACAAGCCCCAAAGGCGCGAGTTCGCCCGCCCGATATTTCGGTTTCTTGACAAACCCTCCAGAGGCCCTTCCGTCCGCATGCAGGCCCGATGCATGCGAAGCCTCCGCCTCAGGCTCCGTCAGGCGAGAGGATCCTAACTGATAACAATACATACTTTCCAGCCAAAGCGGCTCCCTTTAACTTTTGCTAGAGGAGTGCCGTATTAAACACCATGGTCCACCCATCCACCAGGTCTCTTTTCTAAGAAAGACCTCCTACACTGGGAAACCCCTCCTGTGCTTTAGCCCAAAGGCTTGATACAGGAGATATCTTTGCTTCTCGAGGTTGTTCTCGCCCTCCTCCCCCCCTTTAGAGATAAGGGTGGTTCTTCCGGATGGTCCTCTCGACCTTCTCGAACGCTCCTTGAAGATCCTCGATTTCCTCATCCCTAGACTCTCCCTCTTCGTTCACCAGCCCCTTCTTGCTTGTGGAGGGTGGCGGAGCCAACATAATGACGCTGGCTGGCCTCTTTGAGCGGAAGGCGTGGCCTAGAGCCTTCTTGGGGCAAATATATGCATACGGCACGCCCTTCTCCTCGCAAAGAATGGGAATGTGGGCGAGGATCTCGATAGGATACACGTCGGAAGCAAAGAAGACGATGCCAGTCTCCCCCTTTTTAAGGCTCTTGGTCACTTCGTGGACGCCTCGGCGAAGGAGGCGAACGGCCTTGCGAGGACGAGATCCCTCCTTGCTTTTGGAGCGGCATCCCCTCTCCACCACAGACACTGCTTGTATCAACTTCAGGGAACGACGAAGCGCCTTCCCGTCCAGCAAAGGTTCTGCTACTGGTGAAACAAAGGGCACAGGGGCGGCGGGCTGAGCCTCCGACATTTTCCTCGACGCAGGCTGGGCTGATCTGCTGACGGGGAAAGTTGCCTTCTCCGTGTGGAGGCCTTTAATTCTCAAGCAGCATGCAGCAGGGAGAAGCACTCCCCAAGACTCCGATGCGAATGAGGCCCCTTCTACGGGGTTGCGCCGTGGCTGCGGCGACGCTCGTGTGCCCCGCTCTCGCTGTATGGCGTCCTACAGGCACGCTGGGGGAGTTTTTCTCGAGGAATGGAAGTCCTTTACGCAGCTTTTAAGTGTTGCAGCAGCTGCAATGTTGCAAAAAGCGAGGGAGGAACGCGCGGGCAGCCCCACACGAGCAGGGGAAGCCAACACGGCAGCGCAGCGGGTAACTGACTGGCCCCTTCTTGAGTGCTTCTAGTTCATCTGCAGAGGCAGTTATTCCAGATTTCAACGCAGGAAAGAAGGATGCTGATCGCAGCAGACCAGCTCTCAGGCTGCAGCCGTTGCCGCACCCCGAAGAGGGGCTTAAGGGCAGCAGCCCTTACCGGGCAGGCATGCTGCGCATAGAGAGAGAGAGAGATCTACCTCGACGTAGGGAGACCTCCGTGCAGCCTGCTTATAGCCTGCGCCTAATTCAAACGCATCTATATATAGAAAAAAAGAAGTGCAATTTGCGCATTTAAGGCGGTTTGCATGCCCAGGAGGTCGCCGAGAGAAGCGGACGCGCTTATGCCCATGCTGCCCCCTTGCGTCTGCGCCTACTGTGTGTATGCCGCGCTCTCCCTCCGCAGCTATTAGGGTTCACGCCTGAGGAGAGACAGGGTGCTTCGTGGAGGTTCCAGAATTCCTTTTCTTGAGCGCCCGTACTAAAAAGCGGCACAAGGCTCGTAGGCAACTCGATGCGCAGCCCCCTTCGGTTGTCGGCAGCTGCGCCTCCACTTGCGAGGGGCCCTCTGTGCACGGGAGCAGCGACAGTGGGGGCATGCACTACTGCTGGCTATCTGGAGGCGGCGCCAACGGCTGCATTCATTACCGCTTCCAGCGTATTCTTCCCCTGAAGCCATCCATTGCAGCTCACGACTTCCCGTGCCCCCCCTGAGTGCCTTTCAGTTGTATATGCCGCTCCCTCCCGCCGAGACTGCCAAGAAAACACTCACACTTCTCCTACCGAAGGCCGTCGCGCATGCGGCGCACAGTCCCCGAGGCGAGGGCTCTAGAGGCATGAATCCACAGGGCAGGAGGATCTGCAGCAGTCGAGGTTTGATAATAATAATACGGCAGCCTCGGGGAAGGAAAGGAGCGCGAGCTGTTTTATCTGACGGCTGGGGAGTTGAGGATTCGGAAGACAGTTCCTTAGAGTGAAGAAAGGCCTCGATGGATTTGTAAGAGGCGGTTTGGTGTAGGCTGAGGCTGCCGCCTTTGCCAATGAAGCGCCTCATTCCTTGCGCGCGACGCTCCTCCGAAGATCAGGGAGTAGGCCAAGCAGCAGCGACTTTTCACCAGCAGCAACAATATCGATGTCGTGAGGGGGCGGGGGGGGAAGGGGAGGCCACGGTACAAGACAGACGCTGAGGCTTGAGGGAGAACAGAGAGAGACAGAGAGAGAAAAACAGACAGACAGAGAAAAACAGACAGACAGAGAGAAACAGACAGACAGACAGTCAGACAGACAGATCGAGGGGGCGTTTTGGGGGTGGTGAAGGACAGTTGCGCCACAAATTTTTAAGGGAAGACCTTAGGGCGAATGTTAGGGAGCCTCTTTGCGGTCGATTGTAGGGTGTCTGATGATCCGTATTGTGTTGTGTGTGTACGTGTGTGTGTGTATGTGTGTGGCGCTGTGATTTATGTGCAGCCTTTAGGGGATGACTGCGTGCCGTTGGTGTCCACAGATGCCTGTGAGGCGTGTTATTTTCTGTGCCTTAAGGGGGGTGGAGAGGGGCTTGAGGATAGACGGGAGAAAGGAGGCTAGGGAGGGGAAAGGAGGGCTAAGGGGAGAACTGCAACGTCATGATAGAGCGGGTGAAGGGTGTGGTGCCTACTGCTGTGTGGTTGCTGTCTTCCCGTAGTGATCGACCCTTCCTACAGCGACACTCGGACAGTAATTTACATATGGGGGCGCCGTCTGCTGGAAGACTCTTCTGGAGAGCCTCCTGATGGGGAGGGAGGCGCTCAAGGGGGAGGGGGTCGTCCTGGCAGTAGTAGTAGCAGCAGCAGTAAATCTCTCTGTCAGCCTGTGGTGCTCCGTTCGCTCCAAGACGTGCGAGTGGTCGAGGTGGCAGTGGGGGAGACACATGCGCTGTTTCTTTCGGATGGCGGAAAGCTGTTCGCCTATGGAGAGGGGGCTTATGGTCAGCTGGGAAGGGGACAGGTCCAGCTGATGGCGCATACACCGCAGCGCATTCCAGGGATTGAGGGGAGTGTTGTGCAGATTGCCGCGGGGGATTTTCATTCTTTAGCGCTTAGCGATGATGTAAGTCTTTTAGCTTCGTGCGTGCGCCTGTCGCTCTCACCCCTAATTGGCGTTCTCGAGTTTTTCTCCTCTTTTCTTCCCGTTCACGTCTTGAGAAGCTTGCTTTCTTCAAGGCGCTGCACGCTTGGTCTGGCTGTCGCGGACGGCGGAGAGGCGTTGGCTTGTTCGCGGTGTCTTTTTTAGTCTGTCTCTTCTGCAGCACTGGCAGCGGCCAGTTGCGCGACTTTCGTGGATTCCCGGTTTGCTGCTGCGCCGCTGTAGAGGCTTGCTGCGAGCTTGTGGTGTCTGATGTTGTTTGGCTCTTAGGGGGCTGTCTACGCCTGGGGAGCGGCCGACTGTGTTGGCGATGGCAGCGGCACTTGCGCCTTCTCCCCTCGACTTCTGCGTCTAAGCAGCGCACTTCCGACGCGAGGCACCTCCTCTCCTGTCTGCCGTCGCTTAGCTGCTAGATATGCGCAGTCAATGGCACTCATGGCAGGGGGCCACCTCCTCGTGTGGGGGCATGCGATACATGCAAGGTACTTCCAGGTGCCTCGCCTTACGTTTGTCTTTGACCAGCATCACAAAGTCATGCAGCTAGCACTCGGCAAAGCCTTCGCACTGGCCCTCACGGGTTAGTTTGCCACCCTTCCTTTCGCCGCGTGGAGATTGCTTTGCCTCTTTCCTTCGTGCCTCCTGCGCTGCTTGCCCCTCCCTCCACAGAACTATGACTTGCTTCGGAAGTGTGTTTGACATGTAGCAGACTCCACGTACCCCTTTACACGTGGTGTTGCTGCCGCTGCGCGTCCTGTACTCCCTCATCTGCCTGCAGGCCTAACTGTTTTGATGATAACTCTTTTGTGCGCAGAAAGGGGAGAAGTGCTGGCTTGGGGGGATGGCACCTACGGCGAACTCGGTAAGGCAGATAGGTGTCGAGAAGTTCACTCGGAAAAGTGTTCGCCTTCTTGGCTCTGCGCATACGCTCCCTCCCTTTGTTGGAGTCTTTTTTTAGCCCCCAGAGACACGGGGGCACTGTTTGACGCCGCAGATAGGGGGGGCAGTGCTCAGTGTGTTGAGGTGGTCAACGTTAGGCGGGCTGCTCCAGTGTAAGCGTGCCGAGGATGTTGTGCATTGAGACGGGGGGGTGTATGGGTGTGCTTGCGACCATGCAGCTGGGCACACATCCCGTGTAGGGAGTACCCTCTTTGAGGTACTGAGCCTGAAAGATGCGAATAATCAGCCGCTTCCCCCCATCGTGTCGATCTCGGCGGGTGCTCGCCACGCGCTGCTCATTGCGCAGGATCTCCGTTTATGGGCTTTTGGCGACAACCTCGCAGGGCAGTGCGGCGTGCCAGGGCATCAGACTAAGCTGAACACCCCCAAGGTGAGGAGTCTTGAGGGGTCATTAAGCTGCGGGGTTCTAAGCCGCGATGGCAAGTCACTTCTGAGGGAGGGAGAGGCAGGAGGAAGAGTGGAGAGAGGGAGGAACGTGCATGGACGAAGGTGGTTTGCCAGACGGGGAGCCGCGGGCGGGGTCCATGCGTCTCGCCGTGACGGCCACACGACGCCGTGTCATCTGGCTCTTGAGCGAGCTTTTCTTCACGAGATCTTGCTGCGGATCGAGTGTCTCTTTGCAGCTCGTCAAAGTTGGAGAACTCCGATCGCGCGTCGCAAAAGTTGCCTGCGGTCACCGACATTCCGGTTGTATTACCCGTATGTCTCATCTTAGCGGGCACGGGGTTTTGTTTTAGTCAAAGAGCTGAATCAGGCTTCCGTTTTTTTTTCCTTGGGAATGTTAGTGAAGTGCACCCTGAGTGTTGCATTGGGGGCCTTGGGGGGGCCTCTCGAAGGTTGAGCCAAGAATACAGCTGCTAGTTGCCCTGTGCAGAGACAGTGCTGGGCTGGTATTCCTTAATGGATGGCGACTAGAGCATGGTTTGTTGCTCCTAGAAAGCCTGTGGCGAGGCGCGGCTGCGCCGGAGGTTCCATCGTATTGGGTGCTGGGGGGCTTGCGTGCCTTCTGCACTGGGTGTGACTCCGCCTTCTGTTCAGCTAACTCTCTGCTGCGAAGGCATCCTTTCCATGCTCGGTTCGACGGCATGCAAGGGTCGTGCAGCCTTCCCGCCGTCTGTGCTGTGTGGGATGTGCATGCACATGTGCAGCTAGCCACCAGCTGTATTTGTGGGGCCACTCATCAAGCCACAAATTAATCTTTACCGCTGCGGCGGAGGCTGTCATTTCGGGGGAGACTCAGGCGGGCGTTGCGCTGCGTTCCGGGTTGAAGAGCGCGTGCTGCAGAGTGAGCTCACCACGATCTGCCAATCGTTTTTCCCTCTCCCTCTATGTTCGCTTTTTGCTCCATCGCGTGGCTCGCTTCCCCTTGCGCCGGATAGGAAGGTCTTGAGAGACACTCAGTGTCGTGTGTGGGTGGTGTCGTTGTGCGTGGGGGCGTTCCTCCTCAGCCTCGAATGATATACTCCATGCTGCACCAAAAAGTCACGCAGTTGGCTCTGGGCAGTGACTTTACAGTGGTTGTCACGGGAGACGGGGATGCGGAGGAAGCCTCTGAATGTCTGGCGTACAGCAGCGCAACTACGAGCGAAAGCAGCGCCTCTAAAAGCTGGAACTCCTCGCCGCACATTTTGACAGCTGAAGACTTGCATTTGCGCCTCGACATCAGCGGGCTTGACAGCTCAAGGCAGGATGATTCACGGAAGGCATCTGCGAGTGGGTGCGAAGCCCCTTCTGCCAATGGCGTGGGGGCGAAGGTACTACAGCAAAGTAGTGGCCACGAAGGGCCTTAGAGCCCAAGGGCTTGGCGGCACATACTTGATCGGCGCTCTCGCCGTCGCCTTCCCCATCTGCACAGAGAAAGGAGGCGTTTGGGGGGAGTGCTGCGCCGTCGTGACAGTATTTTGTCTCTAAAATCTGAGATTTGGGGATCCCTAGCGTTAGAGCTCCACTAAGACGGACCCCCTTGAATATTTCTGGAGCATTTTTGCTGCGGTCGGTTCCGCTGTTAGGGCACGTGCACTTGAAGTAGTATACGGCGATTGTGCATCAGGCGTGCCCAGGTGCTATTTTTAAGCCTTGTCTTACAACACAGCCAGGTATAGCGATAGGGGGCTCATCACCAGTTGTGTTGCTGCCTTTCGGCAGCCAAGCCCCCCGATGGGCGTGCCTCAAATGTTTGAAGGTATGAAGATTGTGCGGCAAACGGCAGGCAGGACACCCCAGAAGGGAGAGTCTGTTGAAAGCATTTAGCAGTCTAGTAAATTCTCTCTAAGGACGCTGCTTTACGAGCTAGAACGATAGTTGGAACGCAGCATTCTAGAGGGTCTGTGCGGCCTCGGTTCCTCTTTCCACGTTGTGGCAGCTAGCTGTAATCGGTTGTCGCAACAGAAGACTGTTTCCTGTCGTCCTGCCGAGACAATAGGAGTGAGTGTCATGGGAGACTGCATGAGGCATTGGAAAGCTTCGGAGTTGCAGCAAAAGCTACTCGAGCAGGAGAGCCCGTATGCTACTGCTGTCTCATAGACACTGGCCCTCTATCCAAGATTAGTGGGTAGAAAATGCGTTCAAGGGCACAAGATCCTGAGAAGGGCCGTCGAGGGCCTTCAAAATGCAGCTTTTATTAGACACATGCTTAGATCAGGGTGTGTAACGCTGGTTCCCGAACCGAATGAAGCCAGTGTGACCACCCGGCAAGCACATGATGAAGAGACTATTTAGGATGCAAATGTCAATTAGGGTGTGGCCGTAAGAGCAGCGCATTCTCGTCTGGTGTCCGTCATGGAGTCTATCTATACTGTTTTCCTGTGTCCATGTGAACGGGGGAGGTGAGTGTGAACGCCCAGCTGTTGCACGATGGGCCTGTCACTGGGGAAGGACGCGTAGAGGTTCCTGTGAGCTGTTCCTATGAAATGTGTGGTTGGACGCCCTCAGAAGTTGACTAAATCTTTTGAGGTTTCCCCTGGCATCCGGAAACCTGGAGTGAAGGAAAGGCGCGAGTTACACTAAGCAGACGTGCCCGAGCCCACAAGCCAAATCAGTGTACAGAAACACGTCTGGAAGCTGCACGTTTGAAACTTTCCCGACAACGTAGCCACCTTTTTTGAAAGAATAAAGCGGGCGCGAATGTCGTAGACGCAGCTCTGTGCCTTTTTCCGCTGGGCCTCTCTGGAGCTGCTTCTGGCTGTGTCGACTCAATCCGAAGGTCCGGTTATTCAGGTGGAAACGCAGAGAGCACCGCCCTTGCTCCACAGTGACTTGGACACTGTGGCGTTGCGATTCTCTATTCTGTGCATATAAAACCGGTTTGACGGAAGGCTTTCTTGCCGTACTAGAAAGTGTTGAGGTGTAACTTCGCACTACACTATCATTGATACACACTGCAATCTTTACGAACTACTAAACAATTGGCTAGGTGGTTGTTCGGTTCGTATGCTTCCTATCACACAGTAGCGTTAGCTTGAAACAAGAAGACGCAATGTTGCCTGCGTTCGCTTGATGCTATTTGCATCTAGCTGTGCGTTATTGGAGTGCGTAAAGGATGCAGCAACGTGCACCTTAGAGGTCCCAATCCCTTCATGTCCCAAAATGTTGGGGACACAATCAGGAAAAGGATCAGATTATTAATTTTGGACACCTCATAGCTCTCGAAGAAGTTTTGAATTGCGTTTGGGGTATATGAGGTGGCTCATAACGTAGACCATAGGTGCCTTACTACAAGCGGTGAAACAGCGACTGCATTCCAGATTGGGCGAAGGGACCCTCTGCGCAGGTCTAGAGCATTACTGAGTTATTTATGTATAAGGTTCTACTTGGAAAATCAACACAGACTGCAAGGGGACCGGAGTTAGCAAAAGTGTTTCTGAGTTTGTTCAATTGCACAAAATACACAGGTGGATCATGATACAGCAAGAGCCATCGAGAAAAATACCAATCCCAGGCACACGAATACCTACATATGTAGCCAATACAATGTAGGAAAGTGGAAGGAAGACATAGAGGGATCTCAATGCACGGGCTCCATATCATCGATTATCCAGCTTCTTGCTGGTCCATTTCTGGGCGAACAAGGCAGGTTAGAGTGCGGAAAGCCCCCATGCAAGAAGAAGACTGGTTAGCTCCTAGTGCACACAGTTTTCTGTACTTTTTTGCCAACAAAACAGATTGTATTAGTAGAACAGGCAACGTAGTCAACGGGCACCGTCCGCAATGCCCGGGGGCTTCCTGGGACTGGCCGCCGCCTCCCCCGAAAGGTGCGCTGCTCCTCTGCCTCTTCTGCTCCAACATTTGATACTCGAGTTTTTCATATGTTTGCCTTCGACGAACAGAGGAGTTTCGGCTCGCAGGAGAACGTAAAGCCTCGCTCCCTGCTCTGCCTTCCCGTTTATCGCAGCACGCCACGCCAGGCCCATCCAGAGCGCAGTTTTGTGGCCTCAGATGCCGCCAACTTGTACCCACATCTTGCAAGACAGGGAGGGGCCCTAATGCGCTCGGTATTTGGCTCTCAAGGGCCCCCGACGGGGTCGCCGAGGGTTTGCCGGCGCCACTGGCGGGGCCCTCACATTTTATCATCGGTCTGTCCAAGGCCGGCTTATGCTACGCTCTCTCCAGAATGCCATCCCCTAGTCTCCTGCTTGCCTTTTGCTGTGGTCTTTAAGGGTGTGTAGAGTTGCTACTGCCTCCTTCCCGGGCGAGAGGTGCTTGTTGTACTCCCTGGGCTTTTTCAGCAATCAACAGCAAACCAGCTGCAGCAGCTCCTCCGCTGCTCGTAAGTTTCCAGAAGCCGCAGTGACGCCGCAGCGATCTGCAGCGAAAGGCGGAGAAGGTCTCGTTTCAAGCTGCTCAGTATGTTGCTCGGACGCCCCCTCCGGCACCTGGCGGAAGCCCGCGTCTGCCGGAGGCCCTTGGCGAGGGCCCCCGAGGGCCCCCCGGCACGTCTTCGAGCCTTCGCACCAGTCTTTCATTCATCGTTCGAGAGGCCACGGGATGCAGCGATGCAGCGAGCAGCGCACTTCCAGCAAATGGCGGGAAAGCCAAGCCTTGATGGCCCCTCCAAAACCTCTCTCGGTCCTGGGGAAAGTCTAGGAGCCTTGTGTGGGCCGTCAGCAACCACCAGCATTACCAACCACAGCGGCGACTGCAGCGCAGCATTTTTAGAGTTTGCTGAGGTATATCCACCTCAGTCTCGGCGGCGGGGCTTGCAGGGGCCCCCGCGTTCAAGTGGACATGACGAAGGCGCTTCAGCGTCGGGGGATCACCGAGATGTGAAAGAGCTTCCACACAAGAAGGCAGCTTCGCCACTTATTGCAGCGGACAAGAATGCGCGTGCAACTCGGCGGTCTCGGGAGTTGCCGCCTCTTCTCTCCGCCACAGAGGCTGCAGTTGCCCACATCAAGGAGCTTGTAGAGGGTTACAACAGGTGTCTCGAGCAGGCGGAGGCTCGGGGGGCTGAGCCACAGCCGAGGGCGTCGGGTATACGCATCAGCCTGAAGAGGCAAGGCTGCAGCGGCATGGCTTACGACGTGGCCCTTTACGCGGAAGGGGCGTTAGGGGGGGACTCCGATCCCAAGACAGTGTCTCGTGGCGAGGCAAAATCAAGCTCTGAGCCCCTTGAAGAGGCTCCAACGAGGCGAGGCAAAGACTGGAGGGTGGATGAAGTGGTAAAAGTGGGGGAGGTCGAAATCCGCGTGGCAGCTGACGCCGTGATGCTACTGGTCGGGACTCAGGTGGATTTTGTGGACGAGGAGGTACAGACGGGATTTGTCTTCAACAATCCAAACCAAAAGCACTCCTGCGGATGTGGGAAAAGCTTCATGGTCTGACACAGCCTTCACCTTTTTCTCAGGCTGCTGCTAGTGGGAAGGGGCACTGCACGGTAAGAGGCCGCCTAGGGGAGTTCCCAAGATGCACGAGCTGGGGAACCGGCCGCGCATTTTTGGGAGTTCCTGTTGAGTCAACAGAAATTGGCGGGGCAGCGCTCTGCTAAGACTCTACTCCCACCAGAAAGATTTTATATGCACGTGTTTGTAGACGTTACGCGTCTGCAAATACCCTGTTTACTTCTCGCGTGCCACCGCTGGCTTTGTCTAGATTATATTGTGTCGCTCTGGCCTAAGTGTTGTGGCGTCTTAAGCCGGGGCTCGGGGTTCCCCTTGATGCACTCTGTTGAGGCCGCGCCGGCTACCAGCTGAAAAAAATAACTACACTCCAAAGGGCCGTCCTCTTGAAGGTCCGTGCAATGTAGCGCATTGCGTGCCACATCGGCTCCCAATCTAGCTCGCAGCGTCGCGGGGTGCAAACAGCGACCCACCTCTGGGTCATACGGCCCTGGACACACGCGACTACAGATACGCGTACACGTAAAGGTCCAGGGTTCTTTAACGTTATTTTCCTGTGTATCGACAGATGCAGATTGTATTTCGGGGGTGCAGAAGTCTGAATCGTGACTGGCGACTACCTCGGACTAAGCTAGTCACTAGGATCTAGAAATTATACCATGATATAGACACATGAACGTTTGCACGCGCCACTGATATGGCAGCCTGATCGTTTTCGTCTGACTCACGTACACGTGTATAGCGAGCAGCGTTTGTCATGCCTTACCTGCGAGGCGCCTAAGGCGGGAAACAGCGTCAGGGCCTTCCAACTGGAGCGCCACAACTGTGCCATTTGTCAGCTCCTCCACCATCTGCAGCCCAGTACACATAGAGGTTCAGGGGGGCGGACCGGGATACGTGAGGACGGCGCTAGACTTATTGGTCCACCTGAACGAGCAGGGAAGCTTTTGAATGAAGCGGAGAACATGGTGAAGAAGGGGCTTTTTGTACCTGGGGGTACTCCTTCAGGACTGTCTTGTACACCTCTAGGAACTCCATGGCAGCCAAGTTCGTCAGACGGAAACTTTGCATTGCCCCAATAGAGAGTCCGCTTGTCAGGATCTCTCGAAGGACAAGCCCTGTGTGCTGTAGCGCGTGTGGCTTTATGACGCAACAGGTTACTTCTGGAGCCACCACGTTGAATGTCGTGTCTGCTGCTTTGCTTGTAAGCGCGAGAGCAAGTTGCTCCACAGTGCTCGGCGCCTCGTTACCCTGGGAGTGCAGGACTTCGGGAAGTTCTGCACTCTTGGAAGCGACTCTGAAGCCAGAAAAGAGTGTGACAAAAAGAGAAGTGATCCTGTAACTTTTTGAATGCAAATGCGTTCCCCCAATGCAAAACGGATTCACAGCCATTGTGAGCAAAGCTGGGATGACCACAAGATGTTCCAAGCAAACCAGTACATGGTCTGACGTGTGAGCACCTCTTTTAAACACCTGTTCGTACACTTTTGATGCTTGTTCTCCTCGTAGAACAAAACAAGCGACGGCCGAAGCAGACATTACGGAGATTTCGCCAGTCATGCTAAATCCCGGAGAGCAGCTTCGTATATAGTCGCCTAGGGTCCCCTCTAGGGAGAGCAGCTTGCAATTCGTCAGGATCAAGCCAGAGTCCAATAGTATCTGTAGCTCATCTGAGTACTTTTGGGGATCGGAGGCCCGCCATATACAGATTACCGGTTCCATTGAATGCTGGAGGTAGGCCTGGGTCTGCTTATTTGCGATGTCCACAATGCGTAAATGACGGGAGAAAACTACAAGCTGGGCACCAACAAAAAAGGATTTAGTCAGGCTACGGGGGACTTTCACGCGTTTCAAGTGCAGGGTGCTGCTCTGGGGTTTTCGCAACTCGAGGGTGCTGTCGCTCGTGTAGTAAATCATTATGAGCTCCTTGATGTCTCCAGTGCCAGACGCATCCCAGGATACGTGAAATGCGAGCATCTCTGGGGTCTCCATGACACTTTGAAGTACATTGAAGCTGTTTTTCGAACCTTTCTCTAGTTTTTCACACCCTCTACTGTAACCATTCGTATCGTCGGTGGAGTACTGGCAACGCAAATGAAGGGTCTGAGAGCAACTTCTGAATCAAAAATGGTAGATACTAATGGTTCTTAACGATATTTTTGTGGTGAGTACGGGATGACTGCTGTTTCTGCCAGGGATGCAGATGGCCCCCAGGAGTTGCAGACCACATAACAGTTAGTGCATCTGGCCCGTGGCTACATTTGGGAAAACTTTTGTAGAATTACTGCCACAAATCTCTATGTTTTGTAGTTTTAGAACCAGATACAGGAAAAGGGTCATACAGGAAAGGGCTAGCAATACCAGGCGTTGAACGCGTGTTCAATATCGATTCACGCAATGATACATGGCTGAAGGTGCATGGTTTAATCATAGGCGAAACGGCAAACCCAGGGACATAAAATGCCTGGAGTATCCATGACAGCCCAAATCAGCCGTAAAAGTTTTTTTGTAGCCGAAATCATGGTAGTCACTCTAGTCGAGGATGGCGAGTTTCTGTATGAGGATTCATGGGGAATTTCAGTGCGGCTTTAATGTAATACATCAACCAAAATACCTGGTTAACTTCTCTGAGCCTATAGGCCACCTGTTTACGAGTTGGCTATGAAAATCCACCGTCATCATCGGTGAACCGAGATAAAGCATTAACGTACGGCGATCAGCTCGTGCATCATGGCCTCGAGTTTGTTGTCGGGACTTTCAGCTTTCTCCTAGAAAGGGCATTAAAACTTTGTCGATCGCTTAGATGTGGCGATGTGGGCAACACGTACTTCCTGCTCCTTTTCTAAGGCCGCCTTTGCAATAGCATCCTCGGCGTTCTCCTTTGAACAGAGTTGTAGACCGCTCACAGAAAACCGAATGCCGCTAACCACTCACTTCTTCCATTTCGGCATCTTCTGCGAAATCTCGTGCATGCTCGAGTTTCATCTCAAGAGCTGTATCTCTAAAAAAAAAATTTAATCATCATGCGTCTTTCGGGTGCTGCGGAATGGCTTCTTTCTGCACCTTTGAACTTGCTCTTCTAGCTCCTCGGCCGTTCTTTCTACATCATCCTCGCGTTCTTCTTCCTACGTCAGTATTTATGGAGAATAAAGGCGTAAACTTACGTGATCGCTTGACTCACCGTGAGTTCTTCGCCCTCTTCTCGTACCCTGTGTGAGAGCCGCAGTGATGTGCACGTGATCCTGTCGCACAGCAAGAGGACAAGTCCTGCACAAATGCAGCCGCGATGTACGAATGAGACTCGCATGGCTTCTAACAGATATAAAGCAGCCGTAATACAAAACGTTGCATTCATGCATCGTCGCGTGCTGCCAAGTTGCAGCGCACTACGCTGGGTGCGTGCGTACACCTGAACTAAACACCGCAGTATGTAACCCTAGTTGGGCGATTGAAAAACCAGTATTTAGAATTGGTTTTTATGTGCGTGGTTTGTACTTATAAAACGCTGTACAGTGGTTGGTAGTCTTCTGCAGGCAGACCAGTCCTGCATTCTGTCACGCTACCGAATGTAGTATATGCTTGTTTGCCTTGCAAGGCAGACTTTTTTCCGAAAGCGTTGCTTCCGCTAGGAACTCATGACTGAGATGCAGTTTTACTGCCTCTCTGGCGCCGCCGAAAGTTCCTGTACTATGCGCATAGTTTGCCAGTACTGTGCTACTCCATGCAAATATGCATATACGCGTCTCTCTTCTGTTACTAATCAGAGGAGGCAAAAATACTAGCCACGAGGCTCCAAGTTGACATTATGAATCACAAGAGATAGGTAGAAAACGGAGTGAAAATTTCGGCCCCGATCCTTCCCCACAAGCTCAGTCCCACCCGTTAACCGAGCCATGAGCCCCAACTACCCAAAAAGTAGCTTCTTCCCGATTTTCTGCTTGTTTTAGGTGGATTAAGCCCTTATTGTGGGCAGGAACTCTGGATGGGGACCTATCTACCGCTGAACGAGGGAACAATATCAGCGGATTTCTACTTGGCCCACAGTGGTCCTTGACTGGAAGGCTCCGTGGCAGCAGTTCCGCAGACTCTACAAGCGTCCTTTCACCCGGAAAGAATGCAGCTAAACAGGTGATTTGTAAGAGACTGCCGAGTTTCTCAGCTTGGGGACTAAATGATCAAGCTTCGTCCTCCGTGAAGTTTACTTCGGGGGTTCTCTCATTGGAGGGCACGGAAAATTTAGTGCTAGCAGTCCTTTCTGAATGCTACGTTAGATCCTTTGACACAAAGTTACGCCAGCAGTTTGCTTTTCTTTGACACCACAGCAAACGTTGCTGCCCAATATCGCATCACGAACCAAGAGCCCGGCAGCTTCTTGCCAAGCTCATAGAGGCACACCCTACTTGAGCGTTATCTTCCAGCAAACCAACAGAAGCGCCGTCAACTATGGAACCAATGAGCCGTAGGCCCCAGCAAGGCTCTCGCCACTCCCGGCGAAAATCCAAGTTCACAGAATCGGCCACAGCCGCGACAGCAGCAAGATTTCCCCCCTTAGATGCACTTGCTACTCCAATGAACTTTCAGGCACCCAAGCCTGAGGAAGCCGTGGGCTTCGATTCGGTCATGAGCGAGGAGGCGGCTCTTTGGGAGAGAGCTGTCAGAGCGAGTGTGGGGAGTGCAAGTCCATCATTGCCTCCATTGGTGGCTACTCCGCTGGCGTGCCGTATACTGCAGAAGCTGCGCTGGGCATACAACTCCCGCCGGTGGGGTGTGAGGCCTCCAGTACTGCTGCATGGGCCCTCAGGTAGCGGGAAAAGCTCGTATGTTCGCTGGCTTTCATTGGCAGTCGGCATGCGGCAACCCCCAGTCTGTCTCTTTCTTGACCAACAGACCGAAGCCAAAGATCTTGTTGGTAAGACAGCTGGATAGGGCGCACTTTCGTGTTTTGTGCGCCTGCGGCTCCTGCTTCTTGCGCGAAGTTGGCATTTGCAACTAGAGGGCGGGGGAGCTATTCAAACTTGAATTCCTGCACACGGTTAGCAGACACCCTGTAGGATCACCAAAAGAGGCCCTGCTACCAATTTTCCTAGCGATGTTTAGGCGAGTGCTTACTTATTTCAGATGCTAGTAGGGAAGCTTCAGGGATGCTTCTGTCTGCAGTCGCTCGTGTTACGAAATTCTTTTTTTGCCAGACCATTTAGCGCCATGGCTTCGAATGATTGCAGCTATTTGTTGTTGTTTTTGCCTCTTCAGGTTCGTGGATTTGTGGCCGCCGCGCTGGTGAGTTTGAGTGGCAGGAAGGCATCTTAGCCCGCTGTGTGCGGGAGGGCCGTTGGGTTGTCATCGAGCAGTTGCAGCAGCTGACTCACGACGTGCATGCGCTTCTGCATGGCTTGGCAGCCACTCGATTCTTGACCATACAGGAGCAGCAGCGGAAGATTCGCGCCCATCCGGATTTTGCCTTGTTTGCTACACTTGCATCGTGCCCTCGTCAGTTGCATGGGCGAAACGGCCTCACGCCACGCTTTGCACTGGAGCCAACAGCCGCAGAGCAAAGTGAATCATCTGATAGGCGCAAAGAAGCGTCGAGACAAGTGACGGAAGCTGATCTGGATGTGGCCATAACACAGCCGCCACCTCCACTGCCCCCGCTTCTCGAATCATGGATGGTGTTGCACGTGCCGGCTCCCTCTGCTGCGGATGTTCTGCATATAGTCTCCCACGCCTTCCCCTCCATTCAGGGGGTTGCCACACGGCTGCATAAGGCTTTTGAGGCCGCTGTTGCAGTGGCGACAAGCGGCGTAGTTCGGGCAGGGAAGCCTCCACCCAGAGCCATGCGGCTGCCGCAGCTTAGAGACTTTTTGAAACTCTGTCGGAGACTGGAAAGGCTGGATAGCAGTGCGAACGGCTGCCCCCGCAAGAGTATCTTTGGCGGCTTTCTGACGGAAAGCTTGAAGCTTCGCATTGTTGAAGAAGGGATCACGGTGTTGCTGGCACATCTAAATGACGTGCAGCTTCGGTTCCGTGCAGCGGTCGCCTTTGCCGCAGAATGGGGCATACAGGATGATCAAGTTGAGGTTCTGCTATTCAGTCAGAGGCCAGTAATCAGGAGCTTAGACACGGCACTCCACGTCGGACCCTACACTCTTCCCAAGTGCAGCTCTGTGGAGCGGGGTGCTGTTCCCTCTGGGGGTACCGACGAAGACTTTCTGCCTCTGGGGGGAGACGGCGACGCGCTGCTGCCGGCAGCCACAGCGGCAGCAGACTCGCCTTCTAATAGTGTCGGAGAAAGCGATCCTAAGCTGGCTGGAACGGAGTGGCTGACAGGTCAGCAGCTACGCCTCTTGCAGCAGGCCGGAGGCGCATTGCAGTGCGGGGAGCCTCTCTTGTTTGTGGGTGACACAGGGGCAGGCAAAACCTTCATAGTTTCGTTTATTGCTGCTCGTGTTGGCGTAGAGTTGACCGTCGTAAATTTGCACCAACAGAGCGAGAGCGAGGATCTCATTGGACGGTGGGTGCCGAGACATCCACCCCACGAGGCAGCCACTCTATGGGGGCAGCTGCTTCGAGTTGCTGAGGAGATGCTGGGCATTACGGAGTTGCCGCACTCGGCAGAAGATGGGGAAAGCACTGGCGACGGCTCGAAGGGAGACAGCCGAAGGAAGAAAAGTACAGACAATCTCATAGAAAGCGCCCAAAAGATGATTGCCCTAGTGTCACAGAAGGGGTCTCGGCTCCTGCAGCGTGAATCCTACATGGCACTTTTGAAGCTTGCATGGGCTGCAAACAATGCGCTTCTGCACCTCCTGCGGAAGCGAGGCGATTTACTGCCCGCGGTGCGACCATCGGAGAAACAACAAAAGAAACACGTAACATCCGGGGAGCTCCTTGCTCGCTGTAGGGATTTACAAGGCTCCTTGTCAGCTCTCCTAGAAGATCCAGCCTTCGGAGACTGCAGTGCCTCTGATCCGCGCAACTTCGACTCCCTAGTGGAGGCCTGTGGCTTGCGTGACTTCTTAATGCCAGTCGGAGGAGCTCAGTCCGCTGCATGCACCCAAGCCTCTCCTGCTGCTGCTAAGGGGGCCCCCCGGCGGCGCCCACGGTGCCAGCTGCACTTTGCGTTCACAGAGGGGCCCCTTGTGGAGGCTGTGCGGACCGGCAAGTGGCTGCTTCTCGATGAGATCAATCTGGCGCCTCCAGACATCTTGCAGCGGCTTTTAGGACTGCTCGATGATCCGGATCAACCCCTCTTGGTGCTGGAAGGAGGCAAACCACGCCAGGTGTACAGACACCCCGATTTCCGTGTATTCGCGTGCATGAACCCCCCAACCTTGCCCCCGCCTCTGCGATTGTCGGAACGCAAGCTGTCTTTCGAGGAGGATGAACAACTTCTACCCACGGCCACCGTTGGTCATGACGAAAACGGCAAACGGAAGCAGCAGCAGTCTGCAGGTAGGCAGTCGGCGCAGGACGGTGCCGGCGCAGTAGGAAAACGTGAACTGCCTCCTGAGGTGCGTCAGCGGTTCACCGAGTTGTATGTTGACGAAACAGACGGGTTGGAGGACATAACCGTGATTGCGGATGCCCATCTGCGTTCTTTGAGTGCGGATCCGCCTTCCCGGCTTGTGGCTGAGGTGTACCTCCACCTTCGCTGTCTTGCGGAGGCCGGCCAGCTCCTAGGCGGCAACAACAAGACCCCCTGTTACTCCCTAAGGACTCTCTCGCGAGCTCTCATGCATGCGGAGGCGGTAGCGCAGCGTCGAGTTCGGCCGCTGCAGCTGCGCCTAGCGCTGAGAGAGGGTTTCTCCGCCCTCTTTGGTTCTTCTTTAAATCCCACCAGTGCGGCTACTGTGGAGGCTGTACTAGCAAAGGCGTTCCGTGTGCCTGGGCAGCTAGGAGCTGCGGCGTCAGGAGCTGACCGCAGTGCTGGCGCTTCAGGGATGCCTGTCAAAGGCAAGGGGGCTGTAGTGGCCTCTTCGGAGGTTCAGTTGCAGCTGTTGCCTCCGATATCGGGAGAGCAGCCGTACGTGTCACTGGAGGGATTCCTCATTCGCAGAGGTGCGATGCCCCATAGGGGATTCAAGGGATCTTCCTGTAGCTGCTTGAGAAGCGTAGCCGAAGCACGAAACTGACTGCTTTCTGCACAGCTATGCAGAGAAGCGGAGAGCGGTCGCCTTTGGGGTTGTTTTGAATTCGGGGTGCTCCGAAATGACGAGGTTACGATTGCGTGCAGGGCCTGAATCCATCGACGTGTCCGCTCTGAAGCGAAGCTTCGTGGCAACGCCTAGGGCTGCGGTGTATCTACGGCGGGTGGTGCGGCTGCTGAGCGGCAGCAGGTGTGCGTTGTTGCTTGAAGGCCCAACGTCTTGCGGGAAGACTTCCCTGGTGTCTTTCCTTGCGGCTGCTACGGGGCACAAGTGTGTGCGCATCAACAACCACGAGCACACGGATATCCAGGAGTATGTCGGTTCCTACGCGCCGAATGCGAGTGGGCAGCTGGTCTTCACTGAGGGGCCCCTCGCGCTCGCCGTCCGTCACGGCTGGTGGGTGTTGATCGACGAGCTTAATCTTGCGCCTTCCGAAGTTCTTGAGGGTGAGTTCGCGGCACGGAGGCGCAGAAGCAGCGTCTAATTCTTCGCCGATGTTTCGCTTTGCCCCCCCGCTGCGCATCGGACAGGATCGCGTGTGTACCTCGCCGTAGGGGGAGTTGGCGGCTGTTGGCAGGGGATCATGAAGACCGCGTTTCTTCTAGTGTGGGGGGAATGGAGGAAGCGGAGCGGGAGGGTAGCCATGCGTTTTACCCGGCTTTTTTGGTGGTGCTCTTGCTGCGTCCGTCTGCCTTTTTATGACGATGCAGCTCTGAACCGGCTACTGGACAGCAACAGAGAACTGCTGCTGCCTCCAACCGGCTCCGTTATCAAGGCACACCCCGACTTTCAGCTCTTTGGCACGCAAAATCCTGCGGGTCTTGGAGTGTATGGGGGCAGAAAGGCTCTCAGCAAGGCTTTGGCCAACAGATTTCTACAGTTGCAACTCGAAGAGCTTGACATTCAGGATTTACGGCTGATCCTCATGAGCCGCTGCAAGCTGCCGGCATCCCGCGCGGAGCCAATGTTGAATGTGTACAAGGATCTGCAACGGCGACGGTCTAACAGCTCGGTAAGCTTTGCCGTGTCTCCGCTTTCCGGTGTCTGTACACCGCACGGGCGAACCTGTTGCCTGCCTTCGACGAGCGGGAGGTGGAAATCCGGGCTGCGACGCGGCTTAGCAGCAGCCTGGCACCTGGGGGAAGAAGGCGCATTGCACTGCACACCCAGATAGGGCTGCACTCCAAGTATTCCAATGGTTCGGTGTTACCGTTCAGGGGGAATCTGCGTGGGGGCAGACATTTGTGTTTATATGGCGATTTTGAGAGTCGCAAGGTTCTTTTGGAGGGGGAGGGCGTGAAGAGAGGCTTGTGAACCTCATGACCAAATTCGATTGCGCTTCTCGGAAAGAGCTTGCGGAGTGTGCCGTCTGTACAGCTGTTCGCTGCCATCCCCGCCTCTGTCTACTGTATGCGCATGCATGCAGGTATTCTTTGGATCGCACGGCTTTATGACCATCCGAGATCTCATCCGATGGGGAAGACGCGTGGGGAACTCCCCCTTTCAGCACTTCCTCCAGCAGCAGCAGCAGCAGCAGCAGGTTCGGGAGTTCTCGCCTACGTCATTAGAGGAAGTTGCATTAGAGGGATGGATGCTTGTCGCGGAGAGGCTTCGTAATGAGGAGGAAAGGGCTATTGTGAGGGAGTCTCTGGAGAAACACTGTCTTAAATCTACAGCTGCCAAGCCAAAGAAGCTCGCAGTTGACTACGCAGCTGATCCCTACGTAGCAGCGTTTCGCCGGCTATTGGAGGCCAAATTGGAACGGTGTATGCAGCTGCAGCAGGCCGCTGCTGCAGCTGCTGCAGCTGCTGCAGCGGCAGCTGCTCAGGCAGCAAGCCTGCAGAATGGCCCCTTCGAGATGCGAAAAGAAGCGGAGACACGCGCGCTTACAGCCGCTGCGGCAGCGAAGGCAGCAGCAGCTGCTGCTCCTGAGCTACCAGCATTTCTGCCCTTCTCCTTTAACTCTGCGTCTCTCCGGCTTTTGTCGCTCACACTGCGCGCCTTGGCAGCCTCCGAGAATCTCCTGCTGGTGGGGGATACTGGTGCCGGTAAAACGGCTGTATGCGAGCTGATTGCGTGGACGCTGCAGCCGCAGCAGGAGCAGTCGCCTCCAGAAAAGCCTGGCATGGAGCTCGAGCAGTTGCTGTTGCAGCGTCTTTCTCCTTGTGGGATGTATGCATACAACTGCCACCTCCAGATGGAGGCGTCGGAGCTGCTTGGGTGCATGCATCCTGTGCATCAAGGAGAGCTGCAGCAGCAGCAGCAGCACGCTGCCGCTCTGCAAGGGTGCCTGTTGCAATTTCTGGAAAATACGCCTTCTCCGGACGCCTTGCTAGCGGACTGGAGGCAGCAGCTGTCTGCGGGAGCCGGCGGAAAGAAAATTGATGCGCAAAGACTCGAGAAGCGCAGCAATGACACGTGCGAGCTGCTGCTGCAGCACCACACGCGTCTGCAATCAGCTGCAGAAGACGTTCTCATTTGCCTCAGAGCTTCGCGAATTCGCAGTCCAGCCCAACATCCGCAGCTGCTTGAAGAAGAGGACCGAACACTGTTTTCAAAAGCACTGCGCAAAGCTGCTAAATTAACTATTCAAGAGTTTCAAAAAGACGCCGACGTCGCCAGGGAGGAGAGTGCGCAGCAGGAGGCGCAGGTTGTAAGCCAACTTGCGACTGCGAAGGAGCGACTGCAGGAGTTGCAGGCAAAACTAGAGCATGCCCGCACTTTGGAAAAGCAATTGGAGATGCGTTCGCCAGAAGGCATCCATCACAGGAGCGCAGGGGAGTCGGCTCGCCAAGAGCAGGTTGAGACTTCGCCTTCAGTCCGCAAGCGACAGCGCAAGGGGGGCAGAAAGAGAACGCCAAAAGACGTTGCGGACTCTACCCCAGCTGGAGAAACAGATAAGGCAGCCCATAAGCGCCACTGCAAAACGATGGAGGCTTCTACAATGAGTGCTGCCCCCCCCCCTGCAGCAGCACTCAACATAGAGGGCCATGTGAGTGCTGTAGGTGCTGAGGCAACAGCTGTCGCGCAGGCTGAGGAAAGGCAGACCACGCTAGAGTCAGTAGTAGCAGCAGCAGAAGCTGCTGTAGCCAATGCAGAAGAAGAGGTGCAGCGTCTCGAGGCGGCTTGTGCTGCTGCTGCTTCTGCGCGCGAAGACGTCGTTGCAACGAGGGAAACTGCAGCAGCTCTGACACAGGCGTTTTCCCAGCAACTGCGGGATCTTTGTGCGGCGTGGCTTTCTGCTAGCAACTGCACACGCCGTCTTTTCTGCTGGAAAGACGGTCCTCTTGTTCGCGCCATGCGGGAGGGAGCACTTTTTCTGTTGGACGAGGCTTCGCTGAGTCAGGATGCCGTGTTGGAGCGGCTCAATTCGGTTCTCGAGGATGGACGTCACCTTCTTTTGACGGAGCAGGGTGCTTGCACTCCAGATGTCGGCGTTCTGCCGTCTGCTGGGAAGGCCGCTGCCTCCGCAGCAGTTGCTGCGGGGGGGAAGACACCAGCGGCAGCAGCAGAGGCGGGTGCAGTAGACGTCGTGGCTGCAGAGAGTTTCCGTTTTATTGCGACAATGAATCCTGGGGGAGACTTCGGCAAGCGCGAGCTTTCCCCTGCTTTGCGCAATCGTCTCACGGAGATCTATGTGCCTGCCTTCAGCTTTGATGCTCCAGACGCCGCTTTGCTGCTGCTGCAGCGCTTGCAGCACACCTGTCTGCGAGGACTGTCTCTGCCGCACGCTGCGGCAGCGGCAGGAGGGATGGAAGCGTCAGACACGGAGCAGCAGATGCAGCTGCGACAGGAGTTCAGCTTCCTTCTGAAGCACCATCAGGAGCAAGGGCTCGTTCCAGATCTTCCCTTAGTCCTCTTAGCGCAGCGGCTCGTACTGTCGCTGCGGTGGGCAAGGAAGCATATCAAACAGCCCCTGTCTATTCGTGATGCGTTTTGCTGGATTTCCTTCATTGAGCGGTTCGTTGCTGCTGCTGTTGCGCAGCAGCAGCAACAGCAAAGCGCTCTGCCGTCATGCGCTGCGGAGGCATCATCATCATCATCATCATCATCATCATCATCATCATTATCATCATTATCATTATCATCAACATCGTCATCATTATCATCATTATCATCAACATCGTCATCATTTTCATCATCATCATCATCATTATCAGCAGCAGCAGCAGCAAGATTTGCTGTGTCGGGTTTCCTGCATGGTGGTTGCTTGTTGTTGTTGGATGGCCTTGGCGTGAGTGCAGATTTGCGGCTCTCCGAGCAGCAACTTGAGGCACTTGCCGAGGATTATTTGAAGGCGGAGGCAGTCTTGTGCAGAGCAACAAAGGGGCATGCAGTTAAAATGGGGCAGCATTATCTCTCTGCTGTGCGTCAGCAGGTTCAGGAGCAGCTGGAAGAGACGCGGAAAAATCCAGAAAGAAGGCCGCACATGGCCGTCCTGCTGCTCCTGAAAACGCAGGCATGCCACTTGTACAGGGATTTGGGCATGCATCATTGCGTTACGACGCATCAGGAGCAGCATGAGGGGCAGGAGGAGCGAGAAATCGAAGATAAGAGTCCTTCTTGGCGAGAGACATGTGCAGCCTTCGGAGAGGACGGTTTTGCATGGGTAGCTGACGCCTTCACTGCTCGCCAGAAGCGACGGCGAGGCGACAGCGACAGCGACTGCGAGGGAGAGGAAGTCTTGGATATGCGCTTAGGGCCCTTTAGTCTTGCTGCATTCAAGAGAGGTCCTGCAGAAATGGCGTGCTGCAGCTACCTTCACCAGGGGGTACATCCCGAGCAGCACCTGCCTCAGGTGATGGACTCCCCGTCCGTCCAGAGGTCGCTGGGTCGGTTGCTGCGATGTCTGCTGCTGATTCAGCAGCCGCAGCAAGCAGCAGCAGCGACGGGGGCGAGTAGCAGCTCGGGAAGGCATGCAGTCTTGCTGGAGGGGCCTCCCGGAGCAGGCAAGACGTTCACTGTGAGTCTGCTGGCGCGTCTCTGTGGTCGGCGGCTTGTGCGCATCAACTTGAGCGAAGATACCGAACTCGCAGATCTTCTTGGGAGCTTTGTTCCTGCGTCAGATGGCGATACACTTGAGGAGTTGCCTCCTGAGGAGGCAGCGGCAGCGGCCGAGCAGACGAGGAAAAATGGGGAGGCGACATTGCTTTCCAAGCAGAAAAAACCACCATTCGTGTAAGCAGCTTTGGCAGTTCGGATACTGCCTTACCGTTCGATAGAGGTATATTCCTCATGGGGGATAGAAGTGCGGAGCCCATACAAAGTCTGGGCGACTAGCTGTAGGAGTTGCATACATATGTATATATATATATATATATGTATATATAATGCCATGCCATCAGGGGTGGTAGAGAGGCCATACTGAGGGTGTGTGCCTCTGCGGCATGTGACGTCTTTGATTGGCATGTCACCCTATGTATGTATCTGTACATGTATATGTATATGTATGTAAATGTGTATATGATGTATATGTGTATGTATATATGAATGTGTGTACATGTAAATGTGTATGTGTATGTATATGTGTATGCATAGATGTGTGTATATATCTGTATATGTGTATATATGTATATGTGTATATATGTGTATGTGTATGTATATGTATATGTATATGCGTCTGTGCATATGTATATGTGTACGTGTATGCATATATGTATGTATATGTGTGCATGCATGGATCTCTGTGTGATATATTTGCGTGTATTAGGTGGACTGACGGAGTGTTGACACGGCATCTCCGAGTCGGCGACTGGATTTTGTTGGATGAGTTGAATCTTGCCCCTCAGCAAACATTGGAAGGCCTCAATCCTCTGCTGGATCATCGCCGCTGCGTGTATCTCCCTACTCCCGACGATCCCGATTCTTGTGGCAGCGGGGATGGCAATCGAGGGGAGCCTTCCAGCAAAGGCGCTGCCGTATACGCGCCTCCTGGATTCGTGCTGTTTGCCACGCAGAATCCGCATGCGTCAGTGGCGTCCACAGCAGGTTCTGCGTATCCACCGTCTCCAAGCGGGGGGGGGGAGAAGACAGACGGCAAGGGAAGCCACGAGGCTCAGGAGCTGCTGAACCTCTTAGGCCTCCCTGAGCACTGCGACTTGCGGCGTAACAACGTCGCGGGGAATGCAGCAAGGCGGGGTGCAGCAAGTTCGTGCAGCAAAGCTGTAGGGGGGAGGAAGGGCCTCCCGCAGTCGCTGCTCAATCGGTTCTGCAGAATCCGCGTGGATGCGATGCAGGAGTCAGACATGATTGCGATTGCCAGCAAGCTCCTGGCTAGTGTGCAGCGGGAGGAGCAGCAGGAGAAGCGGCGTCGCGCTGAAGAGGCACAGAGGGCGGGGGTCTTATCTGTGGGATTCCAAAGGCAGCGGATGCTGCAGGATCAGGGGGAACAAAGACAGAAAAGGCTGCTGCTGAGTGCCTGTGTCGTTCGGTGTATTCGCTTGATTGGATCTTTGGCCTCAGAGCAGCCGTTCAAAGGGCTTGGAGACACCGTCTATAATCTGAGAGATGCTATGCGCGTCATTAAACTGGTTGCCTACAAGGTAGGAGGCAGGGTGCCTGCTGTTGCGTAGTTTAGGCTGTTGCTCTGAGCGTCAGCGCATTTAGATATAGATTAGCGGAAAGCAACAACTTGAGCAGAAAGTGTGCAGCAGCAGTGCAACGGGCTATGATACGTAGGCATATGTGTGTATATAGGCCAAGACACAAGTAAAAGTCGAGAAAAAGACGTACATAAGAGTCTTCCCAAAGGCTGCGAAAACTTGTCTACGAAAAATAGTGCACTTCTCAGCGTTGTCTGTGTGTGTACCACCCCTTTGTGTCTATGTGTATGTGTATGTATGTGTATGTATATATGTGTATGTATGTGTATGTGTATGTATGTATATGTGTATATGTGTATGTATATATGTGCATGAAATATATGTGTATGTGTGTGTATGTGTATGTGTATGTATGTGTATGTATATATGTGTATGTATGCATATGTGTATGTATGTGCATGTATATGTGTGTGTATGTGCATACATGTGCCTGTATGTGTGTCTGTGTGCTTGCGCTTCGTGCAGTTGCCGTCGGCAGATCCACGTGCAGCTCTCTCGCTAGCGGTCCTCTCTAGACTGAGGTGTCACAGCGACGTAGAGGCGGCTGCCTCTGTGATCGCTGCTTGCTTCCCTTGCAGAGTTATTAAGCTGCTTAGGGGTGGTGGTTCGCAGACGGAGCAGCTGGACGGTGTGCTGCACCAGCGAGGCACGGCATGCAAGATGCCCATAGAGAAGCAGCAGGAGCAGGAGCAGCAGCAGCAGGAGCAGCAACGGCAGCAGCAGCAGATAGAAGTGGCGCTGGACGTTTCTGCTGCTCTTTTCTGCCCCGGAGTGGCCCCTGCAGCGGTGTATTCTGCAGTAGAGTGGCAGCAGGTTGTCGCATTGCAGGATTTCTTCGGCATTGCAGGAGGTGCTATGCCTCTGGACGTGCTTGTGAAGGACGGCAGACTATCTTTGGGGGGCATGGTGATGTCGCTGGAAGCGGCGACTTCAGAGGGAGAAGCAGACGTGACTGATCGAGGCACTCAGGCTCACGGGGGAAAGCAGGAGCAGCACGTGCAGCAGCAAGTGCAGCATCCAGACGTTTGGTCATGTGGTCTGTTGCTGCATTCACAGAGACGCTTTGTTGCTGCTGTCGCAGCAGCCCTCATTGCCCGCTTCCCAGTGCTGCTGACGGGGGAGAGAGGCGGAGGTAAGGCTACGCAATTGTGTATTTGGGAGAGGGGGAGGTGGATGGGGAGGGGAGGTGGATGGGGAGGGGAGGTGGATGGGGAGGGGAGGTGGATGGGGAGGGAGGGGTTTGCTGCTAAGCTGGGAAGCGCATTGACCGCTTTGTTTGGCCTTTGGTGTGTTGCGTGGAGTGCTTTCGGATGAGTGTAAGCGTCATTTTCTGCTTTACGAGCGTGCATGCGAATATTGCCACCTGGGTTGTAGAGGCTCCATGAAGTGAGGCTGTGCGTGTGTCATGATGCGGCTGCAGGAAAGACGAGTATCGTCCGATGGCTAGCTGCAGCGTGGGGGTCTGAGGTATGCGAGGTGCAGCTTGCGCCCTCCATAGACACCTCTGACCTTCTAGGATTCTATCGGCAGATCCACCCGCGGCAGCGGCTTCTCAAGGCAGCGCAGCTTGCTGCAGAGGCGGCTCAGTCGCTCTCTAGCGCCCTCCGGGTGGAAATGCACAGCCAAAGAGTGGAGGAGAAGGAGGAGCAGCGGCGGCGTGTAATTGGCGGTCTTGAGAGGCTGCGCGATGCTGTCGCCATAGCGCAGGAGGAGAGGCTTGTCGACGCTTCCGAGGATCGCGCTGCAGCAGCGGAGTATAGCGAAGAAAAGGCGGCGCAGAACGAGCAGTTCGACGTGCTTCATGGGCTCGTGGAGGCTACCGCTGCGCTGCTGGACGGCTGTGAGGCTGCTCAGAGCTTCCTGCTGCTGCACAGCAGCAGCAGCAGCATGGGGGCTGAAGAACGCGCAGCTTCTTCCCAAGGGGGGGTGTCTCCAGAGCTTCGCTTCCGCCTCCGCCGTGCGAGACAGCTTCTGAAGCACGGCTGTGCACTTGGCCGACTGCAGAGGCGCAGCAGCCAAGGGGGAGGAGCTCTGCCCTCCAGTGGAAGGACTGGCACTCCAGAAGCTGCAGAGCTCGCAGCAGACGAGGAGGAGCCAGTGCAGTTCGAGTGGATAGACAGCGCCTTGGTGGCAGCAGTTCGGGAGGGGCGGTGGCTGTTGCTGAAAGACGCTCATCTCTGCAGTCCTTCCGTCCTGGATCGTTTGAATGCGCTTCTGGAGGACGGAGGTTCTCTGCTGCTTACGGAAGGGGGGAGTGCACGCACTGTCAAGACACACCGAGGCTTTCGCGTGATTTTTACCGCCGACGCTGACAAGGTTCACTTGCTCTCCGCTGCTTTGCGAAACCGATGCTGCGAGGTGCATGTGCATGCTCCTGGCTACGGAGGTGGCTTGGCAGGGGTAGCAGCAGCCCAGGGGATTTCCGCGTGGGCGACTCTGCCAGCTGTCATTACAGCGAACGCGAGCGGCACTGACGCAGACTCGCGGGGGGGCAGGTGTCGTAGCAACGCTGTCTCAGAAGCCAGAGAGCAGGCGTGCCAGAGGCGGCAGCCTCTGCTGCTGCAAGATCTGACCACAAGACTGCTGCTGAACTTCGCCTCTCGGCTCAGTTTTGCCGGGGTGCATGGTGGGGGAGACGCGGTTCGCTCGAACGCCACTCTGGATGCTCTGTTAGAGCGCTGGGGAGCTTCACTCTTTAGGGGGGCGGTTGAGAAGCCGCCCTCACTGGATGCGGAGGGGACGTTGGAGACAGCGGGCGCCACGCTGCAAGTTTTGGGAGGCTTCGTGGCGTTTCAGCTGCGGCACGTTCGTGAGAAAATCAGCGGATCTGCTCGAACCGCTGCCAGGCTGTGCCCTCTCTTGCTGCAGGACGGATGTCGCTTGCTGCTCGCTGGAGCTGCTACTGGTGGACGCAGTCTTCCCGTCGAGGTAGCAGAGCTTATGGCACTGCAGCATGCAGCTATACAGGTTGTGTTGCAGCTGCTTTCTGACGAGGAGGCGCTCAGTGCATTCGCGATTTTGTTGGAGACCCCTTCCGTGTCGCAGTCGTCCTACGCGGTGAGAGGAGACTCGGAACGCTCCCCTCAGCGCTCGCCAGGAGTGGTCTCGAGACATCCGGAAGCCTCAGAAGAAACACCAGCAGGAGTTGTTGTGAAGGACCTTAAGCAGAGGCTTGATGGTACTGCCACAGCCATGCTTGGGCTTGCTGGCTTGCAGAGTCTCGCGCGAAAAGTCGCAGGCAAGGCACACCTCAGGAGTGCGGCAGCGGCAGCTGCCAGCTGGCGCTGTCTACAAGGGTGGGGGAGTGCCTACGCTGCTGCTGCTGCACAGGACGCAAAAACGCTGAAGAAGAGATCTGCAGCAGAGTCAGTAGTAGCAAAGTCAGCAGCAGCTGCTGCTGCTCCCAAGACACTACCAGCAGGAGCAGAGCACCTTGAGCCAAGCGTCTGTTTAGAGAGGCTTTTTCAGTGCTTTCTGTGGCAGTACACTACGGCGCTCGACGGAACCCCCCTGTGGCGTTGGGTGCTGCTGCATCTGCTAGCTGCCTGTTGCTGCTCTCTGACCAACCTTGTTGCAGAGGACTGCGGCGCTAAGACAGCCTGTACCAGCAGCAACGGCAGGAAGAGTCTCCCGGCGGATTCTTTCTTGGAGAGCAGCAGCGACTGGAGCATCCTTCGGGGAGCTGTGAGACGGCACGCCATGCAGCGATTCCGGCGTTGCTGCGGAGTGCAGTTGCTCTGCGGCGCTGTCAGTTGTGAGGTTTCTTTCTTGAGCAGCAGCTTCCTGGCCTCCCTACGCATGCTCGATGGAAGCTTGCCGCTGATGACGGCAGCTACCCGCTTCTTCCTGTGGAGTGCAGCCAGCAAACGCGAGCTGAGGGAGCGCCTTCAGTCTCTTCTGTACCTCCGGGAAGAGGCGGCGCTTCATTCGCAGGGGCATGCGCAGTATCTTGCTGCCGTATGCAGCGCCGTACGTGACGTCTCGGAAGAGTTTTTCTTGCTGCCTCCAGCAGCAGCAAGAGCCGTAGCAGCGTTTGATGTGCATGCCACGCCGACGCATGGCCAGTCTCTTCTGTATGCTGCTGCACGACTTTCTCGAGTCGCCTGTGCGAACCTCCCGAACAGGCCGTTGGCGCAGCTGCTTCAGCAGCTCGTGAGCCTTCTGCGTCACGCATGCATGGCTGTGTTGCTGCCGCAGCGGTTGCTCATGCTGAGTGAGTCTGGGGAAAGCAGTCTGCGGCCATTATTCCGCAATACGCAGTGCTCAACTTGCGTGGCAGAGGGGGGAAGCTCGCTCTCCTGTCTGCTGACAGCCGTTTGTGCTGCGGAAGCTCAGGAGCAGCGACTCTTCCCACCACAGCCAACTGGGGGGATGGCTGTGCAGGCTTTGCAGAGCATCTTTGATGGCTTGCAGCAGCTAGCCACGCAGGAGGTTACGGCCATCTCTGACAGGCTGCACGTGGTGCTCTCCTCGGAAGCAGCTCCTGCAGACGTGGAGATGGCGGCTGGGCACGCGGAGAAGTGCAAGCAACTTGCGCGGAGCTTCAAGTGTTGGATGGCCTCTGTGGAGCTGTGGTGCAAGCCGCTGTGCCTGCACTGCAGCGGCGGGACGGAAGAGGAGGAAATGCAGGAGCGCAGCAGCACGCGCAAAGGCAGCCATCTCCGCAAGCGGCAGCGCGAGGCGTCTCGCAGCGAGTTGCAGCGAATGCTGCGGGGGGTGGGGCAGCCTTTGGCTTTGTGGACAGAGGCCTTAAAAAGAAGTCTTCAGGCATTTCTTGTAGCCAATCAAAAGACGGCTGCGGCTATCAAAGAGCAGCAGCAGGGATTGGAAGACGTTGCTCTGGCGGCTCAAACGGGAGCAACTGCAGAGTTCGTTTCCGCTGAGCTGCTCGCTCCTCTGCACTTCCTGAATTCGACGCTCCTGGATGCTGCAGTCGAGCGAAATTCGCTGCCCTTCATCGCGGCGGAGCGGCAGCAAGAGCGGTGGGGGGAACGGCGGCAAGACATGGCTGCTGCGGGGTGCAGCGGTCGGAGTTTTCTTCTGCCTGTTGCCTTTGGACGGCGCATGCAGTCGATTCAGTGCTGGCTGCTGCGTGAGCTGTTGCAGGCCAGGGGTGTCTGCGTGCCAAGAGGCTTCTACACGGGAGCAGCAGCAGCAGCGAAGACGCCATTTTCAGGCAGCTTAGTTCAGGGGGAGAGTGAAGGAACAGCCGTGAAAGGCTCCCAAGCGCAGAAAAAATCTCTCCTGTGTCGACGTTTCGCATGTTCGGCGCCGTCTCTAGGACGTGCCTTCGACCTTTTATTGCTTGCGGAGACTCCCTCTCGACTCGATGTGACGGCCACGTTTCTTGAGGAGAAACAGCAGTGGCAGGATGCTCGGCGCAAGAGCCAGCTGCCGCACCCCCAAGCCCTACTGCCGCATGCATCCTCCCTGCATGCGTTGCTGCTGAGCAGCAGTCTTCTGCGCGGTTCAGGACGAGAAGAAGCCGCCACGAAGTTGGAGATCCGCATCTTGGAGACGGTGCTTGCACACAGCCTCCAGGGAAGGTCTGACGCTGCTGTTTTTCCCGCTTCTCAGCGCAGTAGGCGAAAGACAGCCGCAGCTATACGAGCGGCAGTTGCGGCAGAAGGCCTCTCGCAGAGTCGACATCAACACTGGATCACTCTGAGCAGCACTGCAGTCATGTCTGTAAGCCTTGTGCAAGCGCAGCTTGCAGTCCGTGCCGCCATTGATCTGGGCACAGTCCACGCCGCTGAACTCTTGATGCAGCATTTCAAGATGCAGCTGCATGCACTCAGCAGCAGCAGGGTAGGCTCTGCTGCAGCTGCTGCGGCTTCCTCCGTGGCGAGTAGCGCCATGCAGGCCTCTTGTGGAGAGCTTCGGTCGCTTTCAGAAAGCGCTGTTGAAGCGCAGTTGCTCTACCAGCAGCAGGAGCTGTTGCCGCTTTTCCTTTCCCCGGCAGTCGCTTACTACTCCTCGCCTCTTTCTCTAGAGGACGAGGATTTTGGCGAAAGCGCATCCTGCTGCGCCAGGGGTGGCTGTTCGAGGGAGATTCCTGTGCCTCCAGCTCTGCTGGAGGCGGCAGCAGTCTTGATGACAAGCACTTGGCAGCAGCAGCAGCAGCAGCAGAAGCAGCGGACGGGGAGGGCAGCCTCAGGAGAGCTGCATGCTTGCCACAGCGTTCAAGGGACGCTTGCAATTGCTGCAAGCACGGCTGTCGAGGTTCTCTGCTCCATGTGGCGAACGGAGTTGGATTTGCAATGCAATGACGCACTCGGCGTGCAGAGTATTCTGCAGCTGCAGCAGAATCTGCAGGATGGGGAGGAGGCAACTGTCGCCTCAGCAGCATCAGTAGGAGCGACTGCCTCTAGGGGGTACTCCGAGGGGGCGTTGCTCACGTCGAGAATTTTGGCGATTCTCGCGGAGATAGCGGGGGGGTTGCGGGGGGCCTCTTATAAGAGGCCCCTTTATCCCGAAAATACCTCGAAGCGTGGTGCTGCCCTTTCCTGCCCCCCCTCTTTGAAGCAGCGCAAGACACTGCGCTCGAAAAGCAGCCTCTGTGCGTATGTCTCGCGGATAGTCGCAGACGTGCAGCAGCATGCCACTGTCGCCTCCGCCTCTGCATGCTGCCTAGCGCTGCAGCGGCTTAGAAGGCAGCTGCGACGTCACGACGATGCGGATGCTCGGAGGCTGTCTGAGCTGCTGCTGCTGCCGAAGGGGGCTCACGCGGAAGCAGCGGCGACGCCTCCTCTGATCGGCAGCAATCAGAGCAAAAAAGACGCAGCGGGAGCCTCCATCCGCAGCGACGCATCTTATCGGGAGACTCCAGGACGCCCTCCAAGAAAGGAGACAGCCGAGTGGGCAGCAGTAATAGGCTTCGCAGTCGTTCTTTGGTCGTTCTGTCTGCCGTCAGTGGGAGAGGACGAGCCTACGGCGTCTGCAGCAGTGGCTCAACGGGAGGGTTCAAAGGGGACGCAGAAGACTCAAGAAGAAGCAGCTGAGGAGGGGAGGAGGCGGGGAGGCTCTTTGGCCGTCTTGCAGGCTCTAAGGGCTTGCTGGAAAAGCCTTGGAGATCTGTTGCAGGGGGGAAGCACAGGCGCAGCTCCCCCCTCCGCAGCAGGAGCTAAAGCAGAGGCAGCGGCAGCGGCAGCGCTGCTGCGCGCCGCTATGCAGTCCTCGCAGGAAGAGCTAGCTGCAGGAGCATCAGGAGGTGTTGCTGCTACTGCTCGGCGAGAGGACGAATGTGCAGAGCCAGAAGCCGCCTATGCATGCGATACATGCCACGGTGCTGCTGTGGCAGCGCTCCGTCTGCTGCTGCAGCTCGTCGAGGACTGCAGCAAGGCGGCAGATCCGCTCGCCTTGCTGCAAGGGGACGGGGGGGCATACTGGAGGGGACTGCTGCTGCTGCTACTTGGTCGGTGGGGTGTTATTGCTGCAGCAAGAGCTGTGGAAGAAGAACTGAGACAGCAGCGAACGACGGCCGCTTGGCGTGGGATCTTGGAGGCGGAAGCCGCGTCGCACGAAGCGGACGTGAGTTTCTGGAAATGCTTGCTGCATTTTTGCTCGCCCGCGTGCATATGCCATGCCTTGAAAATCGAATTCCAGATGCAGCAGCTCTTGATCGGCTTGTGGCACAAGCTCGGGTTTGTGGATTGCGTCTTGTGCCTTTGTGCGCGCAGCAAAGGACCCTCCTGTTGCGCGCAGCGGCTGTGGACGGCTGCGACGGCGTGCAGGGGATGAGGGGAGCTATTGCGCCTCCAATTTCGGCTTCGACAGTTCTTGCTGTCGAGGCGGAGAGCCACGCAGCAGTGCTGCGGCAGATTCTCCTGCAGTCGGAGGAGGCTCTTACAGGGTTGCAGGATGTCGCATGCGTCTCCTTGCCCTTGCGTGCTGCACGTATCCCCCCAGCTCTCTCTATGAGGCTAACGCGTCCGTGGATGTCTTCTTCTGAAGGGACTGCATGCGCAGCAGCAAAGAAGGGACAGAAAACTCCAGCAGAAAATCCAGAAGAGGGCAGCGTCGAAGCAGCTTCCCAGCTGCAGGTGCTACGGTGTCTGCAGCAAAAGTCTATGGTAGGGGTCTCTCCAGAGAAGGCTCTTTCTGCCTGGCTGGAGGAGATAGTGGCGTTCGTTTCCAGCACTCTAGAGGCGAAGAGGTAAGTGCGCAGCATCACAGCAGTAAGGTGAATCGGAGGCTTCTGCTTTTTTCGCGCAGTCTACGAATCAGAGAGTCTCGCTCCTCCGGTGTCGAGACACTGCGGGCCTTGCATGCATGCATGCAAGGCGGTGCTGCTGCTGCAATTTGGTTTCCTTTTGACTGTAGAATACGCCTTCGAGGAGTGCTGCTGGTTTGCTTTGTTTGTCCACAGTCTCTCTTCCCAGCTGCCTGAACTCGCGCCTCTGCTTCTGGAGGAGGACGCAGAGCAGCATGCGAGGCGCGAAGCCACTGCCGCCTCCTCACCATCCACGCTGCGCACAGCAGCGGAGGCTGCGGGAGCTTGCAGCAGTCGTCTTGAAGCCACGTATCCGCTTCTCGTTTCACCAGCCTTTTCCACAGCCACTGCAGGGCTCTTGGCTGTTGCCAAGGGTTTCCTCGAAGTCGCAAGTGCCGAGGAGGCTTGCTCTTCCAAGTCTCTGCGCCTTGCACTACCTCCTCGAGGACGCCCGCATACACCGCAAGAGCAGCAGCAGCAGCAGCAGCAGGGTTCACAAACACCTGCACCAAGCGCTATAGAGCGTCTGCTAAACGCGACGGCTGCGTTTCCATCGCTGCCCTTTGCGGCGCCTCTTCCGTACGAAACGGTAGAGGAAGGCATGAGTGCACTGCGACCTCTCGTGAGGATACAGTGGCTGCTTCTGTGGATACGCGCAGAAGCAGCAGGTCTTGCAGCAAAAGTAGCGGCTGAGGCGGAGTACAGACACCCCGCGACGGCGGATGCAGTTGTTGTCTCAGGCTTTCCCAGAAATTCCGTCTTTGCTGCTGCCCGGCTAGCTGTGGCGTCTCTGCTCGATAGGCTGTCGCAGCAGCACTTGGAATGGCGAAGACAGCAAGCGATCGCCGCTGACGAGACAGCCACGCTGCTGGAGCGCTTGGAGGGGCTTGTTGTAGACCGCGCAGGTGCAGGAAAAGCATCCCACGCCGACGCTGATGCTGCTCGAGAGCTTTTTCCGTGCAGTGAAGAGTGGAGTCTTGCAGAGCAGTCTCAGCAGCAGCAGGATCTGCTGCAGCAGGAGGACGCCGCTGATGCTGCCGACACAGACACGACGCAGTACTCCGCATGGTGTCACCAGGGTGATGCTGCCGCTTGCGAAAACGCTGCGGAGTCTCATGATAAGCAGCAGAATGCTTTGATAAACCAGATGGAGGGATTCTCGGAAGCAGATTTATTGCATATCTGGAGCTATGCAGTGGATGTCGCCTTCGCCTGGAGCAGTTGCGGCACGGGCAGCAGCAGCAGCAACCCCAGCAGCACAAAGCATAGCGACGGAGAGATAATAAGGGCAGTAGGGGCATATCGCGAGGCTCTAGCGGTGCGCATGCGATCTCCTGGTGTCTGTACTTTACTCCCCTGTTCATAGCACCCATTAACGCCAAATGAAGGTGTGGTGTATGTTTATGTATGCTTATGTCTATGTGTCCATGTGTCCATGTGTATGTGTATGTTTATGTGTATGTTTATGTGTATGTATGTTTATGTGTATGTATGTGTGTCTATGTGTGTGTGTTTATGTATGTTTATGTGTATGTATGTATGTCTATGTATGTATGTGTATGCCTGCGTTCCTTAAGGGATCCTTCTGCATTTCGCTTAAGCTCCACAACGCCATGCGAGGAAGCCTACTACCTGTCGAGGAGACAGCTGGCGAGGCGCCTGCGGAAGCTCCTGGCGAGGCAGTAGCGGTTGCACCTGCGTTGGACAGTTTATTAGTCCCCCATTTGCATGCAATTCTGATGCAAACCACGGCACGCCTCGTCGATGCTTCCCCGCTACAGCAGCAACGACAAGAGCAGCAGCTCAAGCACCTGCTCCTGCAGGAGGAGGAGGAAGAAGAGGCGGCAGCAGCCGATGCAGACAAAAGTGGGCAGCAGCAGTCGGGAGACTCGGAGACAGCCAAATTCTCGTCGGCAGATTCTGACCTGGTAGAGAAGCAGCTGCAGCAAGAACGCCTTCAACAGCAACGAGAACGTGCCCGCAAGCTGCGATTCGCTCAACTCTGCCGCAGCGTCTCCCTTCCAGGCACGAAGGGTAGCCGTCAGCCATCGTCTGCAGCAACGTCTTTCTATGCTCCTGGGAACGCCGCACTTCTGCAGCCTTTATGTGCCCCCGTTCAGGAGCTCCAGGAGGCTGCAGTGGCTTTTGCGGAGGTGGTCGAGAGTCACCCGACACTGCAAGGCTTGCTGTTGATGTCGCAGCGTGTTGCATCCCTTAGCCTTTTGGAGACGTCTCCCGCAAACGCACTCGCGGCTCTTGAGGGCTTGTTGGACAGAGCAGCCGCGTGGCAAAAGGCGATGGATCGACACCATTTGACTCGTCTAATCGAGCTTCACTGCGAACGGCTTCCTGCGTCTGCAGGAGTGGCTGGTGTGCCTGTTTGCGGGCAGCAGCGCAACGGCGAAGAGCGCGACAGGGGGGACGAGAAGGAGGCTGAAAAGCAGCCTTCTGCTGCGGCTCGTACGGAGGCATGGCGGCAGCAGACGCAGGCAGAGACGGCAGCTGCTGCTCAGCGCCTCCTTAGACGCTTCGATGCAGCCGTAACGGCCGTGGAGAGACAAGTGTTGCTGCTCCGTAGACGGCAGCTCCTGGAGTGGCGGTTCCTTCGCGAATTCAGAGAGCAGCGCATGCAGCAGCAGAGCCTCCACTTTGCTCCGTTTTTGTGGGGCTTGCTGCCAGATGATGGCGATAGCGCACAGAATCCAGAGAGAGCAGCGGCGATGGCTGCTGCAGTGGCCGCTACAGTAGGCGAAGCCTTCGCGGTCGGAGACGTTTCTCAAGGCACTGCTGGCGCAGTTTTATTGCAGCTCATTGGATGCGCACCAACGGCGATCACCGACGTCTTGTTGCAGTTCCTTAGAACTTCACCCCTTGGACAGTTTGAAGGCAGGCTGCAGTGCATGGAGGCTGCCAGTCACTGCAGACGGCTTCTGCTGCACTCGGGGGGGGGGGTTCGGGAGTGCCAGGGTGGGAAGGCAGACAAAAGCCCTTCTTCCGTCAATGCTGAAGGTGCAGCAAAGGTCTGCACGGCAATGGCGACTGTCGCACGCTTCGCCGTTGCAGCCGGATGGAGCCGTGCAGTGCAACAGCAGCTGCATGCAGCTCGGAAAGTGATGGATCGCGAAGTCAGTAATCTGGCGTCTCTGACGCGATGGAATCTTTCAAGTCGAATGGCCATGAAGGAGTGCGTGAGGCACCTGTTAGAGCTAAGCCGTAGAGCTTTGTATGAAGAAATCTTTGTAGACTACCGTGTGTTTGTTTGTGTGTGTTCGTGTGTTTGTGTGTGTGTGTGTGTGTGTGTGTGTGTGTGTGTGTGTGTGTATGCTTGGTGTAAGCGGTTTTGAACGGCGCAGTTTACTGCTTGCAGAAATACGTATACCTTAGGGCTTGCGTGGTGTGCTTCAGATCGGTGCATAAGACGCATGTGCAGCTGGCGAAACACATTCGAAACTTCGACGCATGCCTGCAGCAAACAATGCAGGCAGCCGTCGGATCCTCTGAGGGGCAGCTGCATCAGCAGCTCGTAGAGGCAGCTCTCTCCCTGTCGTTAGAGTCGCCTTTGGCGCATGCACGGCTCGCAGCAGAGGCGCAGGGAAGCCTTGAACCTTGCGAGGGGAAGTCTTCTGAAGCCAGCGAAGCTGGAGACGACGGAGCAGGAGCTTCAGCAGCACTGAAGGCTGTTGGCGAGTTTTTGAAGGGGTCTCTTGAGGTTGGGGGAATAAGCGAGGTGGATGCCACATCCCTTGCCGACTTGCATGCATTTAGCAGCGCGTCAAGAGCGAGTGCCTCTGAGGTCGCGTTGGAGGTACAAGCCTTCTGTCAAGACTTTTCTGCTACGGTAAAGGAAGCAGCAGCCGCTGCTGCTCGCAACGCAGAAGACCAGCAGCAGCGCGAGAAGGAAGAGGGAGTGGAGGCGTCTCGGAGGTCGAAAGCAAGAAAGCCAGTCACGAGGCAGCAGATGCAAAGGCGCTTCAAGGATCTGCGATCCGTGCTCCGCAACGAGCTCAAGTTGCCATGTCTTTCCATGTGCGGCAGTTCCCCTGGACTGTTCGCTGCGGCTCTGAACGATGCAAGCGGCTTGCCAGGTTTCTCAGAGGTTGGTGTACATCCGCTGCAGCACGTGGCGACTCTGCAGCTGCATGACACGGCGAGGAGAGCGACGGCTTCGCGCGTGCGTCGGAAGAAAGCGGGGAAGGTGAACGGAAGCGAGGTTTCGAGCAATCCGATCGCAGAGGTATTGGGAAGCGTCTGGATATCGGCGGCGCAGCAGTGGTATCTTTTACTGCAATCCCTGTTGCAGTGTCAGCAGTTTCCTTGCCCACACAAGGACGTTGCAGCAGACAGAGAGACTCTCCTTGGATACGCCGCTGCGCTTGTTTTGCACATTTTGCAGCAGCGCAACCGTTGCTGGCAGGCTGCGGCGGCTTTCCAGGATCTTGTGGATGCAGCAAGGGTGTCTTTGGTGTCTCCCTCGGCAGCAGTCCATGTCAGTGCCGCTTCAGATTTGGTGGCTGCTGCAGAAGCGCTTCACGAGGTTCTTCTACAGGCTCGTGCGTTGCTGCCGTCTCCTCATGAAGCGGCCGTGCAAAATGAGGCGCTTGCAGCAGCTGTGGCTCCCTGCGCGAAGGCTGAGACTCTGGAATTCGGCACAGGGAGCAGCGTAGAGACGCTGGCAGATGCAGGGACTGCTTCTCTACCCTCCTGCTCCTCCACGAGCGCAGGCACACCCGACGAGACTGCGCTGCTGCAGCAAAATATCCGCCAGATTCGATCGGCGCATAGCACCCTTAGCAGTGCACTTCGGGCTCTGGCAAAACTTGAGCAGCTATTACATGCAACTTCAGAGGCGAGGCGTCTCTGTGCAGCGCGAACGCGCGGTGCAGAACAAGGCAGTGCCACCACGCCAACTGTCCGTGTGCGTCTGCAGTGGCTTGATGAGGCAGCGACTGCATGCTCGGAGACGGTTGCGCTTCTCTGCCTCGAGGGGGGGGGGGGAAGTATAGGGAGAGAGGAGAGGGAGGGGCTGTTTGGTCTGCTGCCGTCGTGTGCGGCTGCGGGGATTCGCAGCGCGTGTGCTGCACTGCGAGCGTCTTGCGACGTTCTGCTGGCTGCAGCGGCAGATGCTGCAAAAGCAACGGCGATGAGCTGTCATCAGATCGAATCGGCAGCAGTGGACAGGCTGCGTCGAAGCGCGCTCGCTGCATTGGCAGTGGAAAGCGATAGCGGCATGCAGAGGCATTCGCGAATCGACGACTTGCTGCAGCTCTCCCCAACGCTGGAGGAGGAGGACAAGGCGCAACAGCAGCCAGGGTACGCTGCTCTGCCCGTGCCTGATTTGGAATCTCTGTTTTCTTTCAAGACTTGCATTGCTGCGCTGAACGACTTCGTCGAGGCTGCGCCGTCGTGCATGCAGTTCCCGCTTCTGCTGCAGGAGAGCGATGCTTCAGAGATTCGCAAGAGCGAAGCTGCGATGGCAGTTCTTCGGATGTTGCAGCGCTCAGCGGGTGTTGTCTTGGCAGTGTTTGACGGACTAGAGGGGACCGTGCGGCTTGGTCTGAGTCTCCTGCAGCTGATTGAGGTGTTGCTGCAATTCGGGTGGGGTTGCCTGAGCAACGAAGAAGAGGAAAACGCAGCGATGGATGCAGGAAGATCCGAGAAGCAAAAGGAGGAGTGGGTGGCAGGGACTGGCTTGGGGGAGGGCGAGGGTGCGCGTGACGCCTCTGAGCAGATCGAGGAAGAATGGCAATTCGATGGTCTAAAGGACGAGAAGAGCGACCCCCAGCAGAAGCTCCCAGAGAAGCCGAAGTCTCAGGAGGAGGTAAGGCTTGCTTGCAGGGGTAGCGGGGAGAGCGAAAATTTCCAAGTTGTCAGTTATGCGAATGGGGGAATGCCGGAATCGCGGCTCGGGGATCAAGGCAGTGCTTCAGGAGGAAAGCGGCATGCCTCTGTCTTTCCGTGTGCTTTCCTTTCGTAGGACAAGGCTATGGAGGTGAGCATGCACTTTGAGGGAGATGCGGAGGCTCCCCCCCCGCCGCCTGCGCAGCAAGAGGATCAGCAACGGCAGAGCGGGGAAGAGGCTCAACAGCTGGAAGACGTGGCGGGGAATGTGGATTTGAAGGAAGGAGGCCAGATCGAGAGCAAGCGCTGGGCAGGAGAGGATGGAGATCGCGACGAAGACGACACCTCCACAGGAAAAGAGGCCACGAAGAAGCAAGAGGAGGATATACAGACGGAGGGAGGCTTAAGGGACGGCAACATTGAACTAGAGGGCACTAAGGACGAAGCTGCAGGAGAGCCAGCGGGTGGGAGCAAGGATTCGCAGCGTCTGGAGGGCGATCCGCAGGCTTCTGATGGAGGCAAAGAGGAGGACGACGGTGGGAACGTCGAGGTATGTGGAGGCTGTGGTGCATTAGCCGTGTTTGTGTGTATGGGGGGGAGGGTTGCATGCACGTGATATCGCTATTTTGGGCTGTGCGAGGCTTCGTGTGTGTGTGCCGTTGTTGCAGGATCCTGCTGCAGAGGAGGAGGCGCAGCAACAGTCGCAGGAGGCATACAAAAAGAAGCTGCAAAAGGGCGAGAACGTCGTGGACGCCGATGGGGGGGAGGAAGCTGAGGAGGAGGCTCCAGACGGAGACACGTCGGCTGAAGCTCAAGAGGCAGACGATGGAGGGGGGGGGACAGATGTCACAGGGGATGCGCAGCAGCAGAAAGGCCACTTAGAGGGGGACGGTGCCGCCTCGGGGAGCTCGAGTGACGACTTCCAAGTGGAGGAAGAATTGCCTCTGGACGGGGAAGCTGGGGAGGAGGAGAGTGACGGGTTAGAAGAAGCTGCAGACGCGGAAGCGGAGGAGCAAAACGCAGCCACAGGGGCGGCAGCAGGGGAGCAGGAAGTGAAGGGGAAGGCTGGTGAGGGCGACGCGACTCCTACTGCAGAACAGGGATGCGCTGCAGCAGGAGAAGATGCTGCAGTCGACGAGGCTGAACACGCTGAGCAGCTGGAAGGCGACATGGAGGAAGACGAGCAACAAAGGCCTCCTGCAGAAGAAGCAGAAGACGCCGCTTTTCAATCGGCAGAGAGCGCTGTGGCGGAGGCTTCTGCTGAGCCTGCTCAAAAGGAGGAGTCGGAGGCACTCGAACAGGACGAAGGCGAAGCCAACGATAGTGAGGAGGCCCTTCAAGCCGCATCTATCCAAGGTGAGGCATCCGACGCTTCTTGTGTGACGCGGCGTCTCTAAAGGGCTGCTGTACGGAGGGAGGGGCCCGCTGTCTGCGTCTGCGCCTTCGCAGCGAGGATCGCGCGAGTGTGTACGACGTGCGTGCGTCCATGCAGGTGTCTGTATGCATGTGCTGTGTGTATTATGGCGTGTTGGTGGGAGGGTGCAAACACTGGCCCTTTTATGAGGTATTCCTTTGGGGGGGATATATGGGCGCACGCGCTGCCGATGAGGAGAAAAAAAGGCCTCTGCGGCGGTGCCTGGGGAGATGGATATCCTGCGGGATCCTCTCGCCTCAGCACCCCTGAGATGATACCAAGCCAGAGAGGGGAGGCAGAGAGAGAAAGGAGACTTGATACCTCTCTGCCTCGTGCATCTCTGAGGCCGCTTCTCCCCCCTTTGCCCCTTCCTTTGCGTTCTCTCGCGCTGTGTGATCGCCTTTCTGCGCCTTGCGTGCTGTCGTGTGGTGGGAATTCTTGCACATGTCTTTGCCTGGCATTCGGTCAGTTGAGGCAGGCTGTGCTTCAGCCATGCTCTACACAGTATTTTAGGTGTGAAATGCATCGAGCTCATGGCTGCCGTGGAGTGCGCTACACATACCCACAGTGATTTTGTCGGAGGGGGGGGAAAGGGGGAAGGGGGCTGCTGCCATATCTGCTCGGTAGGGATGGATGCCTGTGCTTGTTCTGATTTGGATTCTCTCTGATCTGCTACGTGATTGCGCTTTCTGATCTGTTTCTCGTTCGACCTCCTTTCCCCTTTCTTCTGCATGTGCCCATGCATATGACCTTTAGGCTTCGCAGCGCCAGTCGATGCTGACGAGGAGACTCATGAGGCCAAGAAACAGCAGCAGCAGCAGCAGCAGCGGCAGCGGCAGCAGCGCATGGCCTTTGGTATTGAAGGTGAAGGCAGGTGCGGTACTTGTTGCGTTTATCGCTTCACAGGAATTCCCACTGTGTGTGCTGCTGTCAACCCCTCCGCTAGGCCGTCAAGGCGCAGTAGAGCAGCTTGAACATCGCTTAGCCCCCTGTAGATGATCTCCACGCGTCTTTCAGCATCCGGTCGTTCTTGCATGCATGGCGCATTTAAGACCCCTCTGTGTGGACTTGGATGCTGGTCGACTGGGGAGCGGGGAAAAATCCGTCTGCGTTGCAGCCTCGTACAGCGAGACGCAATGGAAGGAGATGCTGACAAGGATGCCAACAGCGGCGAAGCCTTCGCGGAGGAAGGGGAGCAGCATGGAGCCAACACAGCTGCCGCCACAACTCGTGAAAAGGGGAGATCTTTATCCCGCAGCGCCCTTGGTAAACGTCAGGAAAGTGCCAGCTCTCCGAGCGGTGATCAAGGGCCCTCGCCGAGCCTCCTCCCTGATAATCCTCTTGGTGACGACGACGATGGCGCCGTAGAACGGTGGCTGCAGCGCGTTCGTCTGCTGCAGCCTCAAGACGCGGAGGCAGAGGAAGCAGACGCCTTGTCTTGTCATCCAGAGGCGGAGGGAGCAGCACCTCCAGATCTCACGAACGGTGAAGAGTCAGAGGACGCTCACGCCCTACAGAGCGGCCAGCTCTGTCAGCGCGATGACGCTGGTGGAAATCAAGAGGCCTTTGCGGAAGCTTCGGATGATGCTGCCCCCCTAAAGCCCAATAAAATGGCAAAACTGGCAGACGCAGAAGCAAGGTGGGAGGCTGCCCTAAGGTTGTGTGGAGCGGAGGTCTACCGCACAAACAGTTATATAATAGCCTAACGCCTAAAGGCGGGAGATTCTCCCCAAAATCTCAGAATACGCTTTTATGTGTGCGCGACATACATCCATATATGTTTGCATATATATGTATCTTATGCAGAGAGGAGCATGACAATGCGGAAGACGCACAAGGCAACGCCAACAAGGATGCTGAAAGTGTGTCGTCTGTATCTCTCTCCCTCAGTCTGTTGCGGGAGGCGGCTCGTCACGCTTGCTCGCGTGCCTTCGTGTTTCTACTGCTTCCTCCTCCGTTGCATGCTGCGGGGTCAGTGGCTTTTTGGACGTTTTTTTTGTGAACGCCACGTAAAGCATGATGGTGTGCATGCGTTTACGACGCAGCTGAAGAGGTTATTCTTTCCACGTCTACCCGCGTCGATGAGCTCAAGGCTTCTTCCGAGAAGCAGCCGCCAAAGGAGCCGCTCGCACAATCAGCGGAGCATGAGGGCCCGATGGACGCCGATTCTTCACAAGCAGTAAACCTCGATTCTCCTTCCGACGATGCATGCGAGCAGCTGTACGACGACCTTAGTGCGGAGCCGGGTGCAGAAGGAGAACCGACAGTCCAGCAGCCTACGAAGCAGCTGGCGACTGAAGCAGCTGCGAGCACTGAGGAACGAGACACTGATGAAGTCGAAGAAGAACGGATGGCTGCCATGGAGGCTGACTATCAAGAACGCGTTTCTCTGGATGACGTAGGCAAAGAGGGGCTTTCTCCAGAGCATGCGGCAGGTGAGCGGCGTTGCATGCGTTTGGCTCGTTTTCCTCGTGCAGTCTTATGGGATTTATTTTGTGAAAATCGCATATATATATATATATATATATATATGTATATGTGTATGTGCAACACGGCTGTGGGGTGTGCGTGTGTGTGTGCCTTCGCAGCTCTTTGGCATTTGCTTGAAGGGCGCACTGCAGCCTCTGCCGCGGCTCTCAGCGAATCCTTGCGTTTAGTTCTGCAACCAACTGCAAACGGTGCCTGGGAAGGCGGCTACCGAACTGGTAGGCAAGGGTGGGGGGAAGGGACTGAAATTTGAGGGCTCTGAAGGCACAGACAGTTTTTATTACGGATAATCTGCTGCTGCTGATGTGCATTTTACGCTCTCGGAGAAGAGCGGCGGTTCTACGATTCACGCAGTCTATTCCCCCATCCGTCCTAAGCGCATGCATGCCGTGCAGACAGCTGCATCTCGCCCTCCCCGTTCCTTTAGTTTTCTGGGCCTAGTGCTCGACGCCAGCCCTCGTGCGGCCTTTTGAGAGGCTCGTGCTTTCAGGAAAAAAGCTAAGTCTCCGTCGAGTACTCGCATTCGTGGCTTCTTCCCAAAGAGATGATCGGCTGTGGCTGCGCCGACGGCGACCACGCGGCTTCCAGTATCGCGTGCTTGTAGGCATCGACTGCAGTAGGTCGATGCAGCAGCTCAATGCAGCGGCGAGCGCATTGGAGGCAGTGGTTCTTCTGTCTTCCGCCTTCAATCACCTACAGGTAATTACGCTTTCATGTGTGTGGATGGTGAAGTGCAGCACAGGCACTCGTGTATCCATCCCTCTTCCTGTTGGGCTGCTCATGGCGTTACATTGGTCATCACCCCTACCACGCTCAAACGGCCTGTACTTTAGTCCGTACCGCATGGTCCTTTTGGTGAATGCAACCATCGCACTGGTGGCTGCATGTTTTTCGGTGAGGGGCGTGTGACGAGGAAGAGAACGCAAGGAGAGGGAATAGCCGCTCATGAGCCGCTTTTATTACCCAATGACTTCCATGTTTGGTAGTTTTCAATCCGAGTCCGCTGCCGCCCCTCGTGCTCTACCCACTTGCAAGTCGTCGTGCCTGCATGCATGCATGAAGCTGTTGGTGCAATAGTGTTGTATTTCTGCATTCACGTGCATGCATGCACAGAGGTGTTCGTGCAAAAGTGTTGTATTTCTGTATTCACGTGTATGCATGTACTTTTCTTCTTGCATCGTCATAGTGACCGGTACGCAGCCACACATGTGTGCGTCTATTCATGGGTGTCGGCACGTGGCGTGTGTGCATGCAGCAGTGTAGCGCCTTTGTAGAAACTGCATGCATGGGTGTTGATGGTAGTATTGGACCGTGAAGTCGGTAGATACGCTGCAACGTATCTTTACCCCTCCTGATGCATACGCTTTACACGCCTGCGGGCAAGGTCCAAGCCAAACGCGTCATTGGCAACATGAGTTTTTGTGTGTGCCTCGCGCAGATCGGCACAGTGAGCGTCTGCACGTTTGGGGGCCCCAAGCCTGAAGTCTGCATACACCCGACGTCTCAGGTCTCAGCAGGGGATGGGCAGCGCTTGCTGCAGCGCTGCAGCTTCCGAGAGGAGTCTCACAAAAGCCACGAAGTGGCCATCTCCGACTTGCTGCAGCTCGCTATCCACGAGCTTGAGCAGGACGGCAGCCTCGGCGGCAACGGCAACAACAGCAGCATGATTCTGATTCTGTCAGACGGCCGTTTCAACAAGGAACAAACGCGACCCTGGGTAAATGCAGCAATTGCCCGTGGGTGTATTCCTCTTCTTCTCATCCTGGACCCTCAGCAGCGGGAGGAACGCATGGACGGTGCCAGCGATCAAGGCGCGCATGTGGGTGAGTCTCAGCAGACGGCTGCAGCTCCGCAGAGGCCGCCCTCTCCCCATAGCAGTAGCATTTTCGATCTCAAACAAGTGCAGCAGCAGCCTGGAGGTGCTATCGAAGTCACGCCGTACCTGCAAGACTTTCCCTTTCCGTATTATGCCGTGGTTACAGAGACGCAGCAGCTCCCTACTGTCTTGGCAAATGTGATTCGGCAGTGGGTAGAAGCGACGGCCAGTGATTGGTAGGCGTCCGTTTATAGGGGTGTGCTAGAAAATCTGCGGATTATTTTGATTTTTTTCTACGTAGGGGTTCCCCCTAAAACCTGTATGCACACTTCTTGTGCGCTGCTGGTGATGGGGAGCTCATGAAATCACGCGAAACGGCTCACACCTGCATCCCGCGAGATGCAGCAGCGCGCCTTCCCCTACAGCGTATAAGGATTTTGTCGTATCAGAAAAGGGCCGCTTTGGGCTTTGCATACAACAAATACAGAATCCCAGCATCCGCATGAGGGTGACCTCTGAGGGGTTATCTAAAGAGTGTCGTGTGCATCGCTAGCACCCGACATCCTGCGTAGGTAGCGCATGTCTCCACCCCATTGATTGATACTACACTACACCCCACGACGGGGGGTATAATGCTGCCGATCCTGCCAGTCAGCATTCTAGCGAGACCCTCCCCAATACTGCCTTCGTTACAGAAGCTGCGCCGCCTGGTGCGAGCTGCCCCTAGGGAGCAGCCAACGCCGCTAGAGGGTCGCCATGATAGTGCAGGCCTCTTTGCAACGCATCATGTAGAAGGATGACGGCATCCTCTGCTGCCACAGAGCCGCCTGTCAGTGCCATACTTGAACCTTCGATCCCCGCTTGGCGCCTTCGCACATGCAGCACGTGCAGCAGCAAAAGCCAAATCCTGCAATTCCGCAAACACACACGTGGGTGTCTTCTTCTTGGCAACGCAGAGAGATGCGCTCTGTTGCAGGCCTTGCAAAGTCTACCTTCGAACTCTTTTCCGCCTGCTGCAGATCCTGTCACTACACCCGGTAAAATATTTTGCAGAGGAGCAAGACGCTTGGCTGGGCTCCAGAGGCGCCGTGGTGCTCAAGCCGCCCGTCGTAGCGAACACGAGAGGGGAGAGATGCAGGGGTTGAGCAGCTAGCTGAGTTCTGTGAAATTTCGCTAGAAATCAAAAAAATAGACTGCATATATATATATATATATATACATACATATATATATGGCACCTCACCTCTTTGAGAATGGACAATGCGTAACCGCCTGCAGGAGGCGCTCCTCCATTTGGTTTGCCTGCGTTCGAGCTTCTTGTTCGCGTTGCTGGGTAGGGGCAGAAAGGTCAAAGTTTTTAGAGTCCGCATGCTGCGCGCACGAAGGCTGGCAGAGGAGCCTCTCACAGAGACTCGCGAGACCTGTGCCGTCCAAGGAAGCTACCATTGCTGCATCCCCTGCTGCCTCGCCGTCGGGCATGGCGTTCTGAACGTTCGCGCTCAAGAGCAGCGCCTGTAGATACACCCAAAGCTGCTGCTCGCGCTGCAGCACTGCCGCACCGCACGGCATTCCATCAGGGGACCCCGGCAGTCGTCGCAGCAGCGCGAAAGGAAGGGCAGTGCTGCTGGAGGCTAAGGAGGCGTACTTGTGCAGCCACCTGCAAACCAGGCACAAACAGCCGCAAGAGACTTGGAAAGCAAAAAGGCACGCGAGAGAAGTAGGCGGCAAGAAGGGGCCTGAGCCGAGCAAAGGATAGGCGCGCTCGGAAGCAGCGGGGCACGCTGGCTGGCTGTGATGGGCTTAAACAAATTCGGATTTCAGCATATAAATCAAGGCTACACCTCTGCGACACGTTGGAATTAATGCGCCACTCAGAGAGAAATGCGCTTTCGAGCGTCGCAGCAGACGGCCACGGTGTCAGGCGCTGCTCCCTCGTTCCTCCTCTTCCTCCTGCTGCTCCTGCTGCTGCTGTTGAATTTGTCTGCCACTGAGGCGTCTGCAGCAGCTCCCTATACAGCCTCCTGAGTCTTTTTCGCCCATCTCGACCCTGTCTCAAGAGGAGCTGCAAATAGCGCACCAGCGTCCGCAGAAACAGCATACTGTCTCTCTCTCCCTCTCTGTGTCTCTCTCTCACGTTTCACACGTCCCCTAGCAGAACGCAATGTAGCTCCGTGTAAAAGGGCAGGCACGCCAGAAGCACGAAGGGAGGGCGACAGTGGACAAGCCACAGGAGGGCGTCGAAGAGTCTGCTGCTGTTATCTCAGGCTTTCCGACAGCGCGCAGCAGGCGAGCAGCGGAGAAGCGCAGAGAGGCGCAGCAGCCGAAAAGCCTCAAAAATACACAGGCCGTAAGAAGGAAGCCAGCCACCCCACAGACCTGAGAATACACCGCCAGGAAGAAAGGGTTCGAAGGAAAGCGCTTCAACATCTCGTCACAGGCGTGCAGCAGAACAGACGCGTCGTCAGGTAAGGATGCCTTCTCCTCTCCGCGAGCCTTGGATTCTTCGGGAGCAGACACTGGAGGCGCAGGAGAAGCGCAAGGTGTGCGGCTAAGGGCGAGCAGCAGCACCAGCACGAAAGACAAGGCTAACTCTTCACAGCGTGCCGCTTCAGCGCGGCTGCACAGAGAGAAGCGTAGCCTTCCCCCGGCGTGTTCGACGCTGCAGTCGCTGATCGGTGAAAGCGTTTTCTCCGGTGTATCCGTTGGAGAGGCAGACTCCGAACAGCCACAGCAGCAGGGGCAGCAGGAGCCGCCGCTCCCTCCAGTTGCCGCTTCAGCCGTGGCAGTGGCGGCAGCTGCTGCCTGCCCGCTGTGCTGCTCGAAACAGTTCCAGATCGCGAGGACTGGAGACGTCTGCGAGAGTGCTGCCTCCAGCAGCAGCGCCAGGAAAAGGTTTGCCCAAGGCTCTGAGGTGAGTAGCGGGAAAACGTTCGCCTTCGCGGCAGCAGCAGACGCGGCGATGCGAGAGCGCTGCAGCAGCACAGCTCGGCAAGCCGCCACTTGTGAGCGCTCAAAGGCAAGGCTCTCGAGGAAGTTGCCGCTCTCTTCTTTCGAGGTAGACGTCTGAGGCTGTGGCGCTCCCGTGTGTGGCAGCGAAGAGGCCCCTGGAGCAGTGGGATCAAAAGACTCAGAGAAAGAGCGATTCGCTGAACACAGAGCAACCTGGAAAGCGGCGGATGTTATTCCCCACCCTTCAAACGGCAGACGGTGCGCAACTCCGTGTTGCTGCTGCTCCTCAGGATGGCAGCAGCTGCCGCTGTCGCTTCCAAGCCAGCACGCACATGGCCAGCCGAAACGCAGGACAGACGGAAAGGCACGCGCATCGTGCATCTTTTTCTGGGAGGGGGAGTCAAACGAGCGCGGAGATCCACGAGCAGCAGCTGCTGCAGCGGCTGCAGTCAGCTCGAGGAACACCCAAGAAGCGGCAAGAGACGCATTGGCAGCAAATGCGGTGCAGCAGGTTCGCAAGACTTTCCGTCCCTGGAGAAGCTGCGCTTGAGGCGAATTCTCCTTGCTGTTGCTGCCAGCAGCAGCAGAGGCGCTACTACTCTCGTCTCTGGCCAGACGAGCGCGCTGCCGTGTCGCTTCAGCAGCCTGCAGAAAGAGGGAGGTTGCGAAGGTGAGCCACAAGGCAGGCTGCCCCTCGTTGCGCTTCAGCACCAGCCGAAAGACTCTAGAAACGAAAGCACAGACACAAGAGAGAGAGACACACAGGCAAACAGAGACGCGCACTCTAGAGCGTTCTTACATCCCTATGGGCTTCAAATGCGTCTGTAGCAAAGAGACAGCTATCGCCAGGAAGGAAGGGTAAGGAATCGAATTCAGCTCCTCTTCGCCCTAGAGTCGCTAAGGCGAAGTCGTGAATTCAAAGAGCTAGTAGCCAAAGAATTCGGGGAGGCTGACATGCAGCTGCGCTACGCTGCATAGAATCCCCATGCACGCAACTCGTAAGCAGCGCACTTGGGGGAGGGGCATAAACAGAGCAAACAGTATAGCAGAAGTTTGTCATCTGGGAACACGAGGAGCGCCTGTCAACAGCAGCACAATCATAGACAAAAATAACGCACTATTGCTGGCTTGTGTGTGGCGCTATTTAGAGAGAGAGGCAGAGCGAGAGAGAGAGAGGCAGAAACAGAGAGAGAGAGAGACAGAGACAGAGAGAGAGAGAGAGACAAAGAGAGAGAGACACAGAGTGAGACAGAGAGAGAGAGAGACAGAGAGAGAGAGACAGAGACAGAGCGAGAGAGAGAGACAGAGAGACACAGAGAGAGAGACAGAGACAGAGAGAGAGACAGAGAGAGAGAGACAAAGAGAGAGAGACAAAGAGAGAGAGACACAGAGTGAGACAAGCAGGCAGAAGGCCTTTTTGCCAAGGTGCTCCCCCCGCTAATAGGAATTATATGTGCCCAAGAAAACGATAGTAAAGGGCGGCAAGCACCACACACTGCTCATTTGCCTTTTAGAAATCCAAGCGCTAAGCACAAGAGGAGCCACTTACCTGTGAGCAAAGCAAAGCCGCTAAGGCTTGTGGAGTCATCGGTTCTTTGATGGCGGAGGCTGCAGGGGAATGTCGCTCAGCTGACTGAATCTCGTCCTGCTGCTGCGTCTGCAACACAGCGCGACGAAGCTGTTTCTGAAATACAAACCAGATCGCTGCAGCACGCGTCTGCTGCTCCAGCAATCGAATATCCGCAGCTGGCAGCAGAGAGAGGGGAGGCCACCAAAAGGAAAACGCAGCTGCAGCACTGCTGCTGCAACTTGTACTGCTTGTATTGCAACTTGTACTGCTGCTACTTGTATTGCAACTTGTACTGCTGCTACTTGTATTGCAACTTGTACTGCTGCTACTTGTATTGCAACTTGTAGTGCTGCTACTTGTATTGCAACTTGTATTACTACTTGTATTGCAACTTGTACTGCTACTTGTATTGCAACTTGTATTGCTACTTGTATTGATACTTGTACTGCTGCAACTTGTACTGCTGCAACTTGTACTGCTGCAACTTGTACTGCTGCAACTTGTACTGCTGCTGCTTGTACTGCTGCGTTCGTTGTCGCCAGTATTACTGCTGCTCCCTGCTTTACTGGCGGCGTTTTGTGCTGCTTGCAGCTGCAGCACTAAGGCCCGAAGCCTCGCCGCGTCTGCTGCAGGCGCTGCTGCGGTGTCACTACGCTGGAGGTGTGGGTGTCTAGAAGGAAAACGATGCAGCGTGGGAGAACAGAGCGCGTCCAGCGTCATGAGCACCAAGCGATATGCCGTATCCGCTACGGAGACTGCCTCTGCCTTTGCTGCAGACGCCAGGCTGCTGCTTGCCCTCCTGCTACCAACGTCGGTTCTGCTGCAACAGGCGACACCAGCGCCAGCAGCAGACAAGACTGCATCGGTGGCTTGCAAGACAGGATGCAACAATGCCCACTGCTGCGAGGGCAGCAGACTATCCGCAGAGACGCTGTACGGGGAGGGCAACCGGAGATCTGCTGCTGCAGCGGCTGCAGCAGCAGCTCTTGCTTCTGCAGCCGACTTCGCAGCTCGACGTGCCGCTGCTGCTGCCGCCTCTGCAGCGCGCCTCATCCCCTCAATGGCAGCAAACGACGGATCAGTCGCAGCTGCGGAGGCAGCTGCATTCGCTGCAGCTGCAGCCCCTCCGACAGTCGCCGCATCCTTCGCTGCAGCCGTGGCTGCCGCTGCTGCAGCCTTCCCGACAGCAGCTGCGGCAGCGGCTGCTTCAGCTGCAGCCGCTGCGTTGGCTGTTGCTTTCGCACCTGAGACTGCACTCTCCCCCACGACGCGGCTCCTCCACGACAAGGCAGAAAGGCCAAAATCAGCAGCCGAGTATGCAGCAAACCCCGCACCAACAAGGGATCTACACCCGCTGCTGCTGCTACTTTGGCGCTCGAACAAGCTGTCAGCGCCAGCGGCCTCTCCTTCCGACAGCACCTGCCGCTCTATGGCCTTTTGCGCATTCTGGAGCGACAGGATAATGGCATCCGTTGCTTCACACAGCTGTCGATACACCGCAGCAGGCGCGCTGTCCGACACCTGCAGCAGGTGCTTCTGACGATGCGCCCCCACCTCACCGACTCGTCGACCAAACGCCTCTCCACTCGACTCCGTCCAAATTCGCTGCACGATGAACATCAGAGACAGCTTGGCAGAATCCCTCTTCCAACAAGACGCTCTCTGCTCTGCATATATCCCCAAAGGCTCAACTCTCCGTCGCAAAGCGACCAGCAGCAGAATTCGAAGCCCTCCAATGCCTGGCTAAACCGCAGCACCCCACCACGATGAACCTCATTAAAGCTCCCCCTCTTTCTTTTCTGCATACCTTCACCAACCCCAACAAAGGGGGCGTATCTTCAGCCATGCACCCCCTCCCCCCCTCCTGCTGCCGTCCTATTTGCTGCTGCTGCTCTCCTATTTGCTGCTGTACTATTTGCTGCTGCTGCTGTTGCTGTGTATGCAGCAGAGCCAGCTGTACGATACCCTGGATCGTCGCTGCGGCAACTGGCATGCGGCCTCTGCGCACTTCAAGAGGCAGCATAAATCCAAAGACGACCTCCTGAAACAACGCGAAACATGTGCGAAAGTCGTCGTTCTTGCACAGCGTGTCTGCTCCTCCTGCTGCTCCTCCTCCTGCTGCTGCTCCTCCTGCTCCTCCTCCTGCTCCTCCTGCTGCTGCAGCCAGACTCTCTGCAGTCGTCTGCAACAGCTCGCGAAAGAGAACCCTTGCCGAAGCCTCCGTGTGTTGAGAGGCCCCCGCGGCAGCGCTGCAGAGACACCTCGCCAGCGCCGTTGCGGTGTACGTACAGCTGTTTCCGTGGCGGCTGCCCGTGAGATCGAGAGAGGCATTCGCTCGTCCTATAAGGGCTGCCGTTCTAAGCCAGGGAGGAGCATTCAAAGGCACCGACGTTTGCTGCAGCAGCAGCAGTCGTCGCAGCGTCAACAACTCTGGCAGAGCTGCCGCAGCCACGCCGCCTTGACCCCCCCCACACGCTACATCCAGAATTTCCTGCTGCCGCAGCGGCAGCTGCTCTGCTGTCAGCGGCGAGAGAAGCAACGGCTGCTGCTGCTGCAACATCTGCTCCTGCAAGGCTACCAACTGTATCCACAGCGCTACCTCCTGCGGCTTCTGCCTGCAGAGCATGAGGAAACGATCTTGCTGCTGCAACAACAGCAGCTCCTCGTGCTGTGCCCGCTGCATCCATCGCTCCTCCCGTGCAACTCGCTCTTCTTCCTCACTGCTGCTAATGCTGCTGCTACTGCTAATGCTGCTCATGTCGCTGCTGCCAATGCTCTTATTGCTCCCAGCCGCAGCATCGACTGCACGCCGAGGCACTTCAGAGGCAGCAAAACGCAGCGGCTTCTCCATCCCCTCCAAGTACACGGAGAAGGCGCCTCCCTGAGGTGCTGCCTCCGCTGTACCGACAGCCTCGGCAACTCGGGGGTCCCCTGCTCTTCCCAGAGGCTTTTTTCCTCGATGCCGCCGATGCCGCTCTATTGGGAAAGCAGTTGCTCCCAGGCTGCTGCTCGTAGCGCTGCTGCTGCTCGTAGCGCTGCTGTCAAAAAAAGCCTGCTGGGTCGGTTTGCCCGTAGACACTGTTGTTTTCTTGGCTCTGCGGCTAGGGGCCCTTAGGGGCCCCTCTGTAGCCGCAGCACCGCCTCCTGCCTTAGGCTGGATCGTATTCCAAATCGTCTCCCGCTTTTCTGCGTCTTCTTCAAGAATACGCAGCATTTCCGGGGGGATATCTGAAGCTGACATCAGGAACGCCTCCGCAGATAGCGGCCCCCTGCGAGGGCTGCTTTTGCTGCTTCTGCTGCTTCTGCTGCTCCTATCCGCGTCTGGTAAAGCGGGAGGCTCTATAACGATGACGCTTTCATCGGAGCTGCTGCTAGGCGTGCGGCTTAGGGGCTGCCGTGCGGAAGAGTGAGGCTCCTGCTGCTGCTGCATCTCCTCGTGCTGCTTCCTGCGTCGCTCGCTATAGACAGGGAGGCGCAAAAACTCTTTCTCCCTTTCCTCCTGCTGCTGCTTCTTCCTGTGCTGCTGCTGCTTATGCAGCTTGAGCTGCTGGCGGTGCTCCCTTTCATCGCGTTCGAGACAAATCTCTCCAGACACGAGCGCCTCTTCTGCGCGAGCCAGCTCGCTCTTGGCCTCTCTTTCTGCCTCATACTCCTGCATCAAACGAGAGCCTTGCGGCTGCTGCTGCTGCTTGAGCAGCTGCTGCAGCTGCTCCTCCGAAACCCCCAAGTGCTGCAGCGCCGATAAGGGGTCGAAGGAGGTGCCACACGACAGCCAAGCCTCGATTGGCGTATCCTTGAGCTGCTGCTGAGGCAGCTTCTCGGAGGTGTCGCTTGCCTCGTCACACCTCGCGTGGAGGGGAGGGACGGCGGGGGTTAGGCCCTTTTTATGAGCCATTGCCGCAAGGGAGGTCCTCTCCGCGAACGCGTCTTCCGGCTAGAGACCTTTGGCTCCACAAATGCACCGCATAGGCGTCTTGAAGCCTTCGCGAGAAGCTGTGTTTCCCGTTCGAATGGCGCTCTGTGGAAGTAAGGGGGTGCCACAGGGGCCCTCGAGGACAGCCTTGCACTCAAAATCGGCTGAGTCGCTGCTCTGGTCGAAGGCGCCTGCTCTGACAAGAAGCGGGGGCAGAACGGAAGCTAAGTAGGGGATGGAGGTGCTTGCAGCAGCTGTTGTTCTCCCGCAGCAAGGAAGTGTGTGCTCCAGGAGACGTTGTTGGACTGGTCAAGTGGCAGGAAAAGTTTCCCTAGAGACATGCGACACGGGAGGTTAGACCTTCCCACTGGCAAGCCGGAGAAGCTGCCAGTTCGGCAGTGTCGCCGCCTCGATCTCTGGACGGTTCTCGCGATCCTAAAGAAACATGGCTGCGCGTACAAATACACACACATTCCTGAGAAATACTTTTGAAAAGCGATGAGTCGTCGGATTCTCGTGGATGGATCGAGGGGCCGTGGTAAGCGCATACCTTCCGGTTCTTCCCGAAAATGGCTCTAGGGGCCCCTTGCCTAGGGGCCCCTCCTTGAGCCCAAGGGTACCCCAGCTAGCGTTTCTCTCGACCCCAAGGGAAAAAACGCGCTAGTTTTGATTTTCGCGCTCCTCAGATGCTGCCGACCCCTCTTTCGCGGAGTGTACATACGGCCCAGGAGGAGGAGCCGGTGTTGCTACACGCGATCGATGCGCTGGCAGTTCGAACTCCTCAAGGAGCGCCAGCGAAAGCCGTCGAAGTGGCGACGCGGCCTGAATTACTGGCACCTGACGCGTTGATTGACCTGGCCCCCTGGGATCCAGTGTATCGCATTAGCAGATTCCAGTGTATCGCATCGTAGATTCCAGTGTATCGCATTAGCAGATTCCAGTGTATCGCGTCGCAGCGTCCCTAGTAGTTAGTCCCCCGCACTGCACCCCAGGTGCCTCGCCGCTGCACACGGGGGCTCCGCAGCCTCAGCGCTCTACCCCGAAGAAAAGAGAGCGGCGGAGACATTGAGGGCCTTACCTCTTTGACCGCTCGCAAGTGGCGGCTTGCCGAGCTGTGCTGCCTGCTGCAGCGGTACCGCATCGCTGCGTCTGCTGCTGCCGCGAAGGCCAGGGTTCCCCCTACTGACCTCGGAGCCATGGGCAAACCTTTTCCTGGCGATGCTACTGGAGGCAGCACACTCGCAAACGGCTCCAGCCTAGTGTGTGCTGTCTGGAGCTGTCTGTCTCGAGCAGCACACAGCGGGCAGGCAGCAGCTGCTCGGGGCCTTTTTTAGATATAATGGCGGCCTCTAATCGGCGCGGTAAAGGGAGCAGGAAAGCCCCCTTCTTCCCCCGCTACCGCCTTTCCCTTCCCCCTTCACAGAGACTAGCGACAGCAGTGTTTTAGAGCCGAGACAGGCATAGCAGCGCCCCCCAACACTGTGGCTGCTCCTCGTTGCTACCGGTGTAATTAGAGGCCTTAATATGAGTGCTGTTGAGACAGACAGCGACTAGAAGATCTGACACCTGGCTGCTGCCTTTCCGAGTATGTTCTTCCGAATGCCGTTCTGTGTATGTTTCCCCCCTTCCCCAGTAAAGCATTACAGCAACAGCAGCCATCTCTCAGAGGGCACTGCACAACTCAGAGGGAGGGACCGCCAAGACGGCACTCCAAGGAAGTGAGTACAAATACAACAGGCCGCCACTAGTAGCAGCAGGAGCCACTGCAGTTACCGCATAAGCGTTAAGCCAAATGATTTTTTGTTATGGCAAAGATATAGCGAAAGATACAGCGGGGTGGATCCCACGAAAAAGCACCCCCGAAACCACAGTGAAGCTTGGCAGGAATTTAACGACAAAAAAATACAGCCCGAATGGATAGAGGGCCGCCCGCCTGGTAGTGAGGCCTTGCCCTTTTTGAGCCGAATGATAGGCGAATAGGGCCCCACTGTTTCCACCCACCAGCATATACAGAGGCACCCCAGCTTTGCGGGGTTCCCGCGTGAAACGACCCCCAAAGGCCCTTTCTCTCTGAACAAGGGGCCAGCAGACCCTAAGCTTCCTCCACCTACCTACCTATATCTATCTACCCCGAGTGTCAGGGGTGCTGCTGGCGGAAAAGCCTTCCAGCCTTTATATAGCTGCTTCCCATAAAAACGCGCGCCTCGTCATTCCGAGTCCCCCCTTCCTTTGAAGATTTTTAAGGACTTCGCTACCTCCCTCCTCGCCCCGCGCCAAAGGGCGGCACGTGCACCGACTATTTTGCTGCCGGTCTGCGCCTTATTGATGCGCCTCGCAGAAGAGGCCTTTTTCTACGCCTCCTCCCTCCCCTCTATCGCGAAATCAGCAGCAAGTGCCCCCCTTGACTGCCTAGAAATCCTAACGTGCTCCTGGTGTCTGCGGGGGGCGCACAAGCTCGTCGATAACGTACGGCGGGGGCACAACCATGAACCCGCCGTCCTGACCCTTTGGCTCGAAGGGCCCCTCGGGGCCCCCCGCGGGCATCATTTTGGCGGAGATGCGCACAGAACTCCCTGCGAGGCCTGCAGCGAACCGCGCGAGGTCCTGCAAGCGAGCACAGAGCAGCACCCCAGAGGACGGGCACAGAGTAGCAGCGACGATCAAAGAAAGCCTCAAAAAAGGGGGCCCCCCCGCTACAACGGACTTGAGCACGCGCCCATGGCGGGCCCCCAAAAGACCCGGCGATCTTTTTCGCCTTTTGCCGCCACTAACTTGGAAGGCTTTCAAACAACCCCCCCGCCTCCCCTTCTGCTAGCGCCCATCCGAAACTAGGAGAGCCGCACACCTCCGGAGTCTTGAGCACACAGTCACCGGGACGAGACCTAAGGAGGCAAATGCCAGCGCCGATATCCTCCTTGAAGGCCAAGACGACTCCTACCTCGCGCCACTGCGCATGCTTCCCTACAGAGGCCCCTGCCACGCGTCGATACACACCAGCCCCCGGAACCACATCGTTCGCGGCTGGGGGGCCCCCTACCTCCGGATACGCCGCCTCTGGTTCCCCCCTCGCCATCCCTTCGTAGGCCCTCCTCACCGCGGCTTCGAGGGCTCCAGCCCACCACGCAATCACTCTGGAGGGCACCCACTTTTCTAGAGAAGGTAGGGAAGCCTCTCCTGACTGCGTTGCGGTGCAAACAGGAGCCATCTCAGGCACCGCCTGAGGCCAGCGGGGCCCCCGCAGGAGCAGCGCCACACGACGTCTGTTGGACAGCTCGTGCAACGCGCGCGTCAGCACTTCCTGGCCGACAAAGCAACCCTTATTGTGAGCGCACAGCGCATGCAGCCAGTCCATATTCACATACAGCGGTAGAAGGTCGCCAACGCCAACCTCCTTCGGCCCCTCACAGACCCCAGCGAGGTGTCGAAACACTTCGTAGGCGTCCCTCCGGCTGTCCTGAGCCGTTTCTGAAGCCGCCTCTGGTGGTGTTTCTGAAGCCGCCTCTGGTGGTGTTTCTGAAGCCGCCTCTGATGGTGTCTCCAAAGCGTCGCCTTCCCCTGCTGCAGTTGTCTGGGCCCTCGCCTGTCCAGCCCCTGCAGGGCCCCTCTGCTGCACCGGTAGAGGCACAACGGAGGGCCCCTCCTCGCTCAACGCAGCCGCCTCTAAGTACACTCTGTAGCCAAGACGCCACGTGCGGGGATCCGCTGCAACGAGGCCCTCCGTCCAAGGGGGTGTCCGGTCAGCATCACTGCCTGCTGCTCCTGCTGCCCCCGCCTTCGCCGCTGCACACTCTCCCTGTTCAAGTGCAGCCGCATCTGCCCCCGCGGTGACTCCCGAGTCTTCGACATAGCGAAACACAGGCGCAGCGCCTGCAGTTTGCCTCATCACAAAGTCCAACGCTTGGCTAACGCGACACTTTGGGGGCCCATCCCGCAGCGGCCCCCCCCCGGAGTTCTCTCTGTGCAGTGTCAAGGCGCTCCGCGGATCAGGCAGAAGCTGAAGGGCCGAGAGGGATGCTTCCGCACACACAGATACCTTCGCGGAGACGGCATGGCGCTGCGCAAACACAGACACATATGCATGCAGGCAGGCAGGCTTGTATGCAGGCAGGCAGGCTTGTATGCAGGCAGGCAGGCCTGCGCATAGGGACGTGCTGCTGCACAGAACCGCGAAAAAGCACGGAGGAGAAAGAGGCTCTGCGGCGCAGCGACCTGTAGAACACGCCTCATCAGGGTGCTAAAGAGAGACGAGAGAGGCCCCTTAAGGGGGATTTGCCACGCGGGACTGGACAAGCAAGTTCCAAGAGCCTGGACAGGTGCTCGAGAGGAATACGTGCGTGGATGTATATATATATATATATTTATATATATGGTTGTGTGTGTATGTTCGTGTATGTGTGTGTATGTTCGTGTATATATATATATGTATATATATATATATGTATATATATATATATATATGTGTGTGTGTGTGTGGATGTATGTATGTGGATGTGTTTGTGTGAGAAGCAGGGGGGTCTTGCGATGCGGCATTTCCACCTCCAGGTAGGCGAGGAGCCGCTCAGAAAGAGAGGCTTCAACATCCAGTAAAAAACGCGGAAAACCATTTAGTTGATCCCTGCAAATGTGTTGAGCACACAGACACACCAAGTGCAGCAACCGCAGCAGTAGCAGAAACATGAGCAACAGCAAGAACAGGAGCAGAAACATGAGCAACGGCATGAACAAGAGCGGCAACATGAGCAGCAGCATGAACAGGAGCAGAAACATGAGCAACAGCACGAACAGGAGCGGCAACATGAGCAACAGCATGAACAGGAGCATGAGCAACAGCATGAACAGGAACAGAAACATGAGCAGCAGCACGAACAAGAGCGGCAACATGAGCAGCAGCATGAACAGGAGCAGAAACATGCGCAGCAGCATGAACAGGAGCGGCAACATGAGCAACAGCATGAACAGGAGCATGAGCAACAGCATGAACATGAACAGAAACATGAGCAACAGCACGAACAAGAGCGGCAACATGAGCAGCAGCATGAACAGGAGCAGAAACATGAGCAACGGCATGAACAGGAGCATGAGCAACACCATGAACATGAACAGAAACATGAGCAACAGCATGAGCAAGAGCAGAAACATGCGCAGCAGCATGAACAGGAGCAGAAACATGAGCAACAGCATGAACAGAAACATGAGCAACAGCACGAACAGAAACATGAGCAGCAGCATGAACAGAAACATGAGCAGCAGCATGAACAGAAACATGAGCAACAGCAAGAACAGGAGCAGAAACATGAGCAACAGCATGAACAAGAGCGGCAACATGAGCAGCAGCATGAGCAGGAGCAGAAACATGAGCAGCAGCATGAGCAAGAGCAGAAACATGAGCAGCAGCATGAACAGGAGCAGAAACATGAGCAACAGCACGAACAGGAGCGGCAACATGAGCAACGGCATGAACAGGAGCATGAGCAACAGCATGAACAGGAACAGAAACATGAGCAACAGCACGAACAGGAGCAGAAACATGCGCAACGGCATGAACAGGAGCAGAAACATGAGCAGCAGCACGAACAAGAGCGGCAACATGAGCAACAGCAAGAACAGGAGCAGAAACATGAGCAACGGCATGAACAAGAGCGGCAACATGAGCAGCAGCATGAACAGGAGCAGAAACATGAGCAGCAGCATGAACAAGAGCAGAAAAGTGAGCAATAGCATGAACAAGAGCAGAAACATGAGCAACAGCATGAGCAGAAACATGCGCAGCAGCATGAACAGGAGCAGAAACATGAGCAACAGCATGAACATGAACAGAAACATGAGCAAAGGCATGAGCAGAAACATGCGCAGCAGCATGAACAGGAGCAGAAACATGAGCAACGGCATGAACAGGAGCATGAGCAACAGCACGAACAGGAGCAGGAACATGAGCAGCAGCATGAACAGGAGCAGAAACATGAGCAGCAGCACGAACAAGAGCGGCAACATGAGCAGCAGCATGAACAGGAGCGGCAACATGAGCAACGGCATGAACAGGAGCATGAGCAAGAGCATGAACATGAACAGAAACATGAGCAACAGCACGAACAAGAGCAGAAACATGCGCAGCGGCATGAACAGGAGCAGAAGCATGAGCAACAGCATGAACAGAAACATGAGCAACAGCATGAACAGGAGCAGAAACATGCGCAGCAGCATGAACAGGAGCAGAAACATGAGCAACAGCATGAGCAAGAGCAGAAACATGCGCAGCGGCATGAACAGGAGCAGAAACATGCGCAGCAGCATGAACAGGAGCAGAAACATGCGCAACAGCACGAACATGAACAGAAACATGAGCAACGGCATGAGCAAGAGCAGAAACATGCGCAGCAGCATGAACAGGAGCAGGAACATGAGCAGCAGCATGAACAGAAACATGAGCAACAGCATGAACAGGAGCGGCAACATGAGCAACAGCATGAACAGGAGCATGAGCAAGAGCATGAACATGAACAGAAACATGAGCAACAGCACGAATAAGAGCGGCAACATGAGCAGCAGCATGAACAGGAGCAGAAACATGAGCAACGGCATGAACAGGAGCATGAGCAACAGCATGAGCAAGAACAGAAACATGAGCAACGGCATGAGCAAGAGCAGAAACATGCGCAACGGCATGAGCAAGAGCAGAAACATGAGCAACAGCAAAATAGCATCAGCATGAGCAGCATCGAAAAGGGTCTACGCCAGCGTGTGCGGCCCAAGGCGCTTGGTGGGGAGGCCGCCTACCTCCACAGCATAAGCGCATCGGCTAGCACTCGGCCTTTGGAGTTTAAAAAGGCTGTTGCAATCGCAGGACGGCACCAGAGGCGGAGCCGCTGTATGCGGCTGTTGCAGGTGTTGCTGCCAAGGGCGAAGGAAGGAGGAGGCAGCGAAAACGGCTGCTGCTCGAGGGGGTGTCCTCTGCTGGTGACCTGTAAACGCGTGACAGGGCCAGAAGGCTCCAGAGCGGCGGCTGCTTCAGCCCCTAACTGAGGCGCAAAGTGCATCATGTCTTGGGTTACCAAGTTTTGAAGCAGCCTGCGACAGCCTCCGACACACAGAGAAGGGGAGGTAGCGGTTCGCTGAAGAGCCGACGCTTAGGACCGTTGGAGGTGGGTAAGTGTGTTTCACCGCACACATGGATGCGGTGAACAGGGTGCCCCCGCATATCCGGCAAGGCCTATGGCAGCGCATCGGCGCGAAATAAGAAGAAAGAACCTCCGTTCAGCTCGGCGCGCAAGGAAAGGGGAGGAGGGAGGCACGGCCAGACACACACACTCACACCACGATGTCTCCTGTGTGCGCTCGAAAGACATTTATACGGTAGTGATGCAGGCAGGCAGGCAGAAAGGCATGATGCAGAGACACCCCAATGTGGCTTTCTGTGCCTTTCAGACATGCGCCAGCGAGGAACTGCAGCGGGCTCTTGGCCATTAGGAGCACCCGGCTAACCGCCGCTGGCATGTGGCTGTGCTACGCGTTTGGCGTCGAATGTGTTACTTACGGTGCAGCATCAGGTCCAGAGATCGAGAGAAGATGCCTCCTAGAGAGGGCGTGGAGGAGTCCTCTCGAGGCTATAGACAGTGGGCTGCGAGCTTGCTTCAGCGGCAACGGGTTATAACAGCACGCCAGCGGCCCCAACACGCCAAGCGGCGTCATCATCGTGTAGGTGTCTGTGAGTGGATGGATGCGTGTATGCATGCATACGTATGTATGGAGGTACGCGTGTGTGTGTGTTCGTGTGTATGTGTGTATGTATGTGTATGTGTATGTGTGTATCTACGTAGGCGTGTAAATATGCGTGGGTGCTTTCAGCGGCTTCGCCAGACGGGTAAGGGCTGCATAGCGCTACCCTAGTGGATCAATGGCCAACAAATGGAAGAAATGCAAAAGTGTTCGTCAGTTGTGCGCGACTGAGATGGGCTGTCTGTCGCAGCAGCAGCGCGGAGAGCTTTCAACTCTTCCTGGAAACAGGCCACCATCACAGGAAGGAGAGCTTCAAAAGCAGCTCTTCGAAAAGCTCTGAAGCTGCAGAAAAACGAAAAGAAACACGTATTTGCAATAGAAAGCCTTTTTCTTGCGTGTGGGCAGTCAGTGCCTGAGCGCCTCTCGTTTTAGGCTGCCCTTCTGCCACGGGGCCCCCTGCCTCTGCGCTCGCTGTGCGTTCTTCAGCGCAGCGAGAGCAGCCACCCGTTGACTCCTCCCCCCCGGCTCCGCTGCACGCCTCTCCGAGAGAGGATCTCTGGCTCGCAACACGGCCTTTTTGAGCCTAAATGACAGGAATATACCTTCTTATTGGCATATAAATAGCTGGCAGTAGTTTGTTGCGAGTAGGGCTCCTCCCCCCTCTGCGATTGGGCCCGATCTTCGAGACCACGAAGCCGGCGGGGGGCCCCCCGCCGCTCCCCCCTCCCTACCAAGGCGCCAGCGTCTCTCTGCGGAGGGGCCCTAAGACGATAGTTTCCCCGTGGGATTATTTCCTCGTGTCTCGCGCGTCTTCGCCTCGTCCCCAAGGATGCCAATAGGGGCCCCTCTCCGGCGGGCCGAAGCGGGACGAGGAGGCCCCCTCCACGATGTCGAGGAAACACTCTACTCCTGAGGGCTTTTTCCAGATGTTAGGAAACTGCTGCTCTGGGCAGGCCAGGCGGAGCGTGGGAAGGGTCTTTGGTCATATGTCACGAGCTCCTTCCAAGAGTGTCGATGGGCCTCTTTTTCAGGAACGAACGTGGCGGTGCAGCGAAGATCAGCATTCGTTCTCGAGTCGTGCTTTTCCTCCTGGCACTCTGCACAGACGCGGGAGAAACTTTCCACGCCAGGACGTCTCTAGAGGGCCCCCCAGGGGGGGGGGCGCTCTCCTGGGTATTACACCGTGAAGGAAACTACCTGCCATTTGTCTTGGAGACCTCGTCACGTCGCCATTTTTCGCACAGCCGCCTCCACCCTTCTCCTATTTTGTGCCCTCCCGGGGTGTCTGAATGCCGACGCTCCCCGCAGCGCGCTCTTGCAGCAGGCGCCGCGAGGGGCTGGGGGCCCCCTGCTGGGCCTCCCCCAGGATACCGGGGAGAGAACTCCGAGGGGTTTCACCAGCCGAAAAATCCGCCGAACCGCGTCAGAGAACCCCCACTGCCCCGACGGCGCGAGCGGGGAAGGGGCCCCCCCCCCCAAGGGCCCCCACAGAGACGCCTCCCCCCTCCCTGGCACCCACACGGAGCGGCTTTTGGACCCCCCGAGCGACCGCAAGACGGGGGATTCAACCCGCAGCTCAGCAGCCCAGGGGCCCCCACCCCCTTCCCACCCAGTCGTGGCTCTGTCGAGAGAAATTCCCCCCCCCCCGACGCACGCAACGGTCTCGCTGGATCGCAGACGCGCAGGGAGCCTTCTCGATGGGCTTCTTCGGAAGGCCGCTTTCGCTATGCACCGCCAGGAGGGCCCCTGCCCTCCGCGTCAGGAGGAAAGGCTCCGGGTAGAGCAGCAGCAACAGCTGCAGACGCAGCAGAGGCACCCTTTAAGTCGCCTCCCTCGAACTCACCGCAGGCTTTCGAAGGAGGCCCTTCGCCAGGCGGATTTCTCTGCCCACCTCTGGGTTCTCTGCCCGTTCATGAGCCACCCACCCCTCCTTACAGAGGGGCCCCCCCTCCCTCTTACCCTCTGGAAACTCGCGAAAATCCCTGGCTGCGCGAGGGGCTTCAAGTCGAGGCTCAATGCGTTCGCGTGTGGTGTCGCTACGCTCTCTTGCGGCTGCTGCCGCCCCCTCCGCTGAGGCATTTCAAGGCTTCTTCAGCAGCTCGACAATCGAGGGATGTTCTCGGATTTCTGCATGTTTCTGGAGTGCGGAGGGGAAGGAAAGCGCTGGGCACGACAGAGCTCAAGACCATCGACCTTACCCAAGTGAGTGGCCTCCTTCGGCTGTCAGCTGCAGAAAGCCGCCTAGCCAGTGGGGCCCTTGCCGTCTGAAGATGCAGTGTGCCGTTGCGGAACGTCTTTTCTGGGTGTCTTCTGCGTGGTACGAAAGGAAGCAGAGAGAGAGAGCCAGCGAGCGAGAGCGAGAGCGAGAGACAGAGAGCGAGAGAGAGAGAGAGAGACAGACAGACAGACAGACAGACAGACAGAGAGACAGAGACAGAGAGACACAGAGAGAGACAGAGACAGAGAGACAGAGACAGAGAGAGACACCTGGCACTTGCCGCTGCTACGCGTCACCAGTCATCCTTTAAGCAGCGAGAATTTTCCCGTTGTATGGCTCTTACGCCTATTGTTGCATTCCTGTTGCGCTTTGGTTTACTCTTTTGCAGATCCTTTCCGTCGGGGCCTCCTACAAGGTCGACCTTCTGGGGGCCCCTTCTGCGGCAACGTCGCACAGATGGCAGCTGAGCCTGGCGCTGCCGTCGGCGGACGAGGGGGCCCCCCCGAGGAAGAACAGACAAGACGGGTCCTTTACGAGGGATTCTAAAGGCCCTTTGTACGAGGCTCCCGACTTTCAAGAGGCGCTCCTTGCAGGGGATGCTTCTCCCGAGGAGGCGTGGAGTAGCTACGATTGCAGCCTTGTACTGGACGCAGAGGAAGACGCCCTCGCAAAAGCGTCGAGCGCCGCTCACAAGGGCCTTTTGGGGGGCCGCCGTAAAAGGGGGCCCCCTAAGGCTCTCCGAGGGGGTACCGACCCGAACAAGCGGCAAGGCACTCGAGGAGGTGGTCGGGAAGGCAGACGCCTCCTTGGCGGCAGACACTCAACCCGAGAAAGAGAAGACGAAGCCGATGAGGGCGCTGAGGCTTTCTTTGTTGGCGAGGTCCCCGAGGAAGAAGACTCTTTGCTGGAGGAAGGTGGTGCCGTGCTCGTTGCAAGCGAGTCCAAACCTACTGCGAACGCACAGCCGATTGCACAGATCCCCCCAGAGACAGCTTCCACCATAGCCCCTCAAGATACCCTGACCAACGGAGTAGCGGTGCCTCCTGCAGCAGAACCAGCAGCAGCAGCCACGCTGCCAGGGAATGGAGCAGCAGCGGCTTCTGACTTCCACAAGAACAAGGGCCGCCCTCGTGAAAGAGTTTCCTCCTCTTCCTCTCGGAGAGCGAGGAAAACTACACCCTTAGTGCAGCTTCAGCCTCGACCAGCGATTGTCGCAGTCTTGGGGCATGTGGATCATGGCAAGACGACTCTGCTCAGAGCTCTTCGCCTCATGGGCCCCCAGAAGGGGCCCCCAACTCCAAGGGGCCCCCGACACTGCAGAGGCGCTGGCCCCTGCGCAGAAGCCGGAGGCATCACACAACAAATCGGCTTCTTTGAGGTAAGGCCAGCGAACCGCTTTCCCTTAGCAGCACACTTAGCGAGCACTGAGACGGGGTTGAGACAGTGAGGGAAGGCTTAGAGAAAGTAGAGATGTACATACGCAGAAATATACAAAGAGAGAGTGACGGAGCCGCAAAATGCGAGACACAGCGACTACAAAGCTGCAGCAGCAGCGTGCGAGACTTCGACGCACAGTTGAAGGCCGGCCCTTATTTGTACATCACACACAGGGAAGGAGACGGGGTAGTGTAGGGCCCTTTGGACGGCTGCTCTGGTGTATCTCCTTCAATGCAGGTCGTGTTTCCTGAGAGCGTCGTTGCATCCGTCCCTCGGGTGACGTTCCTAGACACCCCAGGCCACGGCGCCTTCTCTTTGATGCGCCTTAGAGCCGCGCGGGCGGCAGACGTTGTACTGCTAGTGATAGCTGCCAATGAGGGCGTTCAGGAAGAGACACGGCAGTGCTTGAAGGTAATTGCCTGCCTCCTGCCCAACCTTCCCCGCATTCGCTTGAAGTGCTCTTACGGCGTCAGGAGGGGGGAGAAGCCTTGGTGTATTCTGCGCTTGTATAAGCTGCTGCTCCCGGCGCCAGACGCAACAAGCTCGAGCGCAGCACTGGAGCGCCTCTCTACGTTTGGCGAGCACTGCTTGGTTCTGCTGCGTGGCTGCGGCCCTGTGTGTCAGGCCCTCGAAGAGCTAAAACTTCCTACAGTGGTGGTGCTGACCAAGACAGACATCGCGGGAGACAGCTCCCGAAGCGCCGCTTCTAGGGGAACGCCGCTTGCTGGACCAGAATTCCTCTCTACCCCAGAAGGGGCCAGGCTCCTGGGGGAGCTCGCGGCAGACGGCCTCCTGACAGAACCTCTTGGAGGCCTTCTGCAGGTGGCGGCTGTAAATGCGAAGGGCTTTCTTGACGCCAGAGAGGAAGTGCCTCCAGAAGGTGCTCCTGGGGATGACCCCTATGGCATGAAGCACCTTCTGGAGTGCGTAGCCTTGCAGGCGGAGGTCTTAGGGCTGCGCTCAAACGCCCATGGCGGGGGGAAAGGGCTTGTGCTGGAGGCTCACTGCAGCGCGGCGCAGGGAGGCAGCGCCTCTGTCATCCTCAAGGAAGGGAGCCTCAAGTGCGCTGCCTCACACTGCAGATCGACGTCCGCGCAGCCTCTCCTCCGGTGGGGGCACTGGCTGCTTCTTCTAGATGCCCGCAGGCTGCTGTGTGCGTGCGCTGACTGCTGACACACAGGGTAGGGGACTGGCTGGCAGCTGGCCCCTCAATTTGTCGCGTGCGGCGGCTCCGCCGGGTGCAGGGGCCAGCGAGGATCTCTGCAGAAGCTTCTTCCACGCAGCCTCCGGAGAGTGCGCTCTCTCGCGTTTTCGAAGTCTTCGGATTCCCCGCAGATGCTTTGCCCTGCCCAGGCGAGGAGGCCTTTGTGCTCCCTTCAGAAGACGCCGCCAAGCAGCATCGAGACGTACGTAGCGTTCCGTTTGCGCGCATGTTTCCTTACAGCTTACGGGGCCCACTTGTAGGAATGGCGCTTCCAGCGTCGACGAAGCTGTATGCTTTAGAACCGCTACGCCTCGCTGCGTGTTTGTTGCTGCAGAAGATGCTAGCTGACACGAGGACTGCAGCTGCTGCCGCGGCAGAGGCCGAGGCGCACAACCGGTACCTTGAACTACTGCAAACCCCGCAGAGACAGGTAACACGCCTTGAAGGAGCTGTTGGTGTTTCCTCGCGTTTCGCTGATGCTGCAGAGATCCCGAGAAGCAAGAACAGAGATGCCTGTCTGCAACCTGTGCAGTGGTGGACTGCTCGTGCTCAGCATGGCTGAATCTGGCTCGTTTGTTTCCTTCTTTCAGGAGGCAGTGTTGCCTGTCACGGTTCGGGCAGCCGCTCAGGGGTCTGCAGCCGCTGTCGCCGCAGCCCTTGAAGGCCTCACTGCTCGGCGCAACGCCGCGGGGATTTGGCAGCTCTGCACTCCCGAGGGAACTTTCGTGGGAGCTGGTGGCTCGGAGTGCGAGTCGCCCGCAGATGACACTCAAGGCCAAGCAAACACCAGCAGTGGCGGAGACGTGGGCGTGAAGACGGAGGCAGCCTTTAGACGGGTTCGCGTGCTGCGAGCGGTGGCTGGTGAATGCCATGTGCAAGATGTCCACAGCTGCATGGATGAACAGAAGAGGGGCGGCCTGCTGATTGCGTTCGGCACAAAGATAAGCAGGGAAGCGAAGGTGAGACACAAGCATCTTCGTACGAAACCCCTGCATCAGAGTCTTAGGAGGTGCGCTCGGTCATAGGCATCCCTCTGCCTCTGCATGGCTGGCTTGCCGGGTGCTTGCTTCCTGTGAGAGTCGACCTCTGCCCGTTGACTGTGTTCGAGCTGCAGCGAGCGGCAGAGATGCACCACGTGCAGTTGGTGCCTTGCGACATTATCTACAAGGCGGTGGAGGCTGTTGAGCAGCGGCTGCTAGGTCCCAGCCTCTTCCCTCTGCCGTCCAAGGGGGCAGCAACACAAGGAGCTTCTGCAGATCGGTCCTCGCAAGCCACTGTCAAGCAACTCTTCGCCTTGTCGAACGTACGAAAGAGCTGGTTGCAATTTTTTCCGCACATTTTCAGGCGCCTATGAGACATTAGCCAGGCATACAGACGGTAGAGAGTGCAACGAGCTTTTGTTGTGCATGGTTCCGTTGAAGGAAACGTGCTCAGTTACAGTCAGTATGGGGCAATGTTTTCCTGCTAGTTCACCGTTGACCTCTGCCCAGACTCTTGCGCGCCCTCTGGCAACTAGGCCCTACATGTTTGCGTTTGAATACGCGAATGTCGCTCACAGGGATCAGTGGTTGCTGGATGCGACTTATTAAAAGGAAAACTGCGGCGTGGCGACTTTGTGTGGATCCTACGGGGCGGAACACAGTGCCACACAGAGGTATATTTGCTTCTACTGTCTGAGCCGCCCTGGGGAATTTCGGCAGCAGCAGAAATCGCACAGCTCTGTGAATAAAAGGGCGTATGCTCTAGCACATGTGTTCCGTGCGTCTGTGAGCTCCTGGCGTGCCAAAGGTTTCGAGTTTCATAGCACAGTCCTCCCCCTCCATTTCCCAAGGAACTGCACAGGGGATGCCGCAGAGAAGACCTATTGGCTATAATGTGCCTGTACAGCTCTGACAACTACAAGACTAGTGCTAAACCACCTGTCTCATACGAATGGTGCTGTGGTTCGTTGTGTAAATGCCTGCAGGCTGTGCGGGTGGTATCTCTGCGGGTGGGCAAGGATGCCAAAGAGAGCGTCACTGCTCCTGTGGAGTGTGGAGTCCTCTGTGAAGGCTTTAAAGACTGGCAAGTCGGCGACACTCTCATTCGCCAAGATGATCCAGGCCAGCGCGTGCCGCCATAAAAGGATACTTCCTTCGCCCTTTACACCCTGAAGCGGGCTTTTATTCCAAGAAAGCCACTGCAGCTGAACCTGGGATGAACTATGAAAAAAATGAACGAGAAACTGGGTGCTCCTACATGCCGAGCAGCTTTTGCCCATCTTCCTGACGGACGACGCATATCCTTCTTATCCTTGAATTCCGAGTTTATGCACTAATGGTTAGTCATGTATAGGGGTTGCCGGACTAGCTGTTAGCAATTGAGGCCCATATTTGTATCATAAGAGTGGACCAGAGCGATTCCAACGCCCAGCTTTCTGATCTGGACTTCTTCCCGGCTAGAGACCGTGCACAAAGCTGTCTCCAGATGTCAGTTGCCTTAGTTTCCTTTATTTGTGTACTCAGTGACCATAGTGAACGTGCAGCTATATATCTGATAGGGAACAGTCCGGTGTATACCTCGATTGACACATTTGAGAAGATGTAACCCGCTGTAATTACCCGCTAGAGGCTTCAGGAAGAAATAGCTGGCTCTGAGGCAAATGAGAACGTGCAATTAGTATGATGGCCATGGGGGCTATGCACACGACTGCACTGAAACTGTGTAGGCCCAGTCGGGAGACCTACTGCTCCGTTGGTTTTGTAGACACCCTCTCGTTCATAATGGTCGAGCGACACGGCTCAAGTGGCGATGGGCAACAGGTGAGGCTTAGGAGGGCAGAAGTCAACACAGTTCAATATCAACTGAATTGGGGAATTCCAAAATCAGTTGTGGCGGGTGACTAAGCTATTTCACCAGACTGCATGTGGAATGGGTGTCTCTGGCAGAGCTAAACTGCTTTTACCATGACCGTTGCGAGTTTTGGCTGGTGTCTTAAGGACTTGACTCTTACCAGTATATTTTTCTTTATTATGCTTAGCCTTTTAGACAGATTTACTGTTCATTGAATTTTTGCCGAGCCATGTCTGTATTCGTGCTATGGCATCTATTATGTATTCGTGCTTGTTGAGCGTCGGTGGGCTGCTGTCAAGAAGGCTGTGGAGGCGCAGCTAGCTGCATTCACACCGTTCTCCTAGCTATAATTTCAGGTTCCTAGGATTTCAGGGCATGCGAAGCTGGCGGGCAGCTATCCATGCGGAAACACAGGGGACCACTCCATGTAATGCATGCGGATCCTGTCAACATGGGGTTCTAATAAGGATTCAGCATTTCGCAGCTATGAGTAAAAATGCGAGGTCTTGCAGGAAGAACCCTTGTGTGCATGTAGATCCCACAATGGTGGATGCCATTTTCTAGACCTCGTAGCCATATCTTGTAAGTCCACCTTTCACGCAGTGCCTGCTCGTCCACATTGCAAGTTCTGTTGAATTCAAGAGTGCTTCTGGGCTTATTCCAAGTGGCTTTGTATCGTAAACAGCTACAATGCCACATTTACAATGGGTACAGCAATACTATCTATAAAAAGTAAAAAATGCAATAAGCGCTCCCCAATCCTCGGGTCCCCAGTTGCTGGAGATGTGTTGAGCTGCATGCTTTCGATTGTCGGCTGCGCGCTAAAGTTCGGCGTCCCCTTCTCCGCTGCGTTTTCGCATTTACTGTTTTGCTCAATTCTTTGAATTAACTTCGGAATGTCCTAATACAGACGACAAGTGTCAGTTTTGTGCCGTTTTATTTCTTCCTAATAGTTGTTGAGTCAGAGGCCTGTTCGCCGAGGCTGCGTTTATCCCATTCCCCATGAGTTTCGTCATTGCCCTATCGTCCGCAGCTTGTTTAACAAAATGAAGAAGGGTTTTTTGGCATCAGCTGGCCCTAAATGCTCCAAAATTAGGCCGCCACAGCGACAGACACCAAAGACGGCTGAAGGGAAGGTACGATATGCGCGCCACTCAGCAACAGAATGCAAAGGTTTCGATTCTCTTTCCATGGGACTCGCCTTCAATTTGAGAGCTTCTGCTGCCTGACAGAAGCGAGCTTCTCGCCTGTGCTGCCAGCTGCAGCACCTCCACCCCCACAGCATCCAAATCCGTATACGCCCAACAAGAGTTCATCAGTATTTGTAATTTTAAAGTGCCAAGGCTGAAAGCATCTGAGCGTCTGAATTTGTATCATACACTTGCGCAGTACGGAATGCGGCACTACCAGATTGCTGCGACGGAAGCTGCACGCAAGCAGAGAGTTGTATGTGCAGTGTCATCTGATTGCCGCAGTACACTTTTGACCACTTCGAGCTTGAGCGGTTCCTCGGGAATGGCAATTTTTCTGAAGTCTTTGAAGTTACGGAGAAGGGCACCGCGAACACATTCGCCCTCAAAGTATTTAATCGGGTGGGGTTTTGCTCGCGTCACCGTTGGGCAAGTGGTGCACCACGTCAGCCGTGTTAACCGGTCCGCTTCTACCTGTTAGTCTGACTAGTTCTGCTTTTAATTTGCTTCATGTGTTTGGAGGCCCCGTTGGGTGTGTTGGTTAAAAGGTGGAAACTGAATAGGTGACAAAGTACGCGCTAGTGTTGCGTTGCCAAACCCCCTAGAGTGGTGACTGCGTGTACTTTAGAATATCGTATGGACTTTTGTTTGCACACAGATCTTGTTGGGTTATATGCATTTGTTTCAGAATGATGTAATGCGCCTCAACAAGGTAGACGACGTCCGGATGGAGCGCCACGCAATGCTGAGACTCAATGATCCTGGCCACCCTAATATAATCCGGCTTCTAGATACTTTTAAGGATGAGCACCGCGTTTGTTTCCTTTATGAACTAGCCGAGTCCGTTCTATTGCCCGTACCACCAGTGGCGACTGCGGCAGCTCACAGGCTCCTCTTGGGATCAGACAATGCGCGGGGGTCTGGTGTCACTCCTCTGTGTCAGTGACGTACACTTGTGTCGTTGTTGAAGCTTGTTTCTCAGAGGTGGAGAGCTGTGGGAGTACGTGAAATATGCCGGAATCATGGACAAGGCTTGGGCCCTTCGCATTATCTCGCAGCTGGTCTCAGCAGTAGAGTACCTACACTCCAAGAACATCGTTCACAGAGACTTGAAGGTGCGCTAGCCGGCAGGAAAACATGGGACCACTGCCAGGGAGTCTGTCATGTACGTTGGACGACCTCCTTTAGAAAGGATGCGGGATTTCATTCATGGCGGGGGTTTAGTGAATGTTTCTGGCGCTACATAAACCGCCCTCCAAGAGCTGGCCTGCGCAGAGAGGCTTCAGTTGGCTGTACGTAGAAGTTCTCGAGTGTATTCAGGCGGAAAACCTGGTTCTCACCAGAGATGGAGTTTTGAAATTAATTGACTTGGGCAACGCTATGGATTTGGATCACCCCGAAGTTGCAGCTCCTGGGCTAGGAACCTACCTGCCGCCCATGGCTGATACTGCCGGCCTGAGGTACTGACAGTAACGGCAAGGAATACTTGAATCAGGCGCACCATGTGAATAAATTTCGATTGTCCCAGCAACGCGTGGACAGGTGTTCTTATTTGGAATGGGTGCATGCGTAGTCGGACCCTAGAAGCGCAGCGCTCTGCCGCTGAAAAGCGAATTCATGCTTCTTTCGGCTATGTTGGCGCCTTTTCACTCATCACTTCTTCTTTCATTTTGTGGTGTAACACCTTGCTCAGGATGAGCAGCCGCAGGGCGATCCGGCGCCCCACATTTCAACATTACGTGGGAACGCCGCAGTTCATGCCGCCTGAGGCGATCAAGAACCAAGACAGCGGAAAGCTGAGGGATCTGTGGAGCCTTGGATGTACGATCTACCAAATACTAGCAGGTGCGCCGTCTTTTCCACGTGTTGCTCTCAAGTGTACACACAGCATGGGCGGCAGCCACGAGGGGTGCATGTAACGAGCACTGTGTGTGACGTTTTCCTTCGTACGGCTGGATGCCTCCCTCAGGAAATCCCCCGTTCAGCGGGTCCACCGACTACTTTATTCTACTGCGGGTATATTTGGCCCCGGAAGCGCTCCCGACTGCAGTCTTCAGTACCCTGTGTGTAGCTCTCCTCCGTCGACCGCCATCAATGCAAGACCAAGCGCGGCTTTGCATGAAATTGTCGCGCCTGCGTGTGCCTTTTCCCACTGTGCCTGACTGCTGGATGCAGGTCGAGGCCAGATCTCTGGAATTTCCCCCCGACTTCGATCCTTTTGCCCGGGATCTCGTGGAGCGGCTCCTAGTGGCGGAACCCGCCAAGCGGCTGGGTGCAAACGGCTTCGAAGAGATAAAAAGTCATCCCTTTTTCCCGCCGGGATGTTTTGACCAGTCCAGCCTTCCAAGGTGCCTCTTCCCCTCCCTGCAGGAGCTTTGCATCCGCAACATCCTGAAGCGGTTCCACGTATTGCTGAGCGATGCCATGGACAAGGCCCGCCAGGGCAAGTACATGCAGCAGCAAAGCCAAACTCTAAAACGTTCGTCCGACTCGCTGAAAGCTGAACAAGTGGAAGCGCCAAGTGGGGAGGCCTGTGAAATTCGCTCTGATTTGGAAGCAGGCACTGCTCCCGCGGGCGAGCATGCCTTCTCCTCTGCTAGCAAGCAACGCGACGGGAGCGGCCAGGGGGAACATGCGGCAGGCTGCAGGTCGCTTTCTAAGGGAGGCTTTGGGTCGTCGGATGCGTATATCAGCGTTGAGTCTATCGAAGAGCTGCTGGATCACGTAGTTCCGCGCGCAGTGCGAGAACAGCCCAAGGCAGAAATGCCTCCCCATGTGCGGATCCTCGTGGAGCGCCTCGAGTATTTTCTGCGCAGTCAAGGCAGTCAGTTCTCTAGGGAATGCACCATGGCCGATGAATGGGACCTTAGGCACGAGGCTTGTGCGGACTCCAGTGATGAAGGAGAGTGCGAAGGCAACGGTGACTCCCAAACGTCAAAGCGAGACACTGACATCGATGTCGGGGGTGCGAGCTCATAGGCTGCCCTGGCATTGGGCTGCTGGCTGCAGGTGCTGCGTAGGTTAGCACTGGCGCCTTTTCTGCAAGTGATGCAACAATCTGTGAAAAAACGCAGTTGACCTTTTTCTGCGTGAGATGCTGCCCCCTTGCTGGTGGCTGCAAGGTTTTTGCTATTCGGAAGTTCAGTGCCCGCCGTAGAGGCGCACTCTCTTTTTTTGGAAAAAAGGCAACAGTTCTCCGCTGGATGGATGGGCTGTGAGAAGTGTCGACATACGGCATGCGTAAAAGCCAAAGCCCTTATTTTCGGTATCAAACAAACTGTATTTTTTCGGTTATTTGGCTTGTTCCGCTGAGACGTACTGGAGTCACTACTAGGCACTTGGGGTAGTTGTTAAATAAATGTCGGTGCTAGTGGGCTCTGCAGTAATGCACATCTGAGCGCATAAAGGGGAGGAAGAGTGTGCAAAAGGAAAGCGATATGCATGATATTCATAGGGAAGGTAGAAGCAGGAACTTCTTGTGTTAGTCAATGTCTAACGCAGCGATATCAACCAGCGCTGCTGGCTGCGATACTTGAGGCTGGTAGGCCCCCTGTCTGCGTCCAAAGGAGACTGCGTCAACTAGGCTGGAAACGCGATAGCCTGCATACGTCCTGAGACGGTGGTCATGGACCCCGTAGTGCTTTTCTGCTGCGAACGGCGTGCCAAAGGGCAATGCTTCCTGAGAGTCTGCACTTTGTGTGGAGGAACGCATGGACTCTAGGCTTATGAAACTATTCAGCACTTGCAAGCCTGGAAAACTGCCTCCATCTGACTGCATGCGGACACAGGATTTGGGCGGGTGACTCGTCATCAGACAGGGTGGGGAATGCAGACGTCGACGCTGCAGACTACCGTCTGCAGACCGAATCAGCGCAGTTCGAAGCGCACCAGGAGCTGTGTGCCTCCTAGCTCTCTGTTCGCCGAGCTCCAATGCCCCAGACGCATTACAAGACGACGAGGACGAGAAGTACGATGAAGAAAAGGAAGACGAAGAGGATAAAATCTGTTGATGGGCCGCCGCATTGCCGCTTCCTTGAGAGAGAAGCCAGAACTGACGCGGAGTCACAGCGTCAGCCGTTACTTGTTGGCTGCACTGGGGGGTCCCTGCACACTCAGCTGCAGAAACGGATGACGATCCATTCTGTAACTCTGTGTCTGACCGCGCATGAGAGGTGACAATGTCGTTTGTTTTCTCCTGGAGCTCCTCCTCCAAGATCATGCAAGGCAGCGTTGTGCCGGTTGCTTCCAGGCTTGGTGCCCCTGTTTCTCTCGCCACGCCTTCATCGGGCAAAGCGTTGTGGGCATTTGCCGCTGAAGTATCGGCTGCGGTGTTCTCCTCTGAACAGCGGACTGAGGCGCTGGCCACTGACACTTCCTCGGTAAGAAGCCACTCCTCATCGGAGTCTCGAAAGCGCACGCGGCGGTCAGCTTCCAGTGTGAGGAGGGGGCATGCATCTGGCGTCACTAATGGACCCTGGGACGTTAGGCACGAACTCACTGGGGAGACGGTAAGCGCGGGAGACTTGGGTCGTAGATCTTCAACAGAAATAGGAAGAAACAGGTCCAGATCTGGAGCCTGCTGAAGTAGATCCGCACTGCTACTGGACAGCGAACGAGGCGGCATCCCAGGGTGAAAGAGGGAGGGAGATCGTGGCTCGCTACGCGTTGTTTGCATTCTCGAGACTAGGGCTGCGGATTACCCGAGTCTAATATGGACACACCCATATCTGTGTCTCCGGTTTTAAACACAATATCCCACTTTATGCTTTAAAAGCAGGGGGTTTGGAGAGAGATCATCGCATGGGCATAGCGGCCGCCAGCCTCTACGGTCATTGAGGGAAATGCACGTACGATCGCTCATTCAAGTCGGTAATATGCAAAGAACTTGAGAAATATAGCATGTTTATCTAAAAAGATAGCTTATTTTACTTTGAATATATCCGGAACTTCATCGAGCAGGCACCTTCTTGGTGCTTTTTGTTCAGCACAGAGGCCCCCGACTCGTGTCTGCAGCAGAGTGACCCACAGCAACACAACACAGTAATACAGCAGCACGATGGCGCTTCCAACAAAAACTGATCGTCATGTATTAATAAAATGCTGCTATTCCTGAAATTGTACTGCAAGCATGCTAGGAAGCTGCCTAACACCGAGTTGTGAATCTTGCCTACCGCACCGGCGTGGGGTCACATCGTGGCAAAGTGTCTATAAGGGAAGGGAGCGGTGAATAGAAGTATACTGTGAGTAATCTACGTCTTATATTCTAATACTTTAAAAGCTCTCTCCCTGAAGTTAACGAGAGTCTGATTCTCTATGCTGCTTAACGTATGGCGCATGTGACGTGTTTAGTGAGTCCTCTACTAAGAGACCTGAACATTAATGAAACAAGCTTAGCTACTGAGCTCACCACCAGCACGGCATGCAAGGCCTACATATGCTTAGGGCGCTGGTGCCAGTACCAGTAATAATCGGCATTCAGTTCAAGAGTGGGCCACTTCGACAGGTAACTAGTGCACGATTGTTACGCAAAACTTGCCACACTCATCAACTCAACCAATTAAGTAATTGCGTACAATCTGATCTCGAAGTGAATAGAAGGATCGATCGTGGCTTTTCGATGGATACTCTTAGTGGTTGATGGGCACCCTGCTTGTAGAGCGTTGGGATACACATGAAATGTTCCCAAGCTCCTGCTATACTCATACCTTGAAACTCGTTTGTGTTTGTGTAAAGCACAACGTGGTGGACTATGAAGTACGAATTTCCTACGTAGTGTCTGTAGCGCGCCAAGCTACACATAAACATACCCTACTACCCTAGCAGTAGGTAACCATTACTTATTTGTTTTGACTGCTCGTATATCTCAAGTGCTACATAGAAGTGTTAGCTCGGTGTAGGAAGCTGCAGTGTTCTTTGTGTGCGCTGTGTACCATGTGTAGTGGGCTGTGAATGCTTGGAGTGCTCAAAGGGTGCAGCCACGCACACTCTGTCTCTCTCTACTTATATCGGGAAATCTGAGAAACCCAGGCAAGGGAAGGAGGTAGCACTTTTAGAGAAACAATCGATAGCAATCTGGTGAATTCGTTTTTGGTCTGAAGCTAAGTGTTGCCCCACAGATACCCTAGATGGGACGTTACAGCTGGCAGCACCTCACGGCTTGCTGCAGCTGTTCCCCCCTCATTAACTGGCTGTGGATTACGGTGATATATCAGGTTTCCCGGCATTAGTTGTCTGGCTTCATTTAATCTACTTGGTAATCCCATAGTGTGTTTTTCTTTTTACGACTTTCTGAAACAGTGCGGTGTTGGAAGTAGACTGTGGCGCATGGCCAGCTGCAGTGGAAGAGGTCTGCTTCCAAGCCGATGTGAACAACAGTTAAACAACCGATAGAAAACCGTCATTGAGTTTTTGACAGGAGCTATTTAGCTGCACATGTGAAGCTCTGTGGACTAGAACTTATAAACGGCAGTAGGGTTGGGCAAGCACTAGAGAATTTTATTGTGCGGCAAGTTTAAAAGGACGGGGTAATTCAACAGTGTGTCTGCACATGTAGACAAAGGCGTCCGCTACCTGTGGGAATTATTATACTTCAAGCTCTCACGCCACCCCTAGATTTTTGACTTAGGCGGCCATCAGCTAAACAGCATGCTTTAGGAAAACTGAGACAGCTGACATAGAAGAATCTACCAGTAGATTGGTGTATCGAGAGATGAAAAGTTGGCTTTTAAACGCCACGACGCAGACGGATAGTGACTCTATCATATATGCATATCAGGGGTATTAAAAGCATCACGTTGCAAAGCAGGCAGCTGTTGAACTTCCGACCAGTGGGGCGCCCCTAAATAATGGGCAGCTAGAGAGTTCAGGAACGACCGACTTCAACTCCTGCGTCTGTGGCTGCAAAGGAAGATCCACGTAGGGAGAAAGGACCTATGAATGCAAAGGATACGTCTACCGATCCCAGCCTACAGATTAAGGTGGGCGCGAAAATACAGAAAGCCCACGCCCCTACGCAGCTCCAGACAAATCCCTACCAACAGTGCAATTGCTTCTCTTGCGATACATAGGGAAAAATCATGCTCAACCGCAAGCACATGCAAAAAGCCGAATGATTTGGACCGCTGGATTCGCGTACTCAGAATCGTCCCCTCTGAATGCACCGCTGAGTCACTCGCACGAAGACCCTGCAACACCTCTATTTAGCATCCACTCTATCCCACTCCCAACACAGAAGCCACCACCAATGCTGATATGACTAAACTTTGACTTGAAGTGGCATTGAACTGCCGTGGATTTGACAATCCTTGTGTTGGCCCGCCCATCAGCAAGCGTGAGCCTTGGGGAATGTGCTACAAAGAGTGAGGATGCAGCATGCATTTTCGCACAATCTGCTCGGATTACAGGTCCCCTTCACAGCCTTTGTCAAGAGGTGGAAACGGTAGACATGTGAAACTGCATCAGCGCAGAATTGACCTCCAGTGAATCCCCAATCAAGGCTCTATCCTTTTTGGTAACCTTCACTGCGCCGCAGCCTGCATGGGGAGCTTCCCGTTTCCCTGGTGCTTATTTGCTGGCCAAACAGCCTGCTTCTGCAAAAGCGAATCCAGTTGTTCAAAATTAATTGGCTCTTTGCATGGGCTTGCAGTTACGTTTTAAAATACCCTATTTATCTCAAGAGAAGCAAGCGCATTGTTGGTGGGGAGTTCTATGGGGCTGCGTAGGGGCGTGGGCTTCCTCGGAAGTTTTTTCGCGCCTACCTTAAACTGTAGCCTTAGAGCGGTTGACATACCCTGAGCACTCATAGGTTCTTTCTCCCTACGTGGCTCCTCTTTTGCAGCCACAGTCGCAAAAGTTGAAATCAGTTGCACTTAAACCGTGGCGCGACCCATAATATGGTGGGAGAGAGGCATCTAGGTCGCGCCGAGCTACACCCTCTAAGCAGTTCAGCATCACCAGCTGTCTGCACCAAGCATCTGGCGCACGAGCACCCACCAATGCGTCCTCTCGTATCGAGCTAGTGCTTCTCAGCAGTAAAGATTATATGACGAATGGTCTAATAATTACGTCACTCGTTAGTGAATTTTGAGGTACTTTTAAGTAGTTTAGTAGAAAGTGTTTTGGTATGTGATCATGGTCCGCACCAGCGCAATCGTTCTACCAAAGGACAATACTGTATGGTTTAAAGACATGCGGTAACGGCCCTGTAGAAGGAGGCAGAAAGCACTTCTCCATTTCCCCTGCTAATTTAATTTCCGGGTCGCTCGTCCCCTTTAGGAGGAGCGATGGGAAACGGTAAGGAGCGCTCGAGGCAAAGGTGCGAGAGCGTTGTGGACGAAGAACTTGCTGCTCATTAAAAGGGTGATCCGTGGGCAGAGCGAGGCCAAAAGGCGACACTCGAGCACATTATATTCTTTTGCAAGTGCTTTGCATTTAAGACTATGCCCTCAAAGAAGGGGTGTCGCTCAGAATCGAAGCCTCACAATTTCCCAGAGACCCCACCAGTGTCTGGTCCTGTTGGATCTGCGACGAGGAGGTACGCGAATTGGCTGCACAAAACGCGATTTGAACGCATGCACTGGGTGAGTTTTATTTCGCTTTCCTGAAATGAATTAAAGGAGACTAAAAGCGAATTGGTAAAGGCAAAGAGAGAAGGCACGGTGCCCCACAGCGGGAGCGTGACACTCAGGCGGCGCTCCTTCCGGAGGCACCTTCTTCCGCGAGCAGTGCTTCGCCGCGGTAGAGAGTGCTTCTTTGGCTAGGCTCCACAAATGCAAAAGTCTCACCCTTTTTAAGCTCTCAGTCCTCCTCTTTCTCGGCTAAACTCGGGTGTATCTTCACCTCAAGTGCGGGAGGGGTGGCCAGCCCGAGGCTTCATGTGAATCTTCTTGTTGTTGTTGCGGCCCCTAATGCATCGGAAATCGTTTTTAATCAGTTTTCGGAGGGGTTGTGCATTTCTTTTTAGAATTTGAATCCTTGGAATCCTTTGTGCCTGGAAGGGACCTCCTCCTCGCTCCTGTCCTCCCCTCGCTGTCTGCCGACTTGGTGGCTAAGGGCCAGAGCTCTCTCAGCGCCCTGCAAGCCGTTTCTCCTCCTTCTTTTCCCTTAGAACTTAATGTGGCCTTCCAGGTGCTCCGCAGTGCAGCCCAATGCCGGGGGCTTAGATCCTTCTCCCGTCCCCGTAGGCAGCAGGCGCTGTTTAATCTAATCGACTCCCCTTCTCGTCCTCTCCCTCTCTCTGCGGGGGCGAGCGCAGCAGCTGCAAGAGCAGCAGCAGTGCTAGCAGCGGCAGGCAGCCCTTTGATGTGCGCCGCTATGGGGCGACCCCAGAGGCTCCTAGATGCTTCAAGTGCCGCCGCCTCACAGCGGCCAAAGGACGGCGGATCGCCGCTACACCAAGAAGAAGAAGCCCAGCAAGCGAACGAGCGGCAGCAGCAGCAGCCTCAGACGCACCAGCATGCTGGGATGTCTGAGGAGGCTGCAGGGGCGGCGGCGTCGAGCCGCATCGGCAACGCAAGTAGTCCGTTGACTCCTGCATCAACGTCGCCTGAGGGTGGACCGTTGCGTGGGGCAAAGCAACGCGCATGGTCGGCTACACGGCAGCGTCGGCGGCACCTGAAGAAAGAGCAGGTGCCTCCTGCGGCGCAAGGGGAGTCTGCAGAATCCCCAAGCGTCTCCCAGCGCTGTGCCCCCCCCCCATCAGCATCTTGGTACTCAGCCTCGGCAGCAGAATCGGCTGCAGCATGCGCGTGTGGCGTGTGCGATGGCTCGTACTCGGGGACGTGCGTGGGAGGGCGCTGCTCGCTTGCGGGCTGTGGCGTGGAGGGTGACATGGAGGTGGATGGCGAGGAGCAGCAAGCGCAGGAGCAAGAGCAGCCGTTGCTGTGCGAGACGTGCGAGGGGCGAGACTTTTGCGGCGAGGACGACGAGGAGTCTTCTCCGTGCAATCCGGGTGAAGAGACGCCTGTTGTGGTGTGGGGGCGCTGTTTGTCGAGCGACGGCTGGCGAGAGGAGCATGGCAGCTTGAGCAGCAGCGACGAGTCGGTCGAGTGGGGGGTGGGGACGGTGGTAAGCGCCGACAGGGGCACACACAACGACCACAACCAGAGCAGCAGCAGCAATCCTACTCCTACTCCCAGTCCACCCTTCCCACAGGATCATGCTGCGTGCTCCAGCGTCTGCGCTCACGCGAGGTGGTCTTTCGGAGAGGACAAAGCAGACGCCGTCGAAGCGGAGCCGTGGATAAGCGAGGCTGTGAGGTACATGGAAATCGTTGTCGAAGGCAGCAGCAGCGGCGTGGATTGTGTCGAGCTAACCACATCCCCATCCTCCTCGTCTGCAGCTTCCGCCGCCTGCACAAACAGCAGAACGAGATATAAGGCCCCATCAGAAGCCAGCCGCAGTCTGGACCTTATGCCTCAACACGTGGCAGCTGCTGCTGCAGCGACTCTGGCAGAAGCGGGGGGAGGTTCTCGAAGGGCACGCCGCAAGACGGCAACGGGAGACTTCGCGCAGGGGAGAGCAGCAGACGCATCGGAAGCTGGAGAAGCAGTGGTTGCAGACGTTTCCCACGGGGTGTCACTACAAGAGGTGCATGTGCTTGTGCTCAAGCTGTACCAGGAGCTGCAAAAGGTTGCTGCACAGGTTATGGCCAAGGGGTGTGAATGCGCCCGTGGCTCCTGTCTTCAGCAACAAAAACAACAACAGCCACAGCAGCAGAAGCAGCAGCAGAAGCAGCAGCAGCAGCAGGGAACTCCGCCCATGTCGAACGCAGAAGACGAAGCGTGTAATAGCGCCGATAGCGGGAAGAGTAGTGCCTCCAGCAGCAAGGGCAGTGGAGGAAGCGGCAGCAGGCTCTGCGCGTGTTGCGCTTTTGGCACGCCATTGCGCATTGGCGCTGCATTGACGCACCTCTACAACGAGAATCCTGACCGCTTCTCGCTGCTAATCCATGATTCCGTGCTGCTGGCTCTGCTGCCGCTGCAGCGACACGCAGCAGCCGCGCTTGCGGATGCAGTAGTGCAGCAGCCGTCTCCGCTCGCTGGCCTCTTGGGGGGGGGGGCACCCTCCGAGTTGCTGAAACAAACTGCGGAGGCAACTGCAGCGCGCGTGGTGGCTGCTGGTGCAGCTTCGTCGCGCATGCCCACGAGGAGCGATTGCAGCAAACCGCAGCAGGAGCGGCAGCAGGAGACAGCGGCTGCTGCAGAGTCTAAGGGCCCCGCAGTGTATGCGATTGCTGCACAGCGGTACTGGAGCAGCAGCAGCAGCAGTGGCTTGAAATGGGGGGATCAGATCAAGAGGCGCTCGTGGCCAGGGTGCATGTGGAAGCCAAAGTCACGAGAATCGAAGGGGAGTTATAGCTGTTGTGGAGTGCCTCTGTGCCCTCACAAGCTTGCCGCTGCGAAGCGGTACATGGAGCAGCAGCAGTTCCCACAAAGGGAAGTGCTGTATCGGCAGCTCCCCCAGAAGAGTATCGTGCCCACAGCCCATTACGCTGTGCAAGAAGCGCAGCAAGAGTATCGGTTGGAGCAACAACCCAAAGCATCAACTTATCGGGAAGCGCTTGCTTCTGCCAAAGATGCAGAGGCAAGCCCCTCTGCTCGCAAGAGAGAAGACAGCGAGGAAGAAAGCCTAGCAGCATCGACACCCAAAGAAAGGACAGCCGCAAAGACGGCTGCCACGCCCTCAGCGAAGGCAGCAGGTGCTGCTGCTTCTGCTGTGGAGCTGGAAAGCAGCAGAAAGATGCCTGCTTTTGTCGGCCCCTCCACTGGCTGCTACAGATCCGCTGCAGACTGGTGTGCTGGCTGCGCCAGGGTGCAGCGACAGCTGCTGCTCTTCAACAGCAGCACGGAACCACCGCTGTCTCTGGGGCAGTACATCACCAGGCTGCAGCACTTGGCCTGTGCAACGGAGCATGAGCTGCTGATGGCGTTGCTGTTACTGACGCGCGTGCAGCAGCGACAGCAGCAGCTGCGCATCTCGAAAAGAAATGCTCATCGACTGCTGCTGGCGGCACTTGTGCTTGTTTCCAAGGTGGTGAGAGACGATCACACGCCGCTCGCCCTGTGGGCTGTTGTGGGGGGCGTGTCATCTCGAGAGCTCGCCTCCCTGGAGATGGCTCTTCTGGAACTGGTTGGTCATCGCGTCTCGTTCTCTCTGCCCGAGTTTGCTGCGGCGTACTGTCTTGCGGCAGCCCTCTCTCATCTGCAGCGTCAGCAAAAGGAGCACGGCCAGCAGCAGCAGCAACAACAGCCGCAACAGCAACAGCAAAGCCGGGGCAGTGGGAAGGTGGAGGATGAAGGTGACGGCAAGACGCCCGCGGCGCTTACGGGCACTTACGAATTGGTAGAGAATGATGCCACTAGCAACGGGAGATTTAGCGCCTCTGCAGACGAAGAATGTGGAACGAATTCTACCAATAGTGAGAGATCGGATCCAAATGTGGATTTCCCGCAAGGGGCGGCCAATCGAGGAGAAGAATCTGGGCTGCCCCTGCGGTGTACGCACACAGCAGTGCCCCGTCCGGCTCTGAAGACGAACCCCGTATTAAGGCGGCTGATGCAGCTCCAAGGGGGAGCTGGCATGCGGTGAGCGCCCCCAAAATACACAAGAGGACATGCCTTCCGGGCTGTTTGGGCGGCAATGTTATCCGAGACTGACTCGCCACGTGCACCTCGTCGTGCTGTATCATTGGAGGCCAGAAACACTGCACAGAGGGCTTAGAGAGGGCCAAGCGAAACAGCAAGGTGGGCAGAGAGAAGAGCAGAAAGGAGCCGGCAGGGGAATTCGTGCCGCCACGGGGGGAGGTATTCAGACGTCGCTTGGTGGTTGTCTTGGCGAGAGCCCGCCAGTTTGTTTGTGCGGGCTGATGACGGTCACCTTCTTGGTTGGCGCAAGTGAAGTTAAGTATACCCATTATTTAGCTTTTTGGTATTGTTGTTTGCCTCCACGGGGCCCGTTGTTTATGTTACAGTTGTGCTTCTGCATCTTGTGGGGGCCTGTAGTATAGTGCCTATCTATGTGTCTCGTATTAGTAACCATCTTGTTATTCCCTCATCGAAAGAGCTCGCATACTCTATGTGGAATCGACCGGCACGACCTGGCTTAACTCTGAGACTGCAGCAGGATTTTTTTATGTGTTCGCGTTGTTTGTTGAATATAGTTGTTTTTGAGTGACTTGTGTTTTTATCGCCAAGTGCCTCGCATTGTGGGGACGTTGCTGTGTGTGTGAACCGTAGCTGGCTCTCTAAGCCAGTTAGCGCATGACGTATCCTAACGATGAAGGAGCCGTATTGCTTGGTTCTTTTCGGCTGTCGTCAGGTATTATGTGGCCATGCAGCTGTGTTACCAATCTCTGCAAGGGGCTGCACCCTAGCCTGCTGGGATTGCCTCTGGCCCCGTACTCTATTTGTGTAGGGTTTTTGTGTCATTTTCTTAGCGTCCTGGACGTCTCACCGTTGGAGCGCCGTTCGGGCCGCAAACAGTCCGTTGACTCTCAGGTGACGTCAAATGTCGTGCCTTTATTTGCCCAAATCACATCCAACTGCAGTGCACCTGCAGCAGCAGTCCTCTTCAGGCTTCAAACGCATCTATGAGTGAGAGGCCTGAGTAGCTGTAGGGTATCCCCACTCTGACAAACAAACAGCACTTTGACTGACGCTCCGGTGAAGCCCCGGTAAAGCGTAAACAGCACAATTGCAACGGGTTTTAATCGCAAACTACACCTAGCCGTACGCAACACATGCAGAAAAGAGGAGTCTTGCAGTGTACGCACTAGACGATAAAGGAATGACAGTGGCAAGTGCAGTGTGCTGGCCACTGCGGTGATATGCAAGCTGCTAGGAGGCCAGAGTAGGTGCGTCGCTGGCACGAGGCCCGCCATGTGAGTTGGAATTGTCAAGGAGCCTTTTAAAGGCAAGCAGGGTAGTCCTTTAGTGGTTCGTGGGTTCGCTCTTCGCCAAATTAGCTTGTGCTGCGGAGCACTGCTTTGCCGCATGGTCCAAGGAAGACATTGTATCACGCATGCTGCTTTCACACAGCAATTGAATGACGCTGGAGAAGAAGGCCAGACATTCCTCAATGGAGAGAACTCAAGGATCCACAAAACGAATTCTAGGGCCACCGTCCGTTGCGGATGGAGAGCAAGTTAAACGTTTCCCATCTTGCTTGTACAGGAACATGGAGGTAAATTCCCAGGCCGTGGGGCATACCTTGTAGAAACCTTCCTGGTCATGCCAACGACTCTTGTTTGAATCATGGAGAGAAGACTGAGTACCAGCAGAACGCGCTATTTCCTGTAGAGTGCAAGTAGTATACGAGCTACAGCCTTCGAAATGCAGAGCAGTTACACTAGTGAGAGAACTTACGCGTTTAGAAACTGATTGAGAGGTTTGATGATTTTGTGAGACTCGGAATAACAATATCCTTCATGAAGACTCATGCGGTGGGTCTAGAGCGCTTCTGGTGTACAAGCATCCCGCTGGGTACGCACTGCGTAGTGGCAAAAATTCGCTTCTAAAGCGCCTGTTCAGCTATATTTTGGCATACGCTGAAGCTTATTTCGATGCAGCAATGATGAAATGGCCATGGAGCTGTTTTCTCTGTACTTTTTTCGCGTGGATCTGCCTTTGTGTTTGCCAACCTGAAGATGGTGGCGGAATGCAGCGAGGCGATCCCTTTATCCAAGGAACACTTAAGATTAACGGAAAGACATACAGGGCTATATGCAATTGCAACCAAGGTACAGCTGCACCTTCATGAACTCTTAATGTAACAAGTGTGTGATTCCCACTGGTCAATGCAGGCCTGACCGAAGGCGATCAGAAGCTCACGGAAGTTGTACCACTGTGGTAACCATCCCTAATATTTCTAGCCCCGCAAAAGAAACCTTTTACGTGATCAAAACGGTGTACAACAGCAATCCAAGTAATGTCAAGATTCATCAAGACAAATCTGCAGCAGGAGGGCTCTCCGCGTCCGAAGTGCGCTCCATTTGGGGCCAGCCATCAGATGCAACCTTTGCCAACGTTTCTGAGTCACATTTCGCGTGCCTTGATGACCGGGTCACAGCGCCTTCTTTGTATACCCCTGGTGAGTGCAGTAGACCACCACAGCGCCTGAGGCGTATGGGGTTTCGCAATTCAATTTCGCGCGATTCAGCGCCTCCCCTCTCTTTCTTCTTCTATATGCTTCTAATCTAATTGTGCGGTTGTTATTTGCTATCAGGAGGGGACCTGGGCGAGTTCGCGCTCGCGCTTACGGCGTGTGGCACGGCCCCTAACGACGCAATCATTCTGCAGATTCTGAATGCTTACGTGGCATCTGTTCCCGGAACCCGGAAATTTTACCACTGCACAGATGACGAAGCCCTGGAGCACATGGAGTCGTACTTGGGCGTGGTAGGGATGCTAGTTGTGGCACACCAAAGGCGTCGGATCTCACCACACGTCTCATAGGAAGGCCTGGATATGTTCTCCCCCGATCCACCGACGCAAGCTGAAATCACGAAAGCGCTGGAGCAGCCTAGAAACGTGCGTTTTTTTGCCTTACTTACGAATACATTAGCCGCTCATCCAATCGTGCTGCACATAAAGGTGGGAGATGTTCATTTCAGAAGCATGATGAAGAACCCCGGATGGTATGACCTGCCCCCCAAAGAAAGCGAGCTTGTTTTGGCCGCACCAAGGGATAGCTGCATATTTCTTTAGTGCTAGGAAGCCCCGTAAATCCAAAGAAGATGCTAATGGATGTATACATTCATTTTTAGGTACCACGCCGAGAGAGGTACAATATATTATCAGGTAATTCGCTTTCCCTAGCGGTTTACCACAGAATCGAGCTACATCGGCCTCCGAATGACTACTGCAGCGCAGGGCATATTTTCGTACCACTAAAGATGGAGTTCCTTCCGCTGCTTCACTTCAGGACTCTCGACGGCCGTCATGAAAGCATTCTTTGCGATTCTTTGGGACAGTTCAAATCCCAATCAGCCGCGGATGCAGCTAGACGTCTTGGCAGGAAAACATGGGCCACAAGCATTCTTAGTACGTCCTTTCTACATACCCTACATGGAGAAAACTGCTCAAGTGCAAATGCCTTGACAAATGGCAGGAAATTGCAACCACTGAAGACTGCGAAGCAGCCGGGGTGGCACCCCTGCTAAAGGCTCGGGGGCGACAGGCGAGGGCGCTCGTTAGCCACATGAACGCAGTTAATGCCAGGAGAAAAGAATTAGCCGCATTCCTCACCAAAAACAGTTTCTGCTCCCTTAGCGCGGAGGAGCTGGCGTCACGCATGGACCGTTACGGTAGGGCTCTACAACAGCCATGCGACACCACACACTGGCATTGAACCACATGATTGCATGGAACACCTGCAGGACTCACGTGGCTAGAAAGCACAGGTATGCCCTCGCACAAGAGACCAGTTGAGCTGGACAGACATGCGGATAATGAAACGGGAGCATGTCTCAGGCGCCCGGCTGGGGAGGGACCTGCCTTTTTATCGCGTATCATTCATCTGACTGAACACAGTTACTGAACAGCGTCCCTGATTCACTGCTTTCCGCCTCTGCTTCCTATGCTGAGCGGCAAGCCTATAGGCCCAGTTTTGGCATTCTAGCAGCTCCACACGCCCACGTTCCGTGCGCATATCGCTCGTTTGGATCTTTTGTCCCACTCCACTTTGTCACATTCCGCAATTCATGCTAGTCGTCATCCAGTCCCAACTGGTCATTCCCCACGGTGTCTGCCTCTTCGTTTCCTGCTGCTGACGCTTTTGCCGTAGCAGCGAGGAAGGAAACCGAAGCTTTTTCCGCAGCCGTCAAGCTGCGGCTAATGATATAAGCGTCTTTCAGATCTCTCTCTTCCGACGCAAACGAGTCATCAGCGACTCCTGTGCCTCCTTGCTTCCCTCGTGGGTCTCCAGCAGTGGGCACTTTCAGCCCATCTTGCGTAGGCTGCTCTGGTGCTGAAACCGGGATTGTGCCCTCAAGAACTATGTGGCTCCACTCACCCTCCAAGAAGGTGGCAGCGGCAACAGCTGGAAGCCCTTGCAGTTCCATGTGAAAAGCCATACTGTGCCCTTCTGTACGGGCGGCTCCTGAACCCTGGGGCGCTTCGGGAGTCCCCCCCATGGGGCATCTATGCGCCCTCAAGCTGAACAACCGTCGCACGAGGCTCACTGGAGAAAAAAAGATAATTTGTTGAGCCACAATACGAACTAGACTAGACGCATGGCGCAGATAGAGAGAGAGAGAGACAGAACGGACTGGTGATGCACCCTTACACGAGGGACCCCGGGGAGCATCGAGAGGCCCCTGGGCCCCACCGTCGCCCTAGGCACTTCAGTAGCTAGTTTAAGGCGAAACCCGTGCAACAACAGCTGACTAGTGGATTACTACTCGTATTTAGCTTTGGGCGAAGGCAGCATACGGCTAGGACGAATGCCTCCTTCCTGGGCTTGCGTTATCTGTAGCACACAGCTCATCGGGAGTATCCCTATTTTTAGGTACTTGTCTTTTCAGTGTCTTGTTTGACCTTGTGTGGCACCAAGTAATGAAAATTCGTCTCTCGCTAAGCTGGAGTCTGCGACATTTCTCCTCCCTCTAGCAATGACCTCACTGACTGCGAACTACTTCACTGTATCCTTGGGTACTTGTTAATTCTTGTGCGTCTTTTTGTCCCGCTTTGCTTTGGGCCTACAAAAGGGCCTCGTGAGATGAAATGTAGACACACTGGCAATTGCCTTACAGATCCTTCTGCCCGCTTTCCAATGAACCTGCAAAGCTGCACTCTTTGATCGCATAGTGTTTTCTCGGAGTGTTCATCAAAGTCGAGCACAAAATCAGTCTAAAAAGAGACAACCATGCATATACAATACCGAGGCTTCATGAATACCCATGTCCAAGTCGGTGAGGGAGGCGAGGGGGTGATGCTGCCTCTCTTGGTGCTGCTAGTTGCACTGCTGCTAGCTGCTAATTAATTCAACTTTCTTTGTCCCTGAGACGATACCTATACCTCACGTCGGTGCAGGTGTCTGGAACTCCATCCGTTCAACACCAACTGTGGAACCCATCACACGATTCATCGTTCAGCTCATGGTCACTGGGGTGCAATGGGGCGCTATCAACCGTGTCCTAGCAGCTACCTTGTGGGAGGCCGTGAAGAAAGAGCTTTTCCAATGCGGTATTTAGTCATCAGTATTTGCAGACTAGTGGCTGAACTTAGCTTTTTCCATATCAAGAAAACTTTTCTTCTGGACACCAATATGAAAAATCCGTTTTTATGTCACACCACCGAGGATTTCGATAAACAAGGTTTTTGGTTGCCGAAATAAGCACCGTGGAGTTCAAATAAGACGTAAGATTTTGGAGGGCTTGTGATTCCTCGAAGGAAGAACATAAAACACAGAAAAAGCAATGGCAACCTGTGTTGCAGGCGGCCTAGTCTGGTTTCAATATCTAGAGCAGGCTATCAACAAGTGCTGTACCTTCCTTCAAAATGGTGGTTCCTTTTACTTGTCAGCCCTTAACCGAGCCCTCCCCATGAAACTCCACACAATTGCACGGTGCAAAAAAGGCGTTGCCGAGAGGCAGAATTCGGGCGTATACAGAGTGGCCTATCGGCAAATGCCCTTTTCTTTACGTTGCATTCTCAGGACCAGGCTTGTTATTTGTGCCAGTGCCACTACGGGAGATATGACTATTATCCAAGCTGTAATTATTAGTCAAAGTAGAAATATGGGCAATAAACAAAACAACTCAAGCCCTTGGAATTTTTATGTTTTCTCGTGCATGGCTCGGACGGTAGCAGCTCAAAACACAAAAGGCGGCCATAAGCCATCTCATATGTAATTCCTGCACCTAGGGGAGGTCCTGTGCTTCATGTTTGTCCAGCGCTATTTATGCTTTTCCAGTCAGTAACCATCTGCCGGTGAGTATGCATTGATATTTGCTCGCGTTACCCTCCACTGTCTTGCCATTATGTTTGTCTTTTGTGTATACTGAGGGGACGTACCGCAAACGGCAAAGGCTGCCAGGGCTCTGGAGATATAAGAAGTTCCTGTATCCCTGCTGAGGTGCTGGAGATCCGACCAGGGCAATGCAACAACACCAATTGCTTAGGTATTCTGTGAATTAGCCACAGGGCCACCGACAGCTCGAGGAGGGCACATAGTCCTCTCTCAACGGCTGCCCGAGCAGCTTTCTAAAACGGAAAGAGGCCACAGGGAGCGAAGGATGCACCCCTAATGCAGTTTGCGCCTACCGGTGGTGTATATTCATCTCCCAGTGCTCAGGACCTACCCTACAGAAAAGGGTTGCAGGCGTGCCTGCACTTAGTCATAGAAGAGGCATGGTGGAAGATTCAATTTGTGCTGCTGCTGGTGAAGAACAGAGGCTCGCTGTAAACTCTCTAAATTTTCTGTACATTTGGATGCTGGTCAGGCCATTCACATGAAAGCTGTCCCGGGCATTCAAGAACCCTGCTTCAAAAAGGGCAAAAACACACAACTAAGGAGAGTGGAGACGCTATTCAGATGCATACCAGTGCTTTGGACTCATGCGCTCATCACCAGATGGATTAAGGTCGCATTGAGCCAGCGATATCGCCCCACCAACGTTTCTTTGAGCACAAGGAGTGCGTCTGCTGGTTGCAATGGCGTGCTTGCAGTGTCCTGTAACTTTTGGAAGTACGGATTCGGCTTTGATATATACGAAATTCTGAATTTAACTGCTGTATGCTCATCTGTAGGTGGCTTAAGCAGAAACAGCTTGGGGTTAAAGAAATTCGCAAGCCGCCTACTAGGAGGAAGAGTTTCAAGCTTTCTTTTCGCTTTCATCACAGGGAATCAAGCGCTACTAACGTTAGTTCTTGTGCATTTTTTCTGGTTCTTGGCTGCCAAGTTCCGTCTTCAGGCAAAATCACGGTTTGAATGCAAGCCTGTAATTGGTGCCGTTTCCTTTTAGCACCACTTTTGCACTTTTTCCAGTGAAAAGTACGCTATGCTCTCAAAATTCGGCTCGGTGCGGCAAAATATTCTTTTTGTCCCTCCAAGAGCAGGGCCTGTTACCTACAGCGTGGCGCAGCGAGGCGTTGAGTGATGAAACCGGACGAGAGTGCAAAACAAAAGAAATTCGCTTGGGATCACAGCATCGTTACAAATAATACGGGCAACTGCTTGTGCGTGCATCGTAGAGGGCACTTCAAAAGATTACCAAAGTAGTTTAAAGTGGTAGATGCTTGGGCAAGCGACTGTATTTAATTTATGAGAACAAGTTAGAAGGAAACTTCTTCATCAAGATCAGCAATACTACATGACGCGTGACTGCAAAGCGCGCTTTTCTTTCTAGCGCATCGCTACAAACGTCAACTACTTGAGCGATGCGTTGGTTTCTTCTAGCAATGGGAGAGCTGGCACCTGGGCAGTTCACCCAGTAAGCGTCATTTGTATCTCGTTAGCTGCTGTTTCCTACATGCAGAATATCTATGCCATTCGGCACCACCAAATCAGCTAGGGCGTTCTGATACTCCAGCGGCGGTTCATGAAACTACTCCGCTTTGAACGCACGCTGTGCGCAATTGCGCGCAAGTCAGTGTCTGCCTAGTTAGGATGACGCCAAGATATTTTCTGCAAAAAGCTGAAATATGACTTTGCTCATTTTAACCAAACGTTTGTTGCGGACTCCGATAGCAGAGGGGCGCCTCTAGGTGTATCGCCTCAATTCATAAAAGTCTGGGCGTTGTGTGATGCCTCTGTGCCGCCGTGAGGCTGCGCTGCCCCTATTAGGCTGCGCCTTCGCTAGACCCGCATACCAAAGCCTCATCACTTTCTTTTTTAGTGAGAGGCATGCCACCGACCATGGGGTGTTTCAGTGGACGCTACTTCGGGATTGCGAAATCTCGCCAGGGAACGCACGCAAGGTATGCCGCACAAACAACAGCTGGCCTTCGTTGCTTGCAACACGGAGCAGCCCCCCGTCATTGGGCAACACCGACGCAAGGCGTACATATAAGATGACTGCCAATTGGGCAGAAGTGTTGAGTACGGCATGTCGGTTGTTGAGAGTCTGCTGCCGTAATAAGGCAGTGCGCACCAGCAGACGCAGCTGCTGCAGTTAGTTGACAAAAAGGTGGTGATTTTTGGAGCCAAAGGGTACAGCGTGATGCGTGGAGTCCCGCAGCTGCAGCAGTTTGCATGCAAGCTCGTCGCTCTTCCGGTCTGCTGTGGCAGTGAGATGTTGTTCGTAGACTTGTTGCAGCAGCAGCAGCGCCTCCTCTCCGGGCATGAGGGAACAGAAAAGGCGTAGCGGCTCATGGCAGCAGCAACAACACTGTCTCAGTGCTGCGGGTGCGTTGCAGCAGCCACAGGAAACTAGGGGTTGTTGTTGCAGCTGCTCTTGCTGCTGCAGCTTTTGCTGCTGTTGTTGCGCAACTTCTACCAGCTGCACGATATTGCCAAGGGCACTGAGCGCTGCTTCTGCAGCCCTTCCGTCCGCTGTAGCAGCTGCGATTTCCAGCAAGGCCCACAGCTGTTGCAGTGCGCCATGCTGCAGCAGCGGGAGAATCTGCTGGAGGCTTTCTGCGGTAGCGCACGCATTGGAAACAAGCCACAACGCCTCTTTGCGCAGCTCTGGTCCCACGTGAGGCTGCTCCTGCAGCATGAGCAGCGCATGCCGCAAGATGTTGGACTGCAGCAAGAGCTGCAACTGCTGGCTGCTGCCAACAGCGAGATTACTTAAAGCCCAACACGCCTCTCTGCAGAGGGAGGGGCGGTCCGTCTGCAGCAGCAGCGTGCGGAGGCAGCGCAACACTACGGGGATGCCTCGCGCGCAGCAAGGCCTATCTGAGGCTCGCGGGAGGAAGCGTCTCTTCGAGAGGCTGAGGCTATCGGCGTTGCTGCAGGGGTCTTCTGCAGCGACGGACGGTGCATGCGAGGCTTCTAAGCACCGCAAACAGCAGCAACAGGCAAGCAGCTGCTGCGTCTGCCGCGTACTCCCAGCAGCAACTTGTCCCACAACCCGCAGCGCAGGATGCAGAGGCAGCAGCGAGCGCTGCCTCTCCTGAGCTCGCTGCTGCTGCACATGCTGCTTTTTCAAGCTGCAAACGCGGCAGCAGGCATTCCTAAGCCCTGTGCTGAGATCCACCTCCGATACACGGGCAGTCGTTGCTTCGCTGCCTCCTGCCAGCGTTCCTGCGCAGCCACTTCCATCTCCCGCTGCTTGGATCAAAGCCACAGCCTCTGCGCCTCCCCAGCACTCGGCTGCGCAACAGCAGCTCTCGCTGCTGTGAGCCAGTGCATGGATCACGTGCTGCAGCAGGGGAGGCGACTCCAGCAGCAGCGACACTCCATTAGGGCTTGTCACGAGGCCATCGACAGCCCAGAACGCGTCAGCGAGAGTCTCCTGCTGCAACGTCCAATCCGCCTCCCGATGCGGCATCTGATGCAATGACGCTTGCTGTAGGGCATGCCGTAGCAGGGGCAGCAGCGGCAAGAGCAACTTGGCCTGCGAAAAAGCCAATTCAACCCCATATATACATATACATATATATATATATATGCATATACATATACATTATATATATGTATACATACATGTGCATACATTAACTCATATACATCCATAAAAACATATACATCCATAGAAACATATTCATACATAAGCACATATTCATACATAAACACATATTCATGAATGAATATGTGTTTATGTATGAATATGTGCTTATGTATGAACACATAGACATCCATAAACACATATTCATTCATGAACACATAGACATACATAAACACATATTTATTCATGAACACATAGACATACATGAACATATAGACATCCATAAACACATATTTATTCATGAACACATAGACGAACACGTACACATGGGTAGATGTCGAATTGTTGTTGTTGGGGAAATGTGAAAAGGCGTATTCTTCATGCTACATTTGTTGCTGGGGAGGCGTGTGCCCCTTCCTAGCCGTGCATGTGTGTGTTTGCAAGTCTCGGCAGGAAGTGTGTCTAAGCGTTTCAGGGGATTTAGGGGAATTTTGATGGAAAGCAGGAGGCGCGATGTTGAGAAAGAGCAGTCAGTCGGCTACCTCAGGCCTAGGATTTCCTCTGCAGAGATTCGAAATAAGCCACACTGCGGTGCGCCACGTCTGCGGCCGTCTTGCATGCTGCAGCAGCAGCAGCAGCTGTTGATGCAGCGAAGGCAGCTGCTGCTGTTGTTGGGTTGGGAGGGGTGTCGCTGCCGCTGCGAGGCGGTGCATGCGCTGCAGGAGAAGCTGCTGCAGAGGCGGTGTGATGGCATGCTGCTGCGCATGAAATAGGCGTTCCTGCATGCCTTGCTGCAAGGGCTGGCCATGCAGGAGGAGGGCGTGGAAATGCTTCTGCAACAGCTCATGCGAGAGAACAATGTCTCTATACAGAGGACTGTCTCCTGTAAGGTTGCCTAGAACCCACAGGAGCTGCTCGAAGGCTTCTTCTTCTGTCGGAGCACCAGCGCCTCCTTCCCTGAGGCTTTCGCAGCTTCCCGTCTGCGGACTGCCTTCAGCAAGCAGCAGCACAGGCTTGCAGTAGAGGGGCAGAGACGCGGGAGTGAATGCAAAGAGACCGCAAAAAATGAAGGCTAAAGCTCCGCAGCTTACGACTGCAGCGGCGTCCGCGCTGCTCCCACTCCCAAGATTTGTGAGGCACCAGGCGGCTTCTAGCTGCGGCAGTCAGGCAGAGGAAAACGAAAGAAGCAGCAACAGCAGCGGCAATTGGAAGGCGCTGGAACAAGCGCTAATAGCAGCAGAAACACATGCACGTATACACGCATACACACAGACATACAGACATACGTATACACACTGACAGACACACCTACATACACGTATACACGCATACACACAGACATACAGACATACAGACATACGTATACACACTGACAGACACACCTACATACACGTATACACGCATATACACAGACATACAGACATACGTATACACACTGACAGACACACCTACATACACGTATACACGCATATACACAGACATACAGACATACGTATACACACTGACAGACACACCTACATACACTTATACACGCATACACACAGACATACAGACATACGTATACACACTGACAGACACACCTACATACACGTATACACGCATACACACAGACATACAGACATACGTATACACACTGACAGACACACCTACATACACGTATACACGTATGTACACAGACATACACACACAGGAAGCACAAGAGAAGCAGCAAAAAGCCTTAGAGGAGCTCACCATAAGGGCCTTGCTGTCATGTGCTAGGCAGCCCACGAGTAAGGGCAGCGCGCCAGCCTCGAGACATGCAGCAATGGGTATTTCTCCCGCAGCAGAAAGAAGCTGCCGTAGAGCACGGACCCCATTGAGCAGCGGAAGTATGTCTTCTTGATTATCTAGAGGTCCTTGGAAGCAGCTTGCCTGCTGCTGCTGCTGCTGCTGCTGCTGTTGCTGCTGCTGTTGCTGCTGCAGAGCCTTGTGCAAAAGCTCAGGAAGAGGCTGCAGGTGTTTCCTGACTCGTTGCAGCATTTTGGATCCTTCAACTGCGCCGCTTAGCGCTCCCATGGCAGCAGCAGCGTCTGCTGCTGCAGGTGCAGACACCGTGGAGGATGCCGCAGCAGATGCAGCATCCAGTGCAGGGGCTGACAGACAAAGTTGGTTAGACATTCGAGCCGTGAGATCTTCTACAGACTCCGAGGGAGCCGACGAAGGGCCTTGCCTCCTACATGCAGGTGGCAAGAGCTGCTGCTGCTGGAGCTGCTGCTGGTGCTGCTGCTGCAACATTTGGCCGCGCGTCAATCAAGGAGAGGGTTATCAGGAAGGGGGAGTGAATCCAAGAAGGCGGAAATGCGCATGCAGAGCGCCCTGAGTGCAATGATAGACTTCTAGAACCGTCAAGTGGTGCGCGAAGTCTTGTGGCTGTTGCCGCTGGAATCCTCGATGAGAGGTCTGCCGCTGCTGGGGGGGAGATGACGGCGTAGCAGCCGCTGCAATCTGGTGCCTTTGTGGAGAGACACCAGCAAAAGACACTCCCGCATTCATCCCGGGGAGGCCAGCCGACCGCAGCGGCAGCCGCTGCTGCTGCTGCAGCAGCAGATCGCCGTCCTCCTGCTTCCTTATTCTGACTTTTCCGTTGTGCTCGGAGTCAATAGCAGTGGCGGCAGCTACTTTGGCTGCGACTGCCGCCGTCTTGACTGCCCGTGGCTCGGCTCCTCGACACAGCTAGCAGCATGGAGGGCATGAAAGCGCACGGGTGCCTGCTGCGCGTCCTTCCCCCCTCCACAGGCGCTGAGTTCGCTTTGAATCTGAGTTTTAAGCGGCGAAATGCAACAAAAGCAAGCGCGAAATGGGGTTGTTCGACGGCTCAGCCTGTCTGGGGGACAGGGGGGAGGGGGGAGTTTCCCCGGTGGGGTTGCTGGCTGCTGCCTGGGCAGGGCAGGCGGCTGTCGGCCGCTGCGACTTTGCGCAGCGTGACGGGGGGGTGGGTGCAGCGTGTGGCGAGGATGGCTGTATTGCTTGCTGCTTGACGCTGCGAGTTTTCTCTCTTTTTCGCATGAGAAAAGGCAATATCTTGCATCTAGAGCCTCGGAAGGCGCGTTGAAACGAGCTCGCCCGCATGCATTCGGCAGCCCCCTTTGCCCCACAGTGCAGAGGCGAGAGCGAAATTCGGTTGTGCCGCTTCGTGGCGGTTGTTGGCTGTCTGACTCTTGACTTCTTCTTTGCCTCCGGCCTGGGAAGAAGCAGATGCAGCGGGATCTTTGACCGCGGGGAGAAGTCTCTCCTGTTCAAGTACAATGGGGAAGAAGCGAGGACGGGAGTCTGCAGCAGCTGCTGCTGCAGCTGCTGCTGCAGCTGCTTCCCCTGCAGCAACAGCGGAAGCAGCTGCTGCTGCCGCCAAAGCTCCCCTGGGCTTGCTGCAACGTAAACTGCAGCGGCTGATGCCATCGAGCGCCTCAGCAGCAGCGGCTATTGCCGCTGCTCCGAACATGACGCTCCCCGTGCAAGGACCACATGGACAGTGGATAGCACCGAGTGCGCAGCAGCAAGTGCAGCAATTGCAGCAAGTGCAGCAAGAGCAGCAAGTGCAGCAAGTGCAGCAGCAAGAGTTGACTGGACGCCGTCAGAAGGTTAGGGGGAGCTCGAAATCCGCAGAAGAGGTTCAGTCCCCTGCTGCGTGGAGGCGCAGCAGTACCAGCGCGAAGGCTGTTCGCAGTTGCGGCAGCGGCAGCAAGGGGCGTGACAAGGAGGGTGCGATAAGTGCAGAGGCATGGGCTCTAGTTCGAGGCTGCAAGACGCTGCAGCAGAGGAAGCAAGAAATGGCGGCAGCAGCAGTGCGTATCATGTCTGCCCCGGAGCGAGCTGCCGAGGATCTCGATATTTTGTTTGCCTTCTGCAGTCAGGCGCGATCAGCAGCAGAAGCAGCGGGGGTAGCGTGTGGAGGCGCGAGGACGGAGCAGCAGCAGCCGCAGCAGCAGGAGCAGCAGCAGAGGCGCCTGCTGCGACTCCGTGAGTTGCTGCAGACTCGGCAGCTCGCGATTCTGTCGCTTGCCGCAGTTCTGCGTGACACTCTACCCAGACATAAGTTGACGGCAGCAGCTGCTGCAGAGACAGCAGCCGCCGCAGCAGCAGAAGCTGCCAAAAGCGGCAACAAGAATGCTGCTCTGAAGGCTTTTCGCCTTTCCAAAGACGTGGAGAGGCAGCAGCAACACGAGCAGCAGCACATTCGCACGTACCGCCGATTCGTGGCGCTCTTGCAGCACGAGCTAAAGCCTCTGTTGCAGAGCAGGCTTGCAGGCAGGCTCGACTGTCTCGCCATGGAGCTGCCTCCTGCTGCAGCAGCGGCACGAGCAGCAGCAGAAGTTGTTGGCGTGATACCTATCTTCAACGAATCGGATACGTCTTTGCTGCAGCTCGCCGTGCAGGCTGCAGCAGCCGCCACTGCAGCGGCAGTGGAGCTGCAGGTGCAACAAGAACAAGAAGAACAAGAAAAACGCGAGCGAGAGCAAGAGCAACGTCGCGAGCACTTGCGGCTGCTTCAGGAAGCAAGTTCAAGCATCACAGAGGCTTTGCAACACGTCGTTGCAGAGGACAGGAGTCTGCAGACAGCCGCAGTCGTGATCGAGGTGTGCATACAGCAGGCTACTACCATAGGGCTGCAGCAACAGCCTCAGCGTCTCCAACGCCAACCGCAGTATGCTCAGTATGCGAGAAGCGCAGCAGCTGCGGCTCTGGTAGATGTTGCATTGAAGGTGGATATTCGGAGGAAAAGGGCAAGCTCATTTTTCATGAATACGCTTTTCTTCACGTCGTTTGAGAATCCACTTTTTTCACGCGCCTTACCTTCCCCCCGCACTGGCACACAACAGACCCCGCCGGATCTCCTAACGAGGCTCCTTAGCATGCAACTTACTTCTTTCCTGCTTACTGCATTTTGTTCAAGCCTCGTAAAGAGGGAGGATGCATTGGGGGGAGGGGGTTCAGCGGCGTGGGTGTCTGCGTGTGTGTGTTATTGCATGCGGCTTAGCACGACGCCGAGGCTGAACAGCTCAATAAAAACGTCGATCACGCACTCCGTAGAGATCTTCGTGCAAGGTATAGCTTTGGCTAGTGAAGACTGCTTTCTTTTTATCTCACATGTATGTGTGCCTTTTTCTGTCACATATGTGTCTTTCTCTGTCACATGTGTGTCTTTCGCTGTCACATGTGTCTTTCTCTGTCACATGTGTCTTTCTCTGTCGCATGTTTCTTGTTCTGTCACATGTGTGTGTCTTTTTCTGTCTTGTGCCTTCTTTCTGTCATGTGTCTCTGTCTGTCTGCCTTTGTTTTTGAGCTTCTCTCACTCGCACTGCTCTGCTGCCGCATCCTTGGAAGACGGCATGCGAGGGCGTGGGTGTAGCCAGCGGCAGTTTGCGTATCGTGTGTTTGTCTCAGTTCAATACACGCGGACTTGAAGTCTTTTCGTCAGTTCGAAGCCAAGGCGCTGCAAAGCCTCTTTGTTCTTTACGCAAAGTAAGCAGCACCAGTAAAGCAGGAGGAGCAGCAACAGCACCGGTAAAGCAGGAGGAGCAGCAACAGCACCAGTAAAGCAGGAGGAGCAGCAACAGCACCAGTAAAGCAGGAGGAGCAGCAGCAGCACCAGTAAAGCAGGAGGAGCAGCAGCAGCACCAGTAAAGCAGGAGGAGCAGCAACAGCACCAGTAAAGCAGGAGGAGCAGCAGCAGCACCAGTAAAGCAGGAGGAGCAGCAGCAGCACCAGTAAAGCAGAAACTGCCTTCGCGATGCCGTGTGCCTCTGAGGCGTTTTGTGTTTTTCTTGCGGAGTGGCATTCTTAGGCCGTATGCTCCGCCTTGCGGCATTATGAGGCTTTTTTGCTGCTGCTGCTGCTTGATTTTGCTGCTGCTGCTGCTTGAATTTGCTGCTGCTGCTGCTTGAATTTGCTGCAGGACCCTCCGTTCGGTCGAAGTCGCAGGCGCGCCCCTGGTGCTGGCTGCCTTGCGGGGTGTCTGTACACTTGGCGACTTTGTTCGCGAAGATTTGCTGCTGGATTTCTTGCTGCTGTTGCGCGAAGCGGCAGCGTCGGTGCCCTCGCTGCTTGTACAGTTGGGTCCTGCAGCGGCTGCGGCTTGGGTGTTGGTGCCTCTGCTGCTCGCTTACAAGCTGCGGAGCGCTTTACAGGTGGGAGGGGAGGTGTGTGCGCAGCCTGATGGCTTGTAGACGCTTTTTGCAGTGGTCGTGCTGAGGCTTCCACGGCGTAGAGAGAGCCATTCGGGGTATGCCTGCCAGCCGGTTTGTCGTGTGTTTTGTGTCTGTCAGCAGAATTTCTCCGCATGCCTGCTTGCCCGCTTGCCTGCTTGCTTGCTTGCCTGCTTGCCTGCTTGCCTGCTTGCGCACCCTCTCGAGCTGCAGAAGACGGAGCGAAATGCTGCATGTTTGCGTGTATCTTGTTGCTGCTGCTAACGCTTTTTATGCATGCAGACTGACTGCGTGTGGATAGCGGAGGCTATAGCCGCGCTGGCGTCTGCGGCGCTGCCACAGTTTGCCGCAGGGCAGCAGGGTAGTCGAGAAGCTGCAAGTCTAGCGGCTGCTTCGACTGCGTTGCTGCGGCAAGAGCAAAGCAGCGGGATGTCTTTCTTCAGCGGCAGATGCAGGAGCGGCAACGGTGCCGTCCTTGTAGACACAGGCTTTGCCTGCAAGCTTCTGCATGCGTTGGAGCTGCTGCAGCAGACGCCGCAGCTGTGGGGTGGAGGACGGGCTGAGCCGCAGCTGCAGCGCATGCAGCAGCACAAGCAGCTCGCTGCAGCAACCTCTCGAGGCGTTGCCGCTGTTCGCGTCGAGGAAGCTTTGGAGGGGAGCTTTGTTGGCAGCAGCATCTGCAGCCATAGCCACACAGGCAGCGCAGCGTGTGTGCAGTCCTTGCTAAAGCTGGGAGGCACACTGCTCGCCAACGCCACGCTTGCCGATGCCTCTGTTGGTCGGCGTATTGTTCAAAGGGTACACGGCTGCCTATGAGACTGTTTTTTTCTGTGTTTGGGGGCTCCTCGGGAGGAACAAACATTCCCCTTCTCCCTTCGCTGCTGCCAAACGGGTGTATGCCTCTCACGATTGCGTGTGTATGTATGTATGTGTGTATGTATGTGTGTATATGTGTGTGTGTGTGTATATGTGTGTGTGTGTATGTATGAATGTGTGTATATGTGTGTGTGTGTGTATGTATGTGTGTGTGTGTATATGTGTGTGTGTATGTATGTGTGTATGTGTATGTATGTGTGTATGGATGTGTGTATATGTGTGTATATGTGTGTGTGTGTATGTATGTGTGTATGTGTATATGTATGTATGTGTGTATATGTGTGTATGTGTATGTATGTATGTGTGTATGTGTCTGTGTGTGTATGTATGTGTGTGTGCATATGTGTGTGTGTATGTATGTATGTATGGATGTGTATGTATGTATGTATGTGTATATGTGTGTGTGTGTGTGTGCTGCATATTGGATGTGCTGCAGCTGCTGCGGCTGCTGCAGCAAATGCCGCGTATGAGCGATGCGGTAACACCAGAAGGAGCAACAGGAGAGGGGTAGGCGGCCGCTGCTATTGCAAAAGATGCTCCCACACGCGTATAGAGTTTTTTCCCCTGTTAAACATGCCCGTGTGTGAAATTTGCTACGTGGCGCTGCACATTTTTGCTTTCGCAATGAGCTTCCACGCGATTTTGATCGGCTTTTCGTTTGCTGCGATTTGCTGCTGCAGTGTCTCCTTCCACTCTGTGCTGCTGCTACTTACCGCCAGCTGCGATCCCGCCACAAGCGACTTGGCCTTAGCCGCTCTGAGTCTTGCAGGCGCGCAGCAGCAGCCGCAGCAGAAGCGCAGGAAGCTGGAGCCTCAGCAGGATCTGGCAGCCGCAGCGAGAACTGCAAGAGCTGTCTGCAACGTTTGTGCCACGGCAGACTGCACAGCCATGGATTTCTGCTGCTTTTCTGCCGCCGATGAAGAGCAGATGCTACAGCAGCTTTTTCTGAACGTTCCACCTCCTGCGCCTCTAAGGCACAACGCAATCACAGCCGCTGGCGGGAAGAAGGCAACGGCTCGAGAAAACAAATCCAGTTCTCCAGCGGCTCCCCCCGCGGCAAACATAAAGGACGAGTCTACCGACAACAAGCACTGCGCAGCTGCCGTCCAGCAGCAAGAAATCCGGAAGCAACTAGAGCAGCACCCACTCGCCAGACATGAGCTGAAAAAGCAGCAGCAGCAGCAGAAGCCACAGCAGCAGCACCACGGAGAGCAAGTGCCGGACGGAGAAAGCGGTAGCTGCAAGAGGAGTGCCTCCTTCCGCAGACGCCAACGCAAACGCGCAGCAGCAGCAGCAGCAGCAGCAGCAGCCCCCTTCGCCACTGCAGCAGCAGAAGCTGGTGCTGCTGAGGGGATCTCTTCTACAGTTGCAATCTGTTCCCCCGCGTCGGCAGGTGTGCTGGCTGCTGCAGATCCTGAAGACACTGCTGCCACAGAGCAGGCTGTCTCCCTCCCTGCTGCTCCTGAAGGTGCCTCTGCAGCCGATAGTCTTTCTGGAGGAGTGCGACCAGCAGACGGTGAGGCAGAAGCGCTTGGCGAGGTAGCAGTAGTGGTCAGTGCGGCTGTCATTGAAGCCTCCACAGCTGCTGCCGCTCTGCGAAGACGGGGATTCTCTGTAAACGAATTGGGTGCAGGAGCTGCACCTGAGAGCTCTGCATGCGACAGCTCCGCGGCAGCCAATATTGAGGCAACGAAGGCTACTCGCGATGCGGAGCATACCGCTGCCCATCCATCAGTAGCACCTGCAACTACACAGTCAACGCCAGAGGCAGCGCGTACAGCACTAGAGGCACCTCAACCAGCATCTGCGACTGCTCAGTCAACGCCAGAGGCAGCGCGTGCAGCACCAGAGGCGCCTCAGCCAGCATCTGCGACTGCTCAGTCGATGACAGAGGCAGCGCATGCAGCACCAGAAGCGCCTCAGCCAGCATCTTCGACCGCTCAGTCGATGACAGAGGCAGCGTATGCAGCACCAGAGGCGCCTCAGCCAGCAATTGAGGCACCTCAGCCAGCATCTTCGACTGCTCAGTCGATGACAGAGGCAGCGCATGCAGCACCTGAATCAGCGCATGCAGCACCAAAGGGAACGCAGTCAACGGCAGAGGCACCTACACCAGCACCCGAAGCACCGCATGCAGCACCAGAGGCACCTCAGCCAGCATCTTCGACTGCTCAATTAACGCCAGAGGCAGCGCATGCAGCACTTGAGGCACCTCAGCCAGCAATTGAGGCACCTCAGCCAGCATCTTCGACTGCTCAGTCGATGACAGAGGCAGCGCATGCAGCACCTGAATCAGCGCATGCAGCACCAGAGGCAACGCAGTCAACGGCAGAGGCACCTACACCAGCACCCGAAGCACCGCATGCAGCACCAGAGGCACCTCAGCCAGCATCTTCTACTGCTCAATTAACGCCAGAGGCAGCGCATGCAGCACCAGAGGCACTTCAGTCAGCATCTTCGACTGCTCAATTAACGCCAGAATCAGCGCATGCAGCACTTGGGGCACCTTAGCCAGCATCTGCGACTGTTCAGTCGACGCCAGAGGCACCTCAGCGAGTACCAGAGGCAGCGTCGAGTAGGCGTTCTAGCTTTAGAAGGCGTAGCAGCAGTGGGAACCACTGAGCTGTAGCATGCAGAGTGGACGTTGGCGTAGTAGTGCGTGGCCAGTAAGTGGAGGCAGTGGCTCCTTTGAGTGAGGCTGTGGCGAGCAAAGCAGGCGGAGAGCTATCTTGTCTTGCTGCTGAGGTAGCGGCAGCTGCTCCTCAAGCAGGCTCTTTGTAAGTTTGCATGTGCAGCGGACTTAGTGATTACGCTTCCCTGATAGCTACAAGAGCAAAAAGCAGCATGCAGCGCTTCCCCAGGCCAGGGGTGGATGCTGCAGTTGGCACGGGGATTGCGCCGTGGTGGAAACACTTACATGGGACTAGTTGAAGCATGCGTTCTTGTGCTTTCGACTGATAAGGCTTTCCACTGTGTAGCCTTAATAAGGTCTAGGTTGGACTTGGGAGTTCATAGTTAGACCCGTTAAGGCAAAGGGCAGCCAATATTGCCGCCCTTGGAAGAAGCGAGAGCGTGTCGCAGTGCGCACATCCCTCGTCCTGAGCCACCTTCCTTCTTCCCAAGTCTCGATTGCGGGAGAGGGGTGCTGTAGTGCCTCTGCTGCCGCTTGGAGAGGAATATTCTTTGGAGGATGCAGTGCAGACAGTGCCTATTCTTCCATCGCTCAAGAACTTCTGGCCCCTTGCCAAAAGCCCTGTAGCGACTCTGTTAAAAACTCATGCCTGCAGCCGTGCATGAATGCGCGTCGCGTCCACTGCTAAGTGGTGGGCTGCACAAATATGCCTCCAGGCTCGTGCAGTCCGGGGGGAAGCCGCACGTGCAGCTACACCCCGAAACGCTCTCTCGTCTACCGCTACTCACAAAACTATGGGAAACGCGGTAGAGTGCGGGCCATACAAAAAGAGGGGATTCACGTGGCTGGTGATGACGAACGCGCGTGTAAAAGCGACAGTAGTGTGGTGGCAGGGAATACTGGGGAGGTGCAGGCACCACGCCCTCCTCTATTCTCATACGCAACGAAGGTAGCCTCTAATTTTGTGGCGTGTGTGCTAGACGCCCTAGTTGCCTTCGAAAAGCTTTGGCGTGGAAGAGGTAGAGGGACCCCCGTTGTGGTGTTTCATTGTCTGTACTCTGCGTGGGGGAGACTACGAGTGGCTATAGATGCAGACAGCGTAGCAGGCCAAAAAAGTCCTCTTGGTTGCAGCGTCCTACACGGTTTATCCGTGATGAAAAATTAGTTAAGCACTGAGCATACGGGTCTTGCACGTTCTTATGGACTGTCATTTGGTGCAGGGGGTAGATAGTTAGTTCACGATATACGATAAGTGCAAGCCTTTATTTAGGGTGTCCTTACAAAGACGCCGAGCTCTAGAGTCAGTAAAAACTTAGTAGAGCCATGATTTGTCTTTTTAAAAGGAGTTCCGCTTTCCATTGACCTCGGTCCTCCTAATTTCGAAGAGGTGAGGGGAGGGGGGGGGCAGCTAGAGCGAGCGTAGCTGCCTTCTCCAAGCATTCGGAGCACTCATGGCGAGTTGCGAATAGCATCTACCGCTTACGCATGCAACAATGCGTATTCTTGCATCATACTGTTTTGCGACCAGTTACATCAGTTCGGCATTTGTTTACCACAGTTTGTATTTTGCGTGTAACGAGTGCAGTAGAAAGTGTTTTAGCGTTTTTAGATAAGTGTTTTAGGCATCCGTTTAAACGAGGTTCCCTCCACCCTTCCCCCTCGACTTCTCACAGTGCCGGATTTCTCTGGTGGGTCAAAGTACGCTTTGGCATCTTCCACTACACCAGTTATTTATTAGGTAAAATTCAAAACAATTGACTAATTGGCTTATCTGTTCGTATACTTAATTTGTTGCCGAGTAGCATTAGCTTGACACAACGAGGTAAGATGGCATATGCATGGGCGATAGACGCCATGTATAACTAACTGTGATTGCTCGAGGGATGCTGTCGTGCGCAGTCTGGATGGGCCTCTGCCCTTGCTTCCTGACTCTGAGAAGCGCAGGCAGGCGTTTTACGGCGGCACCTCTTTAAATAAGTGCTGACTAACTCTTTATTAGATTTGTATTGATTCTGGGGCTTTAAAAGGGCCTCTTTACTAAGGCCGTACTTGCACATTCAGTGATACACAAGGAGGAAAAAAGGCGGCGGCGTGCTTCTCCTATAAAGCGGTTCACTCTAGAAGGTGTTATACGAAGCGCAAAAGTCCCCTGCAGGCAAGACTCTCGTAGAATACCTTGTTCTCTGCTTTCTCTATTTCCGTTTGCACGGGTGCATCCATGATACACCCCATTGCGTAACCCTTGGTGTGTTGTTATAAGGCTCAGGATGACGGGAATTTACCCAATAGAGCCCTCTTCCCTAAAAATCTCAAGTAGTACGCTGCCCCTGGGCTTGTGTTCGGCCGTTCATCAAAGTTGTGCTGCGTATTGTGCAGCGTACTATTCCTGTCTACGTTGTGTTGGCGCTGGTGTGAAGATACCCATCTGCCGAGGGAAGTATGCCAAGAACTTTTTCTTAAATAAACTGCAGAATTCCAGAGCAGTAAATTATAATAAAAATAGCGCGCATTTTTGTGCAGTGGCTGATGCATGACAGTGGCACCAGCCCTAGCAACAGCCCCATCAGTCTCGCCCTACCCCTTTCCACCGACAACTGTGGTACAGTTCAACTTAATCCGCGGTTTTCCGCTCGTCCGTCCCCTGAAAGGACGAAGGGCTGAGGATTGAGGCTTTAAGGGTTCGCTTCTGCAGCTAAGTGGCCATAACGCCCTCGCCGTTAGCCAGCCGTTCAGCAGTGCTGCTCATCGCGAAGGCAGTACCAGCATCCACACCAGCGAGTGAAGATGGGGAAGGGCAGCAATGCTTGCGTAAGCGACTGCGATGGGGCCGTGTTCTCTTAGAAGCAGAAAAGGTTAGAGGCAGTGACTTGAGGAAGCGACGGCCTAGTCTCGACCAGCGCTCGCGCATGCACACGTCTCGAGGCAGCGGCCTTGGCAGGCCGCCATTTAGGGCCTTTCTCAACTCAAGCGTGGGGCCTTTGTGTTGCCTGCTGCGGAGCTTGGGTATCAGTATTGTGGGTGACCTTCGGTGCATGCACGGCACGAAGCGGCGTGGGGCTGGAGTGTAAGGGCTGAGGCTCTACGGTTTGGAGTTTGTGCATGCAGAAACGCAACACGGCCCGCGGCCGCGCAGAGGATAAAGCGGTTAAGGAACCGAAGAGCCAGCTGAAAACTAACCAGGCGGCCATGACCATCAAATGCAAAGTGTGCTCCAGACACGCTACCCTAATCTGAACTCACGGAACCCCAGGCTTTGGGGCCCTCCCTATGTGCACTTTGTGCCGCTGCAGATGAAACGTCTCTGAACGGAGGGGAAAGAGGCGCGGGACGCATTGAGGGTGTAGGGCGACCCCTCGAAGGTCTACTGTGGTAGAGCGTGTGTTTTTCGTTCTTCAGGTTTGCATGCAGCCCTTTATGAAGACACAGAGCGCCTCTCAGTTATCTGAGCATGCGAAGAATAAACACGGGAAAAGCTTGGAAGACTGCTTTCCCGATGTAGCCGGCGGCTAGCCGAGCGCGCTGTTTCATTCTTTCGCTTGGACTGTATTTATCGGTCTGTCTATGTGCCTATCTATTTTTATCGATATATATGTGTGCGTGCCTTATGCGCCATCTCGTGCACACACCCTCCCTTTCTCTCTTTTCCCGCTTCTGTCCTCTTGTCACTTCACTTTTCTTGGGCTTTCCGTTGTCTTTTGGTTTAGTTGCTGCACATGTGCCTTCTTCCCCCCGCCTGTGGTGGGAGGGTAAGGGGTCTTTAGAGGCCCAGAGTGGGGTCAATATCGCGCGTCTAAGGAAGCTCCTATTGGACTTTTTTAGTGCCGCGCACACACTAGATGACCGGAGGCGTCAAGAGGGATAGTGTCTAAAAGAGGCGCTGATGTACTCTTCTTTAGGGGGCACCTCCAGCCTCTCAAAGAGCTCCCAATCGCTGGTTTCAGGGTTGTATATAGGCCGGTGTCGGTACTTAGGGCAGCAGCGGCGGCGAGGCGGCAGCACATTTGAAGGTTTAAGGATTGATGAATAGAAGCAGGGGGCAGTAACACCAGACAGGGCAAATCGTGGCTGACAGTGATGGTAGGTCTTGCCTTTCAGGAAGTAGAACGGGTGACTTTTCTAGGCATTGGGGTCTTATGTTCTCTCGGGAAATTGGGGGCTGTCTTAGAAAGTTGGCTGTGGGAGGCCACAGTGAACATGTTTGGTGTTCGCATGTCAGCGAGCTTCCGTCGAACAGCAGATATTGTGTTACGCAATAGGGCACTCCCTAGCGCAGTGGAAGCTGTATTTGGATTCAGAGATATAATGCTCTGCATATGGCGTCCGTGAGAAGTCTCTTCACTTCAGAGGCACACCAAATCCATGATGCGCCTCGTAAAACAACCGCCTCTTTCGCTGCGTGGCCCCGAAGGCAACAGGACTCTGCAAAGGGGGAAAGTACGGATTGCTACGGTTGTGCGCCTTGCAACAAGGGTTGCGCACTCCAAGCATTCGTGCGCAGTCACAGTTGCGCTTCTCACCTCGCGGCACTGGTGTCTCGTAATGCATTACTCAAGGTCTCCGCAGGAAGAAGACGCTCGACTCTAGACACTATACAGGCCCAATAGAAAGCTAGCCAGCGGATTTTTACGGGCGTGCTCCTTCCTTCACCCGCTTTTTTACGGCTCTGGTTTGAGGGAGAGGGACGCGTGGGATGTTCGTAATTGCATCATCCAACCACTCCAAGCATTCACAGCTACATGCTGCGTACAGCACTTGGCGCATGACACACGACAGCGTCTTATTTACCTAGCACGAGGCTGCAATAGATAAAATGCAGGAACCAGCATACCAAATACTCGAGTTATTATTAAATAGAGGTAATGTGTGTAGGTCTAGCTTGCTCCACCCCGTGTCAGTTTTACAGTGTGGTGCTATGATGGAACCCAGTCAAGGGCATCGAGAACACTAACAATCAGACCATACACAGTAAATACGTGGCTTGAGCGTTGTTTAACACACCTTAGGCAATACGAAGTCGTCAAGTTTGACGTGGCCCCTGACATGCATGAACACAGCGCGTCTTTTAGGCGCACATCAGGAAGCATCATGCCACCCAGTGAGACATTTTGGGCTCTCGATGAGAGCTCAAGTAATGCCCTATACGTTACCCCTCATTGCAAACAATGTTCTTTCCACTTTTGTGCTTTAAGCTCCAGCCGGGTTATTGGAAATGCGGTAGGCAGCCTCCAGCGAAAGAAGGGGGGCACAGCGCACAAACTCCGCCCCCTTAAGATGCCTAGCTTCACTATGAAGGCTAAGTTACAACGCTACGCTTATTTGTTCATGAACTGAACTTCCTTTCTACGAAGGAACCCAAGGCCTTGGGGCTGTCAGCGAGGACCTGCAGTGGTTGCAGAGTAGCGTGTGCCACGGCAACACAGTTGCAGCAGCGAGACCTGGCGAGGTTTCCAGTGCATGCGTGTTTCTGCAAAACCCCTTGTACTTGGGGGATTCGTTCCCTAGGCAGTAGCTCATTTGCCTTTTGCATCCCAAGAACAGAAAAAGGGTGAGAAAGCCGAGTGGCGGAAGCTGCACTAGCGGCAGTGGCAACAGCACAGCACCCGCTTGTGCGGAGCGCCCCATCGGCGGCAGCAGCAGCAGCACCATCATGGGCAGGTGCCGTCGGGGGCTTTGCAATGCAAGCGCCGTCCTCTGTGCTTCTTCATCGTAATTCCGTTTGCAGGACCTCACTCTTAGCTTAGAGCTCTTTCTTTCAAACTATCATTGCGATACGCTCCGGTTGAAGCCATTCAAACCGCAGCAGCCTCTTCCGCTTTGCAGCAGCAGCAGCCTCCGGCTTTCGCAGCAGCAGGAAGCTCAAAGTGCGCGAAACGTTTTGCTCTTTAGCACGTTTCGCTTCTCCGCGATTTTCGCCCTGAGCTATTCATTCGGAAGGGCGCGTATTTTCGCCACATCTTGCCGGTATGCCCGTCCGTCCATCCCTGCTGTATGCATACTGACGCTGCCACCCGCTGTCAGCTGCTGGCCGTCGTGTTCATACAGTGAAAGATCCTCGTTTTGTTTGCCGTTGCCGCTGTCCAAACACTGTCATTTCCGCTTTGTTTTGCATATCTGAGGGTGATCGCGTTTGCTTTTTCCTCTGTCTTTGCGTTCAGCTGAGCTCAGTCCTGCGGCGCAGCAGCCCCCCAGGAAACTTACTTTGCGTGTTTCCTTCCCTCGTCGCGTTCCGCGTGGGGTTCCTCCTGCAACTTCGGGAACTTTCCGTGGTATTGTAGTGGCCGTCGTTGGCACCTGAAACGCCCCCAATCCCAGCTCTTTTCGCACTTCTTCGTGCATGTTTTCCGTTTCTGCTGCTGCGGCAGCGGATATCTGGCGCTTCGTCTGTGCAATGAGCCCTGTATCTCTCGGCTTCTCGTCTTGCCCAGTTCACCCACGGCTGCTTCGAGAGGGCAGCCGAGAGCGTTGCGCGGACCCTTGAGGCACTACGGCACGCCCCCTGCCTGCGTTAGCATTGAGCAGCTCAAGACGCAACGCAAGCAGCGGCATTGCGCCTCCATTGAATCCAGAGATCTGCACGCACTTTTTCAAAGTGTCGGCGGCTGCTGCAACTGCAGCACACCAGTGCAACCCTTGGGACTGCTCAACGGCGATACCTTCTCCAGGTCGTTCATGTGAACGTCCAAGCCCCCGCTGCAGGCGGCTCTCTGTCCGCTGCAGCGCGAACGCGTGCATCAGAGCAGCATCCGCAACAGAACGCATAACTGTATAAGCACTATATCTTTAGCCCCTGGATTTATAACAACGACGGTACTCAACGTGGGCCTCTCTGGAATGTAAGCACAGAAATAGAGGGGCAGCCAGCAGCAACGGCGGCTTACCCCTGGTGATCGCGAAGCACACGCACACACGCATACACACGCATACAAGTTGGAGTGCCTTCTTCAACCAGTGCATCACTGCCACCTCGAGCAAAACTCGAAGCCCCGTAAGTTTGTACGACCCTTTTCCAACTGACTTGTGTTCTTGCACGCATGCAAATATATCGAGAAAGGACCGCGGCACGCAGGCCGTCGGTGCATGCACGACTCAATCGTGAAAAAAACACACAGCATGCATGTACATGCGTTCATGTTGCTCTTATGCAAGTGACTCGGCTAGCCGGCGGGCGTTCATTTTTGATCGTCCATTTTTGATCGTTCATGACGGACGATCATCATGAGCCATACATGACGACCATCATCATTGCATGCGCTGCACACAGAGCTCCCATGTAGCGTTTCGTGGCGCATGGCATGTGTCTATTCGGGTGCTGCGTCTCTGTTTTTTGCAGAATTCCACCGCTCGCCGTTTCGACGCGTCGACCCCAGCCGTTCATACTCCACCCAGCCGGCTGTACAGACAGAGGGGCATTTGTTGGGCACCGCGGGAACAGAGGAAGAGTCTCACGCCGACAGCACTCACCGACAAGCGTCAGCAACAGCAGCGGCTTAAAGAGAGCCGCGAGCTTATCCGTTCTGCTCAGCACAGCATGAAGAAGGGTCAGCCGGTGCCTAACAGCCCGGCCTCTCCTCCTCTTAGCGGCGGCGCCTTGCGCCGTCCAGCAGCACTGGTGGTTCGCTGCCGAGAGCCTCCTTGAGTGTGCTGCAGCCTTCGGTGTACAAGAGACTCACTCGGTGCAGCTTCTTCACAGGCAGGGGGAGGCATCGTGGCCGCTTAGTGTTATTTGCACGACACGTGAAACCAGACTATTTGGATCGTTTCGGTTCGCCACCCTGTACCGTCTTGGCGAATATGGGCCTCTTTTCTCGCATGCGCTGCGGCAAGCAGCGGAGCGGCAAGCAGCGGAGCGGCAAGCAGCGGAGCGGCAGCAGTGGCAGCTTTTGCTGCAGCAAGAGTGAAGTGAATTCTGAGTGCAGCAGCCTGCGCCAGGAGAGTCTCGACGTACTGCAGCTTCAGCCGCAGCTGCCTACGCCGTCTCATGCCCTTGATCAGTGGACGTTTCCCTCCTCTCGTAGCGGCTTATTGCGTAGCAGCAACGGCACTAGCGCAAACAACAGCATCAACAACAGCACTGGCTCAAACAACAGCATCAACAGCAGCACTGGCTCAAACAACAACATCAACAACAACTGCACTAGCACAAACAACAACATCGTCCGGCGGTTCTCCAAGCTCATGGCTCACGGAGCAGCGTTCCCAGCCGAGGCTGCGCTTAGCGGGAGTCGCAGCAGCGGGGTAGGCGCTGGGAGTGGCGTTAGCAGCGCCTTTCCCCCTACTCGTCCGAGCAGCAGTTGCAGCCTTGGCGGATTTCAGCACCAGCAGTGGTGCTTGCAGCGAGGCGCGAGCGCTCCAGTCCCCTGTTGCTGCTGTAGCGACCACAGCACGCACAGCGGAGCAAGCGGCGAGCAGCTGTGTAGGGGTCGCTGGTGTGGAGCTTCCTGCACAACTGGCAGCGGCGCGTTGCTGCAGCAGCAGCAGCAGCAGCAGCAGCGAGCCGTTGGGGTGGTCTTGAATGTGCCGACGCTCATCGAATCTCGCGGCGTCAAGTGCCTCATCCTCGATGCTCCGACAAACGAAAATCTGCAGGCTTACTTGGAGCAGATGGCGCAGGTGGGAGTCACGGATTTGGTGAGGACGTGCCCTCCAACGTACGACGACGCGCCCGTCTTGAAGGCAGGCATCCGCATGCACGATCTCACTTTTCCAGATGGCGAAGCTCCTCCGATCGAAGTAATCTGCAGATGGCGAACTCTGGCTTCTAGAGCCAGGGCAGAGGGGGGCGTCATTGCGGTGCATTGCGTCGCTGGACTGGGCAGGGGGCCTGTGCTGGTTGCTGTCTCTCTAATTGACAGTGGTCTTGATGCTGATGAGGCTGTCAACTTCATCCGATCTCGCAGAAAAGGTCAGTGGAAAGGGGAGGAGAGGGGCACACACAGTCGCTCGCGACGTCTGTATGTATGTATATGTATATGTATGTGTTTATGTATGTATGTGTATGTATGTGTATGTATGTACGTGTATGTTTGTGTATGTATGTACGTGTATGTATGTGTTTATGTATATGTGTATGTTTATGTATGTATATGTATATGTTTATGTATATGTGTATATGTGCATGCATGTTTGTGTATGTAGTCTCATCTCTCCATCTTTTCTCGATTTTCGTGTGCAATGGCTGCGTTGGCAGTTTGCAGCCGGGTGGGCTCCTCACAACAAGGGTAGAGGCTGCGGGAGCGTGTGTGTATCTGACTGTGTCGTAACCCGTCTTTGTGCGTGTGTTTTTCGCTTCTCAGGTGCTATCAACCGTCGGCAGCTCGCGTTTCTTCACAGCTATAGGCGCCATGCGGTTGCCTCGCGGCGCTGCATGCGACGTTGTGCCCTCATGTGACTCCCCCTCTTCGGAAGGCAGCGGTTCATTCGCGCGATGGCCACCCTTTAGGAGGCGTGGAGTGAAAGACGCGGGGTTTATAAGGAGAGAAGGCTCTGTGTTGCCTGCCGTGAGGCTTTTCAGAGGGCGTTTTACCCCATCAGAGAGAGGAGGCCAGTTAGAGCGAATGAGCGAAGACAGCAAGACAGGCTGCAAGACTCAGAAACAGGAGATTTCTTTGTCTGCTCCTGTGCCGGTGGTGCGCTGGCTAGCGTCTAGCTAGCGGGGTCTGTCTGTCTCTCTCTCGCTCTCTCGTGAAGGCCTCTTATTTATTCCTTGGAGCAAGAGGTTCTCGTGTTTGATGACGGGCACTGTTGCAGTCAAATACAGTACGAAGGGGCGTTAAAAGGAAGCTCTCTGCCTCGGAATCTGGATGCGTTTTTCTGCGCCGCGCGGGGTTTAGCTATGCATGAGAAGGGCATGTTTCGCGGCGTCCTAGCTGAGCGAATAGGATGTCAGAAAAGGGAAGATGGCGCGTTTTTGGGCTGCATTGACGGCGCGGAAATCCTGCGGGCATGGAAGAGACATATCGCCCTAGTAGTAGAATCAATCTGTCTTGGTGTTCAGCGAGCGAGCTGGTGGTTGGTTGCAAACGAAACTCTAGACGTGCTTGTGCGTGCTCGTGTGTGTATGCTGTGCCTGTCTGTGTTGCCTGCCTGTGAGATAATTGGTCGTGGGGCTGCTGTGCTTGCTGCCGTGCGATGCGTAACGGTCACCTCGTGAAAGGGGTATGAAGGAGAACCGAGGAGGCGGTTGTTACCGCCGTCCTTGGAGGCGCCTCCCCGCGTTACAAAGGGGGGGCGATCGATGAGGATCACGAGTCTTTGTAGTACTCGCTCGCCCTTCATACTTGATGCCTCCGCATCCGTAGCTGAATGAATTGCACAAGAGGAATTCGTGCTTTTAGTGTCATTTAGGGGACCGCCGGGAGCGTGCAGATGTTGTGCTGGGGCGAAGGGCTGTTGTGAAACGGGTGCAGGTGTTTCGGGGTTTGATGGTCAAACGCACAGTTGAACTCCCGCCTCCTGCCCTGCAGAAAATAATGGGCCAGGTCTGCCGCGCCTCCCCCGACTGTGAAACACTTCCACGACGCTTTTACGTATGTAAGGTCTCCATAATCGCAGCCGTCTTTGCCCGTTTTTCATGCGGAACGAGGCGCGCGTGCTGCGGGTAGCTCCGCAGTCGGTCTAGCAAGGTTGCTCTTTCCTCGTTTCTTCGCCGTCGAGTCGCGCACGGCACGAAGAGGAATAGCGGGAAGGGCTTTGATCTGCCCCTAGTATAGTTGCTAGTGGCCTTCACCTACCAGCAGCCGCGCCTGTAGCTCGCGTTGGTCAGAAGGCGTCAGTAGCTCGGCAAGCGCCTGTTTCGTTGGTCCTAGTATATTAGGTCTGCCTTGCCTCCTCCGACTGCGGAACACTTCTCCGAACGCTTCTGAGTACGTAAGGTCTCGCAGTCGCAGCAGACCTTGCCCGCGAGGGGTGCTGCAGAGAGTGTTTGTTCGCCTCCCTACGCGTTTACGCCGAGTAGAGTACCCGGGAAAGCGGCTGCATTTTGCTTTTGTACGACAATTATGGTTGAGCTTCTTTTGCCGTTGTGCTTGGTGTAATGCATAGTCTCCTCAAATTTCCGCCTGGGGTGGCTCTAGGTGGATAGTGGCGAAAGCCAGTGTATTCCGAAGCGTGGTGCATTGCAACCGGAGTGCTTCTACGTATGTCCCCACCGTTCGCAGCGCTCGGAATCCTTCCACCCTTGAAAGGAAAGCGTGGCGAGCCAATGTGGGGGAACGCCAAGGGGTGACTTTTTAACGGTATGGAGGAACGAGCTTTCGGCCCCTTTGAGAAGCGTCTCCTAAACCGGCTAAGCGCCAAAATAGTACAACTTCTCATGAGGTCCTCTTCTTTACACGGGTCAAGCCGTTAAAAGAGCAAACTGAGAAAGAGGGAAGTCCGACGCAGGGGAACATTGACAAAGTTCTAAAGAAATTGTTTTGGGGAAACCTCAAACATTGGAATGGGCGGGCCCACCACACTACCTACTTGCAATGCTCAAGCCCAAGAATGAACACAACTTCCCTTAGTATGGCATTACCAGAAGGAGCACCTAGTTTTCATGAAGAAGCCACAAGAGTCCCGCTTAGTTTCCTGTAGCTTGTTCTAACAAAACACTCTTAAAAGACGCACAGGCACGCACAAAGCGGCCAGCTGCAACGCACTTGGTGTGGGCGTGCAACGTTAGGCCGTGGATTCCATGCATCGTAGACTCTTTTTATAAAAATACCATACAGGTCTACATAGATTCCACTTCCATGCATGGGGCACAAAGAGGAATGGTGGATTTTCCACTAAGCCCAGCGGAATCCTGGGAACAGTGGCGTCCTTTCAATGCTCCCTCATGTGCGTCTCAAGTCGTGAGACAGTGTCAGTTTCCAATCTTCTTGAGAAGCTGAGAAAGCGGGCCCTTGAGGTGTCCCAGAGGGAAGCCGATTACACTGTGCGGGCACCCAGAGACGCTTTTCAAGTATTTGGCCATCTCTCCTTTTTCGATGAGAATGGCGCCGGCAGAATACAGAACGTCGCCTTCTTCGATGATTCGCTTGCGGGTTTCCGCATCCATCTTGTTGAATCGCACTTCAGAGTGGACAGTGAAGACTTCGCGCGAGTTGAATCTGTATGCCGCGGGGCCCCCGGGTTCGTCGAGTATGCTTGCCGCATGGACTACCGGTAGCGGACAGCTGCATGGACTGCAGTTTTCTCTGCCCGCCGCTGATCCCTGCTGCTGAAATTTGCCACACGATCTGCATTTATGAGGAAACTCGGGGCCTGCAGGAACGGCGGCGTTTGGATCCCATGGCGGATTTTCGAGTTCGTCGCAGAGGTCCACCAGAACAACACTGGTGGTGACGATTATGGGATCTTCGGTTTCAGAGTATCTTTGCAGGAAGCACTCCGCCTCTTTCTTGTCTCTAGGCTTGAACATCACGCGTCCATGGAGGGAAACGCCTGTATCGACCGCAATCAGCACTGGAGGGCGGCCATCCGCAGCCTCCAGTGCCACACAGGATTCCGCGAACGAAGCAAGTGCCGCCACGGCTGCAGTGGCGCCTCCAGTTCTTCTTGCAGCGCTTTCGGCGAGTGCAAGAAGCGGGAGGCGTTCAGACTCTGGGAGGTTCAAAATCTGGTTGTGCAGGCGCAACTGCAGGAGGTGCTGCGTGTTCGGCCCCCTGAGCGCATGCACGGCGGCATCTGCCTTGAGCTGTGCAATTAGCAGCGTCCGTCTGTCAGTCGAAAGCTCGGGATGCTTGGCTTCCAGCCATTGCTGCACATCGTCCTCCTCAAGAGGGGCGGAAAAGGCACCGAAGGGCACCCCAGCTTTAGCAAACAGTTGCCTCCGAACCTCGCTAGAGGAGGCCAGCAGCAAGCTGCAGTCCGTTGTGGCCAGTTTCTGAACTTCCGGAAATTCGTTCGGATGAGGAAACCTATACACATGCTCGGGCACAACGGCCTGCTTCTCGTCTGTAGGCGGCATCATGGCGGGCGCGAACAAGCCACGCCGACTACAGAGGGAGCGAATTCGACGCGGAAGGAGCAATGCAGCGCACACAGTATGCGTGTCTGAGAAAGCAGGGGGCTTTCATGAACAGGGGAGCGCCTAAGAGGCTGCAGGGTAGGTCGGTTGACGGCCGGCGACTGGAAGGTAAAGATATTCACCCATAAACGAAGAGCCACAAGCAGCGTCAACAGCCGACCTCATTGCATTGCTGGAAACAACAAGATACCATGATTTCATGCGCGCGTTCCCTTCGTTGTACGGCAACGCCTGGTGCAGCCCGCGGGCTACAGGGAGGCCTCGATAAGATCGGACTGTGTGACGTGTGGCTGCTGCCTTTCTCGTGCCTGCCTCTCAATGAGTTATTTGCCTGCAAAAATGCTCAGATTCTCACTTCCTTGCGACACGTCAAGATTTCTGGCGTTCTTGCCTCTATCTATGAAGATCAGAGCGCTCCTGCCTGCCCGTCGGTCTGTGAGGGGGGCCCCTGCATCGGCTCCTGAGTTTCGATGCGGTAGTGGGGGGTGCAGCTTACCTCCAGCGTTTCTCTAAACGAGACTTTCTGCAGATAGAGCTAGCAGTTGCAGGGCGTTTCACGGGGTAGGAAGGCTGGGTGGCGGCTTTTGAGGCAGGAAGGACGCAGAAACGCGTGCTGCGCAAAGGTTATCCTGCGTACAACGTCTTGCACTGCCTCCAGATCTCCAGAATCGCAGAAAGGCGAGAGTTCTGCCGCCAGCTGTGCCTCTGGAGCCGCAGGAAACGCGTGGGTGCAGACTTAGGGACTGTGCGCTCTTCGTCGGCGTCAAGATGCCGGCTGCAGCTGCAAAGAAAGAGCAGAGAGAAATCCCATCCGCAGGTAGCCGGGGGGGGCAAAGGAGTCGACGGGATGAACCTTGTGCGAAGCCTGAGGCGCGAAAGCGTTTGGCGAGTTGCGCGCAGAAAGCTCGCAGCTTGCAGCGCCTTCTAGAGCACAAACAGCACGACGTGAGCAGTTGCGCATGCCGCCTCCTGTATTTCTGCTGTATGTGCTTGGCGGTTGTTTTGGGCTGGTGGCGTAGCTAGAGAGGCTCTTTAGGGTGAACGAGGGCAGGGAAGGGGGAGGAAGGGGGAGAGCCAGAGGGCAGGTTATTAGGGAGCCTCTCGAGAGAGCAGATGAATTGAGGGGGGAAGTACAAGGTAACAGAGTGCAGCGGCAGACGAAGCTTTAGACCGCTGCCATTCTCCGTACCGACAGTTTCTGCATCCTGCTGCACGTTTTTTTCTCTGTCTGTGTGTGTGTGGCTGCTTCATCGCTGCCAGCTTCCGGAGGAGGTGCAAGCTCGGATGCGCGCGGAGGCAGAGACTCTCCAAAAGCGGCATCGGCTGCGCGTCAAAGAACTCAAGCGACAAAAGTTTATTCGGTCCAAAAAAGCCCTCTACTCCAAGCTCAAGTTCTACGGTACGGGGAGCACCGAAAAAATCCCGCATTGTGACGATCTTTAGCTCCTGAATACGAGAAGAAAGCAGCTTTCTGGATATTTTTAGAAGGTTTCCTGGGGTTAGAGGGAGAGGCATGGGGAGGAAGGCATGGGATACGATTCTTCGGCGTCGCCTCTTGTGCTTTGCCACGGCTTCCTGGTAGATGATAGCTTACCCCGTACAGCTTCGCTCAGCTGCAGCTTGACTGTGTGTCTGCATCTGTCTCGCGGAAAGGACGGAGGCGCGCTTCTGCCTCCAGACGCAGTTCCTTCTGCGCGATCTGTGCGGGGTTGTTGTTCAGAGCTCAAGAAAGTGCAGCGGCGCTTGCAGCAAACCCGCAAGGAACTCCTTGCCCTGATGTCTGAGCAGGAGCAGGGAGCCGTTGCTCCTGCTGCTGGACGGCCCCTTGCAACTTCTTCCGAGGATCTTGTCGTTGAAAGCGCAGAAGCACTCCCGCTGGAGGCGCGCATCTCGCAGGCTCAGCAGAAACTGCGGTTACACCTGGAAGACTTGAACTACATCCGGGTATGTCTGTCTACGCGCGCACTTCAACGAGATCGGTATGTACATATATATGTATACATATATATATATATACATGTACATAGAGAGGCCAGGCTGTCTACCCAGTGGAGAGAAGGAGAGAAACTGAGCACCTGGAACGTCTAGGATTGCCGAGTCTCTGCGCGAACTGCTCTCAAGGGGGTGGGGCAGGAGCGAGGCGTCCAGCATGCACAGGAAGCCATTGCATGCGTGCAGCATTGTGGCAGGACGTTGCATGCGCTTTCTCTCTCTCTCTTGTTGTATGACAGCTGTAGATCATGTGCGCCTTTTTGCCGCAGTTGTATCCTGAGGACGCGCCGTATGTGGCACTCTTCCCAGGTGCGCGCGTGATTTAGCCAAAATCGCAGCAGAAAAAAAACGGTGTAAAAAGCCTCTTTGGCTAAACAGAGAAACCCGGCAAAAAGTGTCCTCTTTCGTTGCTTGCTTGCCTGAATTCTGAGGGGGGTGTTTCCTTTTTTCCATGTGGTGACTTGGTGTACAGCCCAAGACAGCGAAGAGAGTCAGAAGAAGCGGCAGGAAATGCGCCGTCGCATTCTCGAGCTGGTGAGCGAAGCAACGTGTTTCCCCTCAATTATAAGCACCGCAGTTTAAAACGTCGAGGATGGCTTCTAGCTGGTAGGGAGTGAGACGAAGTCGCAACGTCCCACGCGTGTGGCGTCACCCCCTGCTGTGCACCTCTTAAGAAGGCGCTGCTTTCCTGCATGTTGGGTGTGCAGATGCTGGAGAGCCGGAAAGGTCCAGCTGTCGACGAGGAAGACGAAGCAGGTGAGAGACTGCTTATCCTTAAGGGCAGCGAGCCTGGACTGTGCTTCTCCCTCCCCCTCGCGCACGCTAAGCGAGCGATCTGTCTTCTCAGCTAGACGCTTTCGAAAGGTAGGGGTATTTTGTTGCGTCTGAGTCTGTAAGGGGGTCGACAGACGTCGCTATGTGTTTCAGCGTGCTGTGTCTCTTTCTATCTCTGTCTCACTCTAAGCGGTGTCGTCTTTCTGCATGTGTACATCCACAATTTACCAACCCCTTCCTTCCTTCCTTGTTGGTTTCGTGGCTGCTAGCCTCCCACCTGCCCCAGAATTACCCTTTTTTCTGTGTTTTATCGCTGGAAGGGCGCTATATTTGTTTAGGGCTGCTGTGACTACGCTCGTGCCTAGTCCGTGGAGCGTCTAGCGCTGCCGAAGCAGCAGGCGCTCCAGCTATGTAGCTCCTTCCTAGCTGCTTCGGTTGTACAGGGATTTTTCTTTTGCTTTGGCTGAACGCCCTTGGTAGGTGTGCGCGTGCGAAGGTTCCCGCACTTAGCCAGCGGCTTTTTGGTGCGTGTATGTACGTGTTTGTGGGGTCGTCATTGCACTCCTGCAGCTGGGGAGGACATGTTCGTGGATGCGAGCGATGAGGCACCCGATGGCGCCGCTGCAGCTGCGACAGCGGACCCTTTCGAAGATGCCCGTGCCCTTTCAGATGAGGAGAAGCAGACGCAGCAGCAGAGACGTGGGGGCAAGGCCTTTCGCTACGGTGCAAATCCACAGAATGGAGGAATAATCCGCGGCAGCAATGGGCGAGCAGGGGCGTCCCATGTGCTGCAGAAGGGGGGAAAGCACGAGAGGCGCTGGACGGAAGGGGAGGATCGCCTTCGCGGTGGGAACGAAAATACGCAAAGGCAGAAGAGGCAAGCACCTGGGAAGGGGGCCTCCGTCGAGACGCAGCGAGAACGGCAGGAGGCGGGTTGTGGGCGCACTGCTGAAAAGGGGATTCGAGCAAAGCGAGATCCTCTGCCGCAGAAGAAGCCACATCAGCAGAGGGATGCCACAGATAAGGCACGTGCAAAAGACCCAAACAACCAGCCGACACGGATCGGTTTATCGAAACACAAGGCCCCCAATCAGCACGTCATGTTCGATTCCGATGAGGAGTAGGCCTTTTTATTGTTTTGTTAGGACTTTTTTTCTTTGCAGCTTGTAGGCTTCCGCGTGCAGCTGTACATCTCTCTGTTGTGCTGCCACTGCTGCTCTTGATACGGACCTCGGACAGATGCGGCGTTGAGCTGCGCGCACAGCAGTAGGACTGGCTGTGCAAGGGGTAACTAGCTGATGAGACACCTTAGAGGCAGCATGCTGCCACGCGGCAGCCCCTTCGAAAGACTATAGTGTCTCTTGAGTTGCCGTATGCCATTTCCTACGGAAACAATCCATCTAGGATCTTCATAGGCTGTCACTTACTAGCCGCAAACTCAACTCAAAACTTCCTAGAGAGGAATTGCGTGTTCCTCCGAAACTTATTCCGCGTCCCAGCCCTCACTGCTGAGGGTTCGGCATAGGGGTACGGGTGGTTCATAAATAGCTGCGCGTTCGCGCACCTGTAAGCACGCCAAGCCGTCACAGTTAGATGCACATAGCCACCTACAACGCTCCCTCCCAGATGATGGATCATTTTTGTACGCAATGGACTCCAATCTGCGATCCATACGAGTCAGGAATAGTCAAGCCAAGGGAGAAATTTTCCTGAAACGCATGGGCTACCACCTGCAAAGCTCTCAGGCCGCAGAGAGGCATCTCACTCGCGTAGAGACGCAGTGTATACGTAAGTAGGTGCCCCTTGTTGGACCCGGTTAAGCATGTACGGGTGGCGAGCGTCCCACTTTTCACCCTGTAGCCGATAGCTAGCCAGGCAGGCGGCTTTTTGTGATTGAAAGGTGTAATTCGACGGCCTTAGCTACAGAAGCGAGCGCAGACGCGCACTCTGCACGCCGCACAGGCGGCAGCAAAGGGTGTGGGCAGTTTCCTTCGTTACCCGCTGGAGGGGGCATTTTATGCGTATGCATTTTCTACTTTATCGAGAGCAGTGCTTGTTCCACTTTGTAAGAATGATTGTTGTGCAGGCTGCTTCACTGTACTGCACACGCTCCAAGCGCTGTAGGGAGCAGTACCTAGACAGACGGCTTCAACAGTTAACAGTAGGTGAGCTCGGAAGCTAAGTTTCTGAGGAGTTTAGGGTCACTGAGGCTTTGCGCGCCTGTATAACGCGAAAGACACCAGCCTCTTTCCTTGTTGCTATGTTCGCGGCCTGCCCGTAAGTGTCTGGCATTGTGTTCAGATATGGAAGACGCTTGGAATTGGATCCAAGGCAAGCATAGCGGGTGAGCCACTGCTCACAGGCTATTTATTTTTGATGTACCACAATATCGCCTCTAGAGAAGCATTGGAGAAAAAGAGAGGAACGAGGCGCTGTTTGGGGGTCCGGCAGGCGACTGCTGGTGTGTGTCTGCTGTTATAGTGATGAAGATTTGGGGTATACAGCGCTTTGGGATCTTAGTTCTCTGCTTCATTTAGCATGAACACCTAGAAAAAATAGAGGAGGCCTGCATTGTTGCATCAGTTCCCCTTCTGCCGCTGCTGCCGCACACATGCAGACACCAGCCGCAGCCGCTGCCGCCGCAATGGAGGGAAGCAGTGGTATTACAGAGCTGCAGCGCCCTCTCGTCTCACCGTTCCTTCATAGTCACTAATTTCGCCAAACTACTGAGCCGCTAAGCGCTGCAAGAGCAGCTCTCCACGCCCATACCTGCCCTGTGCAGCCGCCGCTGCCAGGGCTGTTGCCGCTGGTGACTCTCTACCCCCTGTCCTCGGCTATTAGTTACTTTTCCCGTCAAGTGATCCTCCTTCGAGCTGCTGCGACTTGGCGAGACGCAGAAAGGAGCCTCTTCGCAGACCTTTCGTCCCCTACCTCTCTATCCTCCTCGAACGCTTCAAATCAACGGCTCTGCGCTCCTTTTCTCCCTTCACGCTTCGCCGGATGCCCTCGGCGCTGAAGTCCGGAGGTTCACGCAGAGCCACGAGCGAGGAGCAGCAGATGCTGCGGAAACTGGGAGGGCGTTGGTCCTTCTCTGCATGAACCCTTTAGCAGGCAGCGTCTCAACAGAGAAGAGACAACGACCCCCTCTTCATCGCAGTCACACCAGGAGCAGCTGCCACCACCTAAGCAGTAAGAGCAACGAGGGCCTCAGCTGCCCGCCTTCCCCTCCGAGGCTCCTTCTAAACACTTCCTCCACGCCTGCGCATGCGCGCGTGTGTGTATATGTATCCGATTGATAACCTCCCCCTCCTGGCTGCTGGTTCCTCTCCCTTCCCCCCCTCCCCCCCCTCTTTTTCCTCCTTCCCTCCCCCCCGCGCGTGCACGAAACGTCCATCTCCTGCGCACAGTATGCCTACATGGGCTTCCGTCTGAGTGCCATCTGCCTTTGCTGTTGCTTCTGCATATTGTTCCTCACATGAAACTACCAGCCCTCATCGTCCTAGCGGCTGTTTCAGAGCATGCGCCATCACCGGCCACATTCTTTGCCGCTTCCCTAAACACAACAGCCGCGGAAAAGTCTCTCAACTCCTCTTGCAACTCGTCGCCTTCGTGCACCCCCTACCGTCTGCCTCCCTGCCTTCGCATCGTCCTTCCTACTGACAATGTCGTGCATGCTCATGAAATGTGAAACCAAGAGCAGCCGCGTGAAGGGCGTCGCCTTTCACCCTTCGCTGCAGTGGTGCTTGACAGCGTTGCACAATGGAACCATCCAACTGTGGGATTATCGTATTGGATCGCTTGTTGACCGATTCGACGAGCATGAAGGTACTAGAAAATGACGACTTTTATGCTAAATACATACACTTATACTATATACATACATTTATAATATATATACGTACATATCTAATACACACACACATTTGTAATACACATAGTTATATGTATATGATACATACACTAATGGTCAACATGAATATATATATTGCATATGAATAATATCCACTAAGATATCTTATACACACATTTATAAGATATGCAGACAGATACGTCTGTTGAGCGTCGTCCTCGTCATGGTCATCGATAATGATCTCTTTTTCGTATTTTCAATCCTCCTTGCCTTGGGGAAGGAAACTAAAGGCTGCCTCCTTTTATAGGCTTAACGGCCCCTCCTACACATGCTGGATTTGTTGCCCCTCGATTTGATGTTGCCAGCAGTGATACTTATCGGCGTATTTCTGTGTATATATGTATATCTATCTATATGTATCTATACACATTTTCATATTTTTATGTGTCGATATATATATATATGTATGTATCTATATCTGTATGTCTATCTGCACCTCTTTCCTCTCCCCTTTAAGCGCTCGTGCCATGCCATCCATTTTTTTACCGTGTGCTACTTTGAACGCCTGCTTCTGCATGCAAGGGCAGGCAATCGAGTGAGTGTCATTGTCACATCCTAACGATGCAAAAATGAGGGGCCTATGAGGGCTATTGTTGTTTCCAGTGACGCTTCTCCCCTGGCTATGCGCGTGTGCGCTCATCGATCCGCAGAGGCGATGTTCGCTTCTTCTTCGCTGCCCCCTTTGACTTGACGTGGCCATACATTTCGCTATTTACACGACTTTTCTGCAGGCGTGTTTATGCTTGTACAGGCCCGGTGCGAGGCATTGACTTCCATGCCTCGCAGCCGCTCTTTGTTAGTGGTGGCGATGATTACCAAATCAAACTGTGGAACCTTCTTCAGCGCAAATGTATTTTCACGTTTTCGGGACATCTGGATTACATTCGAACAACTTTCTTTCACAATATCTACCCGTGGATCCTCTCAGCGTCTGATGATCAAACCGGTACGCAGCAGAGCGCTTGCACACATGCACACATATACAGATATATACACACATACACAGATACAGATGCATTCCTACACACAGACACATACATACACAGATGTATGCACACATAGATACGCAGATACGTACATACACAGATACATGCACAGATACATACACACATACATGCACAGATACAGATACATACCTACACACAGACACATACATACACAGATATGTGCACACATACACTCATACATACATAGATACACAGATACATGCACACATACACAGATACACACATATATACACACAGGTACATGCACACATGGCAAGGGGGTGCCACTCATTCGTTGCATAAGGGTTCTACTATGCGGCAGGCGTGTCTACTGTGCAAAAAACGACGCAGCGTTCTCGCCGTTCTTGTGGAAAATGTCAAGTGCAGGCTCACTTGTGCTGTACTCTGTTTTCAATGCGATCTAACGGGGTATAATTCTGCACTATAAAACTGCGATTCCCTCGGCCTCTCGAATACACCTTGTCTGTCGCACTGCTTGCGATTGAAATATCGTGTCTGCATGCACTGTTACCTGAACAGAGAGATTGTTGGATGTTAAGCCTTTGCGGCCCCTTTTACAATGCGTTGTATCATGTATACATGGACGCACATAGATAGATCGACACAACATAGATAGACAGACGGCTCTGCACTCAAACACAAACACATACAAACAAACAAACAAACAAACACACACACACACACACACGCACATACACATATACATACGCAGAGAGACAGACCTTGTCTTTCTATCGAAGTCTGTCCATCTAAGTCTGTTGATGGAACAAATATCCTTACTGACAGAGAGATACGAGTGCACACACGCATGCGCGTTTAGACATGTCTCTCTTCTTGTCTATTCCATTCACGAGGCGCTAGTTAGCCATTTTGCTTTCTTGTGTGTTGTATGTTATATTTGTGTGTGTTGTATGTTGTTGTATGTGTGTGTTGTATGTTGTTGTATGTGTGCGTTGTATTTGTGTGCGTTGTATGTTGTATTTGTGTGTGTTGTATTTGTGTGTGTTGTATGTTGTTGTATGTGTATGTTGTGTGTTGTATGTGTATGTTGTATGTTGTATGTGTGTGTTGTCTGTATGTCGTACATACATATATACATACATATTGTGTCTGTAGTGTATGTGTGCTGTACGGTTTGCATCCCGCAGTGCGCATATGGAACTGGCAGTCGCGCGTGTGTGTGGCTGTGCTGACTGGCCACACGCATTACGTGATGTGTGCTCGATTTCATCCGACGGAGGATCTTGTGGTGTCTGCCTCTTTGGATCAAACTCTGCGGCTATGGGATACATCGGGTCTAAGAGAGCGATCAGGTGGCATGGCAGGGCCTGTGGGGAGATCTGGCAGCAGAAGCAGTGCGCATGCAGATATCTTCGCGGCTACCGATGCCGTCTGCAAGTTCGTCCTAGAGGGCCATGAGAGAGGCGTAAATTGGGCAGCTTTTCATCCGTCCTTGCCGCTGATAGCCTCCGCTGCGGACGATAAACTGATCAAGCTCTGGAGGTAGGCGCTAGGCTCTCTATCGAGGGAGGGGGGGCTTCCCCGTGGCTTTGGAAAGTCGCTTTTTCTGTCGAAATTTCACGCCTCTCCATGGAGCTCTCCATCCCTATTTGTACTTCCGTCTGGCAGTGTGTGGCCCGCTCGCTCTCGTTTTTTTTCAAGGAGGCTGCGCGGTTGCTTTGCAAGGGGTAGCTGGCTCTGTGGCAACTATTTTTCCTCCCTTCTCTTCTCCCCCTTTCCTTCCCTGCTCGGAGACGCATGTGATGCCTTGCTAGGGGTGTGCGCTCTTTAGATAAATAAATATATATGTACCTATAAATTAATATAAATTTATGTCAATTTGCATGTCTGTTTATATGTAGATGGCCGTCTGTACCCAGCGCGCTCCTAAGAAGCATGGGGCCGTGTTTGGCGAGCGTCTGCTGCATGCAGGTACAATGCTGTGAAGGCGTGGGAAGTGGATACGCTGCGGGGGCACAGCAACAACGTGTCGTGCTTGGTTTTCCATCCGCACCGAGACTTGCTGCTTTCCAACTCGGAGGACAGGAGCATCCGCGTGTGGGATGTCACGCGGCGAACTTGCCTGCACACTTTCCGAAGAGACACAGACAGATTCTGGGTTCTGGCTGCTCATCCGACTTCTGGAGCGCTTGCTGCAGGCCATGATGGCGGGCTTGTAGTGTTCAAGATCGCCACTGAAAGGCCACCCTCGTGCATGTGGACAGCGAGCGAGCTTGTTTTTGTCGCGGAAAGGCGCCTCTGCTGGATCGACACCGCCGCAGTTCTAAGCCAGAAGTTGCACGAGCAGCAGGGTGGACCGCAGCAGCAGCAGGGAGTGCAGCAATCGCAGCTGGAAGTGATGCTCGCTGAGCTTCAGAGACCCCTGAACGCACTTGCAAGCGGTCCTAAGTATATCCTTTGCAACCCCCTCAACGCAGGAGAGCTGCAGACGGTTGCCGTCTATGTGCGTAGTGCAGGAAGCGACTCACGAAGTCTCGTTGCTGCTGCTGCTGCTGCTGTCGAAAGCTTCTTCCTTCGCCCACACGTAGCTCCGCGCTGCTGCTCTTGCTGTTAGCGTTGTTGTATACACCTCGACGCCGTCCGCGGCACGCTTTGCCTGCCGTCTGCGTCCTGAGGCTGCGCTGCAAGCCTCCTGTGTTGGGGATGTCGTATTACAGCGCTGCTCCAGACTCTCTCTCTCGCCACTGACTTTCTGCGCTAGAAAGGTACTGAGCTTTTCCGAAGGATGTTGGCGATCTCTGACTTTCGAATTGATGCAGGCAGAGGGTGAAGGACTGACATACGACTTCTACTGCGGACCGCGAAGCGACGCGAGGGGTGCTCCCCCAGCGGCTAGCAGTCTTCTCCAAGTTGCGCAGGTTCGCTCTCTTGCAGTTGCATCACAACGACAGACACAAGGCCGTCCAAGCTAGGAGACGCCTCTTCCCTGCCTTCTTGCCTGCCTTCGTGCCTGCGTTTCTTTCTTCCTCTCCCCGCTTCGCCGCTTTCGCTTCTCCCTAACTTCCTCCCCTTGCCAGTGCAGCCGCCGCTCTCGCATTATCTCCTGCAAAATTTCTTAGCGTTCCTCGGTAGAATGGTAGCGCCCATGGTAACGTGGGAAGGAGGACACGATTTGTCTCTCTCTATATATATATCTATCTCTCTCTTTCTCTCTCTCTTTCTCTATATCTTTCTCTCCCTCTTTCTCTATATCTTTCTCTCCCTCTTTCTCTCTCTCTTTCTCTCTCTCTCTGTAATATGCATTTATTAGATATACACATGTCTGCCGGAGGGCTGTGCAGGCGCTTGGTTTTCTCTCTTTCCTCCGTGTTGCTCTCTCTGTCTGTGTGTCTGTCTGCCCCTCGCGCCGCTGCTTCCCAGAGGAAGGCGAAGGCGTAGCAGCGTGTATCCACAAACATCCCTTTGCATGCGCGTTGCTGCCTGTCTCTACAGGGCACAGGACAGTCCTTTGCTTTCATCGCGAGAAACAAAGTGGCTGTGCTTGAGGCCGCTCCAAATGGGAGCTGCTTGCGAATCTTGACTGCCCCCTCGGTTCGTGCATCTTCGCTTGCCGGTTCTTCTGGTGCCTCATCAGTGGCAGACGCAGGACGGATTGAGGCTCTCCCCGTGCAGACCGAGAAGATCTTCTTTGCGGGTTCAAATAAGCTTCTTCTTCTGGGGGATGACAAGGCAAGTGCATGTGCTTTTTTGCAAAACGGGGGCCTTTTTGGCTCACTAAATTTCGACCACAGGCACATACCAAATGCTCGGCTCAACTTCGGCTGCCTCCTTGCTTGCGTTGCTGCAAAACAAGCTGCCCCCCAGCGTCTTTATAATTCCCTTTGCGCTGCTTCTAATAGTATAGACACATACCGATACATCTATATATATATATGTACATATATATATATATATATATATATATATATATATATATATATAGAGAGAGAGAGAGAGAGAGAGAGAGAGAGAGAGAGAGAGAGAGACAGACAGACAGACAGACAGACACACAGATCTGTAGATCTTTGTCTACATTTTATGTTATATGTAAATAAATAAATCCTTTCAGCTATGCATATATACGTATATATAACAGTATATATATATATATATATTTGTATATTCCCCGTCATGTCTGTCCGTTGACGCCCCTCTATTTCACAAGCTTTGTCCGCGTGGTGTTGTGTATTATCAAGCGTTTGCTGAGTTTTTTTCACGCATACGTGGGCTCCTGTGCTTTTCGGATTTCTGAGAGCTGTCGGACGAATGCTCTGCTTCTTCGCAGCTATTTCTGTACGATCTTCCAGTCCGCCGCCTCTCGCCGCCTTTGCAGCTGGCCCTTGGAGGGCCTGTGCGGACTGTTTCTTGGGATGCTGAAATGCGATTTCTGGCTCTTACTTCGAAGCATGCAGTAATTCTTCTTCGCGCAGATTTCGGTGCCCTCTCCTCAGCAGCTCCCCCCGCTCCCCAGACAGAGGCGGCAGCCTCGCACGCAGAGGCAACCCCAGGCCGGAGCATGCAGCCAGTCTTTAAAATCCTCACCTCAGTGCATGAAAACATTCGCGTCAAGGGAGGCGTGTGGGATGCAGAACTCGGTGCGCTCAGCTTCCGTGATCCTCCAAGATAGCTGCTCCCTCCCCTGCCGCTGTAGCGTTGAAAAGTATTTTAAAACGCAATCACACCACTAAAAGGGAGGGAGCCTCAGCGCAAAGATGAAACCAACCCTCTAGCTACAACGGCCGGTTCTTGCTTCACACTTGGAACCCCTTCGTTGTTCAATCGTACTGCATGCAAATTTTGATAGCCAAATGTTTCGCTGCTTCCTTTCTCACCTTATCCCTCGCCGCCCCCTCTACGGCACGTTCCCCTCCCCTCGTCCTTCTCCTCCCCCTTCTCCCTCCCTCTAACCTTCTTCTGTATGGCATGGCATATCCAAACCTGCCGATTTGTCCATATCCTTGTATGTATATATATATATCTACATGTATATATATGTATATATGTACATAGAGTTGTATATGTATATATATACAGGTGTTTGAGGACTGCCGTATGCTCGTTTTTTTAACGCCCGCTGCGTTTGCCTCCTCCGCTTCTCCCGCTGCACCTACGTCGCCGCTCTCTCTTTTATCACTCACTCTCTGTTTTCTCTCTCTTCATTCTCTTAAGGCCTGCCTGCTTGTCTTCGTCTTGGCGTTTGTGTAGGGGGCTTCATTTATGCGACGCTCTCCAATGTCAAGTTCTGCCTGCCCAGCGGTGACAGAGGAATCATCTGCAGCCTCTCGGAGTCGATATATGTAGTCAAGTGCGGACCTATAAGAAGCCCTCTTAAAGAAATGGACTTTCGAGTTTACTGTGTTTATGTGGGGGGAGAGACTAATTTGAGGTTTCTCTGCGGTGTTCGACCTCTAAGGCTTCCTGCGTCCCCCCGCCTTTCTCAAAACTGCTGTCTGGTTGTGTATTCTCTGCTGCTGTGTGCTGCTGCAGAGTGAGTCAGCAGCACCTGATGTACTTGGACCGTCGAAGTCAGCTTCTTTGCAAGCCTCTGGCCTCAAACGAATATCTCTTCAAGGTTGCTCTCAATAGAAGAGATTACATGCAGGTACGCGGGAGGGAGAGGGCGACGATATCGGGGTGAAGGAGAGAAAGAGAGGGAGATTTAGAGGATAAAAGAGAAGAAGAGGGAGATCTAGAGAACAAAAGAGAAGAAAGGGAGATTTAGAGAGCATAAGAGAAGGAGATTTAGAGAACAAAAGAGAAGGAGAGAAAGCAAAAGAGAGAGAGAGCGAGAGAGAGATTGAAGTCATCGAGGGAGAGGAAGAGAGAGTCTATGGGATGATATATTTCCGCTCAGTTATGTTGCCTTGTGAGAGGAACGCTGAAGGCCACCAGCAAGCGCATTGCGGAAACTTAGCATGCACTCACTGATATATTTCTGCGACGCATGCGGCTGTGTTTTTTTAGGTTGCTCTGTTGGTGCGTCACGGCAATTTGTGTGGGAACTCCCTGATAGGGTATCTGAAGGAGAAAGGCCACTCAGAGGTGAGAACGTGTGTCTGTGGCTGTAGTGGCGAATGTTGCATTTTTCTTTGAAGCGCGCATGCCTTCTTTTTCTGGTTAGTGGAGTAGGGGCCGCACTTGTGGAGTTTGGATTGCGCTGTCAATCAGATTGCCTTGGAGTTTCTCTCGGATCGCAAGTCGCGCTTTCTGATGGCTTTGGAGGTAGGACGCTTGGAGGAAGCCTTCGAGGCTGCGAAAGCACTCAACGATAAGGTGAGTGAGGTGTGCTGAGCCCACACGCGGTGTTGTCTTTGTGTGCAATGCTTGCTGCGCGGGGAGACAAAGAGGAGGCACGGGGTAGGAAGGGAGAGGGGGGGAAGGCTGTGCATCAGCTATAATGCGGAGCAGCTCAGCATATCTGGCATGGCCGGAGGCGCGTTGAAAGCTTTGCGCGTCGTAGAATGACGCGAGAGCGAAATTTGTTTTTGTCTTCCCCCTGTCTCTCTTGCCCTTGTCAATATTTTTTTCTCTCGTTTGGAGAAGATGCCGCCTCCCTCTCTGCAGAGCTAAGCGCTGTGTGCTGATGCCTCCGCTTGGAGAGCGACAGGCCTTGCCACGCTTCTTTCGCTCTTTTTCCCCTTCTTCTTTCTCTTCTGCCTCCTCCTTTTTCCCGCTTTCTCTCCGAGTTTCCTACAGGCGGCTTATGCGCCTTCACGTTATGTGCGCATTGGCATCCCGCCTTGCTCGTTTCTCCCGTTGCTTCTCACGCCCTCTCTCTGCCAGCGCGACTCGTTTCGGAGCAGAACTAAGCGCTGTGCCGTGCTACTGTTCGCCTCCCTTAGTGCTTCGCGAGCTGGCGCTTTTTTGCTGCTGCTGCGTTTTTGTCGATCCACACCGGCTTCCTGCCTGCTGCCTGCCTTTGCTCGTGCACTCGTTCTTTTTCGCTGGCTCTCTGCCGCGTATTCCACTGCATTTGCCTTCTTTTCTGCTATGCGCCTCCTTCGCCTCTGCGTCAGACTGGATGGCGCTTGCTGTCGGATGCCGCGATGCAAGCAGGGTCCTACGGGCTGGCAGAGGTGTGCTACCAAAAGCTTAAGGCTTTCGAGAAGCTGTCCTTCCTGTATCTGCTGCTCGGAGATAGGACGAAGCTTAAAAAGATGCTGCACGTTTCCAAGCTCTTGCGGCAGCCGCTGCTGCAGCAGCAGCAGGCGCTGCTGCTCGGAGACGCCGGAGAGAGAATCCAGCTGCTCCTAGAGGCACAACAGCCAGGGCTAGCTTACCTTTGCGCCAAATCCCACGGTCTTACAGAAAAAGCAGAAGAGCTAAGAGGTTCCGTTGATGAAAAACATGCTGACGACTTTCTTCCCAGAACGCCACTCGCTCTATTTCCGCCGCTTCCCATCCTCAGGTACCATACCTACCTGCCACCACATATACATATATATGTATATATATATAGATATTTGTATATGCCGTCTTACCTGCTTGCTTGTCTGCTTGCTTCTTCGCTTACCTGCTTGCTTCTCTGCTTGCCTGCAGGAGTGCTGTGTCGGAGAGTACTAGAGAGTCTGTGGGCAAAGGGAGCAGAGAGGGCGCTGTGACTGCTTGCTGATTTTTTCGCGATTTCATGCGCATGCAGGTTCGGACCAGGAGAAAGTGCAACTTGGCAGCCGATGGCAGCGGACGAACCAGCGCCTTTTGCTGCGGCCTTAAAGGCAGTCGACGCCATTGATGCCGAGACGGCAAGACTCATGCTGCATCGAGGTACGTCTCCTTGCGTAATGTGGCGATTTAGGGTCTCTTAGAGCCGAGCTTTTCGCATCTCTGCTGGCTCCCAGTGGGGGCGGAGGCGTCTCTGTGTGTGTGTGTATGTATGTGTGTGTGTATGTATGTATGTGTGTGTATGTATGTGTTTGTATGTATGTGTTTGTGTTTATGTATGTGTATGTATGTGTATGTATGTGTTTGTGTTTATGTATGTGTATGTATGTGTATGTATGTGTTTGTGTTTATGTATGTGTGTGTATGTATGTATGTGTATGTGTTTGTGTTTATGTATTTGTATGTATGCGTATGTGTATGTATGTATGTGTGTGTATGTATGTGTTTGTGTTTATGTATGTGTATGTATGTGTATGTATGTATGTGTATGTGTTTGTGTTTATGTATTTGTATGTATGCGTATGTGTATGTATGTATGTGTGTGTATGTATGTGTTTGTGTTTATGTATGTGTATGTATGTGTTTGTGTTTATGTATGTGTTTGTATGTATGTGTTTGTGTTTATGTATGTGTATGTATGCGTATGTGTATGTATGTATATGTGTGTATGTATGTGTTTGTGTTTATGTATGTGTATGTATGTGTATGTATGTGTTTGTGTTTATGTATGTGTATGTATGTGTTTGTGTTTATGTGTTTGTGTTTATGTATGTGTATGTATGTGTATGTGTGTATGTATGTGTTTGTGTTTATGTGTATGTATGTATGTGTATGTATGTGTTTGTGTTTATGTGTATGTATGTATGTGTATGTTTGTATGTATGTATGTGTATGTATGTATGTATGTATGTCTCGTTTTTATGCACGGCTGCGGGCCTTGCGATTTTTCGCGGAGGCGTCGCATGTTTTTGTTCTCTTGTTTCGTGTGTGCTCTTCTGTCAAGCGCGCGCCTTCAATTTTTTGTGAAAGTCGTGCTCACATGTCTTGCCTCTCTTTCTCTCTCTTTGCGTTGCCTGCCACAGGCCCGACAGAATCTCCTCCTGCCGTGTCTAGCGGCGTGGGGGGGTGGGGAGATAGTGGTGGTCAGCTTTGCAGCGATGAGTTTGCGGAGGAATTTGCCTCTGTCGGTGCAGCAGCAGAGGGCGAGTGGGAAGACGCCATTGACATTGGCATTGAAGAAGACAGCAGTGCAGCTGCAGCTGCAGGCACAAGCAGCGGGGAACTAGGGGGGATGAACGGCTGCGGTGGGGAGGAGGCTCCTGGCATAGACCCCACAACTTTATGGCGAAAAACGCCGATCGCGGCAAATCTTGTCGCTGCAGGTGCGCCGCTTCTGTTGGCATGCATGCATGCATGCATGCATGCACTCACGCATCTACCCAATCTACTCGTCTGTTACCGTGTGAACTAAGGACCGCGCGGTGCCTCTGTAGGGGGTGTTTGCTGTATCTCCAGCTAGCTAGAGGAGCGCTGGACGTGTTTTTCCCGAGGCTCCGGAAGCCGATGAGGCAAACGGACTTCTCTCTCTCTCTTTTTCGCCGTATGTAGCGCTGCTGTCTCTTTCTCTAAAGCTGCTGCTTGGTGGTGGCGTTGCTTCCAGCGGGAGCAGAGGCCGCACTTTTTGCATGCCAAGCCGTGTGTCTGTACAGGGGATTTTGCGGGAGCATTGCACCTCCTGCGTCGTCGCCTCGGCCTTCTGCGTGTCGCTCCCTTCGAAGAAATCTTCCAGCGCGTCTTTGAAGGGTCGTGGATGTACATGAAGGGTCACTCCTTTACACCTTCTCTTGCCCTCCCCCTGGCGACAGGGGTGGCAGCGGGAAGAAGCGGCCTTCCCCAGGGAGTCTTAGCGCCTCCACGCGTTGTCAGCTGCAGCTTCATGGTAACGCTGATTCGAGAGGCACACAAGCTAGTCACAGGTAGGCACTCAGCCTCCGCGGGGAGAAGCTTAGGGGAGAAGCTTAGGAAACGGGGAGAAGCTGTGGAGGCGCTCGCACGCGTCTCCGTCTCTGTGTGGGGTCTTGAGAGCTCTCAAGTGTCTTTACAGATGCAGCAGCAAAAAGCACACACAAAACGCGGCGGTGCTGTACTTCGCTCTGCCTTGTGGAGCTACCGTCCGCTCAATCCTTTGCACTCTCGCGTCGGGGGGGCCCTCCGGCTGCACCGCGCATTATATGAAGCCTTTCCTGCCTCTTTTTTCGTTATCGCACATGCTTGCGCATGCATGCATGCACTGCGATGGAGTCACAGGCTTTCTGCTGGGTTGCCTCTGCCGAACCCGCTGTCTTCTTTGCCTGTTTCTTTTCTTGCCTCAACGTGGTCAAACTCCGATCTCGTTTTGTATACCGACCCTGCGCGCTTTTCTCTCTCTCGCTCGCTCTCTCTCTCCCCTTTCTCTTTCTCTCTGCGTCTTCCTTCGCGTTGCTGAAATCGCGCGTTCATTCATTCGCAGCATGGCGACTTGGTGATGTGCAGGAGGCAAATTCGCTGAGGCGCTTGCTGCCTTCCGCCAGGCCCTCCTGACGCTGGCGATCGCTATGGCCGAAAGTCACGAAGAAGAGCAGCAGGTAAGTGCAGCTCTCTCTCTCTCTCTGTTTTCTGCTCTGGAGATTTCGTCAGTAAAGCCTGTAGTAGCAGGCTGCGGATAGAAAGCGGGCAAAAGGATGCTGCTTCCTCTCATCTCTCAACGTTTTGCCAAATATAAAGGGGGAAAAGGAGGAGGGAAAGGGCAGACGTATTTCCTGAGTCCGGTATAAGTGTGAATGCTCTTTTATCGCACCCTCTGAGTATGTGTCAGTCCTTGCTGCCTACTGCGCTTCTTCGCATGTGCTCATCAGCTGCTGGAAATGCTGGAAATCTGCCGAAATTACACTGCGGGCATGGCCCTCGAAACTGCAAGGCTTGCACTGGGGGAGAAAGATGCCAAGCGAAGTCAGTAATGATGGGCATGACTTTCCTGCACTGCACTGCACAGCGCAGCTCGCGCGTCTTTGCGTCGAGCTACCAAGAGCCAGCGCATACAAGATCACCTTGATTGTCGCATGCGGCGTGTCTCGACGCTTAGCAGATGTATTGACCAAAGCTGCTCTGTGGGACTGGGGGGTGGGGAACTACTCGCGCATGCTAGGGGCCTTTTCGTGAAAGCGCAGTCGCCAGTCCGCAGCGACTCCGTGTGTATGCCTGTTCTCTAGTGTGTTGTTGGTCTTTCACGCATTTCTAGCAAGGCGGCCTTTCTGCTTTCTGTGGAGTATCACTGTTTTCCCGCAGACTTGGAGCTTGTCGCCTACTTCAGCTGCTGCCGTCTGCAGCCCTCGCACGCCTTTCTGGTTCTTCGCCGTGCCCTCAGCGTTGCTTGGAAGAGTCAAAATTACATCACTGCGGCCTCTGTGCGTGTGTAGATGGTCCCTGTGGTGGCACTTGCGTATAGCCGTTGGGTGATGCCTTCGCCGTACTTGTCTTGCCCTGGCTTGCTTGGCATCTCGCTCTGCTACTTAAAGAAACAGCTGGCTTGGTGTGCAAATCGTTGTGTGCTTCGTGTCTCTGGATCTGCGTTTTACCGGCTCTTCACCTGCCACCGTGCCATGTATGGGCGACCCCAAAAACGCACAATTGGGAAGAAGGCTGTTTGCGTGCCTCTTTGGGGGGGAAAATTCTACGAGGCCTGCGTGTGCGGGTGCTCTCTGGTAGAGAAGGCGGGGGGAACGGGGGGAAAAAAGACGCCATCCACTTCGCTAGATTCCCGTGAAAGCTCCCTTTCATCATCATGACCATGCGATGCGTGCTTTGGAGATCCCGGAGGGGATGTTTTTTTCTTTTCCTGTCGCATGCAACTTCATGCAGAATTCGGTGCAGGGGCTCCTGTAAAATACGCGTGCAGTTTTGGGGCGCATGAGAATCTTTGTATGTGCATATTATGTTTGCATCATGAGTTTTTCGTTTATTTGCTCTACGGACCTCATCCTCGCAAGCAACTCCGAAGCGATTGCGTGTCGCACATATTCTTGCACCTTGATTATTGCTGCCTGCAGTTTGCACGTCGGCTCTTGGCCGGTAATTATGCTGGCTTGAAGGGCGCTGAAGAGGAAGTAGCAAAGGCGAAGAAAGTGCTGATGATCTGCGAGCAGAAAGGAACGGACGCCATTCAAATTAACTATGAGCCGGCAGAAGCAGGTGAGCAGGGCACGGTTGGGTGAGGTTGAAAAAATTCCTCGGCGACGTTCGTTTAATGGCGAATTTCCTCTTTATCTTCCATGTCTACCATCTACTGTTGGTTAGACGCCGAAACTTGGTCTTCAAATGAGAAGGGCTGAACCTTTTTCTGCATCTGGATCCTGCAGCTGACGGCGCCTTTGGTGTATTCGCCAGTTGCTTCCCCTGTGCGGTGGGCAACATCCATTTTGCTGCCTGTCCCGTTGTGATGCAGAAAATTTGCTCTTGTGCAACTCCTCCCTGACACGCCTGCCTCCTGGATCTCCCTTCATTCGCTGCGGCTTCTGCGGGGGCATAGCTCGAAGCGATTTGCAAGGACAGTTGTGCAACGTGTGCCAAGTGGGAGAGCTAGGTGCAAGGGTAAGTTCTGATGAAAGGCTTTGTCTGCTGACCCACCTTAGTGACCAGGAGCCTTTCTGAAAATGCGGGTTGAGGTTGAATTTCTTTGGGGGGTAGCTTGCAGTTTGAGGAGGCCGGCATATGCACTTACGAAGAGGCAGACTTCGTTTACGGTGTTGAAGTATAGAAAGACAGACACAACCATGCTCCCAGCTAGCTAAACGTGGTTTATCTTGGAACGGCTATTCAAGCGCTACATGGAAGTTTATTAGGCGTCCCGAATTATGAGAGGGGCCAACAGGGCAAGCAGTTTGGGGCTTTGGGGTACTGGATATCGAAATACCAACGGAGGCGAATGCATAGACATCTGCATATATGATGGATTCATATGAGGGAGGCACAAAACCCTAATGTGCTACTACGCCTTCATGCGGTGTCGGCTAGAAGCAAAATGGGCTAAACGCTATCTAATTAGATAAACAACAGCTAGTTCATGATAAGACTGACAAGTGCAATGAATGCACCTTTGGCGGATGCGTCTGCTGTCATGTGAGTCTTTTTCACGGGAACGCTCTTTCTATGTTGGGTTTTTCGTCAGCCTGCTTCTGTTCAGGATCTTGCGTTGTCTCGAGGCTTGTTCTTGTGCTCAGGTTGTAGGACTGCAGTTCCTTCCAGTCGTCTAAGGTGAAGGAGCAAGATGCAGCAGACAAATAACACCGAAAGCTGCGTGTGTACTTGCTTTCGTATCGGGCTTCCGTCCCTGCATTGCTGCAGCTGAGCGTCAAATATCAGTAATCCATGTCGGATCGGCGTACATTTTTGTACGCGCATATCCAGTTCCGAATACTGTGTGTGCTTGTGCTTGGGCATAGCGCTGCCACATAGCGGTATGCATGCTCCATATACAGACACATATATGTGCATGTATGCATCTATGAGTACATATATATATGTACACATACACCTTTGCCTATACATGTGTATATGTATGTGTAGACATGCATATATTTCTCTATACTCACATCCATATATGTATATTTGCATAGGTATGTGTGCTTGCATATACGATACGTGAATGTGCATTTCGGAGGTATGTTATATACATGGTGGCGTGGTGAATTTCGGTCCCTGCAGCGATTGGCTGCTCACCAAAGCAACAAATTTCTTTAGTCGAAATCTCATGGTGCGAGGTTTAGTTAAGCACATTAGAGGGAGGGGAATGCGAAATTCCTGGGGGCTGAAAAGGGTAGCGAAAGGTGGTCTACGACGTGCGTTACGCGAAACCGCCCGCATGCAAAACTAATGCAAAAAGGCACATGGAGAATTATCAGAAGAAAAACAATGAACAAATGCTGCCATAAAAGGTACTTGCAAAGTGCCTTTATTTGGCCGGAAAGGTGCACACATTGGCACCACTCGAAGTGAAGAAGAGTAAACTCATCAAAATTGAGCTGTAGCGGGTGATATAAATAGCGAGGCAGCCTCTTCTCGTGTGTCGTGTAGCGAGCGACCCATAAATATACCGCACGGCTAGACGTGCTTCGTTACTGGAGAACTAGCGATAATAATTGCATGTAGGGCTGCGCGTGGATCGTAATGCATAAATACATCAGGGGACGCAAAGAACGTGGCCGCATGTCCTTTCTGGCATCTCCCTCTGTACCGTGACTAATAAAAGTCTACTCAAGAATTCGCCTCCTTTCCCGCCCTTGCTTATCGCGACATGAAGCCCGTTGGCTGGCACATTTCTTACGTGGAGAAGGAAGATGCCGAAGTGTGCATCTCTATAACTTGCCTTATGAGACCCTGGATTATATCCATTCTATGACGTGCGGAGAACCTCTCCGTGAGCGTACATACGCTGTGAACCCTCTATCCGTTCCCCTGCCCATACTTTTTCATCTTGATCTCCTGCACCCAACTGCCATCCAGGTATACTTTGTCACTCACAATTCAGCAGCTGCGCCGCCCTTTTAGGTTACGGCGGCGTGTCTTGGGGAAAGGGGGGCAAGCGAGAATTTCTAGGGGCCTTCGTCGAATCGAACCAAAAAAGGCAAAGCACAACCTAGTTTACGTTCGCAGTATTATCGCCTTCAATTCAACTAAGGGCGAAGCCAAAAAGATTTGTAAGGTGCAGACTAGCGCCAACCAACAATAGGTATGGTACTGAAGGTGCCAGTATGAAGACTAGGCTCCCCTGCAAAAGTCTCTGATGCAGCATAATTGCTTATGTGTGTCGTCTCCTGACTGCATTTAATACTTTGTGCTGTTCTCGCCACTCTGTTGCTAATTGCTGCTCGTAATTTTGCCCCCTAACTTCATTTCCATGTGCCTGTTCGCTACTGCGTTTAGTTCTTATTGAGAAAAAGATGCGTTGAATTCGTTTACAACAAACTCCTGTTAGGCGCTAAGGCTGCGTTTGTGGGTCTCTCAAAGTTTGATGGGTACGATGAACAGAATCTAACGCATGATCGCTCTAGGGCACTCGTCGGTCAGGACGGCAACATAGACGGAGGGAAGGAGACCAGAAAGCAAGAATTCATGATGAAAGAGTCTAGAATACACGAGATATGTGTATATGCCTCTTCAGATGCTCCTTCACCTTCCACTTCTGGCATGCACATGACTCAGTAGCGAAACCGTTTCGTATTTGCCGCGTGCATCGCCTCTGACCTGCCTGTGTATGAACTCGTTCGGCTGCTCTCTGAGATAGATCGTGGCATTCCTCCATCTCCAGGAAAGTCCGTGTCCATCTCGTGCCTCTGGCCCTCTTCGTTAAGGGCTCCATTGAGTCGGGTAATTTGCCATTTCCACTTCTTCTCTAAGGGACTCCAGTCAGCAATTGCCTCGTGATCAGGTCCCAAGTCACCTTGAAGGACATTGAATACACAGTGCATGCCGGACGCGAACATGAAAAAACAAACATGGACTCGCAGCGTGTAACGGTCAGAAGGCAAGCAAACAAAAGTGCCTGACAAAGGAGGCCCCAGGCAAGCGGCAACACAGGATGAATACAACCCCAAGGCAGGGGATTCTTTAACGAGCTGCACTGCATGCAATAGAATCGACAGGCCGGAAAACCCGTGCATCTGCGTGTACGCTAATGCACGTGCAGATGCGTCATGGCCAGGTCACTTTTCTACTGTCTTTGCACAACCTTTTCCAAACACCTACCATTAAGGATCATGACAGACAAATCAGATACGATGTGCTTCTCCAGGTACCGCTTCAGGGGCCTTGCTCCGAAGGCTGGATCGAAGGCTTCCTCTAACGAGTGCCGCAATGCGGTGTCAGTCAGTTCCAGAGCAATGCGCTTTTCACGCAGACGAAGTCGGACCTCGTCTACTTGCAGCCTCATCACCTAGGGAAGCCACGAAGAAAGGGAACAAAAGCGATCAGCCATGCATACTGCTTAGGGCAAGTGTATTGAACAAGCATTTCACACTATTTACACTCGGAAGGAAGACGAAGGAGGCTGGAAAACGCAAGCGCGATGATGGGGAGGAGAGTGCGACCCGGCAACATTTTGCGCGGCAGGCACACGCGGAAACAAGAAAACTAAGATAGAGATTTGAAGGGATATTCAACGAATGGGAACCAACACATGGGTGCGACCACTGAGAGAATCAAGCCCATGGCGAGGTCAGAAAACGGAATGTCGCAAAGTCTCCGTAGAAGGAAACAATTCAGGTGACAGGCAGCAGCGGAAAGGACAGATACATCCGAAGTTCATGCCATTTATGCACGGACTCTAAGGTGATGCATTTTTATATGGATCTTCCGCAGACCGTCGGTCGCTCAAAGTGCGCGCACCACCCAGCGGTTGCATCGAAAAGTTTGTTTTGCGGTCGTTTAGGTGACAACAGACACAGCTAGAAACCCGTTACGTCTACGCCTTGCCGGGTATCCAATTTTATGGTACGGAATTCATGTTATAGCATCTTGAAATAATTCCATGCCACACAGTACCTACAGCTTCAAGATCCGCGTTGCTGAGCGCCCTAAACGCCACAATGTCGTCCAAGCGGTTGAGCAGCTCAGGTCTGAAGATACGGCGAACTTCCGCCATCACCTTGGAAAAAGCGGTGTCAAAGTAAGCCGCCTCCTTTTCTGCACCTACGAAAGCGGAGACAACAGCAGCACCTCAAAAAGATTCACAATCACACATATGTGTGCATGCATAAAACACGTGAGCCTGGTCTCCTTTTTTGTTCAGCAGGATCACAAGGAGAAGCCAAACGCCGATTACACAGTGCTGGCTTAAAGAATGACGAGGCACCGCCGCCATGAGCAACAATGCCATGATTCTACAAACAGCAACATCACGCAAAATGCCACAACCCTTTTCACCAAGCTATAGGAAGCACTGACTTGCGCCCTCAGCACTTTTTTCGGCGGCTTCTAGAAGGTAATGCGCTCCTATGTTTGAAGTCAGGATGAGCAGACAGTTCGAGAAATCGACGGTCCGCCCCTGGGAATCTGTTAGACGCCCCTCGTCCAGCACTTGCAGGAGCACGTTCCACACCTGAACAGACAGCCGCGGCGGAGGAGAGCTCCACAGACACGTGATGAAGAAACTGGTATACACGATATATATATACATATATGTGTCGCTTCAGATGCTTCTTCACCTTCCACTTCTGGCATGCACAGGAAACAGCCTACCAAATTGGGAAATGCAGGAATTGTTCGCGGCTGGAAACTAGGGAAGGGTGCCGTACAGATCAAGCAAAAAGATATAAATAAAGGACTACTACACCATTATTGCAAAAAGATGAAGGATGAAACAAGGAGAAGGAAAAAGAAGTATCAGAAGCACGCGGAGAGAGAATTGTTGACTGGAAAGATGCATAGCAGGCAAGACAAAGCGTGCGAAAAGGCCGCTTGCTCTGTTTCTCTTAAAGTACGTTCTTTCTTTGCATGTGCGGCGCGTTTGTAAATATTGTGCATCTGCAGCAGGTGCTTGGATCGATTCCTGCCTATAAGCGATCCCTAATGTATATATGTTTCGGCGTTTCGGTTTTGTTATTCTGTCGTGTTCGCACTTGGTGATGTGCTTTTTCCACTTCGTCCAGCAGCACCACGGAATAAGGATTTCGTCTGATAGCTTCTGTGAGCTGCCCTCCTTCCTCATGGCCGATATAGCCGGGGGGGGCGCCAATTAGCCGCGCGACGGAGTGTTGCTCCATATATTCGGACATGTCGAGGCGCACGATGCGTTCCTTCGTATCGAAGAGCTCCTCTGCCACCGCTTTGCACAGCTCGGTCTTGCCCACGCCGGTCTGCACTCAAAAACCACGCACTGCCGAGGGCTGCAGTGACACTGCGGGAGTTGCAAGCGGGATTTATTGGAGTGACGAGGCTCAGCGCGTCACACAGCCAGCGCGCGCGCGCGCCTGCATGCGTTCCGAGAACAGGGGACGCGCAAGGAGCAGACTGGCCGCTAGAGGCAGAAAGCGGGGAGGCCCTTCCTCAGAAGCCGACTCGTGAAATCTGTAGGCAGGTCTGCCATCCGGCCGCGCACACTTCGACACCTTACCCAAAAGGCTATAGATGCCTCTGGAAAGCCCATCGAGAAGGCTAACGACCGCGCAGCGTGCCTCTTACTCACCGGGCCTAAGAAGAGGAAGCTGCCGATCGGCTTGTTGCGCCGTGCAAGCCCCGCAGCAGACCTGAGGATCGCCTCCGACACTGCCGTAACCGCTGGCATTTGTCCGATAACCCGTTGCGAAAGTTTCTCCTTGAGACACAGCAGGCGCTCCTTCTCTGTCTGCGTCAATTTTTGCACGGGAATGTTTGTCCAGCGGTGGACTACGTCCGCTATCTGCTCGGGGCCGACCACCTGAGCAACGCAGCCAGCGCGTCACAGAGCGCGCACATTCTGACGGTTCACGCCTGTCTTCCGCCTTTCCTTCCCCCCAACAGAGCAGCAGAGCTCTCCGAAACATGCTCATGCGTTGAACGCGTATTTTGAAGCGCTTCATCGTAACACTACACCCAGCCGGCGAGACTCCCGGCAGAGGACCTGCAAGGAAGGCGCGCTGCCTGCGCTCTTCATTCCAGCCTCACTGACAGACATGTAGAAGAAAATGATTTTTGCATGCATACACCCACAACGCTACAACGGCATCCTGCATGGAGACTGCCCCTCTGCTCAACCAAAGTTTTGCTTCTACGCCCCTCCTAAAAAGAACGGCCGTTGTCTGTACTGGAGAGGAACCTGCAGCACAGAACGGCCTTGAAGAAACGCCTTTCGCTCCTGCCCGCAACGCACCTCCGTCAAGAGCGGTTTGTGAGTTTTCTCGTACATCTCTTGCTGCTTCCGCAGTTCACTCAGTCTCTTCTGAAGCCCCGGAAGGGCGTCATACCGCAGCTCTGCAACAAGGTCCATCTGCCCTAGCCTCTCCGCTTTCTCAATCTTCGCCTTAAGATCGTCCTCCTTGAGGGCCAGCTGCCGCAGCTCATCCAGAGTCTCCTTTTCCCTGCTATACTGCAGCTGCAGAGGCTTTAAGGTTTCCCTCAGCTTCGCAATTTCCTGACGGACAGCAGACAGGCGCTCCTCAGAAGCGGCATCGCTCTCCTTCGCCAAAGCAGTGCCTTCAACCTCTGCGAAAGCCCCACCCATCAAAGACATAGTCAAGCACACGCGGCCATAAAGAAGGTTTGTGCTCTTCTTCTTGATGCGTATATGTCAGAAACCCTAAACTGAGAAGGCGAACTGGGGATTCATACACGTCCCAGGAAAAGCGACAAATGCAGGACGCTGAACACACTGAAGGTCATTCATCGGCTTTGCCAACCCTCTTTTTCCTTCTCTTTAAACTCCGTACTAACCCAATACCCACGACTCAAGGCGCCAAGAAGACCATTACTATGCAGTAGATATACATGAGCATCGATGTACACACATATATATATATATGTACGTTTATTTCTAAGCGTACAAATGTTTGAGACTGTATGTGGATTTTCGCAAATGTACAAGCCCCATGCAATCATTGCACTCAACAGCATATCCTAGAGTGCAGATACATCTCGGTATGCGTATGCATGCAAGGGCAAACACAAACCACATCCTCATAGCTGTGAGTGAAAGCAGGCACTCGTATAGATGTAGGAAAGCACCGCGGCAGTAGCAAAAGCATTTCAAGGGACAGCATAAACGCTTAACGAATGCAGGGATGGCTAAAAGACGTGCCGAGTTGGAAGATGTGCCTCTCCAGTCGATCCATGATTTCAGGTTTGCTGTCAACCTGCACTCGGGCAATTGCGCAGGCCTCATCCATCAAGTCGATGGCCTTGTCAGGGAGAAAACGAGAGGTGATATATCTGTCCTGGAATGAAAGCAGCAAGCAAGCAGGCAGCAGGCAACACAGACGTCCATACAAAATGCGCTTGGGCTCCTGCTATTCAGCCCTGTTGGCAAGCTTCCTATTCAGATGAGACCAGTCTGCAGGTAGAAAACCCCTCCACCTCACGCCCTTTCCCAATCTGAATACAGTGCGCACTGGAGGGTTCCCTTCGGCTCTGTCCTGTCGGGACACCCCCACAAAGCAAGAGCAACGACAAGGAAGAAAGACCAGCAAGGGCCAACCTCCACGAATTTTTGCAGCGTTTCAAGACCCGTGACATGCGAACAAACAGCCAGACAACCAGCGGATTCCTCAAGTTAAAGCAGCTGAGAAACGGGGTGGAATACGCTTACTGCAAGCTGTGCTGCCTCCACAAGGGCCGTATCGAGAATTCTGACTCCGTGATGCGCCGCATATCTGTCCTTGAGACCTCTCAGAATTGAAATAGTGGCCGAAACCGATGGCTCATGGACGTGCACTTGTTGAAATCGCCGCTCAAACGCCGCGTCTTTCTCTACGTGTTTTCGGTACTCATCGAGAGTTGTGGCGCCAATACACCGAAGTTCTCCTCTGCGTCCGCAAAAGAAAAATCAAAGAGAATCCGAGATGGTAGAAAATTTGCGAGGAGGCGGATTCCGCAGCTACAAAAGGTACTCAATGTAGCGAAACTGCGGGAAGTACAGGATGAGAACCAGAAGAAGAGCGCTGTCACATCACGGCGCTTGCGCAAGCCCCCGTGCGGAAAAATTTCAAGTTCTGAAACAGTTCTCGCGTGCTCGTCACCCACGGCCCCCCGTCATCAAGCGTGAGCGTGTGCATGGAAAGCCCTGCTATGTGTGTTTTCGCACACACCGCAGGGCAGCACCTTATCATAAATAGACATGGACTTATCTTGAAGCGGTTGGATCGACGGATCACCGTGTCTTGGGGCATGTACATAATGGCATGTATATATGGGTGCCTTGCAAGCAGGAGTGGCTATGGTTTTGGGCATGCACATAATGACATGAATATATATACACATATATATGCATAAATATATGACTATATATATATATGTATACCTTGCAAGCATGGGTTTTAAGAGGTTTGCAGCGTCCATGGCGCCATCTGTCTTTCCGGCCCCCATGACCATATGTATTTCGTCGATGAAGAGTATTACCGATCCTTGTGCGTTTTTAACTTCCATGAGGACCGCTTTGAGCCGCTCTTCGAACTCTCCCCTGTACTTTGCTCCGGATATGAGGGCACCCAAGTCCAGAGAAATAATGCGGCAGTGCAGAGATGACGGAACATCCCCCTCGACCACCCGACGCGCCAGCCCCTCGACAATTGCAGACTTTCCTACGCCTGCAGAGAGCGACACACAGGCAGGGAGAGTTTGTGCATGCAGAGCGTTGGTCGGGAGGGGCAAACGACCACTGCGATAAATGTTTTTCAATGGCAGCGCCAAGGAGGGCGTAAAAGGTGCCTAACGGGGGCATGAGGCGCCGGAGGACGCGCGAGAACAAGCAGTATAGCTGCACTAGTGGCACTTTTACTTCATGTCAGATGCGATACTCGGGGTGGCGAAAGTGCCTCTCCAAGGCACCCACACATAGACATGACAGACTAAGGCCTAGAGTGCAGCGCACGCTACGTAGGGGCGCGACAACGTAATGCAGAGACCTTTACAGTTCTTGCATCCCACAAAATGGAGATATGAGTTGTACATATATATATATATACAACTCAAATCTCCGTTCCCACCACTGCTTCCAGTGTCTACCTCTACGGCTTGATGCTTTAGACCCCAAACCACGTGACATGCGCGAGTGTGCTTTCCTTGCCCGGTTCTCCAATCAAGACAGGGTTGTTCTTGGTTCGTCTGCACAGAATGCGGATGACCCTCCTGATTTCTTCATCTCTGCCAATCACGGGGTCCAGCTTTCCCTGCTCGGCTAGGTCAGTAAAATCCACGCCATATTTGGTGAGGGCATCAAAATTTTGATCTCCGCCTTCCGTAATTACACGGGCTCCGCCTCGAAGCTTCGCACAAATCTCCTTCAGCTTTTTGTAGTCGCAACCCGACGCTTGTAACGCCTGCCTTATGCCGCGGTTCTCGCACAGTGCCAACAGCAAATGGTCCACTGCTAAGTGCGTATCCTCTGCATCGCACAGTTCAACCGCCATGAGGAAATCTGGCCTTCAACTCACGGCAGGCACAGTACACCGGCATCCCCTGCGCAAGCAAGCGAAGAGCGAGACTTTCTTCTTTCTGTCTGAGCGTAAACTTTAATTGGACTCTCAGAAGAGGCGGAAAGTTGGAAGGCTGATGATTCTGCTTCCATGAATGGATGCTATATTAGCACAAGAACCGCTTTTCACGTACACAATCGGTCGGAAGCTAAAAGTGCACGCGCATTATTGGTTTCCAAAACAAAAAGCGCTCAGCCGTTAGCCGAATAGAGGATCATTCTTACTCATCTCAAGCTGAATGGCCTTGGCTTGTCTGAACGCGGCTGCGCACGCATGGTTGGGCCCAATAACTTCTGGGGGAGGCTTCTGTGCCGGAAACTTTGCAATTTCTGTCTCTACATGTTCGTGCAGCAACGAAACATCAGTTCCAGCTCTTTTAAGCGCCTGAGTAGGGAGTTGCTGCGGATCTTGGAGCAATGCAGCAAAAAGATGAACAGGATCCACTTGAGGAGATCCTCGTTGTCTACATATTTCCTGCGCGGTGGTGTACGCCTTTCTCACAAGCTCAGTCCACAACGAAGGATCCATATTTGGTTATTTTTGATGTTTGCCTTCGCGATGCTTGAGGCTTTCTAGCGTATCTGGTTGGTTAGGAGGCCGATCAATACGCTGGTAAGTCAGGTGGGCGTTGTTTGTTGGTGCTTGTGCCTTCACTTAGCCGATTGCGTCTCTTTCAGCTTTTAAGCAGGAAAGATGTCCGTGTTGTGCAGCGGTGCACACATCCATGCATGCTGGCATCTCATATGCATCCGCCGATGCAAAAGCGAGGGAAGAGGCGTCGGAAGAGCTAATACTAAGAAAGATCCCTCCTGTAGAGCGTTTTAGCATGACGATGAGCTTTTGCACTCACAAAGAGTTTCTTAGGGGAAATTCTCAGAATGCTTCTCAAGGACTTCCCAAGCACTGCCCAGAGAACATCCGGCTGATGCCCTATCACCACGGCTGAAAGTAGTCATGTAAGGTATACCCACACCGGAAATTTTGTCTCTCCTCGATTATGTTTCTTTCCCTCATCAAGCAATTTAATTGTTTCATTACACAAACACTTTAATTTGACTGCATATCAAGGCGATTTCAATTTCTTTTCCAGTGCACACTGTAGTCGGTAAAGCCACTGGTCGGAGTCTGCCCCACAGCAAACCCACGACGTTCTCCATCATTGATTTGTTCCTTTGGGAGAGAATGCCTTCTCAACTACGCAAGAAGGTGTAATTTTATGGTTTTGTGGGCTTGCCTTGAAAGAACTACTCATTAGGGTGTAGTGGGCGGAAATGCGTCCTGCAGCATAAGTGGCAATCCACTAAAGTCCTTCTGTATGACTCCTCTCAGTGGCAAATTCACCGCTTGAACGAAACCAGTTTGTAATGCTTTACATTTGAGACAAGGCAGCTCTTGTGCTGCTAAAAAAAATAACTGTGGTGCGCGAATAGACAACCTCCTGAGCTTCTTGATCTCTTGTTATGTGGGAAGAAATATCTAGGGGTTCAGCTCGTTACTGCATGATTTTTGCCACAGAGCCGTAATTTTTACACTTCTAAATTCCCTTAGGTGCAGATAATGGATCAGCTCTCTTCCTAGCCCAGTTGAAATTGCTAGCCTTATTCTTTTGAGCCGGCCAAGTTTCACCTGAAGCCTTCATGCTAGACTAGTTATGCCTAGTAAACAAGTATTGAGAAGTTAGCCTGTTGACTTGTCTGCTCGCATGTCTAATTTATGGTAGAGTAGTGCTAGCTCGAAAGTAGAAGACTCAATGCTGATCGAGAGTGTGCTGGATGTACTGTGGAACTGTTCGTGAAAGCTCGGACTGCTTAGCGTATGTATATCCGCGCACTCTTGCTATTGTTTCCCCCGGTGCCGCGGGCTTGGATTAGGGAGGCGAAAAAAGGAGGTTTTCAAGAATCATTCATTGTGCTCTGTGAACCTAAGTATCTTTCACGGAGCCCGTGTATGGACCATGAGATTTGGTAGGACGACGTGGCTCAAAGAAGCTATTCCACCGTGAGATTTGGTAGTACTGCGTGGCTCAAAGAAGCTAATCCCCGCTTATTCACTTTCTATGACCTTCGATTTCCCCTACAGCACTTGTTAAATCTCGACCAAGTTGTTCGGTAATTTCAAAACATGAATTATTATTGCAACAGTCTGGAAAAGAAACGCCCTCTAAAGGCAGTGTTAGACTGTGGTACAACACCTGTTATGGTCAACGAGGCCAGCAAGTTAACGCAAACTCTGTGGCTTCACAGCTGATGTAGAGGCAGGATTCGTCAATCCCTTAGATACTTATGAATGCTCGGACGGGTTTATGCCAAAGAAAGGCATGAAGGCTGTAAGGATGGGTAAGAACTTGAAGAATTCAACAGCCGGCTGCAGATTTACCTTGTTTCGTACCCCTGTGACGAAGACTGATGCGGCATGTTCCTGGGCAGATTATTCCCTAGATGAAGACTCTCTTCATATAGAAGAAACAGTCTGCCTGCAGGGATTAGTGCAGCTCAAGCCTGATCCCGAACTCATTGGTTTATCCTAAAATCAATTCAACAGCAAGCTTTGGAAGAACTAGAAAAGCTGAAGCAAGGGGGTTTACCAATATATTGACATATTTGGAAATATGAAACGTCATTTTGCAAGAGCAGTAACGTGGACGAGCAGTTGCTCCAGCAGTGGATAATCTTAGGTCCACGCGAAGTGGCACGTTAGGTGGTGCCACGATGGGCAGGGACTCAGCGATTAGAAAGCCGACCTGTGGGATTTTCACAAGAGGCGGACTGCTTACTGGCTCAGGAGCAAGCCACTGCAATTGCTCTGTCTTTGGCTCAAGGATAAGGGTAAGCTAGGGATCAGAGTCTAGGAACGTCGGGGATGTATTGACCGGTTCTCGCCCACACTCTGTGCGCAAGGACAGAGAGCTAGAGGAAACCAGCGATGCTAAGCACCACCAGACAACCCCTCACAACACACGTGCTCTAAGTGTGACAGATTGGGTCATGCTACACGAGCATGAAAAAAGCCAAAAATGCTTGAACAACAGGCTGACACTAACGGAAGGATGCTGCTTGGCGCGCAAAAAGGGTACATCGGGGAATCGGCAAGGCCGTCAGTCACGTTGCGGCGCGAAAAAGAGGGTTCAGAGGACGCATCCACAGGTGGAATCCTGGCACGAATAAATTCTGAGCTGAGAAACGCTCATACTAATGGTCAAAAATGGATGGCATTGCTTGATGCTGGATGCAAATATTGTTTGCGGAGACGAAGCAAAAGTGCAATCTGCCTGTTCATTTGTCACTAGAACCCAGGTATGCTGAGGCCTGGCCCAGTGCAAGCATTGGCAAGCCTATGGCAGTAAATGCAGCTTCCAAATAAGGTTTCGACCGAATGGTCCACCACCTGCGCTAGACCCGTGCACCATGACCTACCCCTAATAATGCCTGAAGGAAACCTATTTAGGGATCCTGTGCATTCATTGTTGCGCGTCGTGGAGGTTAGCTCTCCCGGAAGCGTCAGGGAAAAGCAAATCCTGGTCTCGTCGATAACTCTTATTCTATTTTTGGTGAGCAGACAGAGTCGGCACCTCATGAACGTGAGGAATACTCTTCACCGGGGCGGCTTAGCAGAGCAATAAGAGCAGACACTTCTTGGCATGCATCCCGTTCCTCTGGCTATTTAGCTGTTCCTCTAAACTAGGGTTTTCGATTTAGCTGCATGCCAGTGAACAGCAGAAACGAGCGAATGTCAAGAAGGCGCTATTGGATGCTCTGTGTAGTGACGAGCTGCCAGCAGGTGGCCGTCCAGCGCGCCGCACTGAGTTGCTCTCTGATAAATCACAAGCGCCGCGATACTGAATACCTCTTAAGCATGAAGAAAAGTTTGAGCGACAGTGAATGATTTGTTAAAAGCACAGTGTTAGATTAAGCCAGAGCCTTTGGGCACACCCCAATGTCGGTGTCGAAAATGGACAGGAGGCACATGTGAATTAGCTTTAAGCCAATGAACAAGATTTCTAAGAAGCAAATGCTTACATCGCCACATGATGGCGCAACACTGGACAGCTTACTCGATTTACAAAGTTTGCTGGACATTCGATTTTACGGGCACTTCCCTACAAATGTTACATTCACCCGAAAGGCATGAAAGAGCATTCTATATTTTCACTTGGAGAACAAGTGTATTTTTGTGCCGTTTGGAGTTGGTAACCCCACAGGTAAATTGCAGTGGCAGGTTTATACGAAATATTTTCGCACCAAAGATCGCTACATAGCTGTATTCATGGACAATCTCTAGTTGTTCGGCAGAAGCATTCTAGAGCACCTACTGCACCTACACGGTGCGCTTCTGGTGTCACGTAAGCGCTGGTTTCTCAGGACATCAACTATGCTTATGCGAATCTGTGCTTTGGCTGGAGGAATCGAGCAGCATCCGGCAAGAATCAAAGCAATGAAAGCGTAACCTTTAACTTTACATACCCACAAATACGTTGCGAGGTTCTATCGGATTGCGTCTTGTCACTGAAATTTCAATCCTCAATTTAGGTGATCGCCGCTCATTCATTCTATTCAACAATGTGCAATGTATGAGCTAAACAGAGAAGGCTGCTGCCGCAAGGAAGCTTATCGGCTGCCTGCCCATTCCTCCAGCACCTGCGCTGTCCTATAAAAAGTGTTGTTCCTACCTAACAATCAACGTTAGTGGCGTAGCCGTCGGTTCAGTTCCTTTCTGTTAGGCCTCAACCTTTAAAGACCCCATATATCGCTCGTTTTCCCCATCACTTCATCAAAACCGAGCAGTTGTATGGAGTGGGGGAAACGAAACTATATGGAGTGTAACGGGGGGTGGAAAACGCCAGCTTTATTATATAGACCTAGTTTTACCCTGGACACCGACCACAGGTCTTTATTATGCCTTACGAATTGTTCTTAGGACTTTGATGATCCTAGAGTTGTTAGCTGACCGGAGCGCCTCCTGCAGTACGCCCATACATTGAAGTCGATTAGGGATGTCACCAACGTCGGCGACGAGCGCTTGCGAAGCCACAGCGATTCCCTATTGTACAGCGCAATTAGTCCGGCTTGTGGTGACTTAGGGTTCCTATCTATGCTTTTGACATCCCTCCATCAGCTGTTATTACCAAAAACCCAGAATGGAAGGAGGGTGAAGCGCTACCATTTTCAGGATGGCCTGCTGCGCTTGAAAATAAGCGGGGACTCACCCCAACCTTGCTCTGCGGTGCCGCTCTGTGCAAAGCCCATGACCATGTTAAAAGACCATGATCATGTTTATTCGGTCCATGATTGTATTCACAGTACAATAAAAAAAAACATCAAGATCCTTCTCCTGGCCTCAAATGGGTCCAGATTCTTATAAACTGATCCTTTGCAAAGCCTTCAGGATTTGGAATGATCTGAAAATGGAATACCTTGTTGTACTGCTGGAGGTTGAGTTTGCTAGCGCTGTACCCACGTCGTTGACAGATCCAACAAATATGCCCATTTCATTCCTTGCTCCGTCTCTGGTAGCTCAGGGAAATGCTCAGTATGTGCGTTCTGGCATGCCCTTATCAGCTGCCCACAGATTTGCCACAATATGACCACTGCAACCCACCCAAGAGATCATACTCGTTCACCGCACTCTTGTGCAGTACTTGCAGCTCTGTGTACACGCAAATTCAAGTTACTAGCTTCACCCTCTTCCCTATGCTGTGAGTTTATGATACAACTGCACACCCATCTACCCGTTGGTCCCTCGCATGCTTGGTTTACACTTTGGGGGCCCTACCGGTCAGAGCCTGGCCCATAGGGTCCGGCATCAGCAGCCAGCCTCACCGTAGAAGGATTTCAGAAACCACCTGGCTAGTCCACGTCAATGCATGCGCAAAGTTCAAGGTACACAGGTACGTAACAATGGTCGCCTATGTGTTTCAAGTCTGGATATTCGGTCCTGGTGGATCGGCAAAGTCTACGAGGCGCACCAATAGAAGAAAAGAAGAAAAAGGCTGGTGGCCCCAGGGCTAGGACAACTTGAAATCTTCTCACGCGCAAATAGTTTTCGTACCTTACCAAAGAACGACTTGGGCGGCTTTTAAGCTACTTTAGGGAAACAATGTTGATAATTCTGTGGCACCCTTTAAACATATTCAGCAAAATCGATACTCGAGCTTTATTCAGCAGAAGCGCTGCCTGAAGTATCTACGTTTATCCATTGATATTGCTTAAGCAGTCTACAGTTATTACCACAAATAAGATACATTCTTCACGCTTGCATTTGTGTGCAGGCAGTCCAAGTAATCTTGTATCTACTTTCTTTATGCCTTTGGGGGGCTTTTAAGTCGGCTAATCTGCTGCATGCACAGCTATATTTCATGCAGAAATTGCTCTGTAGGCCGCTAATGCGGTTCTCGACTAGTTTATATTCTGAATTCCTTAACACAGTCTACTGGTCTGCTGTTGTCAGTGGTATAAAGCTCGTCTATCTCAGCGCTCCGACGACAGTGAACCGTTGCCCTGGCGAGGTTGCATTGGCTGGGTCCCGAGTTTATGTTGCACAATGTGCGTTTCTTCATTCCCGTCAACTTCGCTGGAGGGGTTTGACGCATACATGCACTTCTCTAAGGTGCACTGATCTCCTATACTGCCTACCCGGGGATTGGCGACGCTGTGGAACTCTTTAGCGCTCCTGCAAATATTTGGTGTCAACTCAGGCTTAGGAACACGAGGACATTTGTTTTGAAACAGGCAAAAATGATGCAACGGGCTAAGCCACACTTCAGCGCACTCTGCCACGCCACTTACATCCAGCCAAAGATTGAGAAGAATTGACCCCTTGGTCCGTCTGCTAGTATATCCTTTTTGTTGAAGTCCTATTTTTAGTTTGAAACAGAAGGACGCAATGTTGTGCGCGCGTGCTCTAGATGCTATGTGGAACTAGAATGCTCCGAATGTTCATGGTGTGCAGCTGCGCGCACTGTGGCTCACCCTATTCTCTTACTTCGAGGAATCTGAGGGGCGCGAGTAGGGAAGGGACTTCGCTTGAGAAACATCCGATAAATTTACATTAAATTTGCATTGAGCCTGGAGGTGAGTGCCTCTTAAAGGAGACCATCAAGAGAGCGTTACACTGCGTTTCGTACGATTATCGCATAGCATTTGTTCCGTTTGACGGAATATTAGGCGAGAAAGCCTGTTCGACCCTCCCAAGTTTACAAATACGGAGCACTACCGGATCCCCGTATTCCTTCACTTTCCCGTGGGGTTCCTCCAGCTCCGGAAGGTCTTCTTCCTGCTTGTGCGTGCTCGATTGCCCGCCTATATATCGTGGCATGTGAAACAGTTGTTATTACTCTTAAAAATGGAAAACGCCCTACACTAAAAGAAGGATCTTTTGCACGCGGCCTGCTCTGCATCTGAACGAGGATGAAGCAAGGTGCAACACGCGTCGGCATTCACGCTGCTTTGCAGCACCATAGACGGCCCCCTGGTTTCAGCTCTGGAGACTTTTTTGAAGATCGCTTTCGGCAGATCCTTTAAACACACAGGCTATGGTGTCGTTTCTTTCACATTGTATGCCAATTACAATTTCGACCAGCGTAAGGGGTCTTGTATCGACCTGGCCTCAGTCCCTTACATAATTCTTATTGCGGAACCGGCTGAAGTCGTTTAGGAGTTACCAGACCGCGGCAGTAACAGAGAGCTCGTCAGTTCCTCTCTTAGAGAGGGATGATCTAGGGGTAAAGCCGCTCCGAGAGCTCGCAGGAAAAACAGAAAACTCTGCACACGCAAGCGCACGGAGCAACACGCAGGGACTGCCAGAGCGTTAGAAGACAACAAGGCTGAAGGGCATAGTATTAGATGATTTGGGGTCTACAGGCGTAGGGTGGTGAGCATAAGGTTGAAGGCTTTGGCGTTTCCAAGGGTTTGCACACATTCCAGGTAGGCGACGCCTGGGAGAGTGCGCAGGCATTGCCGACGATGACGAGTCCTCTGCTGGCCCTCGACAAAGCCACATTTATTCGCCGGGGATCAAAAAGAAAAAGCTCTTGGGAGTGCTGCACAAAAGGGGTAGTAAAGGACGCACACGAAGGCGAACTGTGCTGCTGTACAGACACTGCACCGACACAGGTATCGGTGCAGGCACAAAGCTGGAAGGCGTCAAATATATATGTATATATATGTCCCTAGGGAGTGCATTCGCTAAAAGACGTGAAAGAGGAGCATTGGAACCATACACAAAAAATGCAACCTTTTAGAACTACTAAGCCAAAATTCGGGAGAGCCTTTGTGGGAATGTATACATACATATATATATACATATATATATGTATACCCATGGGTATATGTATGTGCGTGTGGTTGTGTATGCTGTGTAACTGTGTTTGGCGCCGAGGATAGTGGATGTGGTGAGCAGCTCAAAAGGCAGTTTTATGCAGCCAATTGAAACAAAAGAGGAGTTCACAGGAGGCCTCGTGCGACAGACCGACGAGGCGGTCGAGGAGGGGAAGAATAAAATTTCTGTAGAAGAATCCTAAGACTCACCCTGCGGAGGCCTTTGACAGCAGAGAGGATGATGTACGGCCTCTCATGGCCCTGAAAGCCATCGACAGTAAACACCTGGGGATGGGGGCGTTGCCTTTCGTCAAGCACATCAAGAGCCTGAGGAGGTGCATTCCGAGAGCACACCTTGATCAAAAAGTATAAGCGCCATCATTTCTTGCGGCTTCGACGAGACACCTTTTATCAATCTTGAGAGTAGGCGCCTCAATGCCCAGCAGCCCTCAAACGTTCAAATGCCAGTTCTTCAAGAGTAGAGCGTAGGGTATGAGCCACCCCCGTAGGAGGAGCAGCACGGGGAAGGAGATGGTGTGTGTGTGTGTGTGTGTGTGTGTGTGTGTGTGTGTGTGTGTGCAAAACATAGCGTGCAGACTAGCAGCAGCACCGGCTGTCAGCAAGGCCACAAGCGGAGGCGCTTCGGCAGAGGAGACGCAGAAAAGAATGTAAAATAGGCGCATGCAGTGCCTTCCTCACTGGCTGCACGAACGATAGACGACTCGATCGCCTCCGCTTTTCCTGAGTATCCGTCCCTGCTGCCTGCAAGACAAGAAGTACAAAGAAGGCCGTAATTACGAAGGAGGCGCATGCACATATACCTCTATACATGTATGCATACATACATATATTATACACAGACACATATGGACCCGTTCATCGAAGCTTCTGCACGGTAGGTAGGTAGGCACGGAGAGAGCACCGACGTCTTGCAGCACCGCAAGCAGCGGCAGCCGCCGGTGCGATAGAGTCCCCTACTTTGGGAGGATGCAGAATGCGGGAGAGAAGCTGCGCCTGAGCCTGGTAGGGGGTGAGAACCGCGAGATCTGCCTTGCTCGCCCCGCTGTTGAGCAGCATCTCCACGCATCTGAATACCAGAAAGGCCTCCCTGAAGAGCAGGAAGCACGAATAGCATGTGGCGGCACAAGCACGCAGCCCAGTGTAAACTCGAGGTTCTGGCGGGTCCAAGCATGCGTGGCGTCAAAAAAATGAGCATGTGCCAGTGCAGCTATCATCCACACGCATGCCCTGCGCGCCACCCCTCCTGCCAGACAGACTCCACGCAAAGCTGCCCGGCGTTTCTATAGTTTGGGCTGTCACGACGCGTTTGCTGCACGCCGTATATTTGGGCACGCCCAGCGTACAGAGGATTCTGTAGAGAGCCTTTGACGCGCTGCTCCGCGAAAAGACACTGTACAACCCCCTTGGAAGGGCACTCCTGGCCTTGCGATGTCGTGCATGCTCTCCCTCGTGAGGCGACAGCCGCAGCCGTTGCCTCTTCACGCGGCAGGGAAACCCTGGCGACTTGCATGCGCGCACTCGAAGCCCATGGCGAGGTGTCGATAAATAGGATAGGCAGACGCTCTGGCACGAAGTCTTGCAAGGAGGGCGCACCAGGGGGATGGCTTGCGTCTTGGAGACACCCCAGCGGATACGCTTCCCTCTGCATCTGCCGCAGAAGGCGAACGGCGAGGTCCTTGTCGCCTTCACTCCCGTTAGGCCAAGGAAATCGGCTCAAGCTTTCTGTCGCAGCTGCAGTCTCCTGCTTCGCAACAAGCGGCTCCGAGGCGAGCCGGAAAAGTCGAGGCCTTTGCTCGTCTGGACGTCTCCCCCCGTCAGTTCTGCCTCCTTTAGAAGCCTTAGAGGAAGCGCTCGCCGCGGGCTGAAGCTCCAGTCTCGTGAGAGAGCCACAGTCGCGCTCGCCGCTAGGCAAAACTTGCTGCTGCTGCTGCTGCTGCACAGGTACAGCGCGAGAAGGGTGCGTCATAAGGCGTCCCTCGTAAAAATGCGCCGAGATAAAGGCCGCAAGCAGCGGAGGCATGCGAAACTGAACATTCAGAAGGACTGACTGGCAAGCGCCGCCTGCATGCAGCACAGCACCACACACGCCCCTGAGCTGCAGCAGTCTTGAAGGCTTGCCTGCACAGACATACACTGCGGCCTCTTTAAGCCACTGCGCTTCCCCTTCCCCCCTAATTCCACGTTTCCTGTCCCCTTTTTCGTCTCCCCGCCCATAGAATGCATCGAAGCACATGAGGCTTCCGGTAAGGAGGAGGCGCGGCACGACGGGCAGAGCGTGGCTAAAGGCGTTGACTTCCCCACCCTTGAGAGCACTGAAGAGCGAGCGAGGAGGCGCCTCATGGGGAGGCAGGGAGGTGGCTGGCTGCAGTTGTTTCTCATCTCCGATGAAAACTGCGACTTCAGCACCGTGCACGAGCGCCCCCAACCCAGCGAACTCTGCGCAACCGGTGACACATGGGCTAAGAAAGACGCTGCTCAGGCCGCACAGGCAGACAGCGAAAGACGCGAATACCAGACGAGAAGGCAGGCGACGACAAGCGAGCGAAGTGCCACGGTGGAAGAAAACTGGATATGCGCCTCTCTAGGACGCCCACACTGCCTGCCCTGCAGCAGTAGACGGCGAATCGCATGCGGCGGCTGCAGAGGCTTTGTCGATAAAAGTTTCCTCGGAAAAAACACGCCAAAAAGCCTGTGACGCACCAGTAAGCTGGGAGCTTTCATCAACGAGCACGCGCGCGGGCCGTAAATTCATCAGCGACAGTCGATACCCCTGCAGCAAGTGCAGCAGGCGAGCGCAGTCAAGGCGTCTCCCACACTCCGCCACAGCAACATACGCGCGCTGCTGCAGAAATTCAGCGTCAGGCGGCTCTTCGTTTCCTTTTACCTGGTAAACGGTGTCTAGCAACACGACGCCCTGCATGATCGCCATATCACCCATGGAAGAACAAAACACAGCATGCGCATACCCGTCCTCAAAACTTCTTCTCTAGCCCAGACGCGAAAGTGGAGCAGCAAGAACAGAGGCAGCCAACACAGCACCTCAGACATCGTTTTCGACACACGAAGCAGCAGACCTACCTGGCGAGAAGAAGATGCCCTGTCTAGCGCCACAGAAACCGTCGCCTCGTCTGAGAGGCGTACTGTCTCGACTCCTGGAATTGCAACACATACACATACATATACATACACATACACATATACACATACACATATACACATACACATACGTACTCGGTGCAGTTGAAAAGCTCTGCATCTCGTGCAGCAGAAGAAGTGCCACTTTCGTGGTGCCCCTTTAAGTATAGCGGGTGGACTAAGCCTGCGACGAGCGCTTTGCAGGCCGTCCAGGCGCGCGCTGCTGTTTTTTCTGGGAATTTTTCTTCAGTTCGCGTGCTGAGGAGATGCTCAGCTCACCCTCCAGGTCGAGTTTGTTCTTTAGTGAACGGAGGGCCGCATGCGTTCCCGCAGCAACGAAGATGGGTGCTCGGCAGGTGCAGTGGGGATCGTTGCACGCCGATTGTGCGCGGCATGCAGCGCCGCAAAGCCACTGTCTCACCACTGCAGCGGCTACTGCAGTTTTTCCTGTGCCAGGGGGCCCTGCATGTGGGGAGTCAGCAGCGCAGACCGCAAGCGTCATGAGGGGCAGACATGCGGAGAGGCAGCCGACAGCCAAGGCGCCGCGGCGCAAGCAGACGAACGCAACGTTTCGAAGGGCAGCGAAAATGCTGCAGCCTTCCCAAGTCGCCTCCGCAACAGCAGGCAGCAGCAGCACACAGCAGTAAGCGCTTCCTTTGATAAAAAGAGGCACTTGGTGCGTTGGCGTGTCGTGCAGGCATGTGTATGTTTGTGCGTGCGTGTGAGCGCTTCTACTTGCCCTCTATTGTGATGATGCGGCTGCCTGGAGATGTCGCTGCAAGGACCGCTTCTTGCTGCCGCGGGGTCAGTGCAGTTGCATGCAGGCGCGGAGTGCTGGCGGATGCTGCAGGAGCGGTGAACGTTGCAACGCGACTCTCTGCTGCCTCCCCCGAGGCTACCTGATAGATGGCGGGTGCTGTATATCTGAGAAATGCGTGGCAAGCCTCGGCAGCAGCGGCCTTCGACGGATCTGCCCCCCATCCTCCGCCATGCGTGAGAACCTCAAGAATGCGATTCTCTCCGTGGCACCGACGCCAGCCGTCCGCCGCTGCTGCTGCTGCCGCCTCGCGCGTCGTAGTTGCTGCAGCAGACGCACTTGCTCCTGCAGCGTCGTCCACAAGCTGCTTAAGGGCGTCGATTTGCCTGGCATGCACTGCTGAAACGAATGACACCGGCATGGCCCAGAAGCGCGCGCCTGCAGAAACTGCAAAGGCTCCCCCCTCTGCGGGGGGGGGAAGATCGTCTCGCGAGGATGCCTGCTGCCTCTCCGGGAGGGCTGGTGCTGTGTCTCCTCCTTCTGACGGCTTCGCTGCATCTGCTGAGTGCCCTTGATGCCCGTCTTCCCTCCGAGGATCGCCGCTGGCAGCGCCGCTGCTCCCGCTCGCGGCAGCCCTCGCAGCCGCAGCGGGGAGAGGCACAACCCGCAGCCTCAAATTTTGCGGTTTGCTGCGGCTGCCGACAACGGCGACGTATGTGGGAACGTCCAGCGCGAATCGATCAGCTGTCAAGGAGCTAGCCTGCCTCACAACAGCACGCAGGAAAGGCAGGCCTGCATACAGCAGCACAGCCCGACGCGCAGGCAGCAGCCGCGACGGCAAGCAGCAGCCCCTCGGAGAAAGACTCACCGACGCCAGCTGCTGCAGCACATGGCGCATCGCAGTGAACCTTGTTGCTGCCCCTTCCTGCTGCAAGGGGTTCTCATGGCTCGAAGCGAAGGATGCTGCTGAAGGCGAAGCTGCTGTTGTAGCTGCGCAGTTCGGACAGTGCAAGGGCTGCTGAGTCATCTCGCACACCGAAAGCATCAAGAGAGAGCCGCAGGCTGCACACTGAATGGAATGCTTCCTGTCTGCCTCTTGCAGCAGCTGCCGCAGCTGCTGCTTTGACTCAGTCACACTTGTGGCACCCGCTGCTGCCCATGAGGCTTCCCTTGCTTCTGCAGTGATCGATGAGAAGTCAAAGGCGTTCCCATGCAGCTTCCGCAGCGCTTTCGCAAGCACTGCCGAGGCCTGTACCAAGCAAAAACACAGATACACAGATACATATAGAGATACATACACACACAAACACAGAGATACACACACACACAGAGAGATACATACACATATACACAGAGAGACATACACATATACAGAGATACACACACACACAGAGACATACACACACACATACAGGTATATGTATATATATAGAGATAGACACACACACACACAAACACAGAGATACACATACACGCACAAACAGACACATTAGTACACCGCACACGAAATAGCACCTGCCACGCGCGGCAGGAAGCAACAGCACCAGCCCTCTTTGCGATAGACGTCGAAGCTCGCCAACGCAGCAATTTAGCAGCAGCAATTTAGCAACAGCAATCCAGCAGCAGCTGCCCCTACAGCGCCGAGTCGAACCTCGTCTACTGGCTTTAGGACGAGGAGCGAGCCGCTCTCGAGCTGCTGCGGCGTTGCCTGCTGTCTAGTTGAAATTGCATGCAGGGGTCGCTCCACAGTTCGAAAGGTCCAGCAGGGCGTCTTAGATCCTGGGTGAAAGGGAGGCCTTGCAGCCGTGGCTTCAAGGAGAAAGCTCTCGGAGGCGTCAAAGTTTCGCAGGCTCTGCAGCACATCAGCAGCGGCAGTCGCAGCAGCAACCTCTCCTTCGCAGTTTTCCGGCAAATCCCCCTCCAAGGGGCTTCCCAGCGGACTGGCTCGCCAACAAACGCTCGCATGTTTTTGCGTTTTCTAGCGCAAAGAGAGGCGTTTTCTCCGACCGACGCTCAACAGGAGGCTCTCCAACAACCTCTGTCGCTGCCTCGCTGCTGCTCGCGATGCATTCCCTCCCAGGAAACTTCAAAGAAGCAACCCTCGCATCGAGTGTAGACGTCTTTCCCGACACCCACCCCCCTACCTGCAGCAGCTGTGCGCCTTTTTCTAGGGTTAGCAAATACAAGCCCCGTTCCGCATAAGCCAGACGCTCAGAAAGCTGCCTTGCATGCGAGACAGCGGCTGCTGCAGCCGGCACTCCCAGCTGCACGCGCTGCCTCAGAGCTGCAACTGCCGCTTCTGTCGCGTGCGGGTACAGAGCAGCCGCTTCCAGCATCCGCAGCAGTTGAGCGAAGCCAACAACGGAAGGACCTCCTGGATCTGCACAGCAGCAGCAGCAAAACGTGTAGCAGTGCACCCGATAAGGGCCTTTCAGCAGGCTGTCTGGCGAAGAGCTGAGCAAGGGGAAGCTCTGTTAAGGAGGCGCCTTAGACTGCGGCAATAGTAAGGTCGCAAAAGAAACAGCGGCAGGAGCAGCGTCCAGTCCTAACCAGAGGCTGCCAAGCTTTTTCTGTGCTTCTTGCAAGCAAACGGATAGGCGAGAAGCAGCTGCTGCCTGCGCTGCGCGTTCTCTTCGGCCAGGAGCAGCAGCCACTTCCTCCACGCAGTGGGTGTGGATAAGGAGCAGCCGCTGCACTCCGAGATCACCCGCGGGCGTCTATTCAAAGCAGACGACGTAGTAGCCGTCGAAATCACGAGAGGGGGGGCTGCAGCCGTACCCCCAGCATTGCCTCCCGCGGCTGCATCCTTGAGAACGCGTAAGGCGTCACTCGGCTCGGCAGGGAGGGGCGAAGGTTCTGCATCCTCTGAAGACTTGGATGTGGCTTGCCTAGAAGGACCGCTTAGAGGCACCTTTGCTTCGAGGCCAGCACTTCTGCTGCTGCTGCCGCTCGAATTCTTTTGGTTGGTGCTGCTGATGCTGCTGCTGCTGCTCGAATTCTTGCGGTTGGTGCTGCTGATGCTGCTGCTGCTGCTTTCCACAGGGCTTCCGATAGAAGCGTTTGCAGGCACCGGCTTGCCGGCTGGCAAGCCGGCAGCCTGATGCTCTTGGCGAAGTAGCAGGAAGTGTGAAGGCTCCCCCCCCGAGCGCCGCTTTATCTCCTTTACAGCGAGCGAACACCCCTCTAGGGGGCGGGATCTGCAGGCGAGGCCCTTAGGGTCACCTGCGTGGGAAGGGCCCCCAGACGGCCAGCAAAGCTGCGCGCTTACTGTGTCCAGACACTCCGAATCCGCTGCTGCTGCTCTCGCGGCAAGGCAGAGAGGTGCTGCAGCTTCAGCGGCTTTCGTTGCGACTGCTGGCACTTCCAGCCGCTGCTTATCGGGGGCGAGAGTCGCTTCTCGACGCTGCAGAAAGCAGTGCCTGGTGCCGCAGCCGCTGCTCCCACTGCAGTGTGGGGGTGATACCAGTCTCGCGCTGCTAATGGCTTGAGCCGCCAAAACCCTCCGCGTTTGAAAGGCAGATCCGGGGGTTCTTCTGCGAGACGTGGGCCCCTGGACGAACTGGCGGGTAAGAATGCTTCTCCCATGTCGCAGCATTATACTTTCTAGGAGCGGCAAGCTGCCCCTTGCTGCTGCTGCTTCTGCTGCTTAGGCCCTCCCCGACTCAAGGAAGGCATCCTGGTGGGAAGTGCGTGACGGCGGGCAAAAAGGTTGCTAAAATACGCGCATTCTGGTCGTCGGCAGTAAGGGGGCTATACCCTACTAGGAGGCAGAGCAGCGCGTCTAGGAGGGATCTACTATTGGAAAAAGCCTAGGGCTTGCAACCTCAGGAGGAGATGTTAGCGGCAGCACAAGCCATTCCAGGAAGAGGAGCATGGACCGAGCTCCCTGCTAAGGCTGTGAGTGGACGCTGAGCAGTCTGTTCCTGTCGATCGTTGCTGGGGAACGGCCAACAAGAGGCGCGTATGAAAAGGTTTAGCTGCAACACCGCTTGCGTGGCTGGGAAACGCCTTTTGTGACTCAGGGCTTACGGTGTCGGATCAAGGGGGCCGATATCTCTCATGCGAGGATCCTCATTAAAGAGTGATGACAGCCTCAAGAAAGGGGTACCAGTGTTTTGGAGGAGGAGGCATGGCCTGTTGGCTGTTTCTGTGCTGGGCGTGTAAGGGCTTTGTAGGGGAGGGGCTTCGTTAGGGCTCACATCCAGGGTCTAGAGTCTGGATAAAATTCTGGGAATCAGAGTTTATAGAAATTAAAAAGGGGTAAAAGACATTGAAAAGAGGTTTGTTCCGGTGCACATATTCCCTGTCTGGAGTATGCGGGACAGCGCCGACAAGGGAGAGCAGCGAGAGCAGAGCACTAGTGCCAGCCTGCCACACTACTGCTTTGATGTTCGGGATTGCCGGTTAAATAAACCTTGATTTCCTTGGCACGACTCGTCTGAGCATCAAATGAAAGTGTTACACAGGCGCCTTTCGGATTCTTTAGGCAGCAAAGGGGCCACACATCTGTACGGGACGAAGGCGAGGGCGCATACACTACACAAAACAACGGGAGCGGCTACTTCCCAAGCAAGAAAAAGGGGCGGAAACAGTGGGATATGAGCGAATAACGCATGATGATAATGCATTCAATGATTGATAGACGCTCTTTGGGGAGTTAAAGCCTCTAAGAGTACAACTTGGCAAGCCACCGCGATGTTGCCCTGATTGCAGCGCGTTTTAGTATCACATAAACACCAGGCTGCATAATGCATCATTCTTCATGTCAAATGCAGCGCCACTACACCTTATAGAGACCACGTGGTGCCTTTTCGCCTTTTTAGAACACGTCGAGGCTACGGAGGAGGCGTAGCGGAGCCCCCTAGAAAAATAGGAATTCACTAGCAGGGAGTGGTGCTTAAATCCTCTATAGTTTGATCAGGAATGCACTTCAAAGCGCGCGCTTTCCTACCATACACTCGGGTCAACACAATAACACAGTCTGGAAGAGTGCAGGCGCTTCTTATTCATGAATTGCCTGCGCGTGAGCGTCGAAGAAAGCACCACTGCGCTGCGTGCCTACGCTACAAAAAATGGCGAGCAAAGAGGCGGAATTGCGTTTGATTAAAGCGCATGTGCAAGGTTCGCTTTTCCGAGGAATGTAAATACCAAAAATTGGTAGAAGCCCCATGAACGCATAAACCCCTGGAGGAACCCAAACAGTCTGAATAGCGCTTTCAGCACGCGCCGCGAAGGGCCCTTCTTTCCCCTCTTTGGTACAGCCGCTTCAAAGTGCATGAATTTTAAACTCTTTATGACTTTCATTGCCCATGTACACAGGGCAAGATTTCAAAGCAGAAAACCAACGCCTTGGCCTCTTTTCTATGAAGATTCCTCCAGTCCAGAGCGGCCTCCGAGGCACCTGAGCTCTTCATAGGATGGAAACAAGTCGTGGCACTTGAGATCCGCAGCACGTGTGAGCAATCCGGCAGTTTGCAACTTGGATGCCGCAGCTGCGGCTGCCAGCGCGGCAGCAGAACTGCTTTTGCCCAGGCCGGCAGGAGATGCTGCTGCTTGTGCCACAGGCACCAGAAGCTTTAGTATCTGCAAGCCGCAGTCTACGGGGTACCGCCGGGAGGAAAAGCGGAGCCTGGCGTTGTACAGCACTTTTCCTTCCCCTGTGCGCCCTTCTCTGCATGCAGATAGCAGACAAGCCGCAACGGCGGGTAGCCGGCCAGCGGCATGGCCCTCTATCACTCCATAGAGACGCCTGCGACGCACGCAAGCAAGGCCTTCCACTGTGTCTGCTAGATCCGAAGGCGTACACTTAGCAAGAGTGCTGCTGCTGCCCTGTGGTACGCTGGCGCGCTACCGAGAAACGCAAAAGGCAGACAAAGAGTCGAGATGAAGCGCCGCAAGAGTGGAGCTATGCAAGACCTAGACAGACACATACGCCCTATAGGGGCACCAGTGGATCCCCTTTAAACAACCATCTTAACTCCTTGAGCCTCTGCCGGAGGCTGGGCTTGGGACCTAATCCGCGTCAGAGGACGCCTAGGCATACACCCCGAAGCATTCGCTTCAAACGAGCTGGGCCTTTGGGGCGATGCAGCTCGCTGTTCTAGTGAGTTAAAAGCGCAGCGATTGTGATTGCGCCATGCAGCTTACCGTCCGTCCTCAACGAGAAAACCAGAAAGGCGCGCTTGATCAATCGCTTCTTTTTCGTCCTCGATGGCCTTTACTCCATCTGCGCTTTCTCCCAGCGCTTCCTTTGGGTCCCCCTTCAAGATCCGTTCTGCCTCAGCAATGTGCAGAGCCTCTGCCGCCAGAGAATCCCCCATATCACAGAGAAGGAACAGACGATTGATCTCCTGAGGAGACTCAGCAAACCCATGGTTCAGGCGGCCTGTATCGACTCCTTCATGGGCAAGGTGCATAGGCACCGGATCAAGGGAAGTGTTCTTAGTGCTGCTCCTTTTTACAAAGCCCGCTGCACGACGCTAGAGCTGACACACATGCAGCATCTCTGTGCAACCCTTTAGAGGCCACTAAGACACCAATGCCGTCTGCAGGGTTTATATGTCAGCAGTGCGAATAGCAACTCTTAGCTGTGAGCCGTAGGGACAGTTTGGTGCATCCTCAACAGACGCCTAGCTCGTAAACTCCCTCTCCACTGTAACGGTCTTGCCTGAGTCCTCGAAGCATCTTGAATCGCTCTTGGGGAGAGGATGAACGGCACGAATTGAAAGAGGGGCTCAGCAAGTCTGAGGCGAAGGGTCATTCTGGTTTCGTATGTGACAAAGTCAAGTGCGCTTGCTCTGAGGCCTGCTAAGGGGCTGTCACCGCTTTTACTTCCGCCAAGCGTGCAGTCGGCCAGCACTGGCAGAACTCTGGCGGAGAGGGAGAGACGCGTGGCACCACACGCGGCTAAGGCGCTCAGGCAAAAAGCGGCACGGCCGTACGGAAGGCTACGAGGGGAAGTTGGGCACTCAGGAAGCATCGTGTTGCCGTTGTTATCGCTGGGGGTGCTCGAGGCTAGGGACTGTGCGGGGGCATCTAATAAGACTGCAGTAGCTGCACTGTTTCCCCCGTCACGCACATGCTTCACAGTCGCCATCTTCGCTGAAGCGGATGGCTCGGCTGCAGTTCCCGGTCTGTGGGGCTGCTTCCCCTGCGTCTTGCCTGAGGCTGCTTTCTCTCCGAACTGGGATTCTGTGGTGTTCGTGAGTCCAGCGTTCTCTTCCGAGCAGCACAGCCTGACCTCCAGGCGCTGCTCCTCGAGAAAATCCCTGAGCTCTTTTTGGCTTAAGGCCGCAGGACCCCAGAAACAGAGAAAGCCACGGTTCCACCGGACATGCAGAGCGTCCGGAGGGCCCGTCGGGGCTGTAGGCTCAGTTTCCAAGTTTCTACTGAAACATCGGGCCCGTGCAAAATATCTCAGGGGCCCCCCTCCTTCACTGGCGGCCCCTGCCTTCGACTGGCCCTCCGTCACTGAGGTGCGTCGCTCGAAGGGCTCCTCAAAAAGGCACTTTGACTCTTCTGCGAGCGCAGGGGGTGCAGGCAGGTTGGAATCAGCTGCTGCCGATCTCGCTGCGGCCCCCAACGCTCTTTTTTTGAGCGGTGCTGGGGTGGCAGCCTTGGTTTCCCCAGACGTTCTATGCGTGCATTGGATCTGGGAGACGGGTGGGCCGATGGGCGGAAGGGCACGAACGCCCTTTATGTGAAGCCACACCGGATTCAAAAGGTGACGCAGTTCTCGAGAGAGCAAGGAGTTGCGCGCCCTCACCCTAATGCGGAAAGAGGCAATCCCTGCAACCCACACGCCGAACCCCAAAGCGTATAATGGCGTAAATCTGTGATGTGGTTTGGGAAACGCTCAAGGGCAGCGCCACAGACCTATGCGGCGTTCTCCGCATCCTGCGCTGTTAAAGGACAGGTAGAAATAGGAGTGCAGAGAGCGAGGGAAGGAAAACTTGTACGCAAAATCTTGCGCTTCTTGCTATGTACCTTTAAGGCTCGAGAGAATGTCGTGCATCCCTTCTGGGAGGTGCACACATTCTCCTTCGTTAAGCAGCAGCAACTCCGCCACTGGCATCTCCACCATACGGGTCTCTCCGTGTGGAATTGCGGACCGGAGGCCTACCATCGACCTTCCCCCCTTTTCCTTTCCCTCGCTCCGGGTGCCGGGGGCCTTGGCGAGTGCTTCCTTACTGCGGGCACCCTCAGAATCCGCTGTGCGCACTACGGTAAAGGATAGACAATCCCTCACGAATTGCTCAACCGATGTGGCGGGCAGAATGAAGGGTGCAAGAGGCAGCTCGGTATCCGCAGAAACCAGCTGCTGGTCCTTGTCGGGGATCGTTTGATTGTCGGCCTCCGCAGCACGCCGCCCGCAGAGGGGAGTCGAGGCGGGGCAGCCCCTCGAGGATCCCTTTACATCGTTGAGTGACCAGGATGAGAGAGACCCCGCGTCGTAGACTCTTCCCAAGAACGTACAGTAGGCGATTACATTAGGCAGTGCCTCCTTGTCAGCAGTCACAGAGAATTCAACTGACAAGGCAGCGGATGCATTGTAAGGTGCACTTTTAACAGCGGAGGAAAGGGGAAGAGAAATAGACGCATCGGGCACTAAAATAGCTTGGGATGCCTCGCAAGACGGATGCATTGCATGCCTGAGCGACCTGTATTTGCGTATGGCAGTATACCAAGCGGTCGACGACGGATGCAGCACAAACAATCCTTCTTCACGCAGCAGCGGGAGAATAGTCCCGGGATAAAGACATTGCGGCTGCCCTATCTGCCGTCACGATAATTCAACCTTTCAGGTGCAAAAGTTTACACAAATTTTGTGGGTGGTGGCTGCGGGTGTTGTTCGCAGGTGACCCCAGCTCAACAGATCACCTGCATTCCCCAGAAAAGGCAGATACTAGGAGACCAGAAAGGTAGTAGTTGCTGGATGAAAACCCTCGAAGGACGCAATAGGCCTGGCAATGCCAACGAAACTCGATAACCCGTAGTGACTAATAGAAATTCCCCGCTTTTAGTCGCGTTCTCGCTAGTTTCTCTGAAAGATAACAGTAACCCATCTTTGGACTACCTACGGGCGTCTATGAAAGTACTGGTCTGTCCTATTTTTTGCCAAGAAACCCTAAGCGTGGTGGAAGGGCGGGCAGGGCTGTTGCGGTGTGCGCCCGATGCACCAAAAGGTGCGGTATCCAGTTTTTTTCCCTGCCCGATAGAGAACTAATAAGGAAATCCATCAGCTACTCTCTTTTTTGTTACCGAAGTGCCGCAGAAATGACTGAATCGGATGCTACTTCATGAACAAAGACAATCTGTTAGCCTAGCATCGACTTACAGGGGGTCTTCCCAGCGTGTGCCTTACGCGGAACTTACGGAGCTTTCAATAGTCTATGCTGTAACCATTGCCGCAATAAACCTCATTCACCCGAAGCAGCATTGGATGCCTCCTTATCCCCTCGGAGAAAACAGCAATCATTGGGAAAATGCTGTTGCTTTCCGGTTAGGCATGTGCAGCAAAATTCTAGCAGCGAAGATCACCGCTGCTGCCCTGCGACCCCCTGCGTCTGCGTGTGCGGCAGAAAGCTGCCTCTCCCCCTATCTCCGTTTGCCTCAATTGGTTTTAAATAGGGTTTATTCGCTTTTTCGACCGTAGGGCTTAATAACTGCCGTTTTCTCGGCGGCGCAACAACAGCGTGTCACAACCCCTCAACCGATGCTGTAGTCCAGCCTACCGCACAGCTACTTTGACTTGAAGGCTGTTAGTGAGTCGTCCGTTTTCCTCGGTGCCGTAAATCTGCTACTGGTAAAGCTACAAAATGGCGACTTCTAACGTAGGGGGGAAACCGCCCCCGGAATGCCGCTTCTTTGATTTTCCTCTATTTGGTAAGCAATGGGCATTTGCCACATTAGAGCCACTAAAACACGAGTTTCAGAGACTATACTTTTTAAAGCTTTTGCTTCCGTGCTGAGGAGGCTTTTGCAGGGTCGCTCTGTTTTCCTGTTGTGCGGCGTGCAGCTGCGGGAGCAGTCTCGGACGCTCTATGCTGTCAAGGGCCCAGGAGAGACTTTTCAACAGAAATGCAATTTAGAATGAACAATGCAATGCGAATGTATCCACACAGGTATACCTTAGGTTCACGTTTCAATATGGGCTACCACATTAGAGACACCAGTCCTCCCCCTAACTGCGTGCACGAGACCTCGGACAATCCAGTTCCAGTTGCACTCAGGGAAGCTGGCGCAGTGCTCCCATCAGCTGCGTACCAGTCTAAAGCGGTAATACTACCACCTGAGGGCTATAACCCTCCCCATCCATCGCAGACTTTCCTCCCTTGCCAGGCTTGGGATTATTCCGTTGATCAAGGGTCACAAAATAGGAAATTAATCCCCGTGATCCCGCCGCCTCTGTCGCCTCGAGCTGACCGGACCCTCCTTGAGCCATTTAGGCCAAGGTGTGACGCTACAGGTCCAGGCAGGAGTCACTTTCCGCAGCTGGGGTGGGGGTCACCCCAGGAGTTCTTGACAACTGGATCCACCCAACCCGGGAATACGCCACGCGACGCTTTCTTGGCGGCCAGTTTCCCGCGCACCGTAGAATATGTCGGATTGATGCATATAGAAAAGGAGTGCGTGGGCGGTGACCTCGCAAGTGAAAGGGAAAAGGCGGGAGGCACAGCTTGCGAAAAGACAAAGCCAGTGGAAGCTGCGGAGCATGAGGAACAGCAAGACTACAAGGATGCAACAGAGGCTTCTGAGCCGTTAGAATCGTTTGGGGGCGATAAAATGAGTGCGAAAGAAGCATCACCGATTTCTCTCCTTCCTCGTCAGGTGCCTGATGGAGGGGAGAAGAAGGCGGCCGACGAGGACTGCGCGACACTACAGGCCAACCAATCTTCAGAAGACGACCAAACAAGCCTTGAAAGCCGACCGCTACCATCAGGGAGGCCGGAAGAATCTCAGCGCGATGTCATGGAGGAGGCACAAGAAGGCAGAGAGGCTGCTGGTAAAGGTGATGCTGAAGAAGGGGACGCTACATTACATGAGAACCAAGAAAATAATGCAGCCAATTCTGGCGTGCCTTCATCCGACAAGCTTCTGGTAACGGAAGCAAGGGGGGATCAAACAGTAGATGCGGACAAATCATCAACTATTGGCATTAGCATGTGCAGCGATGAGCTTAACGGGACAAAAAAAAAGGCTCCGGTTATCTCCATGACTTTTACAGCCGTGGGGTTTGCCAATCCGGAATCAACTACGCCTCGACATGCCAAGACCCAAGGTAAGAAGCAGATTTTTACAACACCTTTTAGTGGATTACGCAATATTTAAGGAGAGTGAGCATTAGTTTATAGAATAATGAATTGACATAATCAAAAGTCACTCGCCCAAAATAATGAATTCCCTCCCGCCTTGGCCTGTGCAGACACTACAAAATTGTGGCGTGAGCATTACTGCTTTTTCTTGAGAAAGTAAACTATCGAAATTTTAGCTTTGATACTGGTGGAGCCCACTGTCCATGATTTGTAGGGTAGCGGGCATGTTGTTTTCTCAGGGCCACTTCTTGGGGGGATCGAAGGCTCGAGCGATATGGCTGGCAACGCGCAGATCCGGCCAATCGGGTACGTCCCGCCAGAAGATGGCAAATACAAGGAACTGGTGGTTGGAAAACAGGTTTTTCTTGAAGGAGGTCGCTTCTACCTCAGCGAAACAGGCGCATACCTTCTCGGTCTTCGCGATTGAATGATGACTTGATTCTTTGATAAGCATTTCACTTTATGCTGTTATATATTTTTCCTTGTGCTCGAATATTGTCCATTTATACGTACCCTCAGTGCCGTGGGTCCAGAGGATATCGTTCCATAGCAAGTGCTCCAGGTGGAGAGGTGTCAGCAGGGAGCGGCACTTGATGCAGAATTGTGCAAAGTGTGCCTCACTTTATGGGCCTTAGCAGTCCCTCCATCATATATTCTTTTGTTAATTATGCCACTCACGAAAGACCCGAAGAAGAGGGGCGGGGAGGTAAAGGTTCTCCGTTTGAGAGACCATGTTGCATGTGCTTGACGAGTTCATCGACATTGTTCTTGCTGCGCGGCGATGTACTAGCGATATAACTGTTAAGCAGTTCAGTTAAACGCTGTTTGATTGTATAAGTAAATGCAGATGAGGTGACTTTCAATACCTCCACAGCCGTGCGGTGTGCTGCTTGACGCATACATCACAGGGAATGCCGTTGTTAAATCGATTTTGCTAAACTGAGAGAATTCTATGGTTTTCATGATGATAAACCGACGTGCATTTGGCAAGAGCTGCTTGAGGTAACGGGAATGGCAAGCAGCCAACGCTTCGTGTTCACTCGTTTTGTCCTGTTAAGACTAACAGCGCTACTCAATGCGTCTAATTCGACTCTGATTACGCATTTTGCGTTCACAAAAAGTGACAAGTTCGGAAGGTACATGGGTGCGCCACCATATTTTGTATCGAGCAAAATAGGATGAGTCAATGCTTCGCCCTGACAAACCCGACAGCAAGGTTATCTCGGTCAAACACAGTGTAGTAGCCCCTCAGGAGCACCTACAGAAAGCGTTTGCGTTGTTAATCGCATAGAGAATATATTTATGCATGGCCTTTTTACGACGGTTCCGTACCTGTCCGAATGTCCATCCTGTCAAACCCTGAGAAGCAAGGCGTAATTAGGTAGTGAATAAGCTAAGCGTGCGAATCGACAATACGCGTACGTCTTCCGCTTCCGAGTCATCAGCTGCAATTCCCAGCATGCATTCATGACCGCCGTCATCATTTATAAATTCCAAAACGTAGTCGTCGGGTCCCAGCTGTAATTCAACAACAGTGGGTTGTCCGTCTGGTCATGCGAACATATGGAAGCAGCCACACATGCGTTACGCAAGTGCTTCCTACTTTTGGGCACTCCTTTAAACTGGAAAACCTGGGGAGCGAAATTTTGAATATGCGGAACACAGGGGTCGAGGTCAGTCGCATTTCGAGGCTTACCAGATCAGGGAGAGAGTCCTTGTCTTTACATGACGAGATGTGAAGGTCGGACAAGTACCGGTCCATCACTCTCTGGTTTCTGCATTGCCGTACAGATTATGCTGCACTTGTCTTCAAGGAGACCCACCGTTGGGGCATATATCAAGTAGGTGCCCGTGTCGATGATAGAGGCACCTCCAGCTGTTTGGCACCATCAGGCTTGAACAACCCAGCTAAAAGCTCACAAATCTTACTCTCGTGCTCGTCGTGCTGCCTGCCTGAAAATTCGGCGACACGCGTAGCATAGGAGGACCGCCGGCCTGCTTTTCTGACACTCAGGACGTGGACTGTGGGGGTAAGAACTCATGGAGGTCGCTTCTCTTGCGAAATCAACGCAAAAAGATTAGTACTACCTGTCCAGTAGCTGTTGGAGGGATCCACAGCTGCCCAGCTACGCAAGAACACCAGTAAGCGTAGCGAATTATGCAAGAATATATTGTGCAGAGATTTACGCTGCGAACCTGAATTCCTCTGCGGGGCTTTCTTTCTTTGACAGGTCAGCACCGCCGAAAGTCAAGGCCCCTCCTATTCGTATTCCGTATACTCAGGACTGAACTACATGCGTACTCAACAGTAGTCATATACCATCAGCCGAGAGATAGTAAGCGAACTGATTCTGTACTGGCCTATGATGGGATTCTCAAATCAATATTGGAAGTATCAACATACCGCAAGCTTCCGCTTTTTCAAGACTTGACTCGAGACAATCCGGTCGACGCTAGTTGTTAATAACATTGGGCTCATGCAAGACAGCCTATATACTTCGTGGCACGTACAAGGGGAGTACTCCGCGTTCGCTTATTTCGTGGTTTTTGAACCCAAGGCCGACGATGCCATCCTTCGTAATATCGCTCATGATGCCAGTCGTTGCATAGGCACTGCCTTTCATCTGTCTTACCCATTCCAAGTCTTGAAGCAACGGTATATCAAGCCGCGTCTGTTAAAATGATCAAACACTGCAGGAACGCGTTGTTAACTGTTAATGTTACGGCACATACAGCGAAACCGATATTTGTGTGCGGAACAAAGATGCCGTCGCTAAGATGAACAGTTTCGTAGCCTATTTAAAAACTTTTGAAGTAGTCATTCCGACAGTCGAATCTAGATCATTCTGACCGTCATAGCCCTGAAGAGAGCCGCTGAGGTATTGCACATCCATCAAACTGGGGGTCCCGTCTTCGTTAAAACGGCCTTCAAACGTTGAGCTTTTCCTGTATTTCCGGTGTCCACGGCACTGCTTTGACAGGCTATTTAAGATCGTTGTCGCTGAATGCTTTTGGCCTGTATTTGGTCGTAGGAACCTACCAGGATTCATCAGGGACCCAAAACTCGCATGATCCAGTATCGAAAAGAACACGAAAAGTTGAAACAGGATCCGTTCCAATTTCGATATTAGCGAAGTACGTAGCTGTGCACGCAATGGTGTACATGATTTAAAGCTTTTAATCCTCATAAAAGTATGCAAGAGTTTACCCAATTTCTTCGATGCAAGCACTTGATCATGCAGTCGGATGCCAGTGAAGCGGGACAACGTTTTTTGACCCAGTTGCAAGAAACTAGTTGGTGACCGTCTGTAGTAAAGCCCCCTCTTGTGAATCATCCGAACATGGTTTCTTTCGATGATACTGTCTATTTTATTGAGTTTGAGAGAGAAATCACTGTGTTCAACAGAAACCGGTGCTCCTGATGCAGTGAAGGTTGCATGGCATGTCAACATGGGGACAATTACGCTCAATAGCCTCATTCTTTTGACCAGCTTGTGACCACACTGGTGGCGCTGCCTTAATAGGAGAGCTGCCCATTTGATGGCTGAAACCAAACACCAAATTTAGATAGACTGCCGATCAGATACCCCGTAGCAGTGTCGAGACACCGCAGCAGACGCTGCATAATGCCGATTGTAGAGCTCTACTTTTCACTTTCCGAAAAATCAGTCAAGCTACGTGTATTTTTAGACATACTTTTCGAATTTCGTTGTGGTTGGCTAAGGAAGCACATGGACTTCCACGCCTGCTTGCGATTTTGTCACCGACCATCGACAGAAGAAGCGCGCCCATATTTTAGGAAGGCTGCTTACCCGGTAAAACCCGGCGGTGAAATCGCAGTTAGCGTACTTAAAGAGGTTGATCAAATGGTCTAACCGGCCGTTCCAGTGATGTTTCCGACTGTGGGTGAGGCATGCGGGCAGAGTGGGCCGTTATCGCAAGCCACTGAACTCTGAATCCCCAGCTAATATCATCGCAAGCATTGATACGTACCATCCGTGCACTATTTCTGCCAATAAGTCCGGCATTCGCTTCCGTCAAACAGTGACCTTTTGCCAGCAAGTGATCATGAAACAGTCGACAGCCGGATCACACCTTGATCGTCGTGTGAATGCAGAACACTCTGACTCCAGTCCTCTTGACATTCCCTTTATTATGCCACCAAGGTTAGTTTCGGCATATCAAAAACATTCTGTTCACCTTCTTCCCGGCAATCGACACTCTGGGCGATCGGCCGAATATCCATAAGGTCCTCCCAGGGGCCCCCAAGACACCTAGGAACCCCTATAGCGCTTCCATGCGTGCCATTGAACATAATGACTTTTGAATGCGACTTAGTTGGGATTTACAGAGAGTTAGGCGCTGGCTTTAACGCATAATGTGAAATTTGTCTGTTTTCCTCGTGCGGAGCCGGCAGACGCCATCCTGTCGCTCCCGCATTCTACATGCACTCCACTTAAGGCCACCAAATGGTCTCCGTGTAGGCTTCCTACCACCTTTATCGCTTCGTTTCCCTCAGTCTATGGGGGCGAAGAACCGGGTTTTGTCCACTTTTGTCGTTTTTGTTCCTCCACCTGGCGAATGGAAGGCGCTTTCCTCGTATCCATCTGGCCAGCGGGGTGCCCCGTTCCTCTAGAGTGTAAGGGACTTTTTGTAGTGCGTACAGGATGCCCCCATCTTTCTGATGGGGCTGAGTTTAGTGACAGCGCCGGCCTGCAGATTGCCTTTGCCGCCAATCGAGTGCTCCAGTCTCAAACTGCAGAGCCTTCATCGGTACACCCTCGCGACAGTTCCTCTGGCTCCTGCTGCATGCAGACGCGCGAAACGTTAGTTGTACATGAGGATGCGGGTTTACATCCTTCTCAGGGCTCCGAGGCTTGGGCAGACCTGCTCACCTCGCTGTCTGATCTAAAAGAGGCCAGTAGCATCAGCGCTGTAGCTGCACGCAGAGAATGGCGTGCATCTGTCGTCTCTCCGCACCATGATCGAACCCCGGACTGCAGCAAGGAAGCCGTGTTAGGCTCGCCAGACTGTCTGGCCGCCGTCAGTGTGCCTAGTGGACTGCCAGCCATAGATCCTACGTGGACTGACCGCTTGGAGTCATTGGGGCCGGCTCGTGCCGCCTACGCGCGACGCGTCTGTTCAGTTTTGTCACGCCTTTGTCGTTGGCGCTGTCCTTATGCGCCTGTTTCTTCGGAGCACTCTGCAAGCGCCAGTTCTGTCTTTCAATCTGACCAAAATTTACCATCCGTGTCCTACCCATCTGCTGCGTTCTCTCTTGTGTTTCATTCTGACACCTTCGGGCTGTTGTTCTTTTGTAGAGACAAGCTGGGTTTGGCATCGCTCCTGGCGGTGGAGCAGCCCCCTAGGCGTGCAGTAGAGGGGCCCCTCTTCGCATTGACACCCTCGGCAGCAATGTTGCGGCTGGCCGGAAGGCCTGCTCTCGCCGTCAAGGGTTCGCGCGTGCATGTCACGGAGGTGCCCGTGGACGGGGTGTGGATCTTGGATCTATGGGAGCTTGCCGATTCGCTGCAAGAGAAGCGAGTTCTCGGCTCAGCAGTCTTGCCCTTGGGTGTCGCCTCCGAGGAAGATCCGGATGCTGCGTGTCTACGCAGCGCAGCTCCCTCTGGAGGGGCCACGGCGTTCTGCATCCCATGGGCACAGCCCAGCGTCTTACGTGGTGACCACTTGTGGTGTGCTTGCACTGACTGCTGCACAGCACGGGAGGCATTCTGGCAGCAGCACTTTGGTGGGTGCTCCCAGAGCAGCGTGCTCTGTGGAGCACTGCGAGCTCTTGGGCCTTCTGAGACTCAACTTGAAACCATTCTTTGGGGCCCTACAAAACTTTCCAAGGCTTTTTCTGCGGCTGATTCCCCAAACATCTCATGTAGCGGGGCGGCGTTGTTCGTGGGAAACGCGACCGCGCCGACGTCTGCTGAGGTGCTGAAATGTCTCTACAGCCAGATCATCGATGCAGTGTCCAGAGCATTGCCAGAGGCTCTCGGCAGGATTAACGCTCACTCTGATCTTGACGCGACCAGCACCGCTGCTGCGGCGTCCCCTGCATTCGTGGGGCTACTCTTTTCTGGAGGCGTCGACTCGACGCTTCTGGCGGGGATGGTGCTACGGGTCCTCGCGGCTGCCATGGTGAGTGTTGTGGGGTGTACACGCAGACACCTGAAGCAGGAGGCGGAGGCCCTGGGGGCTGCACGCAGATGAGTGCGCGTCAGGGAGGGTGCTCTTGCATTGTGGAGGGCGCTGTTCGCTGCTTCAGGCGGCCAAGGCTGCGGAAAACCCGGGCAGATCTCCTGCGGCGTATCCATCGGAAAAGGCTGTTCCCCAGCAGCTGGTTGTTGTGGAGCTGGTGTCTGTTGGCTTCTCGGCAGAGGCTCCCGACCGAATGACAGCATTGCGGAGCTACGAGGATTTGCTGCAGCTGCTGCATTGCCTGGGCTCCCCCTGCAGGCGGGGAGGCGCTAGCGCCGAAGCCACACAGGGGCCGCCCAACTGCAGCCTCGTAACTATTGGCGAGTGGGGGCTGGAATTACGGCTTGTCGCCATAGACGTGGGGAGTGCAGACACTGCAGAACACCGTACCCAGCTGCTGGAGGCAATTCACCCCAAGAGAAGCCACATGGACTTCAACATTGCGGCTCCTCTGTATTTCGCGTCACGGTAGGCAGTGGACTTTGCTAGGCGACGTCCTGATGGGATCCGCTCGGGCATGTGCTTTCTGGAAAAGACGGCCTTCGTGGTATCGATGCAGCCTCTACACATCTGCGGCCATGGTGTTCATCGGGGTGTTGTAGTTCTCTTAATACACGTGATCCTACGCATACTAGGATAGTGCGAATTCTGGTATTACGCTTGCGTTTCGTTCACGCAAAGGGCAGCTTTGTCTCTCAATGCCCCTCCATCCCAGGGTATACACTTGGGCGCTCGTAACATCTGTACATGTGCTGTCGTCTTTGCGCTTGTGTTTGCTGACCCAGGGGGGTCGGCTATCTGGTATCTCCTAGCTTTGGACAAAGCACAGAGTGGCGTCTGCTGCTGCGAAATTCGGCCCTTTGGACCGACCTGCTGATTAGGCCTCCCCCGCATCATCGCATGAGGTCTCAGCCAGCGAGAAACGGGGGTGCCTCCACTCAAGGAGATGTTTTAGAGCGTGAAACACCTGTCCAAGGGAAAAAGTCTCCATTCAGACAGTCTTCAGAGGGCCGAGGGCGTCAATGGGCGTGCGATGTATCATGCGGGGTATGCCGGCGGCAAGCCAAAGAGGGCTGCGCGCACTTTGCCTGCAAGCTGTGTTGCGAAAAACTGCGCAATGTCGCGACACAGTGCGCCGAAGCAGAGGGCCCCGACGCTATGGACAATGGTGAGATTTATTTGAACGGGCGCGGAAAAATCAAGGTCTCTGCTCTAGGGATTGCCATCCAGAAAACCTGCCCTGTTCACCGTAGGCGACAACTGAGGTGCACGTTTACTTCTACTGGCACTCAGAGTGGTCAACACAGCGGCTGCGGAACAGACGTTCCCGGCAAAGCGAAAGTTCCTGCTCCTTTTGAGTCGCTTGCCTCCCTGCCCTGCGGCGTTCCCCTAGCCACCACTTCTAGTGGGCGGCCATTTATGGCGATGCACGCCGCAGAAGCATCCGAGTGGTCTTCTTTGGATCCGAGGCGCCAAAAATGCATCGATGCAGAAACAGGCAAGCCGCGACTTCCATTCTGAGGGACACGGATTGAATTCGACGCTGTTTCTGCGAAGTACCCGTCCAACGCTTGGATGGCAAATGATACATTATACTCGGCGCATGTGCAGGAAGTGCTGCTCCAGAGTGCACAACTGCGTCAGGTGTACCCATTTTTGTGAATTTTCTTCAGGCACCTACATCCTGCAGAGCTCGGTGGTATTGATGGGCAGTGGGGCGGACGAACTCTTCGGTGGATACGGGCGACATAGGACAGCAAACTTGAAACAAGGAGGGGAGGCTCTTCGGAAAGAACAAATACTGTAAGAATGAGCGCAGGCATCTTGTGCCCGTTTTGAAGGTTCAAAGGTCATCTGTTGTTGGTATAGCAAAATAGAATACGCCTTTCCTTGAAAGCAGTTTATCTCCATTGCTTCACACGGCCTCTTGTCACTGTAGTTGCCAATCTGCTAATCGCAGGAGCTGGGGTCGCGCAGTATTACGCTATGGATCATAATGTAGTCTCTGTTTGTTTGCGGAGGTTTTAGTTGGGCCGCCATACTAGCAGAGTCTTCGTACAGAGCATTACCCAGTTGTGCGGTCAGCAAGCGGCGTCTAAGCCTTAATGCCTGCGCTTTTCTTTTTGTACGCTATAACTGCACGCAGGGACCTGAAACGACTCTGGTTCCGGAACATGGGCCGCGATGCGCGTTCCCTGGGTGCCTTTGGCCGCTTGGCTCGCTTTCCGTTTCTTGATGAAAATCTACTTTGTTTCGTCTGCAAATTTGTGCCATTTTCGCACATTGTTCAGCCTGACCGTACTCTGTCTCGGGAAGCAGAAGGGCTCATGCAACGGCTGTTGGCAACTGTCGACGGTCAGATGCAAAATCTGCAACAAGCTGGAACTTCCTCTTGTGGAACCCTGCACTCAGAGCCCGGATCTGGGGAGAGTCTACAGGGGCCTGGAAGAGAACTGAACGCTAGGGCTGAGCACTTGATGTCTGGCAGCAACAGCTGCAAGGGTGAGGAGGGAGGCAGTACTTTGTGTTGTGGAAACAAATGGCTGTTGCGGCTCTGTGCAGTTCTCTGTAGGTTACCTTTCAGCTCTGTAGCGAAGAAGCGCGCTATGCAGTTTGGCTCTCGCTCCGCTAAAGTTTCAAACAGCGAATGCTTTTCCAGTAATAGGAAAGCTAGAGGGGATGCAGTCTTACACACCAGCAGTGATTCTCAATAGCTGCAGCCCCATTATCAGCCATAACAATGGAGCAAATATGCGCATTTGCATAGCAGGAAATAAGGCTATGAAGCCTATGTTCGTGCTTGCTTTGCTGGCAATCTGGGGAGCCCTCATGTCTCCTATGCCGCCGTTTACCCTCAAGGCTTCTCTCCACCACCTTCCTGGAGTATTTGCTGTGCTGCACACAACTTTGTGACGTTTTCTTTGAAGCACTCTTTGGAAGTTTTCGAATTAAATAGCAAGACCAAAGCGCTGCGCCGTTTCAGAACTATTGCTGCGCATGTTTTGCCCTTCAGCGGAATGCCCTGAACCCTATCTAGCTCGCTTCCGTCTAAAATAGATTCCACATCTTTGATTTTAATGGGACACGTTTTTGTGTCTGAGACCAACAGAATACGGCATCTTTGCCGTTCTAAGCGGAAGCTGCATTGGACAGCCCGTTTGTTGCAGCTCATCAGAAAAGCTTGAAAGCCATCAAGGGGGAAAGCATACCAGTCCTCCTGTAGAACAAGGGACAAGAACCGGACAAGGTGAAGAATACTGGCGCTTCTTTATTATACTTTACGTGATTTCGGCTAGTACTTACTTGGGTTTAGACGTTCTGGGCGAGAAGTTCTTCCGTTTCTCCCGCTTGAACACATGGGAAGTCAGTGTGGAATGGAAGCTGCTTCCAGTGGCAGCGCGAGTGATTTAGAGAATAAATGTCCCATTTTTCCATTAATGATTACTTGGGTGCTAAAGCATATTGTCTTTTAAGCCTAGCTCTCCAATATCAGCTGGCTTTGATTCCTTTCACTCCTTTTACCTTTAAGGAAAGGCGCAGGGAGCAGTGACCAAAAGAAAATGCCGCAGAATGGGCAAGGCTGCGGCAATGGGAGTGAGGTCGGATTTAAGGAAGAGGAGACAGGTATGGGGGTACCTTAAAACAGGAAATTGAGTGATGCTGCTATGACTCCAACGTTCCTAGGACATGTCCTCGGGCTCAACGCGGGGAACGGACTGTTGTCCGTTCTGCGCCTCCCTCCACCTCATACGACTAACTCCGCTAGAATTTGCAAAGCCATTGCCGATACGTATTTCCACTTTCGAAACTGGACCGGACAGAGAATGGCTTCCTACAGGATTGGAGCAAAGACACTGGTCATTCAATCATGTCCCGAAGGCGAAGGGTGACAGCCCTCCTGAGTACCGCATAACCTGCTCATGATGCCGCGGCGGAAGACAAACAATTCTACTGTACTCTATTTTTGTAGGATAAAACAATATGCATGCACTCACACAATGGTCGTCTTCCGCGCATTGGACTATAAAGTGCTCTTCCGTGTATTATCATGGCGCCAGTCGACACTGGCTCTACTCGCTCGAGAGCGTTCCGGCATGAGGATTGAAGTCGAATGCAGATGTGCCTATCTCCTCTACCGCGATTTCGCAGACAAATCTGGTCTTTAAATTGCCTGTTGAAATGATTGTAACCTACTAATTTTTATTGGTGTATTTATCTACTGGCTGTACCACCACACATTCATCACTGAACACAGTTGAGCAGTCCAGGACATTCTAGATATAGAAAGTCTGTTGCTGTACAAACAAAGCAATATCCTACCATACTCAGCGCTTCAGCTACCACATCGTAGAAGCCCGGGGATGCGCTGTTTCTCTGGCGCTGATACCCTTCTCCGGTTTTCTCAGGAGGAAACGAGCACGGCGTAGACAGCGGGCAAGGAACATGGAAAGGGGCGTCGTGCTATTAGTAAGGACGTCCCTAGGCGCATGGGTTCATTCGTTCAGTATTATTATAAATACACTAAGGGTGGGAGCGGCTGCCATCCCACATACCTGCCCATGCCCCGTGGTGAACGCTTGCGCAGGGTTTTCTCCCTGAATAAAGCAACCCCTGTTTGGTTGAAGATATGGTAATACAAAGATCTTGGTATGCCATCTTAAACACTTGCTTATACCGTGCGCTCCGTCCTGGAAAATCCCGAACACAGCTTCGTTTATATCAAATCTAGTATGACAGGATACACGAAAGGCGGCGGTCATTCAACCTTTCATTGAGTTTTCTATGCGTTAACATTTGTGATATTTCTGTTCTTTTTGTCGGTGACAAATGAATGAATGCTTGATCTCTGCATTGTACAGCAAGTTCGACGGCCATAGCACACCCGTATGCCGTTGAGCGTAGAACTGCTACATCCCTCCTCTGTCTCATGCCTACCAGGGGTCCGACTGGGTCTTCCCAGTGTGAGCGTAAAAGTATAACAAAGGAAGAGATGTGTTCATACTCCTGGTCTTATGAGCTTCCCTTCAGGGGAAAGCCCACAAAAGGAAAGAGAAGTCGAGCACACGGTTTCACTTATACGCCCCCCCAAAACACATCCACACTAGCAAGGAATCTAAGCACTGCACATTCTTCCACATTTTGGATACAGATCACACGGGACCTAGAACTCTGACTGCTTCAGAGCATGTGCTTCTTTTCTATATCGTGGAACTTCCTCCAAGAACAAAGGGCAAACAGTATGACCAGAACAAGTGCTGCCATTGAGAGTAGGAACGAATTCGCATATCTCATTGTCACATCCTTCTCAATCTGGCTTGACAAATCGGTGAGCCTCGAGATAATTGAAGAGTCCCCATCTTTTGCAGAGCCTGAATGCAAAGTTTCAGCATGCAAAAGCACACAGGAAATCTTGCGCTTTTTCCCCGGCAAAACGACACTTTGCCCAAACATAGCTGACGTGAATAGCCACCGATATATCTCATAGCAGCACTGCTGGGGCAGGAGAACTCAAATGCCTACTTGCTTTGGTCTCAACATGTTTGTGGATAGTGTTTAGAGCAGAGGAATGCTGTTGCGAGTGCCGCTTAAACAAATCCTTGAAACCAGTCAGCTCAGACTTGAGGGATTTCACGGCCTCCGGACCTTCGTCTCCCCAGTGCTTTCGCAGATCTTGCCGTAACTCGTCAACCTCCATACTTAGCATGCTGATTTGATTTCCAATAGATTGCAGCAATCCCATAACCGTTTGATCCCTGAAGTGTAACACTAACGTTCGTTCGTTCTCTTAGCAATCATGCACTGGCTCTAACTCGCAAGACGGGGTGACATCGGGAAGAACAAAGCCTACAGGACTTTATGGGTAGCAGCCGACTTACGCATTGTTATGGCTAGGGGGCGCATAGGAAGATGGGTGTGAAAAGTCGGAGTAAATTCCGTATTGCTCATTGTGGGGCAGATGTGCGTCAGCTTCAGTTGCCACATGTTTCTCGTCGGAAGAATAGGCTGCAAGCTGCGGAGTAGCTGTATGCTGGGTAGGCGCAAGAGGTTCCATACTCCACGTCTTGACGAAGTACAGTACAACCTGATCCCCCGGATGCTGGTGCGCATGTGGTACTTGCCCAGCAGGTCTGTTATGACCTGTGAAACCAATGAAACCATGGGGGTGTAGGCGGACGTGATCCAAAGAGCAGGCTGTAGCCCACGCAGAAGTGACCGATTCACGGATTTGGGCAACTACTCCTTGATCTCCAACAATGACGCGGAAGAGCACAGGCTGAAAAAAAAAGCAATACAGCCGGTAACCGATGCACACGGAGGAGAAGACGCAGCCGTATTGATGGCTATACTTTCCAGAACCCACAAACAAAATGCCAAAATGTGCCAACATTCTCTAAAATTTGTTCATAGCGGTTGCTTGTGCAAGAACCTTACAGCAGTCTTATTCCTGTACTGATAGAAAAAGGCACTGGACGTGGGGAGTTCTTTGGCTAGTTCCCTGCCGTCTGCAGTGTTATGAATACATGAAATCGAGGGGTTAAGGCGGCCATCCCGATCCACTGACTTAAAAACAACCCCGAGTCCTTTAGGATTGTTTTTGTAACCAATAAGGCTCCAGCTTGTTTGCTCTTCGGGGGATCTTGGGTATACGCTTGTATATGACTCGTAGACATACCAAAAGGCAAACCCTTCAGGTTGGCCGTCGCTGTGGTGAGCAACTGCTTCAGCTGTTTCCTGCGTTTGATTGTCCTTTCCAAAAACCCCAAACCCAAACTGCACCTCAAATTGCATGGCTGGAATAGCGTTCCGATGCCAAAACTGTCCCGTCCGGTTAGCGTCCCCGGGCAACAGCACAAGGTGTTCCCCGGACGGAACTGTGGCCATTGCAACATCCCACTGGCCTGAAACAGAGAGAAATCCCGCTTGAGGCATCCCCGTGACGATGGTATAACACCCGCTGTTACACGAATTGAACCTTGCAGAAAAGCTTTCTGATAAGCAAACCGGGTTCAGCGCTTACTGAGATTTTCCGCAGTCAGGGGAGGGTGCCAGGAGTGGGTAAGCAGCTCGGTTGTACCGGAGGACTGCTCCCATAGAGCATACTGGGGAGGAGGAGGAGCAGATGCCGCGTTCTCATGATTGTTAGGAGGCAGCGGGTGATGGGGGTCCCCATAGCCGTGTGGTTCATGTGTAGATGGAGGGTGTGGATACGCAGCAGAAGGATCGGATGCGGGGGGATGCGGGTAATGGTGGCCGTAGGGCACAGTACCTGCATTTGGCATTTGTGGGCTTTGCTCTACGCCAGGTTGAGCACTGTGAGGAACTGGGGCATCATGTCCACATGTACTCAAAGGAGATATGATTGCGGCCGCGGCAAAGGCGCAAAGTGCTCGGTGAATGTACCTTGACATTGCTAACTAAGGTATAAGTTCAACGGAAATGGCTGTACCTGCGAGCAAGAACGGCTCGAGACAGTGCCAGTTTCTTACGGCCACAGCGGCAAAATTGTGCTATCCACAAAATCGGTAGCTCTGTGGCACGCCCTTGTGTGAACACGTTTGCCACGCACAATAATGGCAGCACACCGTCACCTGAGTTCAGGGCCCAAGAGGCAGAGTTCTCTGAGAGTTACGGCCGCTGTACGACTCTTCAGGTGGCAACAATGGAAGACAGGGGACTTTATAGCATGGAAATAAATAAGCATAGAATATTTCAGGACACTAGGGAATCCCACTCGTTCAGAGGTAGGGTCACTGCTCGATATACGCAAGCAGGGGTGGAACAAACGAAAAAGCGGAAAAGTACCTGTATTCTACCCCGATCACGCTCCAAAACCTTTATCTCACATAAGTGATATGGAACCACGTACATCGGAGCTTCTGGAGTAAATGCTCGCATTCAGCAGAGAGGCACCTTGCAGATGTTCAGGGTTTGGGCGAGCCGACCGAGGCGTTGCCTAACGGACATGCGGAGTACTATAGCCCATTGGAAGGTTTTCAAATGGCATATTGAATTTACACAATATCAATTTAAGATTCTCTTAGCACGAATTTTCCTTTGACGCAACAAAATGCCACTGCGGTTGCTAACATCTTTTACTTTTCGTTTCAATGTTCCTTGCCCCTTTCTATGCTTCAGCATCCAAGAGTAGCCCAAAGAAACCAAAATCAGGCAAATTACAGACTCAACTATCTTTATCTGCAAGGGCGATTGACTGTTCACAGCGTAACAGCTTGCTACTCAGGAGCTTTCAATGGAGCGCCAGTTCCCCAGAGCATTATTCATTGAATAGATTAGGGAAGGGTCGTACGCCTGAATCCATATATCTGTACATTATCAACGATAATAAGCATCTTAAAGTAGAAAGCGCAAGCTACACGCCTTTTAATGCACTAATGAAAAGAGATTTAGGACGTGCCGCTCCCCGCGCCCTATCAAAGAGCCTGTTCTAACGCTCCTTTTGGTGGATTTGAGCAGCAAAAAACGCAGGCTTACATGTGGATCCGTGAGACAACTTCCTTTTTGGAAAGAAAAGGCATAAGTGATACAAGAGAACCGATTTTCCGGTGAAGATGCGTCGCGTCCAGCAAAAATGTGTTCAGCCTGTAATACTAAATTGCAAACTACTCAGAAATTGCCAAGGAAACTCTTAACTAGCACTAGGGTTCGGTACGGGGGCGTATCGTTGGCTTCGCACAGCCGAACGACCCCTCAAACCTGCACCTGTCCTCAACGGGTTTGTCCCGGTGGTCACTGCAGCCCCCACACGATTGGCATGCGCTACGAAAGACGAGGAACTGCGTTGTTTCCTAATAGCCCTATATCTTTTATGAAAATCTGGCGCACTAGACCAAAATATACATTAGGCGACAAAACTGCCTGTAGAAGTGCTGCAAAAGTCGTTTGAATGCGATGCGACATTCCCTAATGGCTAGGCTTTATTCGAAATCCATCGATACACCCTGTCCGTAGCTCCTATTCTCAGAAAAAAGTCTGAGTGACATAGAAGCAGCAAAAGTAAAGCTATTCGGCTGCAAAAGTAGGACCTTGCCCTAGACCGTAGTTTGGCCTACGATGGCGCTCTATCCAGAATTCCATTTGCACAAACGATCCTCTAAGATAAGAAACTCTCCCAACTGGCATAGATACTGCTCGTCAACGCGCTGATGTATATGAAGGAAAGTATGGGCCCGGTTGAGGTCCTGCGTGGCGCAGCCTGGTATTTAAGCAACGGGGTGCGCAAGGCCGGTTTTTACGAGACAGACGACATGGCACCCACAGCTGTATATAGACCACAAACTACATTGGAAGCGGGAGATCGCGCGACTCCCCGCACTTGAACGCCTTTCGCAGCAGCTGCCATGCGGCTTGTCCTAAGAACTTGAGCATGTGCGTGCCGCCCGGAATGTAAGACACAAGGAAAGAAGCCAAGCCGCAGAGCTGTGATAGCGAAAAAACGAGAGTAAGCACGTAGGACTTGGCCATCAAAGTGGCGTAGAGAGTCAGGAAAAGAGAGGAGAAGTACACCGCGGTAAAGGGTAGCCTGAAGACAAACAGCGGATCATGCAATGTTCAGTAAGTGAAGACGCACAGCCTGCGCGCGCCAATGCGTACCTTTACTTATCACTTAATCTTCACACAAAGGCTATTTTATAATGTTGGAAACATATGAACAGGCATACCATGTTCGGGAAGACACCCAAACGCCGCGAAACCGTTGAAATACATTGGCAAGGCGATTGCTTACCTAGACGGCTCAATGAGATGCCGAAAGAGCGCTCCAACACCCCTCAAGAAGGCCAGAGCAGAGAGGAAACAAAGGGAGCCCATGGTAAAGAGAAGGGAAAACTTTGACGGCGCGAACACGAGGAGTGGGAGAGTGAGGAAGGCGAGAAACATAAACAACACTCCCACTGCGGCTACAACACCGAACATGAGCATGTTCCGAGAAGACAGCGGATTATCAGCAAGTGTAGCTCGGGTGGCGGTGACCATTGAGCTCGCGCCATCAAGCATGCGTGAAGCTCCATCCTTCACGGCAGAAAAACCAGTCTGCAGTAGGCCGTTCTGTTCTGGTAGACGAGCTGGAGACTTCATCGACCCTCCTGGAAGGCCCTCTGGAGTCCCCCAAACTCCAGAACCTGCTTTTATAGCTGAAGGGACGGCACTGCCAACATTGGAACCCAGAATGTTGCCAAGAAAGCCGGGGACTGGTGGTTTACCCTGCGTTCCGCTGAGCACTGGGGCGCCATCTAGAGAGACCATCGAATAACCCTTCTTGTCCTGTTGCTGGGTGCCTCCGTAAAACGACAAACCGTTTGCAAAGTCCCCAAAGCTCTGCTGGGTTCCCATCATCTTCGTCGTTGCAAATGACCCTAAGACGTTCAATAGGATATACAGCCTTTGGGGTGTGCCCAGCTAAGGGGCAAGAGGCCTTTCCAGCTTGTATTGACGCCGGCTAGACCACCAGTGCAGCGGCTTTCGGGGCAGTGAATCTGACAAGCACGGGTATACGCGCCTTGCGCGAGCTCCCCCTAAAAATACAGCCCTCGTCTAAGCTCACTGGTCCAGTCACCGTCTTCCTGAGGAGGAAGAAGACAAGATAGCAGAAAGTATTCTGCTATGCATAACATACAACAAAAAATCGTGTCAGACCCAGTCCATATGATATCTCGCTGAGAGGCCAGCCCGAATGAAAACTGTTGCTGGCGGGCCAAGGGGTGGTGTCATCACACAGGTTCCCTGTCGCACGGTCCTAATGCGAAACAAAGAAGATATGGGTAAATATGGTATGATTGGTGAAATTTCGTGTACATATAACGCATAGGGCTAACATGTCAACCCTAGTGAGGGCCGCATGTGAGTACCAGCGCCCTGCGACTCACCTGTCATAAAGCAGGATCGGTGACGATTGAGAATTCCACCTTAGTTGATACTATCTTCTTGGCACAATCGTCTGCAGCAAGATATTCTAATTAGACCGAACTCCAGAGTGTAATGTCAGTAGCAGTTGTAATAAACGGACCTCGGACTTTGGTGACTTGCATGTTGCATACTTCAGTTTGTGTGAATGAAGTGACTCGAAGTTTTCGTTGCCCAACATGACCCTGATCATAACGTGGGCAGATTACACACCAGGACAATTTAGGTTGCCAATAGAGCTGATTCCGCATCTGTAGCATGGTGCCCCAACTGAAGTCGTTCGGGTAGAACCCTCTGTTAGTGTCGGAATCTACGAAGGCTCTCTGCCTCTAAGGGAGACAATAATGGTATATACTGAGATCAAACGCGTTTGGGTGGAAGGTGGTTGAGTTCGATTGCCAAAGAACTCTGTGGGATAGGTTTCAAGGAGAGAGCGCATACAGGTGTTCACCACTGCCCTCCCTGATCCACAGGCACGAAAGTTTTCTGAAGCTGTTGAAAATTCGAGTAGTCTTATTGCCTAATTTGGCCTTTATTTAGCCCTAATATGGCAAGCACATAAAGGAATGTCCCAATAATTGTACAGCCACGGGCGGCCACGCGCAGCGGACAGATTGGATTGATCTGTTTGTCTGGTTGTATCTAATATCATGAATGAACACTGCGTGCTTGTAGGCTACGTTGCTATACGACTGCGAATATTCGCAGTTTTCTGAGGCTGTGGGAGAGCACAGTCATGGTCCCCTATCTTCCCTCACACAAATGACATGTATGACGAGCAAGGCAATGACAGAGTGAAGCTGTTCTAGTGGGACGCTTCCTAGCTTTCAATAGTGATTATTTGAGATGTGAGTTCAGAGGTGTGGCAAATTAAGCTACGCTGATTTACCTTCTACTACAACAGTTCTATTTTTTTTGAAGTAATAAGTAATTGCTCATTGAGTATGGCTCTCCTTATCACATATTATCTGCAAAGTAGCGCTAGCTCAATCCAGTAGGACGCAACGTTGTGTGCTTGTATGTCTGGCGCTACGTGCAGCTGGCTGTGGATGCTTGAATTGTTTTAGTGCTGCAACAGCACTCTTCCTAGTTGGCTCTTTTGCTCACGTCGGAATTCCGAATGGAGCAAGCATGGAAAGAAGGTATTCCTTCTAAGAAAGCGTCCAGTAACTTTCTGCTCAGTTTGTCATGTGCCCAGTATTTCTCCCGATGGACAGACCATGTAGAGCGTTACAAAGGGTATCCCCTACGGAGAACATAAAAAAACATGACGTAAGCAGTGAATCCATTACAGCACAAAGAAGGTATGAATTTGACCTGTACGCGGGTTCAGTAAGTTAACCCACATTCAGCTACCACTGGTGGCATCAATACGAGCAGATGGTCTATAGAATCCCTCTCTCGTAATCACACGTGCTAAGCTCCTCAGATCGTGCAAGCATTAATTTCCAGAGTGCAGCAGCGGTAACGATGGCATGGAAATAAGCAAGTTGTGAGTGGGCTCAATGTCTCTGCGCCTAATTACAGTGCACAGCGATGCTAGTGACAGAGCAGGACTACATCGCGCCATTAGTTAAGCAATATTAGGGATGTGAAAGAATCTGCTGTTATATCCTGCAGTTTGTGACACTCGAGCCAAAGTGAGGCGTTATTCCAGCACCCGCTACCTTGTCGCCATAGAAATTTTTCAGTCTCACCATGAACGGGAGCAACCTTTCCATTCCACCGATGCCAAAAGCACAAATGAGCTACGTGGTGATGGGACGTTAGTTCGTGAAGTATTGTATGCAAGGCAGCAGATCGTTTGTGCAAACCACAGCTTCGAACGGGACACGCTCGGTCCCGCAGAATTTCTGCAGAGCGTAGAACCCAAGAAGGAGATTTTCGAAGCTAATTTTTGCCAATCTCGAGCATTGGAGAAATAGAGACCCACGTGAATGGCCGCAAAATGATTAGCTGTTGTTTCAGCAAGGAAAGCCAACATGGCGCCGTGTTTGAATTGATCTGCGGTGTTTCGTTTGTATTATGAAAGATGCACTGTGGCTGGTGAGCAGATGACTCGCCTTTTAAGAACTTGTAAAGGCAAACTGGGCTTCTTATCGATTATGTGGCAATGCTTTGGACACGAGACAATTTATTCTCCTGCCCTGTCTTTCGTGGATCCTAGTGCAAAGCAGGTGCACAATCTGTCTAATTTATTAGATTTTGGCTAGCAGTACTCACATTATGCAATGCACTGGTAATTTTCAATGGCGTCCGATCAATTATGGGACTATGAACTGAGTCCTGAGCAGGGTAGATTCAATAAGTGAGTGCATCACTCAATTTGAATTGGCCCAGAGTTCCCCTTTGAAGCCTAGTCTGTGGTGTCTGCCTAAGAAAACCTAGAAGCCGCCCAGCTGCAAATACTGTGGCCAATTAAGCCAGCAGTCCGTCCCCAGGCGAGCAGCGCGCACGCCAGGCCAGAATCAAAGACAGCAAAAGCAACTATTTCTACCGAGCCAGTTAAATACACTAAAATAAATAAGCCAGTCACACGGATGCGGTACAGCAATGAAGGTATATACATTGTCAAGTCATCTGGTGGCGCAACGGCCTAGTTCCTCGTTCCATAGCGCAGAATCTCAAAGTCCGAATGCCTTTTGTGTAGAAGGTTAAATGCAACTGAAGCAGTCGCGCACGCGAAGGCAAACATGAAGAGATGCAACACACGAAAACTGAGCCATGAAGAGTGATCTTTCTTGAAGTACAAGGCTGTTTCCTTGAATTGTGCTTTAGCCACTTTGCTGAGATCCCACCACCTAGCTTGTCAGCTCACATATGCAACGACGATTGGGTGCATACGTGGCTCCAGAGCACTCTAGTAGGCATCTATTGGAGTAAATGCGACCCTGGATATCGCATACTGGCTTGTACTCACTGGTGCACAAGCAGTTCAATGTAACTGCGACCACAAGACGAAACAGCTGTGCATGGTGACCCAAAACCATTGATAAGCTACATTCAAGAGCTTACAAAAGCAGGCAAATAAAGATAAGAGAGGCGAATGGGAAGAAGGCAAATCCAGAACAGCTGGATTACAATACTGCTTCCCGGATGGCCCCCTGTATGCCAGGATTTTCCTCTTGCATTTCATACGGCATTGATTAGTGTTTCGCAAAATACTTGGTACCCCCCCGAGCACAATGCAGCTTGCCACAAAAGGGAAAGCCATGCGCAGTAAATACACAATCAGTCGGGAGGGCCTTGCTAGGAAATCTCTGGCTTCGTGGCAGACTAGATGCTAGCAACCGACATGTGTTGGAGGTAGGAGCATTTGGATGACCACACCAGACCAGCTGCAAGCTTGGTGGCCTCACCTAGCGTCTCCGTGCAGGGACCCTCATGGGCAAGGGTTCTCCCTTTGCACCTCATTCGACATTCATTAGCGTGTGTTTTGCCCTGTGTATCGCACACTGGCTGATACATTTCCGTACAGACGCAACCTGCACAAAGGTAGCAGTACAGGATGAAAGATGATCAGTCGAGATGTCGTTGCCAGGACAGCTCTGGCTTCGTGGCAGGCTCCATGATAGCAACCGACATGTGTTGGAGGTAGGAGCACTTGGATGGCCACACTAGTCCAGCTGCAAGCTTGGTGGCCTCACCTAGCGTCTCCGTGCAGGGACCCTCATGGGCAAGGGTTCTCCCTTTGCACCTCATTCGACATTCATTAGCGTGTGTTTTGCCCTGTGTATCGCACACTGGCT